GACGTCTTGAGGGGAAAAAAAAAAAAAAAAAGCGACGTCTTAAGGGAGGGAAAAAAAAAAAACGCGTGGGCGTCCCGTATAACTCGCCTTAACATGCTTTCCATATACGTGGCAGTCATTGAGGTTACCACGTAATTCACCATAAAAAACAAGAAAAATACAATTTAATTAAACGTCTTCCTCAGCAATCACGTTTATTTTATATTATTTTTTGAAAACCCATAAAGAGATAGATTCAAGCAATAAAGTATGCAGCAAGAGCTGCCAACAAGAACAAAGAAAGGGGGATCAAAATCCCAACTCTTAAGACCTGACACAGAACCGGCTTCCCTAGCAAGAGCATGGGCTACCTGATTCGCAGATCTTTTAACAAAGCTAACAGCCAAATTAGAAATAGACTCACTAATGACCTTACAATCATCAACTATTAGACCAAGGTCAGAAGCTAAAGTCTCAGAGCTATGAAAAGCATTGACCACCAGTTGAGAATCAGACTCTAGGATCACATGGGACATGTGTCTAGTCTTGATCCAACTTAAGGCTTCCCTGAGGCTAAGCCCCTCTGCAAGGCAAGGACCCTCCACACTATCAATCTGTTTGCCGAAACCCGTTACCCTGCCACCATCCGGGCCACGCACCACACAACTAACACCCATCGATCTCGAACCGCTAAAGAGAGCTGCATCGACATTAACCTTCCACCAGCCTTCTTGTGGTCTAGACCACTTACTAACACCTTCTCGAAATGGAGAATTGAGGCCACTCCCACTACTAGGCAGATTAGCCTCTTTCCGAAGAGTAAAGAACAACTGGGTTCTATGGATGATGCTAGTAGCTGGCTGAATTCTATAATTCCAGACTTGATCATTCCGATTATTCCAAAGGCCCCAACACAGCATGAGGGCTAGTTCACACATAGCCTTAGAGTGAAAAGAAAAAAGCAAGCTCAACCAAGCCATAAAGTTCTGTACATCTCCTCTAACAAAACCAACATCAGACTGAATCCAAACCTCCTTGGCTGAAGGACAATCAACTAAAGTGTGGAGAGTAGTTTCAATACCTGTACCGCAGTAAGGACACATCGGCTCAATAGTAATCCTCCGTTGAATCAGCTGTTGGCGCGTAGGGATACATCCAGTACCAGCCCTCCAAGCAAAATTTAGGACTTTCGTTGGGACTTTCAGCTGCCATAGCCTACTCCACACATTCTCATAATTACTCAGTTGTATACCTTGGCTCGCATTCTGTAATTCCTTGTATCCACTTTTCACCGTGTACCTGCCATCATATTCCTGAAGCCATTGCCAACTAGTACATTTTACAGCAATCACGTTTATTAGACAAGGATGAATCACAGAAAAACATTCTACAGCAGGATTCCTAAAGGTTTCAAACTAGTACATTTTCTAATATTCTTATTTACAAATTTTTTTTTTTTGAAGAAATGTATTTACAACTTAGTGATATTGTTGATGTACTTTTTTTTTAGGTATAGCCATTTGAATGGTAAGTTTCTCAACTCAATAAAATAATACTAAGTTCTCTTATAAATAGAGAATTTTTATTTTATGTCATCATACTCGATGGACTTTACTTATAACAAGCAAGAACAAACAGAACAACTCGATAAATTTTTAGTGAATTTTCTAAAGAGTTGAACTTCCTATTTTTCTAGTACCCATAAAACTTTTTTGTTGCTTATAGTTTCCCAAATCCTTTGCGTTGAACTTAAAAACAATTAAAAAAAAAAAAACTCTCTCTCCTCTATGCTCAATCGAAAATATTACTTCAAAAACGGACCGAGACGGACGCGCAATCATGCGGAGGAGAGCTTGAAATTCTTTTCTTCAACCAATTTTTAACAAACGGACAAACAACTCAAATACTAAAGGACTCAACAGCCAATAATTGTGCAGAGAATCAATGTTTTCGATTTTGCCACCGCGTACGAAGGCAAAACAAATGCAACGGCTTCCGCCTTCCGGTTCCTGTGGCAATTACCTCAACCACTATTTTTCTAAGCTGAAAGCTGAAGGAGTCCATGATTCTTCAAAACTTCGATAGCGACAATACAGTTAGATTGTCTTTAATATCGGATTATCTTTAAGTTAGATTATCTTCATATTTAGGTCTTAATTAAGACACAAACACATAGATTTAATTCATTTTTTATAAAACATATTTAGGAATTGTTTGTTGTGAATAAAATATATTTATGTGGCAAATGTTTTATATGAAGTAAATGTTTACCATATTTGACAAGTGTTGATGTGAAAACATGGAAGAAGTGGAATGATGACGACGATGACGGTTACAAAAATATATTTTTGTTTTTCAATAATTATTTATCATAACTAACCATTATTGTCATAGATAATGATTCTCTGTATATATAAAAATTATTATTATTACATTTATAGATGTTTTATAAGTTATAATATAATCAATCTCAAATGCATTGTTTTCAAAAAATTTATTAAAAAAAAAAACTGAAGCAGAGTGATATAACACCAATATTTTCTTATATATATATATATAAGCATTACCGATAGATTAGCATTTAGAAGAGAAATATTCTAAATAACAAGCATTTGATGATTAATAATTTATTATCTTTTAATTTATATTAATTTGTCACCAATTGTGTCTCATTTCAAAATTGATTATACTTCAACACGTCTAATTGATCTTAAAAACAAAAGCAGATATTATATTAAATACTACAAAATACATATTTAATATTAAAAAAACTCCAAAATCGATATTGATTGATTTTGGTTTCGTTCCCCTGGATTTATAAAATTTATTAAAATATTAAAACTGATTTTATAAAGTTATATGCTACCACAGTACACAGGTAATTAAGCTAGTTTGGCATCTAAACAACATCCTTTATAGAAGAGCAACATTTTCAAATATGTGACAAATTATGACATTAAGGTCCAGGTTTCTCCAGACCTGTGTGTAGCGTGGAACATCCTCGCATGAACAACATGTACATATTCACGTAAAAAAGAAAGAAAAAAAAAACGTAACACCGGCACATTGATCTTTCTGCTTCAGAGCTCAATCCAAATTGTATGGATAACCTGCAATAATAATAAAAGTAACAAGAGAGAGGTGGTGGTATTGTGGTTGGAAGAATGGAAGCCTTGCTAAGCAGATTGGCAGTTGCTGCTCCTAAATCCGCTAAGAGTGGTAAACTAAAGAGTAGCCATGAATGGAATCAGAGAAAATAAAATGACTCCCAGAACAGAGGTTTTCTCCACAGAAACTCCACTGGCAAAAGGAAGGTTTCTCAGTAAGCCTTGAGAGTCACTAGCCCCAAAAGGCTGATTCAAAGCAGCAAAAGGCACGGTAGCACCCGAGAGAGGACTATTCGCTAGCCACAGTGGAGACCGTTGGCCGTGGTTGCTTAAAGGTTTTCCAAAAGGAGGTACATTGGTGTTAAGAATCGGAGCAGCAACTGGAGGGGAAGCAAGAGCCGGTGCGTTTTCATCACTTGGTGGCACATCTAGCACATGCTGAACTGGATCCATAGGTAAAGCTTGAGTGGTGGAGAGAAAAGAAGTGAGAGAGACAAGACCAAAATAGAGAAGAATACAATATTTGCATGTATTGAAGACCCCCATTGTGATGAATTGAATGCATGTGTAACAGTGCCATTATATAACTAGGGGATTTTGCTCCAAGTAGCTAGGTTTAAACCACTAAACTCAACTAGGAGCAGTTGGGAGAGGAAATGGAACTAATACCACATACAAGAAAATGGCACGCGAGAGGATCATTTGAATATTGAAGCAGTTTAATGAAAGTGGAGTAAGCCAAACTAATTCAACAAACGTTAATTAGCTCATTAGTTGTCTCCACAGTCTTGCAATAAAATCATTCTGCTGTATAGAAATTAGAACGCTATCTATGCTTTTGAACCAGAAAAGATATGATCCACTAGCTACAACTCAATGTCAATATTACAGCTGTGATATAGATATCACCATAAACAAGGGTCGTGTGGAATAGAACGAGAATTTTAACAAAAGAATATGCATGAAAAATGGGATTCGGAAGGGAAGCCAATACCGACAATGATTAGATAAAGAAAGCTCTTATGGCAAGGAATCTAGGCCATCTATTACATCCCAAATATAGGTCTTTTGGGATGATCCAAGTTTTGTCTTGCGGCAATCTCCCCAACTGGAGAGTTTCCAATGTTCCAGCTCAATGCCCAAACCTCCCCTCCTTTGGTTGGCCACACAGTACTCCTGAGTTTTGATGATTAGTTAGTGTGTAAATGTCTGGTATAATTAAATTCAACAGATGAATTAAGATATTAACAAAATAAAAAGCATAATCAAGTGAAAGAAATTTACTGGTTCAGCTGGATCACCTCAAGCTAATTATGAAAGTTCAGCAGCCATGGATGATGCACAATTCCAAAACTTATTGATGTGATGTGAGATTTCAGTCTGCTTCAACTTTTTGATAGGACATCACAGAGAATCTTGAAGGTCACACATTACAACAATAAGCGGAGCATAGATGTGTTGAGGCACTTAACCATAGGTACAGTGTGAATACGTACACATGCACGTATATGGAGGGAGAAGTCAGAGTAGAATGCGGTTTCAGCATGTCTTCTTCATTTCATCGCTCCATTCAAAATCAGATATATTTCAGGTGAACAAAAGGAGTGCTGATGGTAATCTCAAAATGTGCTGTCAATGAGCTTGACTAGAGATAGCACTGACAGGTCTTCCAAAGGAGCCAAAAAATTGGGAGGTTACCATCAAGAAAAATAAACAAGGCATCTTTCTTGAAAAGCAAGTGCGATATTTCCATCATATGGGTGAGTTCAATCTATGACAAAGTTTCACTCCCTCATTTAGTCATCTTCAGATTTTATCAGACAATACTCACTTGACGTCCCAGTTGTTCTGCAAGAAGGATCTTCAGTATCCTTAAGAATGACATAAGCAATCCCACACACCACTTTTACTCATTCACCAATAATCTCCACAAGAACAAACTCCATCTTTAAACCGATGAAATCGGTTTGTGTCTCTAACAAAAATCTCTCTCTTCTCAAAGCTGGATATGAATTTTATAACAGCATGACAATCACGACAGATTCTAAGGTTCTTGATAACTTGAAGAGGACATCCTGGGCTAGTATTTAGAAGCCCTAGCACTACAGCCAACTTCTCGCTATGGCCACATAGTATCTGCTCCTTATCCTGCTCCTCTACATCTTGTAGCACAAAGTCAGTATGTGGAACGTAACCTGACTTTTTCATCTCCATAGTCAATTTAGCCAACTTCTCAATAATTTGGGTCATTTGTGGATGGGAACTGTCACCAGCAAGGAGCATATGCACTTTGTTCTTGATCTCAATCCAACTGCAGCCAGGGTTTTTCTTCAAACCTCTACTGCTCATCATATCCCTCACCATATCAACTTCAAGCCACATGGCCTTTGAAGCATAAATATTGGACAGAAGAATGTAGTTCCCAGGATTTTTCGGTTCTAACTCGAAGAGTCTCCTCGCAGCAATCTCACCTAAATCCACGTTGTTGTGAACTCTGCATGAACTGAGCAGAGCACCCCAAACACAAGAATCTGGCTCTAATGGCATTTGCTTGATCATGGCATATGCCTCTTCCAGCCTTCCACTACGACCAAGAAGGGTCACCATACATGCATAATGCTCTATTCTAGCTTCAATGCCGTGATTTCTCGACATGCTATTAAAATAATTCCAACCTTCCTCTGTTAGGCCCCCTTGGGAGCATGCAGATAATACACAAGTGAAGCTAACATGATCAGGCCTTTGTCCTCTTCTTTGCATCAATTGGAAAATGTTTATAGCTTCACTAGTCTTTCCATGCATTGCATAGCCAGCCAATAATGAATTCCAAGAAACCAAGTTCCTGTTGGGCATCATATCAAAACAGAGTCTAGACGACAGCATTCTTCCACACTTGGCGTACATATCAATCAACGCACTGCCCACATAAACATCATTGGAGATTCCATTTCTAAGAGAAAAGCAATGGGCTGCCTTCCCATGCAGTAATGCTGCAATATTTCCACAAGCTGGCAACAAGCATGGAATTGTTACAGAGTTTGGTTTTACGCCCTCGATCTGCATCTCTCTAAAAAGCTCCAAAGCCTCAATATCTTTGCCATTCTGAGAACAACTGGCAATCATGGATGTCCAGGAAACGACATTCAGATCCATCCCTTGGCCTTTAAACTGTTTAAATACCTCCAATGCATTGTCAACAAGTCCATTTCGTGAGAGCCCAGTAACTAAAGCATTGCAAGCACCGACATCAAGCTCATCCATTTCATTGAACACTTCTGACATCTCCGAAGCACATGCACACTTTCCATACATATCAATAAGTGCACTAACCACACACTTGTCCGGTCCTAAACCTTGCTTAATAACATAACAATGAATCTGAATCCCCATGTACGGCATTTCCAAATCAATAACTGCTGGAAGCACGCTAGAAACACTAGTTCCATCAGGCTTCAAACCTCCCAAATGCATCTTTTGAAACATAAGAACCGCATCAAAATAACTGCCGCTATGATTAAAACCTGAAATCATACCATTCCAAGATACCAAATTAAGCTCCACACCTAAATCTCTTGTCTTATAAAACAACTCCTTTGTCTCCTTCACACACCCCATTCGTGCATAACGCGAAATCAAAGCACTAGACGTAACTACACCTGGTTGAGGCAATTTATCAAATATATTACGAGCATCGTTCAAACGGTCAAATTGAAGGTACATATGGACTAAAGAGGATTGAACTATGGAGTCTAGACCAAACCCAGATACCAACGCAAAACAATGCACCTGCTTTCCTGTTCCCAATGCAGGTAATGCAGTACATGCCTTGACGACAGTAGGCAATACACGGCTACTGGGAACGATACCTTGTGTGAGCATGTAAGAGAAGAATCGGATTGCGTGACCAAAATGATTGAGCCTTGAAAATGTTTGGATGGCTTCCTGCAGCGAAATGCCTGCTTTGAGGATGTGGGCATGTGCTTGTAATAAAGAGGTTTTCGTGGCTGAATAAAGGCAGTGGCTAACGTTTTCAAACAGAGGGAGTACTTCCCTAGCCATGACAACTCTCCTCCCGCCGCGGCCAAGTCTGAAATCTTTTTATTTGGTCCAAAATAAGTATAGTAGTTTGCCTTGGAATTTGATTACTTCAGTTTTATGCCCCGTTAACGATGTTTGGTTCTAATGATAAACTTCATTTTGCCCCTCCAAGTTCATGAATATACCATTTCTAATCCCTTAGTTTAAAATTTACTAACATTATCCGGTTAAATATTTAACGGAAACCGACCTTTTCCATAACCCATTTTTTATCATTTTCGAATCTCATGTGATGATATCCTACTAGAACACTTAAATGCTTAACAATATCACACACTTTTTTTACTCCCAAAAAGTAAGCTTTCTAGAATTTAATAACTCAATCTATTTTTATATAATAAAATATTTTTTTCATCTATCCTTATATGTCTAATTAAACTAAGTTTTCCTTAAATTTACATTAAGTGTCTAACGTATCATTCGAATAAAATTTTCAAGATAAACCATTGAAATTAATTATACAATGAGAACATAAATTTTTTTATTTGACTAGCTTGCAATGGTATTTAAAAATAAAAAATTAATATGTATAAATTACGTAAATAATTTTGATAGTTTGTTTTGAAAATCTTGATAAAAAGATAGATCGAAAACTTAAAGTATATTAAAAGATAAAATTGACTCAATTAAAAATATAAAAACCGATTAGAGAACTACCTTATTATATAAAAATAAATTTAGCTATTTACCCTTAAATCTCATCAATGATTTAGCGGTTAATCATTACATTAAATGTTTTTAGAAACTACAAAATTAGCATTGAGAAATTTAAAAATGTGTAACTACAAGAAAAGAAATGAGACATCACTGAATCTATGAAGGAATAGAAAATAAGTTTACCTTGTATATTAATGACATATGTGTTGCAATTTTTGTGCAAGGTTGTAGAATTTACTAGTCGTGCGTGCAGTGCCCAAACACTACTACAAGTAAAATGTTTGTTGAAAGATTACCTAAGAAAGGTAGGGTTTTTGGTTTATTCCTCTCTTTTGGCTTTCTTTGCATCTGTTGGCTTCATTTTTCTCACCTAATTACACACCAAGTCTTGATGTTGGAAGCTATAGCAGAACCGGCCAATCATCTCTTCCAAAATACCTCCAGGAATGGACTGAGAGACGAGTAAAGTATAATATTAATATGATCATTACTGCTGCATATAAATATCACAATATATAAGGGTATATACAATAGAATGGGAATTTTAACAAAAGAATATACATGAAAAATGAGATTCATAAGGTAACCCAAATGCCTATACTGTAACTACATAAGTTTGGTCTTATATTGTGTTATCTAGACCATCCATAACATCCAAAATATTAGTTTTTTGATGCTCCAAACTTTTTCTTGCAGCAAAACCTCTAACTGGTGAGTTTCCAGTGCTCCTGCTCAATGTCCAAACCTGCCCTCTTTTCTTGTCTACAGAAAATCCCTGACTTTTGCTTCTTCCCAGCACCAATCTTCCGTAACACACATTGGCTAACAAACCTCGATCTTCTTGAGAAAGTTGGGCACCATGGTTCAGGGATTGAATCCCTTGCATCTTGGTTTGAAAAACCAGTCCTTTACGAGTTGGAGATCGAGTAGGCATGGACTTGAAACCATGATCTCTCTGTCTCACTAGGTTTATCAAGTGGTGAAGCCACGTCACTAGTTCAAGAATGTATAGGTCAGTCTTCTGCTTGTCTGCGTGATAGAGCGTCTGGAGGCGGATCACGTTACAATTTCCAGCTGTATTCTTGCCTAATTCGTTTCTGTCGAAAAGAAAAAAACAGTCATTCATCTACTGCTAGGGTGCATTACACTCATCACAACACAAAGAAAGAACAAAGGCCTTCACTAACCCAGTGTTTGCCCATTCTCCAACCCATCCAAAGCCTTGATGTGCCCTGTTGCCAATTGAAACAAAAAGAAAATAAGAAAGTGTAATAGTAAGGACAATAAGGAAAATTCTCAACGAGAAAAAATTAAAGAAAAAGACAAATCAGGCAGTAAAAACCACTGCCAAATGAAAACATTTAACTTGTTTACACATGTTTACAGAAACAAGAGGAAAAATTAAATTAGACTGTCGTTTGACCTACTTGGTTGTGTTTGTGGCAATGGGCGCAAGCCAATGGAGAGTCTTTTCCATTTCAGCTTTCACCAGAGGTACCGTGAGCTGCAGAGAAGCATAGTGAAAAGCAACTGTAATTGTATTGAGTACGTGCACGAGCAAACGATAAGAACAAACACCTATCCTCAATCTCCATTTGGAGAAAAAATAGAAAATGAGAAGCACAAAAATATGTGCACACGTACCTCTTCCTTGGCATCAACCATCTGCAACCGCGAGCGTAGAGCTGCCTTAACACTGTTTGGTATCCCTTGATACAAACTGTCCCTCGTATTCGGAGGAAGGGAGGTGGGTCGAGAAGTCTAATAACAAACGATATTTCAGCCGAATCAATCCCGATATAGAAAAACTATACAATCCATAATAAACATGTGATTAGTCAAGAAAAAAAGAGCTTTACTTACGATATTATCTATCTGGTTGATTATGTTAGCATAATGCAATGCAAGACCAGATTTGCCAAGTCTTTGAGGACTGTTGCCAGGCTCCTTGTCAACCAATATAACACCTGCCATGAGTTGTCAATGCCTAAGAATTAATATTCGAAGCACGTCTTTCAAAGCCAGAAACAATGAATTGAATGTTGTTACGATGCATAGATATCGAGGTGAGAAAAATAAACAAAAACAGACTTCTATGTTGGCATGTTTCTATTAAGCAGCCATTGACCATATCACTGTAGTAAAGTATGATAATGTTCTTTCACAAGCACAATTCACTAACATGTTCGAATCTTCAAAAACTAATGTTGCAATTCAGATTAGGATCTTTTTGCTATTCAGATTGCTCATGTTTGCTAATCATGGTTTTACCCAGCCGAAAAGATATATATCCTTACACATTATTGACAAAAGCAAGAATGCACTTACATGTAAAGCTTAATTCAATGCAACTAAGCCTAGATTCAGTATGTCCATCAGTTTTCTACATAAATCCTCTTGATTCCACCGTCATATATGTTCTAGTGTGATACATATACTACATAGCTAGTAGAGCTGAGACAGTATCTTCAGCCATGGCAATCACCTCTTTTATCATTCAGGAGTTAGAAATGGTCTTTCATCTCTAATAACGACAACTTCTCAGACATGGTAGGGTACAGAAAAACACACATTTCCAGGACAACAGTTTCATATAACAGACACCCCACATGAAACCCATCCTCCACGAATACCATATATCATACACAAATGAAAAACAATGTGGTTCACATCTAGGAAAAAAAAAAAGGAAACCATCAATGTGTCTTTGCTGATATAAATGCAAGGACAGGGAAATGCACCCATTTATGATATTCATGCAAATTTTCATCATCTAATTTCATCACGAGACAAATAGTCATACCATTATTTCCAAAAGCTTCCAAGATTGCTTGTTGTAAGTAGGTAACAATATCAACAAGCTTCTCCATGATCTGCAGTTCACAAAGAAAGTTATAGAATGCTCTATTTTTTGAGAAAGAGCAACTAATACTCTCATGGTTGAAGTGCAAGAGGGAAAAATGTTAACCACTCTAATGAAGCAAGCTACATATTTATATAAAATAACAAGTTTGTTGATGTTAATTGCCATCTATTCCGTAAAACCGCTACTGGAATCAATAAGGCAGCAAAGCATTCATGTTGAGTGAGGGAGTTAAGCCAAACTAGCAATAGATTTCATTACGAGGCATAAAAGAATTAAGAAATGATAGAAGTAAAATCCTCCAAAGAGATCACGGTGTAACTTTCAGCAGATGTAGCTTGTGGCCCATAGACATGTACCTCTTCCAGATTTTTAGACCAAAGAGATTTCTTTTTCAAGCTCCTTACAAGCTTTCTTTGTTGTTTTAGCTCACTATGTAAAATCGTGAGACTTTCTCCTACAATTACAAAGAAAATGGTCCATTAATAAAATAGCTGCTTCACTATGGTTAGCGGGTATCAAGCAGATATTGGGCATGATGCCAAAAAAAGAAAGCAGAACAGAAAGTCAACATCTAGAACCAGTTACAAAAACAAATAGTTAACTATCAGTGAGAACTGACAGTTATTCATTATAAATCAGCATGTTATTCACTTTGAAGGACAGAGCCTTGAAGCTAAAATACATTGACATCAAAGCTGTAATGAAGGGTATGTTTCAGCAACTAGAAGGCAACAAAAATGGTACTCATATCAACTGAATACCTCAACAATGCTTGATCTTGGCAAATATAACCAAAAAAAAAAAAGAATTCTATGAATCACCTCAGATACTTCTTATTTAGTGACAAATATATAAACATCTGGATATGATCGACATGCATACTAAAATACAAAAAAAGAAAAAGAACAAGAAAAAAGAAAGAAAAAAAGGAATTCTATGAATCACCTCAGATACTTCTTATTTAGTGACAAATATATAAACATCTGGATATGATCGACGTGCATACTAAAATACAAAAAAAGAAAAAGAACAAGAAAAAAGAAAGAAAAATCAAGTAAAGTGAAAAGGTTTATCCTTGCCAACCTTGGGGGAGATTTAGGGACTGCACTTCATCAAGCTTTCGCTGATAATCTTGTTCAAATCTGTCCAAAGCATTCAACTCATGATATAGTTCCTGCACAAGAAAAGAGATTAGTAAAGCTCAGGATCACAGGAACAAAAGCTAAAGCTTTTGAAGACCCCAAATAAAGTCCAGCATTATTCAACTGAGATAAATAAGCTGAAACTGTTTCCGACATTATTGATACGATAAATTCTCAAAAAGATCCATAAAGCACATGTCATACGCAACTGCAAACTGCTCAATATCACAATTTAATACAGCAAACGAGTTAAACCTAAAGCTCCAACATTCTCATGGATCATGCATAGCATACTGAAATGGGAGATAAAAGGAAATCAGTAATGCTTTTTTCTCAGAATTAGACCCTTGAAATTAATCAATGAATCAAATTACAACAGTGTTTATAGCTGAAATCAAGTTTCAACTATGGCATTGTACATGCATTTGATCAACAAGTAGCAGCATCCCACAAACGCATAGCACAGCACAAATACCTACGTATATGCAAGCCTATATAATGTGGGGAGAAAAAAACTTACAGAAGTATTCTGCACCAGAGTAGTCAGCTCTTGCATTGTCACTTCTGCCTCTGTTCGATTTTGCCTATCAATTGAATATTCTGAATCTAATCTGATGTTTAAGATAATTGCATTGTTAGAAAACATGAAGAATGTAACCAGGATATATTGCATAACAAAAATGTAGCTTACTTTGAAAAATATCGACCCAAATTGTGCCATTGAGGGTCTTTACATAAATCTCCAAACCGAATCACTTCTCGTGAGAAAACATCAAATTCCTCCCTACAAAAGTACCCATTTTTTAAATTAAAAAAAAATACTAAGATTAGAGAACATGAACTTGTTAGAATTAACAAAGGCAAAGAATTTTTGTAACAACCTTTTATCAGAAGCGGCAATTATGAGCAACTCTTTCATATCTGTGGAAACCAATTTGTGTACTCCTTCTGAATGTAGTACCTCTTTTGTCAAGAACTGAACACTTTCTTCTGAAAGAGATTGAAACAAGTTTGCACCTTTGGATATTGTATTAGCTACTTCAAATGCCAATATGGATATTCTATTCCCTCTAGAACCCAATCCAGTGACAAATCCAGCTCTGGGGTTCAAGTTTGACATGCTACTTCCTAAATTATCCAAAACTTCAACTGCTTTCTCTAATCCCACTGTCCCAGCTTTTCCTAAAAACGACTTCTTTTGATTAATCTACAAAAACCAAAGGCACAAGATAAACCATCAACAACTGACCAAATTGGGCATCCAAGAAAAACATTATCAAGAAAACATAAAAAGAACAAACCACATCAAACAAAAACATAAAACATACCTTGTTGACCTCTGTCCTAGCAGGCGTTGATGGCTTGAATTCCCTTGAAAAAAATGATAAAAACTCACCAGAATTATGACTCTGTGGCGTCGTTTTCCCGAAATCATCCCCATTACTATTCCTATAAGGACTCTCTTTTTTCTTGCCTATGCTATGTAATGACCTTAGCTTCATACCACTATTACGATTCTTCTCCTCCCCAACTTTCATGCTTTGCCTTTCTGTTCCACCAGAACAAACCCCTCCCATTCTTCCTTCTTGCAAATTCTCTCCAAATTACACCCCCCAACAAGGAATTCAAAAAGATCCCATAAACCATAAAAACCCCACTTCACAATCAACAAGAAGAAAAAAAAATTCAAAAGTGAAGACAAAGTCAGAGACGGGACAGTACCAAGGACGGAAGAAAGAATTAACTAGAAGTACTAGCAATCTATCTAGCGTGGTTGTTGTGATTGATTCCGGTGCATGAATGAAACAAACGCGTTATTAATTGTTTTTTTCCTTCTGGCAATAAAACGGAAGTCTCGTGGGCAAATGGAATTTGAATGGAGAAGTGCCAAACGGTGAAGGAAGGAAAAGGAACGGAAATTGTTGACTATTCTCTTGTTGTTTTTCTGAAATGCGTAAATCGATGAATGGAAGAGACAGAAATCGTGGACATATGTGAAACTGAAAGTCATCCCCGCCCACCTTGTCTGAGTTTGGTGTTTCGGTCTCTGACTAAAGTCCAAACTCTTTGTTGTTCTTTTACTGTTCTGTCCCCTTTGGTCATGCTTCATGACATAGGGCAGGAAATATTAAAATAAATCGCAATTATGGCGCCTTGTGTTTACTATTCTGCCTTGAATTGATGTTCGTTAATATTCTATACATTTCTAGGGGTTTTCTTTTTGTTGGGCTTTTGAATAGTCAACCAAATGCTTTGCTAACATGAAAGATGACTGCTTCTGGAGTGGGAAAAAAAAAGAGATTATTTTTGGTAATGGATTTGGTGATAATCGACCCTATCAATTCAATTTCGGTGGTATTGAATTTTGTAATTTTAAAAATATAATTGAATTATTTAGATTTTAAATTTAGGATACAGCTAATCTCTCTAAATGATTATGTTTAGTATTTTGTCAAAATTAAAATATCATGACCTCAAGAATGATATGTAATGCGCATTGTTTAGATGAGAAGTTTGACAATTGACTGCCAACCTTTTACTTTAACATAAATTGATAATGAAATTCAATGGAGGATCAATTTTGATACAAATTCAAAAAAAAAAAAAGAGAGAGAGAGAGACTAAATAGTTCAATATCATAAAAACCAATAAATTATAAATTAGTTTTCTTATATTTAAGAAACAAATTAATTAGTCATTCATATTTCAAAAAATAATTATTTACTTTTTTTTCATTTTACATTATTTTCTATTTTATTTTTTTGTCTTAAAAATAATAAATAAATATTATGAAAAGATTAAACAGAAAATTAAATCAAATAATATTTAATTTCATTTAATTAACATGAATTAAATAATTAATTTTTGAAATAATAGAAATTTAATTAATTTGTTCCCTCAAGAGTAGGAGGACTAATTTATAAATTACTCTCAACGAAACTACAACCGACCTGTTTTTGCCATTAGACCATAGGTGATGTGACTTAATCTCTAGCCTCGAATTGAATAAATAACAGAATTACCAGAAAAATACCAAGTTTACTTTTTCTAGATTATGAAATGCTAGTAGAAAACAATCAACGTTTTCAAAAAAATCATAAAGTTTACTAGTATTAAACTAATAATCAATCACCAAGCGTAAAGTCTCGGCAAGTAGCTCGTGGGCAAGTGTAGTGTAGTTTACGAATTTTGTATTTTTAAAAAAGAAAAAGAGTGGACCATGTAACTATTAACTCTGAAAGCAAGAAAAACATAATTTGACCTTTTCCAATCCGAATTTCAGATCATTTGCGTACGAAAGGGAAAATGAGGGAAGACTTTCCTGATATTTTAACTTCAAAACTGACACTTCTTCTGAACTCGTCCCATGTTGCTGGTCTGTGATGCAATTGTTCGAAAATTAAATGCCCGATGACTTTTATCAGAAAATCTCATGCCGTGAGGACTTAAAATTGACAACGTGGAGGGTTTCCATTGGCTGGAATACAGTGATCCCAATATTCTTCCTGCAGGCCAGTTACAGTTGGCCACAAAGATTTTTGGATAGTAACTCTCCATTTGAGAACGGATTATTCTGTCCAGATTTTAAAGTTGGCAGAGATAGGGTTTGGTTAGACCTGCGATTCTTTGACTTTAGTGGCACGGCATTTTAAAAATACATATCCAGTGTCGGCTGAGGTCACCTAACATAAAAAAGAAAAGAGAGGAGTTGAAAACTAAATAGCTTTTTTCATCTTTTTCACTGCCAAAGATGGATAATCATCGTTTCAAATAATATTTTCAAACATACTGTCAAAGAGGATCTCAACGTATCTCTCTATTATCATCTTGTTTATTGTTTCTTTGACCATGAGGGTGCTTCCTACCAGGAAAGGAGTTGGAGATCGAAAGGCTCTTCAAATTCTTTCTTGGAGCTCGTTAAGATCCCATGTCTCTTCCTCCAATCCAATTGTATGTCAATTTTTAGCATCTATCTCCCAAGGTGTTCGGGTCCAATTTTGGCCCACGCAATAGTACGATTTAAAACCTTCAAAAAATAAAACCAAATGAAATCCATGCTAAAATTTAGTAAACACCTAACAGTACTGTATAATTTCGTCGGCTTCAACTAATTCTCAAGACCTTAATCCGCAAGAACCCTCAATTTCTAAAAGCGCTAACCAAATCAATAGATGGACGAAGAGGTTATGAATCCTTGGCTATATGAATGGTGAGATTTTTTTTTTTCGATATGTCAATAGATGAATGAAAATGTTATGAATGATTGGTTGTATAAACGGTAAAATTAATTTTTTTTTACTGATTATGTTATAGTGATTTATCAATAAATGGATCAATAGATAAGTGAAAATGTTATGGATGGCTTGTTGTATGAACGGTAAAATTAATTTTTTTTACTAACTGTGCGATAGTGATTTATCCTTATTTTGAAATTCTGAAATAAGTACCTATAAAATTAAGTTTTCTTCTTGAATTTTGAAAAATCCTCTACTGTTTGCTATATGAAAAAAAAAAATTGTGATTGTGCAGTTTGCTTCCACAACTGTTTGTTTGCTTGCTTAACTGCTTAACCTCTTGTTAGTCTAAGGTTCATCATTTTATAATGAGTGCTAAACTAAACTTGTATGAAATGAAGGGTGCATTTGTTAAAACCAACTTCCACGAAACAGAAGTTATTCATCTTTCTCCAAAGGTGTCATTTGATTATAAAAAATAAAAGGTTCGGAATGAAAATACAAGAATCATAATGAAAATTAAGAAATCGAAATGGTATTTACATTCTTATATTGTATTTGAAATAATAATAAATAATCAAAATTTAATTTAAATTTTTTAATATCTGATTTTTTATGTAAATAAAAATAATGATTAAAAATATAATTTTGTCAAACTATAATGATTGTAAAAATAATAAAGATGATGATAATGGTTATGACAATGACGATGATGATGGTTGTGATGATGCTTCTTGTGATTATGGTTATAGTGGTTGTGATGATAATGATAACGATAATACCGAGTGTGGTAATGATAGTAATTGTGATAATGTTAGCTATAGCGAGTAGTAACAAAAGTAGTTAACATAGAATTAATAAATAAATATATTATTATTTAAAAAAAATTATTCTCGTTTTTTGTTTTTATTCTCATTTTTATTTTATTTTTTTAACCAAATAACTATAAGATAAAAATAAAATTTTTATTTTTTATTTTTATTTCTACCGCTCTATTTTTAACAACCAGATACCACCACCCACCTTTTGCGTACGTTGTCCTTTCAAAACTTTAAAACAATACAGTGATTTTTATTTAATACTCGATTTTTCTGCTTCGCCTCGGTTGAAAAGTGAGCCGGACTCGGAGATGGATAACGGGATACCTTTATTCATAGGAGTCTTCTACACGCAAATCTCAATACTTGTGCTGGATAAATCCCCTCATCCTCACTAGACGAAGGATAAGTGTCGAGTTGATTCTTCTTGATACAGGAACAAGCAAGAGAAAAAGGGTGCTTTGAACCCGTTATTATTGTTTAAAAGAAAAAGAAATTACCGTGAAAATTAAAATATTAGCTTCCAAATTCTTTGCATAACTGGCCACCATAATATACAATAAAAAAAAATACACAAAATCCAAACAGCCCATTAGCATACGCAAATATGGTGCAAAAAGATAAAATTATTCATCCATTTGTGGTGTTTGTTAATCGCATTAGGATCAGAAATGCCGGCAGCATAAAAAACTCAAAAAAAAAAAAAATGAAAAACTCACGATCAGAATCCTGTAAAGACCGTATATGTAGATAAAAACCATCTTGACCACAATTGGCAACAACAACAGGCTTGGCAGTCCTTCCGGAAAAAGACGCAACCTTCTCTATGGCTTTAACAACAACCATACCCTCCACAACTCTTCCAAACACCACGTTTCCTATCAAGCCATTCAGTCGCCTCCGTACAGATAAAAAACCGAGACCCATTAGTTCCAGGCCCAGCATTAGCCATAGATAAGATCCCAGGCCCAGTATGTTTCTTTATGAAATTCTCATCAGCAAATTTCGCTCCATGGATTGATTCTCCTCCGGCTCCGTTCCCTGCGGTAAAATCCCCTCCCTGGCACATGAATCCAGGGATCACTCGGTGAAAAGTCGAGCCTTTGTAGTGCAAAGGCTTGCCTCTTCGGCCTTTGCCTTTCTCTCCAGTGCAAAGAGCTCTGAAGTTCTCTGGGGTTCGTGGAGTTGTGTCGGCGAACAGCTCCATCACGATCCGGCCGGCTGGTGCGCCGCCGATTGCCATGTCGAAGTAGACTCTCGGGTTCGCCATTGAAAATTTTGTGTACAGTGTCAATGAAAGGGAGTGAGGCTTGGTTTTACAGAAAGAGTGTTTCTGGATTCTAATTTGGAGGTTTCATGTTGTTGTCCGCTGATTGTGGACACGAGGCTGGACATGATGGGGTTTGGGAAGAGACTTTTGAACTGCGTATTGTTGACGCGAGCATCCTTAAATTCTACACGAGACCAAAAGAGATTTCTTTTTCAAGCTCCTTACAAGCTTTTGTTTTAGCTCACTGTGTAAAATTGCGACTCTCTCTCCTACAATTACAAAGAAAATGGCCCATTCATAAAATAGCTGCTTCACTATGGTTAGTGGGTACCGAGCAGATATCGGACATGATGCCCAAAAATGAAAGCAGAACAGAAAGACAACATCTAGAACCAGTTACAAAAAGAAATAGTTAACTATCAAACTGACACTTCTTCTCTAACGGTACAGAGCTCGTCATGTTGCTGTTCTGTGATGCAATTGTTCGAAAATTAAATTCACGAGGACTATTATAAGAAAATCTCATGACCTGAGGACTTAAAATCGACAACGTGGAGGGTTTCCATTGGTTGGGATACAAAGGCCACTATATTCTTCCTGTAGGCCAGTTACGTTTGGCCACTGAGATCTTCGGATATTGATTATCTCCATCTGAGAACAGATCGTTCTGCCCAGATTTGAAGTTAGCAGAGATAGGGTTTGGTTTGACCTGCGATTCTTTGACTTTAGTTGACACGGCATTTAAAAGATCGATACCCAGTGTCAGCTGAGGTCACTTAACACAAGGAAGAAAGCCTGCTCGTATCTCATTCCTTCCTTTGTTTGGTGCTTCGTTGTGTTTTTACAGAAATGTATTTGGATTTATTTTTTGAGGGTTTTTGATGATTTAGCATCTTCTAATAAATCATTTAAAAGCAATCGAAACAAACTTTATATACAAAATTATCGTACAAAGACAAATGGTACGAGTTAAAAGCCAGATATTTATAATTTGTACGATTTATATTTTATTATTTATAGCTTGATACATCAATTTGCAAGAAATTATGATATATATATATATATATATATATATATATATATTTTTTAATAAAAACTCTCTTTGTCAATTATTTTTTAAAATTAAGTGCATTACAAAACAAAACCTTGAATATTACTACCGTCATCTTCTTTATAAGGATGCTTTCTGTCATGAGAGGACTTGAAAACTAAAATGCTTCTTCATTGCCAAAGGTTGATGATCATCATTTCGAAAAATATTTTCAAAATTGTCAAAGAGAATCTTAACATATTTCCCTGACAATGAAGATGCTTTCTACCAAGAGAGGAGTAGGAGATCGAAAAGCTATCTTAATTCTTCCTTGTTGAGATGGGTCCCTTCCTATTGTCCATGGATAAAAAAAAATCCATTTCAACATCGAAAACAACAAAAACTAAAGCGAACACAACATATTTCAACACCATAAACTAAAGCAAACATTTGAACATCAAAAACAACTTAAACTAAAGCAAACGTAACCTGTAATAAGAGATTTGAAAAAACCAGCAAACATTTCAACATCAAAAACAACAAAAACTAAAACAAACATGCAATAAGAGATTCGTAACTGTGACGAAACAACGTTGTCCATTGCAGTAATTCACAACTACAAGGTTTCTCTTGCCTAAGAAAAACAGGAAACTAGAAATCCCAAAATAAAAACAAAAATAAGTGTTCCGAGTCCAATTTTGCCCCCACACAATACCATACAAAAACTTTTTTTAAAATCAAATCCAAATCTGCTGGTACTGCCATATTTAATGCCTAATAGTATTGTTTAATTTAGTCAATTTCAAACCAATCCGCAAGATCCTATTGATTAGATACAAACTTAACCAAACCCTTTATTTTTTCTAATTTAGAAACAAGATTACAGTGAAAGTTAAAAATTTAGCTTCCAAATTCTTTGCAAGCAGCCCCTTAGCATAAACAAAACGAAGCAAAAAGATGAAATTATTCATCCATTTATTGTATTTGTAAAAAGCATCAGGATCATATCATAAAAGGCAGCAGTATAAAAACAACTTAAAAAAAAAAAAAAAACCCACAATCAGAGTCCTATCAAGGACTCATATGCATAGATAAACAGCGTAAAACTTCTTTCCCTCAACAAAGCTGACCACAATCGGCAATAACAACAGGTTTGGAGGTACTTCCAGAAGAAGACCCAACCTTCTCTATAGCTTTAACAACTTCCATACCCTCCACAACTCTTCCAAACACTACATGTTTCCCATCAAGCCATGAAGTCTTATCTGTACAGATAAAAAACTGAGACCCATTAGTTCCAGGCCCAGCATTAGCCATAGATAAGATCCCAGGCCCAGTATGTTTCTTTATGAAATTCTCATCAGCAAATTTGGCTCCATAGATTGATTCTCCTCCGGTTCCGTTCCCTGCGGTAAAATCCCCTCCTTGGCACATGAATCCGGGGATTACTCGATGAAAAGACGAGCCTTTGTAGTGTAAAGGCTTGCCGCTTCGGCCTTTACCTTTCTCTCCAGTGCAAAGAGCTCTGAAGTTCTCTGCGGTTCGGGGAGTTGTGTCGGCGAACAGCTCCATCACGATCCGGCCGGCTGGTGCGCCGCCGACTGCCATGTCGAAGTAGACTCTAGGGTTTGCCATTGAAAATTTGTGGACCCTGTCAAAGGTAGGGAGTGAGGCTTGGTTTTATAGAAAAAGGTACCGTTTATGTCTTCTAGCTTGGAGGTTTCATCGTGGCCGTTGATAGTGAACACGTGGATGGACTAGATGTGGTTTGGAAAGAGACTCTTTTTGAACTGCGTATTGTTGACGCTAGTGTCTTTAGATTCTCAGGGGGACGCAGCACAACTGACAAGTGAGGCTCCTATGTTCCACGTGGCGGTATTCATAAAATTTAATAATTTTCTGTCCCGTCAGACTCGGCCTGATTTTTTTGTTTAACCATGATCATCGATAGCAATTGGGCCCAACCCGTCTCAGCCCATCTAAAAGATTTTTACCCAATCCGACAGCCAACGAGACAAGGGCAAGTTATTACCTGTCTTACGCATGCTCGCCTTGTACCTCAACCCGTCCCCGCTCGGCTCATTCAATAGCACGACCATGACTCAATGGCTACATGCAATACTGAATCCGAACCCGACTTGACCCACAATGTGATAAAAGACCCATTAGTTTTAACAGCGTAATTAACCGTCAAATAATTGTGATTGTGACAAAATAAAATTTATATTATCAATTTAAATTATTTAAATTTTAAACTATTAATTTTTGAACAAGTTTTATTCTGTTAGATTCAAAATATAATATAATTTTAATCATTTCATTTTTTTATTTTAAAAAACAAATATTTAATAATCATTAGTTTTAAGTATGTTTAGATAATTTTATTGTCTATGGATCTGATTTTTGTTATTACATAATTAATTGTATATAATGGATTCATTCAGTATAAAAAAAAGTCAAATATTTTTTAAAAAATTAATTATAATTCTAAAAAATATAATGTTGAAAATGACATTATTCTAAATATAATAAAGGAAGTGAATTATTAAATATTTTTTTCTCAAAATTAAAATGCTTAAAATTACCTCATTCTAAATATTTTTATTAATACTTTAACTATCAAATATAATAAAAATAATAAATTTTATCCAAGTTAATAACATAAATTTTGTTTTACCACAATATAAGTTCAAAGTAAATTATACGAGAAATTGTTTTAATACACAAAGAATAATTAGTATCATGTACGGTAGTTACTTCGTAGACCTACTTTAAAGACAAAGATAGATATAACAAAATGAGATAAAAACGAGATGAGAGAAAATTTTTTAAAAATTGAGCCAACGTGAAAATTTTGTTATCATTTTTTATGGATCCGAGATGTAATTTAATATATCTATCTCTTTTCTTAAAATGAGCTTATGAAGTAATTACTGTATATATCATTAATTACTCTGTTTGTAGTATAAATTTCGTTAAATTATACCATTAAACCGATATTGGTATAAAGGGGATCAATCTGCTGCCATCTCGAACCATAGGTGATAAAATGGGCTTTATAAACCATACATGTTTGGGCTATGGGTCTGCGGCTCATGTGGACTGGGTTCCCGCCACAAGACGTCAGAAAACATGTTCAACAATAGTCAGCAGCTGGAGATGATTTTATTTGAGGACGGTTGACTGGGTCAAAGGATGATTAGACTACGTCCATTGGCTAAGCCGAAAGGCCACGTTTCTACTTGTCATTTACTTGAAGAGGGAAATTAATAATAACGATATGAACTGTGATTAGTAATATAAAATGAACTGTCCACATTTTGCTTTGATCAGCACAGCACACAGTAACTATCAAAGCCGGCAGCACCTGCTGGAGTTTAATATGCCAGTAACGCTATAATCTTTTTTTTGTTTTTTTGATAATCTATGTTAACGCAATAATCTGAATTCCTATGAAGTTGCCTTCTACCTAACTGTAAGAACTTTTCTCTAGATAGATTGCACTCTTCTTTTCTTTTCTTTTCTAATGAATGTTATGTTTTTGGTGTTGGCAGGCTGCCATCTTGTGTCAATGCCTGTCCCAGTGCTGCTTGCAGTTTTTTGATGGGATGTTTTACGTCTTGAATTAGATGCTGATGAAGCGTTTTCATTTATTTCCAATCGGACAGCAAACGAGACAAGGGTAAGTTTTGTATCTATAGTTATATATAAAAAATTGATAATCTCTATGAAGTTTTTGGTAACTGCTTTTAATGTAATAGAATCATAGATGGAATTTTCCTGCTTGAAGGTCGCTCAATTCTTAACTACTTCAATTAGTGCTACAATTATAGAGCTAAAACTAAGGAAATTTAAAAACATATGAATTTGAAAAATATGGCGTTTTTGCCCTGATTTACTTCTACTGAAACTTGCTAGAGGTAGCTAGTACTGAGACTTAACAAGGTTGGGGGTGGTTTTTTTTTTTTTTTTGAATTTTCAGTATCTTCTCTTTGACCATGTTTTCACATAGGAAAATGACGATTATTTGCTCTTGCAGTTGTTAGTTGACTGGGAATCTGTAAGCTGGGATTGTCTCCTCAGAAATGGCAGGAAACTATAGGTTTGCAATGGACCAAAAGGATATCGTAAGGTTATTGATTACCACGGTGGGAAGTTTCACACAAGATTGTTTGATCAATAAAGAGCAAAGAACCCAGCACAAAGAACAGTGTGCTGAGAGATTAGCAGCTGAAGATGGGAGCTGTGACAAAGATACAGAGGTTCGATACTCCGATCAAGCAGTATTAGCAAATTTGGATTGGGGTATTGAAGCCCTTGAAGAAGCCATTGGCACCTCCAACATTGAGACTAAGCTGGCACGATTAGATTATGCAGAGAAGATGCTGCAAGTTTGTGCCTTGTTGAACTCTGACCAAAGAACAGCTGGAGTCCCCAATTTCTACCTCTCTGCTTGGGCCCACCTCAACCTTTCATACCTATGGAAATTGCGTAACAATGCTGAGAATTCTGTTCTTCATGTTCTTGAGATGTTTATTGTTGATCCGTTCTTCTCGAGAATCGATTTTGCCCCTGAACTCTGGAAAGATCTGTTTCTTCCACATATGAGCTCAATTGTTGGGTGGTATTCTGAGACCAGACACAGGCTTATGATGGAAGTAATTCCTGATTCTTCTGATCTCTCGTTCACTGCTGACTTCGATCAGTTCTTCAATGACTCTTTGATTTATTCAATGAGGCCAGATCAGGTGGAAAATTTCCAAAAGCTGGAGGAGCTTTATAGAGAATCCTTAGATGAAAATACCCGGCTTTTTGCTAAACACTACAAGGATTGCATGAATTCTGATTCAACAACAAGCAAGAAGATGATTCCAATGTTGCCGATAGCAGAACCACCAGTTACGCCTCTACACGAGGTTAGCCGGTCCATTCCTGATTATGTGAAATTTGGTCCCATCTTGCCTAAAAGTGCTGGTTTCTCTCCTGTTCTTAGATATAAACATGGCGAGAGAGCAGAAAGCAGGTTAGTCTACATCCAGCATTAAAACTGAAACTGTATTATTCAGTCAGGAAAATATGAAAACAGCCATTTGCTTGTTGCGGCTCTTATCTTATTGAATTTCCACACCGAACAATTTTTTTTTTCCAAGGCACTAACTTGTATATGTTATGATGCATGTGGTTGTGATCAGATTGAGCATAATTTCAAACCTTTCAGCTAATTTGGAGGAGCCTGCTATGTGTGATGCTCAAGTAAGACTGAGAATTATATTATTATTGTCAAATTGCCATGAACAACTGGTCTCCAAGTTATATTTCTCCTGATGGTATGTACTACAGGCTGTAGAATTTTCCTATAACCAAAGCTGTGTTCTTGTTTATCATGTCAGGAGATCATGCCTGAGGACAGAGAAGCTGGTTCTGATTGCGAGCCGAGTGATACTTATCTAAACGAAGGTAAAAATCACAAGTTAATTCCTCTTCGCAGCATGAAATCAACTGAGAATAAGGAAATGGGGCTAAGCAAACGGCCAGCTAAACCAAAGAGCCAAAAGCATTCTCCCAAAATATTCTCTCCTATAGATTCCCCAAGAATTTCACCAAAGACCAGTTCTCCTAATAATCCAGCTGTGCAACGTAAAAAAGAAGGCACAACAATGTTACGGCTTCTGTCATGCCGAGCTATGGATTCTGCAACTGCTACCTCGTTACCCGATTCTCCACGCTTGAGCAAAGATTACAGCAGTAGCTCACCGGACTCGGATGGTGAAGTGATAGTATGTCTTTGCCTAGTATTTTGTTGAGTTTTGACCAACACCATCCAAAATTGGAATGTTCCATTTTTACTGATAGTATTTTCGCAATCCAGGGTCTGCTTAGAAACTTCAGGAAGAACCGTAGTCGAACGAGGAGGATGAGCTATGACAATGTGAACAGCCAAATATTAGAGAATAGGTATCTAAAAATTTCCGTAACTCTTTAATTTAATTTTCTTTAGGCTATCTTTTACAGTATTCAAGCTGTTCTTTTCCTTGCTCTGTTGACAAATATAACTCTCTGATGTTTTTGCAGTTCTCTTATTGAGAGTGATGAAGGAAGCCAGAGCTTCATTTCACTTCCTACATCAGAGAAGTTGACTCCCCTTTCAAGACCACCAAAAGATTTTGTTTGCCCTATCACAGGCCAGCTGTTCAATGACCCAGTTACACTTGAAACTGGCCAGACCTATGAGAGAAAAGCAATTCAAGAATGGATAAAAAGAGGAAACACGACATGCCCTATTACCCGCCAACCTCTCTCTGCAAATTCACTGCCCAAAACAAATTATGTTTTGAAGAGACTCATAACATCTTGGAAAGAGCAGCATCCAGAGCTTGCACAGGAATTTTCATACTCTGAAACACCTAGGAATTCGTTCAGCCCCTCCTCCTTTAGGGAAAGCTCGTCGGTGTCTACTCCATCCAGAGCATTTTATTCTCCCAGTCATAACAGCACAGATAATCACACGCATCAGAGAAGCAAAAGATTTGCCAGAACAGCAGTGTCTACATCACCAACTAGTGTAATTTCTCAAGCTACTATTGAAACAATCATAAATGGGTTAAAGCCTTATATTTCATGTCTCTGTACTTCAGAAAACTTAGAAGAATGTGAAGCAGCAGTGTCAGCAGTAGCCAAACTGTGGAAGGACTCAAAGGGTGATCCTGCAGTTCTTTCATATTTATCTGAGCCAACTCTTGTAAATGGGATTGTAGAAATACTATCAGCTTCGGTAAACAGAGAGGCTCTTAAATCTTCAATTTACATTCTCTCTGAGCTAACCTATTTAGATGAAAGTGTTGGAGAGATTCTAACAAGTGTAGATTCTGATTTTGATTGCCTAGCCGCTTTGTTCAAAAATGGGCTTGCTGAGGCCGTTGTTCTGTTATACCAACTGAGGCCAGCATTTTCTCAGCTTTCAGCTCACAACTTTATACCCTCACTTGTCCAGTTAATCCATAGAAAAACTGAAGATTTGGACGATCTTCAATTTGCAATAGAGCCCAAGGATGCTACCATATCTTTGCTTGAACAGGTACTTACGGGCGGGGATGAAAACAGCCGCTCTGTCAATGCTTTTGATGTTATTTGTGCAAATGGAATTCCAGCACTAGTCAAGTGTTTGGATAGAGTGGAAGGAAGGAAGTCAATTATTTCAATACTTCTCTGTTGCATGCACGCTGATAAAAGTTGCCGGAGCTTGGTAGCAAGTACAATCGAACTCTCTCATGTTCTTGAATTATTTCATTCGGGAAACGATAGCGTGAGAGGCTTATGTATTGACTTCCTCTCAGAGCTAGTTCAGTTAAACAGGTACACATCCATTTTTATTCCCTTCTGTAAGATACTTGGAATGTTTTTGATATTATCTTCCAGCAGCTAATAGTTGGATAGTTGACGGTAAAATGTGCTCTGTAAAGCCCTGCATTCGTTGATCTTAATGCTGTCACAACAAAGAAAAAGGAAATCTGTTTCTTCTTGTTCAACGTCACCTCCAATTCTAATATTGAATGTTCTACCTTTTCCATGGTGTCTCAGGAGGACATTCTGCAACCAGATCTTGCAGATAATTAAAGATGAAGGAGCATTTAGTACCATGCACACCTTTCTTGTGTATCTCCAAATGGCTCCCATGGAGCAGCAACCTTCCCTTGCCACTCTTCTTCTTCAGCTTGATCTCCTGGTTAGCTTTGATTCTTTGGCATCGTTCATTTACTTTCACAGAAAAACTAGGATGTCTAACCATGGTTTCTATGGGTTGAATTTCCAGGCTGAGCCACGACAGATGAGCATTTACAGGGAAGAAGCTGTAGAGGCGTTAATTGAAGCGCTGCACAGAAAAGACTTCTCAAATTCTCAGATGACGGCTCTGGAGGCTTTAGTTTCTCTTTCTGCCCGTCGGACTTCATCTGGGAGTACTTACATGGAAGCCTGGTTACTGAAGATCGCAGGATTTGATCAACCTTACAATGCCTTGATGAAGGCAGAAAAGCTGAAGAAGGATGAAAATGATTTAGCAGAAACAATTTTAGCCGAGACAAGGGTTTGAATTTGTTGCTTTTGCAGTTTGATATGGAACATCAGACCCCCTTATATTAAATTTGTGCTGATTTTGAGCCTTAGATACTTTTATGCAGGAAGATGAAGAGAGAGCAGAAAGTTCTTGGGAGAAAAGAGTAGCTTCTGTCCTTTGCAATCATGAAAAGGGCTCTATCTTCAAAGCTTTAGAGGAATGCTTCAAGAGTAATTCCTTAGAGATTGCAAAATCATGCCTTGTCATTTCCACATGGCTCGTACACATGCTTTCAGTTCTTCCTGACACTGGTCTAAAAAGTGCAGCTCGTAAATCCTTGCTTGATGAATTTATAAATGTCCTTCAATCCTCTAGAAATATGGAAGAGAAGATTTTGGCAACCCTTGCATTAAGAATTTTCGTAAGTGACCCAGGTAAGAAGATTAGTGTAGGTGAACATACTTACCAATGCTTTGAATATATCAAATAATTCCTGACTCAAACTTTCCTATTTTTTAGCTGCACTTGAAGTGCTTGGAAAGTATGCTAAATGCATCTACAGAACATTGAGAAAGCTTAAGAGAAGTTCACCAGTGATCACAGATGTACTGAAATCTTTAATGAATTTGTCGTCTGTCAATGCAGTAAGTGGGAAACTACTTGTCTTTTCCTTCTAATATGTAACAGATAACGAGCTCATCAGGCTATCTATTCTGAATTGTAGACAGAGTTGTGGAATTGTACTCGAGTGGTTGAGGTAGAATCATGCGCCAATGGTGAAGTGTTGTCTTTGCTTCATTTTAAAGGTCGTGTTATTAGCAGCCATTCTGACGGAACGATAAAGGTACCATGAATCTACCACCTTCTTCCCTGAGAATCGATACAATTGACAGTTGCACATGCATTAACGAATACTTTACAAAGGTTAAGTGAAAATGATAGAAATGTTATAACTAATTAATACTAACTCGACTTTAGGTGTGGGATGCTGGAAAGAGGGTTCTAAGGTTACTTCAAGAGGCCCGTGAACATACAAAAGCTGTCACATGCCTCTATACTCCATCTTCAGGAGACAAATTGTACAGTGGTTCCTTGGACAAAACAATTCGGGTACTTTCCTTTTTTTCCTGACTTACAGCTATTTGATTCTTAAATTACTTCGTTTCCTATAAAAGTTTATTCCGCAGAAGCGATCATTTTCCTGTATACATTGTTGCAGGTTTGGACAATCAAACCTGAAGAAATTCATTGTATTCAAGTTCACGATATGAAAGAGGCAGTACACGAGTTGGCAGCTAATAGTAAAGTTGCATGCTTCGTTTCTCAAGGACCAGGAGTCAAGGCAAGTTACACCTATTATGTTTCAAACAACTGAAGCAAATCTGCAGTCTTCAGCAGTAAACAGAATCCAGTTTTGTATTTTCACAGGTGTACAGCTGGTCGGGTGTTCCAAAGCATATAAATTTCAACAAAACTGTGAAGTGCCTTGCTATGACAGGTGATACCTTGTACTGCGGTGCCTCTGGTTACAGTATCCAGGAGGTGGATTTGAACAAATTCACATCAACTACATTCTACTCGGGAACAAGAAAATTGTTGGGGAAACAAAGTATTCATTCCCTACACGTTCAAGATGGTCTTCTGTTTGCTGGTGGTTCAGCCGTTGACGGAACAGCAGGGAAGGTAAGCAACGTTCTAATCGTTCGTGAAATATACTTGAACCAATTCAAGAGATAATTTAGGGGAACAATTTCCATACATCGCAGGTATTTTCTCACTCGAGCAAGGCTGTAACTGGATCCTTCTCCACTGGATTGGACATTCTACAGATTGCTGTCAACAGCGACTTCATATTCACTGCCACGAAAAGTGGGATCATTGAAGTTTGGTTAAAAGAAAGAGTTACAAGAGTTGCTTCCATCAAGATAGGAAGTGGGGGACACGCAAGAATTACAGGCTTAACATCAGATATGGACGGTGGAATGCTTTTTACTGGTACTTCTGATGGCAAGATCCAGGTTAGATAACTCTCCATACTTTTTGACAAAAAGGTTATCGAATTATCACTCATTTACTCTTCTATCTGGTTGTAGGCTTGGGCATTGGACTAGTGGAATTCTATGAAAAGATACAAGTCTAATCAATTTCTGTATAATTCTTTCCGTTCAATTTCATTTATGTCCAACCTGTCGGATTCAAAAGTTCTGAGATTGTTTCCAGCTTAATCAATTGACTCTGAGTTTAAAGGACTCGCCAAAGGCAACAACATAATAAATCCAAATACTTCAGCATCGACTCATTCCACTTTTGTTACGGTATCGATTCGATCAACAATCGAGCAATGCTTCCTCCAACTTTTCTGACCCACGCAAAATAAGGACAACATTTACTTTCTTGTTACGAAGTAGAAAGCGTCTGTTTAGGCATCCCCAAAAAGTAAAAAGAGCAGCAATTACATCTTTGTTAGAAATTTTCTTCTTTTTTTTGGGCTTTCGAGGCTAAGCAAAATTCAGAAAACAAAACAGCAAAAAAGGCACTCAGAATGAAAAGGACTATAAATTTAAAACCTTTCATAGATCTTCCGACCTCGTATAACATTAAAATCCTCATAGTGCCAATCCAATTTCTGTCTTTACAATGACACAATTATTTTTATCAAGAAAAAACGCCGCTAAAAAGCCAGAAAGCCAGAAGAATCTTGAAATCACAAATAATAATAATAATAATAATAATGAAGAAATTAGTAATGAGCGAGCATTCAGTATGAGTAGGAGGTGATTAATCCTGTCATTAAATTAATCGGACAAATTCACAATTATCATCACGATGCTCGACCCATCACAGAAAACAAATGAAGTAAAAAAAATTAATGATTTGTTAAAAGAACATCAAGATGAAATCATCAGAAACATGGATCAGTACATCAGTATAGACACGATGTGTCTCAGACGACCGTCGTGAGATATTTGTAATCCAAACTCATCACTTGATTTCACAGCCAAGCAAGTAAAAGAAAGACATATAAACGCAGTCTTAGAATAAATAGGAAGAAAGAAAGGAAGCGAGGAATAATCACGTAAACATAATCTCCGATTTTTGTTGACGGAAGTGGCACGGCTGAAGTACAGCCTAGCAGATTGTGCTGCGGTTTATTTATAGGATGATGGAGCTCTTCTTGTTAGGGTTTTTATCTTTGTGTAATGACGAAACTGTCCATGTTCTTTTAGGCTGTGGGCCCCGCGATGCAAATGTTATGCGGTAGTCCTGACTCTGGGCCACAAGTATCATTTACTCCTTTTTTTACTCGTTATTATTCATTTAAAGTGTCTAAATTAATTTAAAACTGAACTAATATAGTAATAGTAGCAAACTAGCCACATAACCGCGCGTTCCTACGAGTAAGTTTATTATATCTGTATTTTAATATTTTAAATAATTTAGAAATATGAATATAAAATAAAAATTAATTAACACTCATTGTAAATAAATTATTTAATTTAATATATATTTGAATTCAAATATTTTTTAGGAATATTTTTTATTTTGATAGATAAAAAATACATGCAATTAATTATTTATTTTAAAAAAATCAAATTAGAATGAGGTGTTTAATCAATTTATATTAGAAGAATATTTAATTTTATTTCATGAATATTTATAAAAATAGAAAAAGTAACCATTGATTATGTAAAAAAAATTGTTTTGATTAAATAATAATTAATGAAAAAAATTATAGGGACTTTTTGATAATATTGATTAAAATTAGAAACTATTTTATATAAAGTAATAACTTAGAGAATTAAGGTGTAAAATATTGAATAATTGAGAAAAAAATTACTTTTTTTAAAAAAAAACTACATCGTTTTGTGTAACGCCCCGCCTCGATCATGTTTTTACTACCCAAGTAGAGTATTAGACGAAGCGCGTTACGCCGACATACCATAAACTCAAAGTAGTTCTCTTATGATATTCTTAAAAATTTAACAAGACATTACGTATATAACTCTTTAAGATAAAATTTACATCATATAATTAAATACATTAATAAAATATTACAAGCAATATTCAATTTCTCACGAACTCCATACCCTGAATTTACGGATAAAATAAAAACTAATATATGGTGCCTCGCATGAGTCGGTTAGGAGGAGCCACCGCATCCGTACCAACTTGTCCTTTTTCCGTCATGACATAAAAAAATAACAACAAAGTGAGCCAAAGCTCGCAAATAAGGTGATGCACGTGATATACAATACTGTTTTGACTTTCCACCATACTCATAAATTTTAATCTCGGTACCTCGGGTATTAGCCGACCTACTCTATTTATCATCCGGGTGGTCCGCGATCACCTTCTCGCTACAACGGAATTATCCCTCGTTGTAACTACCGTTAGCGGGAATCCATCGTCTAACAAGTGCAAGCACACAACTTGATTTCATCCAGATGATCCTCGGATCATCTTCTCGCTACAACGGAATTACCCCTCGTTGTAACTACTATTAGCGGGAATCCATCGTCTAATAGTGCGAGCACACGACCTAGAGTACTCGGACTACTAATACCCATTTATTCCAGTTAGGTTATCAAACCTAAATGTATAAACCATTTCTCAATCAATTGACTTGTCTTAAACCACCCACTATGCACATGATGCACGTGATGACATATTTAATCACATTCAACCAAATTCGGGTACCAACCCTTCATTCTCATGCCATACTCATGGATCAATCCACACTCGGTATTTACCCGATGCTCACATACCAATCATGATACTCATAGCGAGAACACAACCTCCGCTCATTAATATTGTTCATTAGTTTCATTAATATTTAAAAGAAGGTCCAAGTCCATTTACTTTAATCCAAGCCCATTAACTTTATCCTAAGTCCATTTAACTTATTCAATTCCATTTTATTTAGTCTAAGCCCATTTAGTTTATTCCAAACCATTAATTTTGTCAAAGTCTAATTCTTTGGTTCTAGGGTTTATTACCGGGCAACTCTTAATCGAGTAAATAATTTTTCAACTTCAGAACATAATTAAATCTTACCCATTTTATTTTAGATACTAGACATATTTATTTATAACATATCCAAAAAGTAGGTCTAAATACCAAGTACACAATTAATTACAAATTTTGAAACTTAGGGAGCAATCTGTCTAGTGGTAGTTTGTCTAGAGCTATCTCGTACTAAATCGGGTATAACTCTTTGTACACGAATCCAATGACTAAGAAATTTTAAAGGTAGTTATTTGAAACATAGATGAACAGCTTTTATGCTTTAAGTTTTACCTAGAAATCGATCTAAAGTCCTTGAACATACACCCCAAAATTTGGACAGAATTTACTCCTTATCAACACTAATTTATTAGTTCATTCCAAGCTAATTTTAAACATGTTTTATTTCACTTAAATTTAGTCCAAGTTCAATTCAACCCATCACCACATACTTGGACATTTTTCAAAAAATCATAACATCATAAATCATCACAACAAGGCATCCATACATAGATTTATCCCAAACATCAAGCATATAACCTTTGAAAATTATTACAACCCATGAAATAAACACTAATAAAATAACTTAAACAAAATAATTTAAGACATTAATCAGCAAAAAATGAAACCTACTTACCTCTTTTAGGTTTGATTAGAATTTTCTTAGCTCTTTTTCTTTCCTTTTTCCCTTTTCTTTCTCTTTTCTTTCTTTCTCTCTTTTTGTCTGTTTTTCTCTCTTCAATTTGGCTTCTCTTTTAATTCGGATGGCTACGGTTTTTGGCCTAAAAATGGCAGCCATTTAACCCTCTCTTTCCCTTATATACCCACCTTTTATCCTCTCATTTATTTATATCATAAGTGTTACAATTTAACTAGGCCAAATATAAAGTGAAGGAAGCTTGGAAGTCAAAGTCGGCATGTTTTGGAAGTCAAAGGTGATGATTTGGCTTCTAAGCATTTAATTCAAGTGCTTAGGTGGCTAAATAAAACTTAGGATAAATAAAAACATTAATAAGCTGGGTTAATGTAAATAGACAAAATTTCTTTCATAAAAAATTCAGAAATTTCCATTTTTAAAATTTGGAATTTCTTTTTCTCCAAAATTTCAGCAGTGTTACCTCCTAACCCATCTATACTAAATGTGTATAACTCTTTTTATATGTATCCAAAATTTATGAAATTTTATAGAGAGCTAGTACACACATAGAAAAATAACTTTTATTCTTTACGTTTTTCTCAAAAATCAATCTAACAGCATCAAATAAATCTCATAAGATTCAGGCGATTCTTCTCCTAAAATTCCAGCAGAATGCATTTCGAAACAACTCTCACTATAATTGGTATAACTCTTAATTTATAGGTCTAAATATTATAAACTTTTATACAGGCCTATTAAACACATAGATAAACAACTTTCATTCTTTAAGGTTGACCCAAAAATTAATCTAAAGTTCTCAAATAATTCACACAAAACTCAGGCAGAATATAGTCTTTAAAACACCGATTTTGCATAGTTGATTTCTTTAATAATTAAACCATTAATCTTAAGCACAATAACTTTAATTTAACATAAATCACATATTTCAAGCATTAATTTCTCATGATGAAATGAGAATTATACTTACTCTTAATATACACATATATAGAATTATTCTAATACACGTCGCGTTACGGATAAGGGTTTTTACGGGGGTTACATTTTGCGTCCGAAAGATCCAAAACGACGTCATTTTGGTATCACCGTAGCAAGAGCTTAGCTAAAGTGAAACCATTTTGTTTTAGTATATGTTATAATTTATGTGAAAAACCACTCAAAATTTTTTAAAATTTTCTCCCGTGTACTCGATTTTAGCCCTTTTCTCTTCCAAAGGTTTTTTAAAAAATAAAAAAAATTACGGACACCTTTGTTTTTTAATCTCTTTGTGATGGCTCTCGGGCTCACTTGGTCATCCCAAAAAACATTTACTACAATCCATCGCTTTGAATTCAGTTTAGCTATAAACTAGTTTTTCATCCGCGTTATATTATAGATCGAAAAAAACATGTAAAATTATTTTAGTTTAAAGATTTACGCTATAATGTGAATCCATCAAAATATAATAATTATTTTTTATTAAAATTTTGTATTTGACTAATTATTTGTTATATTTTTCAAAAATTTTCTACAAAAAAACATGATTTATTCTTATATGTTCGATTCTTAACTAAAAACTTGTGATAATCTAAAAATAAAATCTAAAAGTCCATGAATTTATAATTCAAAATTTATTTTCTAAATTATTTTTTTCAAAAAATCAAATACGGATTCTCTAAAAAATATTTTAAATTTTTAGATTATACGTGTGTGTGTGTCTTGTTATCATTTAAAAATTCTAAGACTCCATGATATAAATTATATAAATTAATTTTTTTAAAAAAATAATCACGTTCTAAGATTTTTTTAAAAATCCATGCATAAAGAACAATAAATCATGTTTATCAATAAATAACACTTAAACAAAATAAAAATTAATTTGATGAAAATCTTAATAAGAAATATCAAATTGAAGAAATAAATTTTAAACAATAATAGTTATATAATCTAAAATTTATGTTTATTTTAAAATATAAAAACATATCATATATATTTGTTTGTTGTCAAACCGTGCGAGAACAAAAAAAAAATAGCATCCGATATTCAAACATATTTGCCTAAAAATATTTAGAAAAAAAAAACATGGCTAAGAACTAGGCTTGCGTGCTCGGGCATGCAATTTCTAGCGAGTTGGTGCTCGTCAAAAACGTTGTTGGAAAATTGTGTTTTGTGTTTCCGACTTCCTCAAAGCCAAATTCTATCTTAATTTTTTTTTTCAAAAATAACATTAAATCACAAAAATAATGTGAAGAAAAAACTATTTAGAGTCTCAAAATTCATTTCAATGCACACAAAACACATAAAAATTCAAATCAAACTAAAAAAACTCAAAATATTTTCGGATCATGATCTATCTCATCAAACCATCTCATGATTTGTAACCACCACCAATAGATTCTATTCTTCAAGAGGAACAAATTTATGATAATATCGACAATCGATGTGGCGAAAATGACTCTTGCTTCTCTCTCCCCCTTCCTCTCTCTCCTATAAGCATTTAGAGACCATATGGCAATACAAATAAAGTTTGAGATCGAAGTTTTTTACTAAAAACACGAGAGACTAAAGTGCAAAAAATACCAATAAACAAGTAAAAATAAATAGTTGAATTGAGTGATAGTGAACAATGCAATTAGATGTTGTAAATTAGCATTCGCTTTTTGGTGTTTTAGTTAATAAAACTCTACAATCGACAATTCTTTATTAGGCGAGTTAATAATTAATAGTTAACAAACTAGAATTAAAAAAATTCTTATTATTAGGATGTAGTGGATTTACAATCACTATAAAAATAAAAGATTGATTCTAACCTAAACACCGTTGATAATTAATTACATTAGTCGTCCATTCATACAATTTGATCAAGAACACACTTGTGGAAAAATTTCTCACCCATGCAACAACACTACAAATTAAAAGGGTCTTAAGTCCTAACTATCATACATGCACATTTTGTTTGCAATCTAATAAAATATGAAATTATTAACAACTATAGATATATTTATCTAATGCAATAAATGTGAATATAGTGATATATAAATTAGAAAGCGAGTCCCTTTTGTTTTGAGAATTGAATTAATTAATCATTTTGATTTCAAAAATTAATTATTTAATCTTTTTAGCGAGGCTAATTTTTTTTCAAAAATTTCTTCTTTTCTAATTAATTTTTTCATATTTTCATCAATTTTTTATTTCTTAAAACAAAAAAGTCAAAAAATTAAAAAAATAACAAGAATGACAAAAATTAGTTTTTGAAATCAAATAGACTAATTGATTCATTTCCCTATGAAAGAGGGACTAATTTTTAATTTACTATTGAAGCTCCTCTCCTCTCACGAAAATAAGGAGAAAAAAATGCAATCAGCATTAAATGCTTCATCAAGAAAAGAAAGAGAAATGATAAAAAAAAAAAAGCTAAAAGAGAAATAAAAAAGAGAGTAACTAAAGGGTAAATGTTGATTTTCATAAATACATCGAGTGACAACGAGAGTAATTAAAAATAAAAGAAAAGGTCATTTATAATGTAAATGAAAAAAGAAGAAAGGAAATGAAAAAAAAAAAAGGCTAAAGAAAAAAACTAAAAAGAGAATCAATTAAGAACAAATATGAATTTTTAGAAATCCATTAAGTGCTATTGAGAGTAATTAAGGGTAAAGAAAAGACCTTTTATAACATAGAAGGCCAAAAAATAAAAGCTCGGTTCATGATAAAATGAAAAATGGATGAACAATCTATTAATAGCAAAAACACCAACACTTAATGTTTTTTTGTAATGTTTACAAAGTAAGTTTTGAAAATATATCCAAATTGGCTATTAACTTCAAAACAATTCCAATTGTCCATTAATGAGAGAGAAATCAAATGAAATTTTGTAAAAGAAAAGGTATTTGTACTTTTTTTTTTTTTTGCTCAAAATAATCTCTCTATTACATAAATTAACGATAACATTTGTGTATAGTCTTTAAAAGGTGTAGAAATTTACACGACTTTTTTTTTTTTTTGCATTGCAAACGCATAGACTAGATTTTATTAATCGTCACGCACAGGAATTGCTCCAAAATATCGTTGCGTTAATAAGACGAGACGCACCAGCGTGTCCAGAAAGCCAGTCGGGCAGCAACGTACGAATTCACTAGAACCAGGCGGACCGCCGCATCGAGGCGCGAGTAAGCTCCGCCCTGGCGAATAAATCCTTAAGCCGCCCCGCAATCAACGTCGGCGCAACGGATTTGCTAGAAAGCAACCATCCGACAAATTGCCTCCAAAACCACCATGTCTTTTGACGGATTCCCTCCTTTCATATCCGCTCAGCTCCATTATCTCCTCAATCACTACCCTCACAGGATCCAGGTAAAAATTGCCTCACAAATCCCTAGCCCTAGATTATCTACGAAACGCTAATCAAATTTGCAATCTGTGTAAACGCTAATAAAATTTGCAAATCTGTGTATTGTCAAATTAGGGTTTTGTCAATTCGTGGCATAATTAGCTTGTTTTGCAGATTGAACAGGCATGGTCAGGCACCAGGTACTTCCCTGGAAGTATTGATCGATTCAAATTGCTCATTCCTTACTGTTTAGACTACTTGAAATGTCAGTATTTTTTTTAATCAAATTGTCAAGTGTTTTCTCATTTACCGTGGTTAGGGTTAATTTTGATTTCTATTCACTTATTATAGGGGATATCATATACAATGCTGAATTTCCATTAGCTGCGCCAGATGTTATATTTGGTCCTGAGGATGAAAATTTCCATCCATTTCATGTGGTGGGTGGTGAAGAAGAGGATTCGATGCTAGTTAAGAACAGTTTGACTGATTGGAACAATAAAGATCCTACACGGCTGTTGGCTCTCGTAATGGAATTGAGGTTGAGGACCTGAATGTTTTAGGAGCTGGCGGTGTTGAATTTTTTTATGGTTGGTTGTGACCTGTGATTAGATTTTGATTTCTGTTTTTCAGGGAAAAATACAGGTCTTACCAGGAGAAACTCGTTGGAGAAGTTGACGATGATAGGTTGAAGTTTGAAATTAGTACTATTGTATCTAGGGAGGTAATTTTTTTTTTTACTTGCATCCTTTTATATTGTAGCTCATAGATGCTGGTGTTTGGACATTAGCAAGGACATCATTGCTAGTTATTTGTTTTGTGTAGAAAAGGTTATTGCATTGCTACTTTGTTGTCCCTGCTTTTCTTTGTACTCATGGTGATAGTTTTCTGCATGCCACTGAAACTCCAGTCACTGTGCTGCAGGGAATTGAAATGCATATGAGCTCAGGTGTAGAAAAGGTATTTGTTGAAATGAAAATGTTTTAATTTCGTTTAATTGGGTTCTATGAGGTGATCAAATATATTTACGGCTTAGGTTTGTGTTTAACTATATTGTTGGTTTCTATGCCTTTGAATTTTAGTGTAGCCAGAGGAGGTTAGATTTGGAGTGCCTTTAATGGACATGAATATAAACAAAATGGTGCCTGCATGCCCCTGGAGACATCCGCAAAAGATACACTTACAGGTTGGATGTTTCTTCTGTTATCCTTGTATTTAAAGTTTCTCTTATGTTCTCTTTATTTCCTTCATTCTGTTCCAGTTTCTCTTGCTGTCATTCTTTTTATCTTGTATCTCATCTACATAATTACATGAGTATTTTTTTTATGGGTGCAGGTTATATATCCTGTTGGTAGAAAGTATGCATCTGCTTCTTCAGCACCTCGTCTGAAATTAATGTGCACTCCAGAGTTGAAAGTCCTATTTTCCATCGATGATGTGAAACTTCCTTCATGGTTGGATGGAATGTAAGCTATGCATATAATTTTGGCTTCAAACGTGTATATGTCGCTTTTTGTTTGAAGGTTTACATGACTTGTTTTTATTGTTTATTTTCTTCCGAAAAGGTGTATGGCTGAATATCTTCCCCACCTGGAAGAACTTCTCCAGAGACAGGTTAGCTCATTTCCCTCATCCAGTGATGCCTTTAGTTGAGATATTGCTAACCACCATTTTTGCTAATAAGAGGTTTTCTTTACCATTTTGTAGGTCTTAGAGGCAGTTACATTAATTGATGTTAGAAGGCAGTTTATTGAGACCTTAGCCCCACTGCTTGGAAGGCCGCTAGAAGCTGATCCAGTATGCATCCTAGGCACCTCTTATATGGACAATGTTTAATCCATCAAGAATTACAGGCATTAACCATTGCTTTCCTTGCCAGGTTTTTTGCAGAAGGGCTTCATTTCTTGTCTGCTCTGGACCATTTACATTCCTGGTATAGTATGGTCTTCACCAACGTCAAATCCACTTTTATTTTATTTATTTATTATCATTTCTTTTTTTTTTGGGGGGGGGGGGGGATGATTGGAGAGTTTTTGTAATATTACATACAGATATTATTAGTATGGTGGAAAAACTAGAATTGTTCTCCCATATTAAAAATGTTTGACTCCCCTTTATGTATTCTATATTTTATATTAAAAAAAAAGATAAAAATGAAGTTCCAAAGTGAATTAAGTCATAAAGAAACACATGGCAGTAAAATATTTTCCTTTGACCATGTTTTCCTAGGTGAGCCAAACATGGGGAATTGAGCAAAATGTGTTATGGGAGCATATTTTACATGAAACTAATGGGGCCTAAGTTGAGATCAAGTTTGGTAATCAGTTGTACATTGGGGATGTAGCAAATATGAAAAGTTTAGAAAGTACCATACTTTGCAGAGATTTATTTCAATGGAAATATTATTACTACATAATTTTTGCTGTTTATATGAAATTGAATTCTTTAACTGCAGGTGCATCTTTTCCTTTCAACTCACTTTCCAAAACAGCAGCCTTCTCTGATGTTTCAAAGTACTCAGGTGATGATATTTCTTTATTCCAATTTAAAATTTATATGGATTTATTCATCTTTGAATGTCATTATCATGCTCATTAATGCATGCAAGTGTTGCTAGAAAGATATTAAGACATGAATCTGGTGCAAATTCCTTTTATAATACCAGTATCACCCCACGTCATTGGAGGATGCAGGATCAGGTCCCACCAGATACTTTTTAATGTATTACATACTTGATATCCTATTTCTTGCATCAGCATAGCCTTGCTCTTGACTAGATTTAGAATTGACTTGTTATTCTGAACAATACAGGTTGATTTAGCATCAGAAGAGTGTCCATTATGTCTTTCTGTTTGTTATCATATGATGTTTTTAGATTAAAAATAAGCATAAGAAGCTTGGTGTCTTTCAAAAGTTCTCCATCAGACATCTTGATAGTCTTGTTGATTGAATTTTTATTTAAACAATGCTGGTTATGGAATCTAAAGTTGATTACTGATTTAATCTCTTGTGTCATCATTTGCTCGATTTGGCTAGAAAACCTTGCAGTAATGACTGAGGCTCATTTAATTTATGAAACCATTTACTTCCTATCACTGACTGAACAAATGGTTTGCATGCTAATCCTCTCCTGATTGGGTTATAATATTTGTGTTTAGCATTTCAATTCCCTTGGCGTGCCCGTCAAGTCATCTCTCATTACAGAGTATCCATGGAGTCCTAGATGGGAACCCTCACTTATGGCTGAGAGGATCTCGTGAGTTCCATTTATTCTCAGTTTTTAATCATTTCTATTTTTGCCAGTAGCCTGTCCTAATCACCTCGTTGTGCTGTTTGCTTGTGTGATCCAATTTTACTAGCGACTTTTTGGTGGATGAGTCTCTAAATTTCAAAAGGTACTGCAACGAATCTCACCTTCAACCCTAGAGCAATATCTTGAGGAGCCGTTAAGCTTTCCTTGATGCATAATACCCTACACCATTCGAGTTGTCCGAAATAACGAGTACCATTTTCAATCACGGTGGAGTGATACGGTCATCACTCATCCCGTCTATTGTAATTAGTTCAATGTCAGATTACCTTTTCGTTTTGTTGTGAAAGCATTGAATAGTTTCCTGGTACCATCCTCGTTTTGATACATGGTGAGCACTGTGAAGTTCAATTGCATATTGTTGAAATGAAAAAGATGGCCATTAATGGTGTCTCCATTAAAGTTTTCAACGAGTTCAGAAATTGTCTGATTCTCTGGATATAAAAAAGACAGGATCCACTTTTAACACTCTTGGATTCACAGTATCTTTAGTGCTGCGCAGAACCCAACTGGATGGTTCGATGATGAACATATTATGTTCCTAAAATGGTTTCCAAATTCTTGCAAGTAAGGCTGAACCATGAAAAAATTTGATCAGATGCATGTGCATCTCGCATTATTAGACTCTACCTGTTTGTATTCCTGTGTGGGCCCAATTCCATCAACGTGGGGATGATACTTTGGCCCAACACCGCAAATACTCACGGGAAGAAACTGTTTTTACCGGATTTGATCGTGGGGAGTAAGTGGTGGGTTTTTGCATCCAAGGCTATTGTATTTGTTAATGCGTATGCATTGTATTTAAAAATATTTTTCAAAGTGTGTTTGGATTAAAAAAAAACACCAATTCAACGCTCTCTATACCCTGTATATGTAGTAAAGTGATGGTTTTTTTTTTTTTTTTTTTTTTTCACGTAGGTTTATTGAATATAATGTTAAATTGGTATTTTTTGACAATATTTTTTTGTTTAAGGAGAAAATCTATTCAATTTAATTATGCATTACAAAATAAGAGTATTTTGAGTAAAGTACAGTATTAATAGATGCAAATGCAAATAAAAAGAAAGACAATCTCTTTGGAACATAAAAAATAATTTTCTTTTAAGAAAATATTTTAGATGGTTTTGATGTGCTATCATCGAAAACATTAAAAGTAATGAAAAAATTATATATTTTTTTCAATACAAACGTATTTTTTTTTAAAAAAAAAACACTACATTGCATTTGCAAACACACTCCAATTATGGTTCTGTCGCCCTTGACCCAACTAGTTAAATACTACTGCTTTTTTATTTTTTATTTTATGCATACATTATGAATTATCTTACATAAAGATAATGTTAAAATTCACTAATAATTTTTTTATTCACACTATTTAATCTTCTTGAAATGTTTAATATCATCTTCGTTGGTAAGAAGTTGCAATAGTAATTTAAAAAAGAAAATAGCGAAAATAACAAAATTTATAATGGACGTTACATAAATATTTTCTTATCAAATATTAGTAATATATTTTCTATGTTTAAAAAAATTGTCATATTTGACTTTATATATATATATATATATATTTCAAAATACCTTTGTTAGATTTCTTACGAAATAGACTTAAATTATTAGTATTCAAAAAACAAACAATCAATACTTTAACCGAGACAATTATTTTGATACATACAAAAATAGAAAGCAAAACAATCTTTTTGATACATACTTAATATTTTAACAAAGAAAATCATTTTCGGACAAACAAAAATAGAAAAGAATACAATCTCTTTTATACACACTTAATATTTTAACTAACATAATCATTACAGGATAAACAAAAATAGAAAATAAAACAATCTTTTTTTAACAGAAAGAGTAAAAAAAAAAAAAACTCCAAAATAGTCCCAAAAGTATTACGTAAGTAGGCAGCATCTTGTTTTTTTTTTTTTTTTTAATTAAAACACACAAAAAAAAAAAAAAATTTGGTTCTTAAAAATACAAACAAAAAACAAAAACGGTACTAGACAAGTTTTAAAGATTTGACTCAAATGGTAAGTGTGCTTCTTTCTATAATATCATTATTTGTTTAAATTCAAAAGAAAATCATAAAAGAAATTTATGTTTCCATAAATGCATAAATTCTAGTATCAATCAAAGAAGAATTTAGTTTTCGAAAAAAAAAGTTCGGAAAATAGCCTATATTTTACATAACAAAAACAAACTAGTAAATGAAATCGGACTATCGACAACTTCCGTGACTCCAAAATTTTTTTTTTAAAAAAAAACTAGACATACTACTGAAAAATAAGAAGGTCCAGGTCGTCAAATGATATGGCCCACCGTTTTAACGTGCGCACCCTGCCTAGAGACGGTTAGTTAGTGTCTGTCTGTCCGTCTGTTCCCTCTCTTCTCTTGCCTCACATGAAATGGCACAACACTTGAAAATATCCTGTCCCGCTCTCCTATTTTTACAATCTTAGCCTACGCTTCTCCCTCTCTCCTTCCATATATTAGCCCCTCCTCCCTTCTCTTCTCCATCTCTCTCTGCCTTTTAAGTTTTCATCTCTCTCAGCAAAAATTTACCAAACAAGATGAGAGAGATCCTTCATATTCAAGGAGGCCAGTGCGGAAACCAAATTGGTTCCAAATTCTGGGAAGTTATTTGCGATGAACATGGAATCGATACAACCGGAAAGTACTCAGGCGACGCCTCGTCGTCCGATCTTCAACTGGAAAGGATCAATGTGTATTACAATGAAGCTTCGGGTGGAAAGTATGTGCCTAGGGCGGTCCTTATGGATCTCGAACCGGGTACTATGGAGAGTATTAGATCCGGTCCGTTTGGACATATCTTTAGACCTGATAATTTTGTTCATGGACAGTCTGGTGCTGGTAATAACTGGGCGAAAGGTCATTATACTGAAGGAGCTGAGTTGATTGATGCTGTTCTTGATGTTGTCAGAAAAGAGGCTGAGAATTGTGATTGCTTGCAAGGTATTTTTTTCTTACACAGGATTTATTAGATCTGATTTTTTATTTTTTAATGTTTTGGTATTTTGATTGAATGTAAAATGTAAGAGATCAATAGATTTTTTTTTTTAGGATCTTGTGGTTTTTAGGGTGCCGGTTTCTTCTCGATTTATCCGACTGAAATATCTCAAACAGAACTTTTTGATTTATTAATTATTTGATCCTTGTAGTTATTGTTTTTTTTTTTTTAGCTGTCGTAGTTGTTGAACTATTGTGGTCCTACTAGCCATGTTAGTTAGCATTAATGCTTTGGTATTACTTTCATATATACAATTATTATTATTTGATCAGGATCGCTTTGAACTCTTGAAAACGGAATGTAACGTGTGTGTGTGTGTGTTTTCTTCTTAATTTGTGGAAATTATGAACAAATAAACTTTTTGATTATTTTAGTTTTCAATCTCGTGTTGTAGCAAATTATGACACTGAAATATGAATGATATATCTCTCTCATTATCTCATCTGTTTTTTATAATTTTTTTTTTACTATATTCTGGTGGGTCATTTGCTGCCATTCTTAATTAATTATTCTTTTGTTCTGTTTGTTTGGTTGTTTTTATATTAGCAGTTGTTGATAAGGATGAGCTGTATCAATAGACCCCATTTTTTGTCTGGTGTGGATGCTGAGGGATATGAATCTTGTTCTAACTTTTTGTGATATGTAATTAGAGAAACAGATATGATAATGTCTGATTTTTATCATATCATGATTGCGATGGACCAGCAACACAGCGCACTACATGTCTTTTACATTTATCATGCTGACATTAAAAGTAGATCTTAAGAGTTAGAGCATCCAAAAAAGTAACAATCATATAAGTGAGCCTTTAGAGACAAAATAAAATAGTGAAATCATTGGTTCAGATAATCATGTGTCATCAAATCAAGTTTAACATGGCATGAACATCAGATTCTTGTTTGTCCAAGGTTTAATGATGAAGAGAATTGTAGTTAATAAGTTGTGTCAAAATGTCTGGACTCATGTCTATAGTTCCTGATCTGGATCTGGATCTGGATCTGGATCCGAATCTGAATTATACATGAAAAGGAATTTTAAACAGTAGCAAAAACAATTAGTGCTGCATTTGTCTTCTTTGATGTTAAATGCTGATTCGATAATTCTATTTGCACATATTTCATTATAGGATGAATATGCATTTTGCCAGATTACAAACAGCTGTGACCCAAAGGAAGCTATCTGTATAAAGTTGCTGTTAACCTTTAGATCTTGCATGAGTTCATGACCGGATCTTGCACACCTTCTGCTATTCATTATTTTGCTGGGAGTGTATGACTGCTTGATATTTTGAGAACTGTTTTGAAATTGCTGTTGTTAGGGAATATGCTTTCATTCATTCTTCAACTTCTTTGTCATGAGGTATTTAAGGAAGAAAATAAATATCCCTTCAACCCGGCTCCCCCAAGAATACTGATATTTTACAGCTTGGTGAAGGCTGGCAATTTTTTCTGTTTATTCTGAATTGGAAGATAAAACTCACTTGTTGCAATTTTTCTTGTCCAGGCTTTCAGGTATGCCACTCTCTTGGTGGTGGTACAGGTTCTGGCATGGGAACACTTCTAATATCAAAGATCCGAGAGGAGTATCCTGACAGGATGATGCTTACATTCTCTGTTTTCCCTTCACCAAAGGTCTCGGACACAGTTGTGGAGCCATATAATGCCACCCTCTCAGTGCATCAGCTGGTAGAGAATGCTGATGAATGCATGGTTCTTGATAATGAAGCATTGTATGACATCTGCTTCCGGACTCTAAAGCTTAGCACCCCAAGCTGTGAGTTACTAATTGTCTTTTGGAATTATTGTTAGATAAAATACAATTCTATTATATTGATATTAAACTGTAGCTTCTTTCTACCTACTTTTGCAGTTGGTGACCTCAACCATTTGATCTCTGCAACTATGAGTGGTGTAACATGTTGTCTGAGGTTCCCAGGCCAGCTCAACTCTGACCTTCGCAAGCTGGCTGTAAACCTGATCCCATTTCCTCGCCTTCACTTCTTCATGGTAGGGTTTGCACCACTCACATCTCGTGGTTCCCAGGGGTATCTCTCCCTCACTGTCCCCGAGCTGACCCAGCAGATGTGGGATTCGAAGAACATGATGTGTGCTGCTGACCCCCGCCATGGCCGCTACTTGACAGCCTCAGCCATGTTCAGGGGCAAGATGAGCACCAAAGAGGTGGATGAACAGATGATTAATGTGCAGAACAAAAATTCATCCTATTTTGTGGAGTGGATTCCCAACAATGTGAAGTCCAGTGTGTGTGACATTCCACCAACAGGTCTGACGATGGCATCTACTTTTGTGGGGAACTCCACATCAATCCAGGAGATGTTCAGGAGGGTGAGTGAGCAGTTCACAGCCATGTTCCGTCGCAAGGCCTTCTTGCACTGGTATACTGGGGAAGGTATGGATGAGATGGAGTTCACTGAAGCAGAGAGCAACATGAATGATCTAGTGGCAGAGTACCAGCAGTACCAGGATGCAACAGTTGAGGAAGATGGTGAATATGAGGAGGAAGGTGAAGAGAACTATGACGACTAAGAAGCATATGAATCGTGACTATTTCCTCAAAAATGGTGACTATTTCAAGCGCTAGCTTATCTAATACTATGTGGCTGGCTCTATATTTTTTTGTTGTTTTAAAATTCTCTCTTCCGACAAGGTGATTTTATTACTGTTTTTCTATCAAGCACTTGAACAAGGAATTTCATATTTGATGGTACCTCTTCGTAAAGGGTGCCCAATTGTGTTGTATTTCCTTCTATTGATGTTTTCTCGATGGCGCTCTGGAATTATTTTCTGGAAGTGATTGGGGCAGTTCATTTTGCTGTGAATTAGTTTCTTGTATGATAATGGATGTGATAGCTACTAGTACAGATATCTACAGATGTTTAATTTACCTTCATGTTTGCTGCTGTTAATGCTTTATTTCTTAAAGCAAAATTTCCAAGTTCCTCTTAGAGATTTATGCATTTCCGCGGTTTATGCATTAGGGTCGTAAGGAGAAAGTGTTTGTCTAAATTGTGGGCTGTTTAGGTTCAGATCCATTGAAAATGGTTTTAAGCTTTAACACCAGCTGCTCCTCGAATCTGGCTTCCATGGCAAATTAGGGACTATAAAATTCTTGGGTTGCTGGGGTCCTTAAATTTTGATTTTTTTTCATTTTTTGTCAGCATTTATATGCAATCCAATACCAATCCGTTGAGAATAGCCGCATGTCCATATTCTCATGTTTCTTAACTATTGACATCTAAATGCTTGATTTGGTTTGGGCCTCATGTAGACAGTGAAGACAGATGCATAATTAGCTAGAAGGTTTTTGTCTAGAAATGTAGGCTGTTTAAGTTCAAATCCTTCGAACATGGTTTTAAGTTTTAACACCTGTTCCTCAACTCTGGTTTCCACGGCAAATTATAAATTATTATTATATTATAAATAAAATTTATTATTCATCCATTATTTGAAACACCATTTACCTGCACTCATTTCATTATTCACCCAGACCCAGACTCAAATGCATGAACTGTTGTACCCAGGGGCAAGATAGACATAGCAAGACGCTTTCACGCTGCCCCCACATGGCCACAATCCCCAGTATAACAATTTTAATTTAAGAAAAATTACATAATTTTTAGAAATAAACATTTAAAAATGCATTTCTTATTCTAATACTGAATTCATTAAATCTTGGTCAGTCTATTCATTGGTTCCTTCGTTCGTGGATGATAAATATCAAAAGATCGCTCCTCTTTAAGAACAAATCGTACTTTCATTTGAGGAAATAAAAAATAACCACAGAAAATCTTGATGCAGGAACAAAGTATTGAAACGACAAATATAAGAAAGAAAAAAGATAAAAAATAAAGGACGAAAAACAATAAATTAGAAAAAAAAAGTATTGAAGCATCAGAGTCATGGAAGTATGAGTTAAACACTGCTTGCATTAAAATCAATGCTTGCTTCTCATAACTCGGTAAAATCCTCGTCATTTGCTTCTCAATCATTCCTCCCACTTGCAATATTAAAATCATCATTTCATATACTAATTAAAAAAAAAAATTAAAAATTGACGAATATAAATAATATTCATTGAAAAAAAATACAAGAACCGCACCGGATAGAGAGAAGGAGAGAGGAGGAGAGAGAGGGAATAGTATTATTTGAATAAGAAGTACAGTACACAGAAGCATAAGTGGGTATTGAAGCAGGCAGCTAGAACTGAGAGGTGGTTGCTTCGCTAACTATTTATATGAGGAAAAACCCTAGGGTTCCTAGAAAGTTAACCATGGTTAGCGTTTCAAGGAATAAAGAGTTAATAACTATTTACCGGGTCAAGAGATAAAATTACTAATTGCCCTTGCTTATTAATTATTTTGCTTTACTGCCAGAAATTAACCAGATTCTTTCGGAGCAAGATGGGATTTGGATCTACACAGAAGAGAGGAGATTCTTATCTCTTTGCTGACGTTTCACAGTTTAGATCGAAGTCCTTGTGTTACACGGACCAATCAAAAAGTGACAGACGTACAAGTGATTTGAAGTGTGTGGAGTTGTGGACCTCAGCCTCAGAGATGAGTCAGAAATCTCTTAATTCTGGGCTAATTGAAATTTTACCTTCTGACCTTCCTTCTGTGATGGGTTGGGCTTGGTTAGATCACTATAAATTACATCATCAGCCTGTCCTACTTCCATACTTATTAGGAAGCACAGGCATAAGATGCCTTTATTTATTTACAACAATTGTCTTTCCGGACCAGTTTTCATTGAGCCTATTTTCTTTATGGACTAAGCCTGGACAATGGACAAGATTTCATTCAACACAGCATAATCGGTTGAAGAGAGAACGGTATTTTTTTGCGCCAAACTTTTTTTAGTGCCCAATCAATGATTTTAATGATTTACTGCTCAATTATTAATTTTTTATTTATTTTGGTGTCTGAATTTACCTAAGATTCAATTTTGATAACATGTCCAACTAGAACTATCCCATAATGATCAAATAAAACAATTTTTGTTTTTGTAAACTTTTTTAGTGCCCAATCAATGATATTAATGATTTACTGCTCAATTATTAATTATTTATTTATTTTGATATCTGTATTTACCTAAGGTTCAATTTTGATAACATGCCTAACAAGAACTATAACGTGATGGTCAAATGAAACAATTTTTGTTTTTGTAAATTTTTTATTGGCCAACCATTTATTCCGCAAATGGCAATGATAATTAGACCTTATATGTCTTTTTTTTTCTAAATTTAATTTTGAATGAACTTTATATATATTTCGATTAAATAACATGATATTAAATTTTTTTGAACAACTAAAAATTATTTAAAATTTTCAAAAAGTAATTTTTAATTGATATAAAGTACTAAAAAATTATCTTTGATAAGTAAAAAACGTTAAAAGTATGATATGGAAAATATTTGTTGATAATACAATTAGGTGGAAATTGTTGGACTAATTTGGCAATCTCGAAAAAATAAATTTCTTAGGAAAGCTGATTTTTTGGTGCCTAATCTTTAATTTTCTTTTTGTTGTTTTAATGTCTAACACTTGATTTTTTTTTTTCTATTTAAGTGTTTGCAACTACTTAAGAATATGAAGTGATGACATGTGTGGAGTTAATTGTCATATGGTATTTTTGAATACCATAGTGCAGCTGTTGTTGGATATATCAGTAAAATTGAATCTCGATTAATCGGACACCAAAACAAACGAACAAAAATTAAATCTTAGATAGCAAATTATTAAAAATTAACAATTGGACACCAAAGCAAAAAAAAAAAAAAAAAAAAAAAAAAAAATTAGACACAAAAAATGCCGTTCTATCTTGCTTGAATGATGTCCTTAAAATCCAAAATTGATGTTTTAATTTGCAATTGCGTTACATATACATTTTTTCCTTAAGTAAATCTCTAGTTTGGAGAAAAATTAATTAGTCACCTTCTAAAAACCAATTATTTAATTTTTATGTTTTTAAATCTACTTATAATTTTTTTTTTTAATAAATAAAAAAATATGAAAAGATTAATGTAAAAACAAACATCTTGTGAAATAAAAATAATATTAAAACAAGATTAAAGACATGTAATTTTTGAATCCATGTAGGCACAGATTTCTGCTTGACAATCCAGACTTCCAGTTAAAAAATTAATCAATTAAATCACATTTAATTATCTAACTACCATGATAAGCATTCAAAAGGCTATCTAAACAAAACAAAAATAAAATAATAATAAACTACCTTACTAGTAGCAATATTGGTCCACAAAAAAAGAGATTGAAGACAAATACGAAACTAGTAACCCTTGAAGCTTTCAACTCTTATATTATTACCATGCAAACACACGTGGGAGTAATTAGGGAAAACTCATCTCCTTAGGAGATTTTCTAATTTACAATTAGATACCAAACTAACCACTAAGATATCTTATATTAATTACTATATAGATTAGAGGGGGAAATGCGATCAAGGAATATTTACTAAGACATCTTATATTAATTACCATATAGATTAGAGCGGGAAAATGAGATCAAGGAAGAAAACCAAGATCATCTCAATGAGAATCGTAATTTACTAGAGGAATTAGAGCCCTTGTTCTTGCAAATGAGCATCCTTCTTCGTCTTGCTTGAGCAGCAATGGCCTTGTTAACACTCTTGACCGTGATTACCTTATTATCAACTATGCCATTATTAAGGCTCTTGACAGTGATTGCCTTATTATCAGCCACGGCCCTTTTAACAACAGCAGTCTTGTCATCAACAATCAGTTGTTTAGAGTCCATCCAAACAGGCGCCCCAATAGTCAGAGTGAGATCAGGGATGCGAGGGGGGGCCATATTATCACTGGTACTAGTAGTCGCAGATTGGAACAAGGACACTCTCTGGCCATATGGGGTTGCATAATTACTGGCCATTTCTTGACTTTTGGCATTCCTATCCATGATAAAGGGTTGCTGCTGCTGCTGATAAACTGTGATGCCAGGCATGAGTAGAGGAACATGAGCTTGGTCAACAACAGCCGGAGGGCATTGGACAGTTGCTTGGCCTAAATCCATCTGTCGAAGATTCAACTGATCTTCTCTTTTAATAACACCCATGCTTAGCTGCAAATTTTTTAAAATAAAGCATAATTTAATGATATAATTAAAGTGGAAAAGATTTAGAGACCCAACAACCTCAACTAAAAGCAAAGAAAAAACAGAAGACTAAAAAAGGAGCATTGATTCATCAGGAGGAAAAGATAAATTACCTCTTGTTTTCTTGCTTTCCACAACGAATTTGTAGCTTTCAACTGTTCATAATATTGAGTCACTTTTTGAATCTCCTGTTTCAACAATTGCACAGAATCAAGGAGGATATATTAGTACCCACTCCACCGTTTTGCTTGCTTAAAGAAGGAACAGCAGTACATTACAATTTGTGGAAAAAAAAAAAACAGAACATAATGTAACAAACATACTATGTATGGCAAAAATCCAAGAAAAGGACAAAATTTGTTCCCGGAAACTTGAAATAACAAGAAAATAAAGAAAACTCACCCCTCTTAACAATTCATTGCTCTCGGTAATTTGGCTTATAATCTTCAGCAAATTCTCTTTCCTCTGCATATATTCAAGATAATAACATAGGATTAGCAAACAGAGCATCTTTATTTTGGTAAAAGAAAAAAACAGAGTCAAATCTGAAAAACAAAAAGAATTTAAAACCCACTAAAGAACTAAAATTGCAGATAAATCCCAGTACCCATTAACCAAAAAAAAAAAATCACCAAAAAAATGCCACGTATCATGTCCAAACAGGAAATTGAAAAAGACCATCAAAGAAGCAGAATTTCAAAGAGCATACCTTCTTAGTAGAGACTCTCCTCTTCAAGCGCTTAGGCCTCTCATCAGACTCACTAGGAGGGAAAGAAAGCGGTGTTGCAGGGCTAGTCGCCGGTTCAGCTTTCACGGTGATGGGTCGCTCTGGTTCCGAAGCAGCAGCAGTAGCAGGAGAAGTAGTAATAGCAGGACCCACAGGACCATATAATATCGGTGATGGGGATGGTGATAATGATGTTGGCAGTGAATGAACGGCGCGTCTTGGACCCAAATTGGCCTCCGCAGATCTCCTCCTTTTACCACCCCATGTGAATGGAAGGCCAGAACCATAATTAGATAGAGGAATTAAACGAGGGAAATCTAACAAGATTTCAGCAACCTCAATTTCAAAATCTCCGAACTCTTCGCTAAGGCTACAGTAATCGCGTTTGAATGCCATTGTTTCTCTGCTTCCTTTATCTCAATTCAACTCTCTCTCTGTTTCTTTTTCTCTTTCTCTCAAGAGAGAAAGATAATAATGGGGGTTCCACCCTTTCGCCGAGAGAGAGAAAGCAATAAAGACAGGTTATAATTTTTAAAAGGAGAAGATATGAGGGGAGAGATAGATAGGGAGAAATCGTGTTGCTTGGGACAGGGTTTCGCTTGTTTATGAAACAGGAAAAAGGATGGCAATGTGCCACGTGTCGTGTAAAGGGAGAATGGAGTTTCTGTTCTAGGGTTTACGATGATAGTTATTGGTTTTTTTTTATATTTATATATTATTTTTTCGCTATTTAATAAGGAGTGAGACAGTAACCTACGAGGAGACTTGAAAGTGGAAGCCATGGGGTAAGAGAATCCGCAAATAATTCGGAAGGTAAAACAAATCAGGTAAGGAAAACTACTGCTCCATGGTTTTTCCTTTGAATTTCGGAGAATAAGAGGGGTTTGACTTGAATTTTAACTGTTTGACTTGTGTGTAATAGTATATTTGCATACCCCATCAATCCTCCAAATAATTTTTTTTGTTTACAATTTCTACAAACAGTTAAAATTCGATAAAATAAATCAAATACGAAATTGTAAGTTAACTGACGACGATTGTGTGTTATTTTCAGTTAGCAATTGTGATTATGAAATTACTACTTATTGTATTTTAAAAACATCTTATATCTTTTTATTATCATATATCTCAAAATGTTTATTAAGTTAAAATTTTAAATAATATATATTTTTTAAATACTCTTAATTAAAATTTATTTTGTAAGAAATTGTTCAAATAGAATTATGAAAAATAAAAAGATTTTTACAAATAAAAAAAATATTAATATAACATCATAATTAATAATTTGTTAAATCTATCTAAAAAGTTAGTGATTATATTTTTAAGACAAATACAATATTTATTTTATGAATCTATTTTTTATGAGAGAGATGGACCTAAAAGGGAGAGAGAAAATTTTTTTAAAAAAATTGAGCTAAGACGAAAATTTTCTTATCACTTTTGATGAATTCGGATAGAATCGGCTCAATTTTTTTTTTTTAATTTTCTCTTTCTTATTTCTCTTTTATCTTTATGTCTATCATTTTTTAAAAAAATGAGACCACATAATAACTACTGTACATATACAATAGTTACCTTTTAAATATTATATAATAGTTACCTTTTTAAGTATTATAAAATTCCTCATATATTAGTACCAAATTAATGAAGGAGGAGTTTTGTGCCGATTGTAGCGTCCAAGTGAAACCTAAATGCAAGCAAGGATACACTTTCAACACATTAAAAGCATGTACTTGGCTTGAATTTGACATTCGTTTTTTGAGCTAACCCGTGCATATGTTTTGTTTCGTAGTTATCGTTCTCTTATCATTTTCTAAGAAGCATCACCAAAAAAAAAATAATTACTGAAGAGGAGCACCTAACACTTAGTTTTTCATCTCAAAATAATCAATTTTATTTTCATTGAATCATATATTCTTTCCATCCAAATTTTCATATTCCTCGTATTTGAATGAAGCATCGAATTCCCTTTAAAGAATAAATTTTATAATATTTAAAAAGTAATTTATATAAATTATTTTATAAAGAAAAATAGATATAAAAAAGAGAGAATTTAAAAAAATTGATCAACTTAAAGATATTTTTATCATTTTTTATAGATCTGAATATATATATATTTCAAAAGTAAATCCATGGAATTTAAAAGGCCATCGTCCACGAATCAACCGAGAATTAGGGGATAGGTTGTGTTTGGACTATTTAATGGAAGAAGAGGTGATTTGAATTTGAGATAGTCTTCGGTGTATGCCTGTGATTGATTGATGTGGGCATTACGCTTTTACTTTCTGGTCTAAAAAACCCAAGTGGCAAAATGCACTGCTACGTGCCGCGGAGGGCCATTACCATTTACCACGCAAAATCTCCGTCGCCTTTTAAACTGCCAGTTGCTACACTTTTATACGATTTGAGAAAGTAACGGAATGCTCGTTTTCAAGTGAATTCAGGTCCGAAACTAAAGCATCATTTGCAGAATTTTTTTTTTTTTTCGAAAACAGTATATTGGATTGAGAAGTGACGCTCGTGGTTTCGTTTTCACCTAAAATAGAAAATAAAGAAAATAAACACACACACGCACAGCAGGAGAAAAGCAGAAAAGGGTGCTCTTGTGTTCGTGGGATGGTATTCATAACCACCAACAGTTCTCCACATTCCTGCTTCCTTCTCATAGGAATCACAGGACACATTTTACTTCCTCAACTTTTCTCAGCTCTTTTTGTAGGAGCGTGTCCCCTTTCTAATACTAGTCTATTAGAAAGAAACAAAAGTACTGTGTTTGTGAGCGAGGAGAGAATGTGAGAGAAAGGAAAAAAAAAAAAAAGAATAGAAGAAAGAAAGAATGTGATTTTCTTTATTTCTGTTTAGATGAGAAATAAAAAGAAAATTAATACTCACTGTATCCTAAAAATAATCATTTATCTTATTATTATTATTTATACTTGTCTAAAAAAATTTGTTTCGTCAAAATTTGAAATAATATATATTTTTTAAAATATTTTTTTTATTGGAATCTATTTTGTAACAGATTATCCAAAAAATAAAGTTATTTTTAGAAGGTAAGAACAAAAGATAGCATAACAATTAATAACTTAATATGTGTGGGAAAAAAAAATCTCTTTCAGACATAAAGAACAAGTTTTTTTTTTTTTTTTAATGCCTTCTTTTCTATTTTTATTGATGTTAAAGTAATTTTTTTTTTACAACCCTTCTCATTAAAATTCTTTTATAAAAACCTACGATTGAAACTAAGGTATTTTAAAAAAACCATGAATAAAAAATAATGATATAATATAATAATTAATGAACTTTTTAAACCGGGTAAAAAATTAGATATAACAATTTGAGGATAAGGATAACAATGTCTCTTTTGTGAAATTCCCTTACCCTTTCCTCCACTCTTGGGAGAATGGTTTTGGTGGGCCCACTAGGGAGATTTTCCCTCCACTTTCTAGTTTCGTTCACCACTTCACATCATAGTTCTCTCTTAGCTTTCAAATGATGGATAAGAACTTCTTCTCCCCCACATTCCCTCCTCTCCGAACATGGCGTCAGACCGTTGAACTAATCAGTGTCTGCTTACATTCCTCTGTAATCAAAGCTTTACTGGTGACCAATCCTTGCAATAACGTCCTTAATCAAATATGAACTATACTCCGTTTAATTGACATCTTTATCTGATTTTTTTTCTTTTTTGGTTGATATATCTTTTTGTTAAATTCCATTTAAAAAATCTGATTAAATATCGTATTTTTAACCACTGAATTCTCAATAACTATATATAAAAAAAAATTCATAACAACCAGAGAGTTAATTTTGGGTTTTTGAGAGACTGAATGTATTTATATAAAGATATGAACTAAATATCACGTGCATGACACATGCTTGATAATATTGACTAATGTTTTTAAGATAAATATACTCATATGTCTTTATATAATATTTAAAATCTATTTTTTGTCTTTTAGATTTTTAATTACATCCCATTTGTTCTTTAAAATATTTAATCTTTTATTCCAATCAATTTTTTTAGCCAAATAATTTTTTTTGACTAAAATACCTATGAGTGAAAAGCTAAAAAAAAAAAAAAATCTAAAGACTTAAAAAATAAAACACGTAAGTCATGCGACTTTAAGTGGTTTTTTTTTTAAATTTTTTAGTTTTTTTTATTTTAGTAAAAAATATTTAAGTTATAAAAACATCTATGTTCTAAAAATTTGATCGAAAGACGAATAGAATATTTTAAAATTTTTCAAAGATAAATGGAAATGCAATTGAAAATTCAATAACGAGATGAAAGATTTTACATATTATATAAGGATGGATATATTTATCCTTGCTTTTAAATCATAAGGGTAGATTCCAGATTAAGAAAAATACTAGAGTTACAATTGCTTATTTTTATTTATTGTGTAATTATCTCATTTGCATACAAGATAAGGATGGATGCTCTTTTTAAAAAAGAAACATATAAAACCATAAAGTTTAATCTAAGAGAGATAATGTTCAATCATGCCTATTTCAGGCTTCTTTAGAGAAAAAAAGAAAAAAAAAAAAAAGCTTATTTTAAAACTGATCTACCTGCATGCTTTTGCAATTCTTCAATTATCTGCAAGAAGAACCCAAATATGTTGCAAGGGATCAAGACAAATTAATCAACCCCTCCAGTAAAACCCAAAAGAACACACAAGATTGAAATTTTAAATCCAAAAAGTCCATTAAAATATTTTATTATATATATATATATACCCAAAAAAAAAAAAATACGAAAATTTTCATCGATTTGAATAGAAATTATTGCCACCATTAGTTATATACTTGTTTCAGATAAAATGAGCAGAGCTGAGAGTACTTGCAAATAAGCTATATCCTCAATAACTGGTCAACATGCTTTAGCATTTTTGTTATATATAAAATCGAATATATAATTTTCATACAGAAAAAGAGCTAAAACTAAGTCAAAATAATTTTGTGTTAGAGTTTTATATATACAAAAGAAAATTTCATCGATTTGAATAAATTATTTTACAATCATTAAGTATATATTTTTTTTAGGAGAAATAATACCTCTGTCGACTACTGGTCTATTTTAATATGCAATTCCTCAATACTCAGCAAGAAGAAACCACTTACGTTGTAAAGAATCAGAACAAATTAATAATTCCACTCGTACACCCAATCGAACACACGAGATTGAATCTACTTTTAGTCTTTTTTTTTTTTTTTTTCTGAACAATTACTTTTCATTAGTCATCAAGTTAGCAGCTTCTGGCTCGGATTCTCATTGTCTATTTTAATTCTGTCAATTAAAGATGAAGAACATGCCTAACGCTTTTGGGTTAAGATAATAAAGAAAATTTTAGACTCACCTCTTCATTACTAATTGATAATGATGATTTTAATGATGATTTTTATCGATTCATTGTTTAAAATACCCAATGAATTCATTTTAATAGACATAAAATCACATCTAAATTCATAAAAATAATAAAAATATTTTCATTTAAAGTTAATTTTTTTTATTCTATCTCACGTTCTCTTTTCTTTGCGTCTATTTATAACTGATGAACCGTGATTTAAATAACTGTTGAGGAAAAAAGTGTGCAATGAAATTTTAATTTTCAATGAAAGAATTCGATCGATTCCTTGTATTTAGAATCACTGTTTAGTGTTATTTTTGTTATTACCAAAGAAATTAGATTATTCATGTGTGTGTTTATAATGTAATATTTTCCCCGAACTTTTTTTTATCTTTTTTTTTTTTATAAAACTAGTCAATGATCCTCTTTTAACAATCAAGAAAAGAAAATCTGAGGACTTAAGAGAACAAACAAGTATACCTTCAGCTTCATGTGGATGGCAGTTGACTATTAACTCAGAATCATCTTCGGAGCTATCATCTCCAGCCTTGCGCTTCTTAGGCTGTTTCGATGCAACTTTGGAGTCTGTTGCCTTTGTTTTAGTTGAAGATACTGCAGAAAGTGGTGTCTTTTTTGTAACAGTTGCAGACTGAGCCTCCTTTGTGACACTAACTGCTTTCACAGGCGAAGCGAACTTGTTCCTTCTCTGTTTCTGATCTCATGAACTTTCTTGGCCACCTCCAAAGGGAGCAAACCAGATTCTGTCAACCTGCAATTATATTCAGATGGAGCTTTGTTTAAAAATGCACCCAAATACTCAACAAGATAAGTACAATCAAGATAACAAAGCAGACAATTCAACAATTTAATCACAAAGCAAACCATAGTTCTGAAGAAATCAACATGATCATTGCACTCCCAATAGCCTCACAGATTAGTTTGCTGAAATTAGCTATGGAAGGTTCGTTTTGAAATGAAGGAAGGTCCAAAACTAAAGCGACATTGTGGAAATTTATTTTCGAAAACCGTATATTGGTTTGAGATATGACAGTAAATATAAATTAGTCCCTCTAGTTTCAAGAAACAAATTAATTAGTCTCTTTGTTTTAAAACTATTATTTAGTCTTTTAATCATTGTTAATTATACTTAATTTAATATTATTTTATTTCTCAAAATCTCTTATTTTCTTGTCAAACTTTTCGGTTTTTTTTAAAAAATCAAAATAAACTAAAACAGAGTAAAAAAGACTAAATTACAAGTAAATGTTTAAATCTAGGAATTAAATAATTAAGTTTTGAAATAAAAGGGACTAATTAGTTCATTTTGAAAACAAGAGGGACTAATTTATAATTTACTCAGAAATGACACTTGTCGTTTTGTTTTCACCTAAAATAAAGAAAAACACGCGCACACGCACAGCAGGAGAAAAGGAGAAAAGAATGCTTCCTGTACAGCTGAGAACCGTGAGATGGTATTCATAACCACCAACAGTTCCCTACATTCCTGTTTCCTTCCCGTTGGAATCGCAAGACACAATTTACTTCCTAAAACATTTTTCAATTTTTTGTAGGAGCGTATCCCCCTTTCTAAAATTAGTCTTTATTTATTATTATTATTATTTATTTTTTTTTTTTTGGAGTTGGCATTTGAATGATCAAGCACTCTTTGTGAGTGAGGAGAGAATGTGAGAGAAAGCAAAACTAGTGAAAATGAACATGAAAATAAAGAGAATGGAAGAAAGAAAGATTTGATTTTCTTTATTTTTGTTTGGAGTTGTTTGGATGAGAGATAATTGAAGGCAAGGTTTATTGTGTAAATAAAGGCTATTTAGTATTTTTTAGTTCAATAATAAAAGTGTTTTCGGACTAATTTTCATATATCTTAAGACTAATTTCTCTCTAAAAGTGGTTAAGAAACACTTTCTAATGCACGACCTCGAATGTTTTGAGAATAAATTATAAAAAATGTTAGCAACGATGATCAAATTCTGAATTTGACCTATAAATCAATTCTTATTTACCAACGAACAACCATCTTCTTATTTAAAGATTATCTAGTATCTATTGCTAGTGGCTTCAACTAGCACCAATGCGAAGGTGATTTCTTTGTAAAAAAAATCAAGCTTTTCACCAAACACACGGAATCACGATTCAGAGATCCGTGAATTGAATTCTCAAGTTTAGAGTTCCGCGAGACATTTTTTAGTTGAATATTTTGGTCGTAGCAAAGACTGCACCTTTAGGCTAACAGATGACTAGAGAAGCCATCATTAAAATCTGGTGCTTCAGTTTATGAAAGACCTACCTACGCTTCTTCTAGGAGTATTATTGTCTCACACATCCCCTCCTTTTGGAGAAGGGGAGGTACTCTGTAATCTTTGTGAGGACGTCCCGGGTTCAAGCCCGGTTGGGGCGGGTCACGGGTGGTTGTTAAGGTGCTCGAGTCACTAGGCTACTTAGAAAAAGCAATCTCGTTACAGTATCACAGTTAGCTTACAGACATAACCACTCCTTCCAATCTGGGATGCCCATAATCGAAAGTTAGCAATAAAATAACTTGATTATAGTTAAGAAATCTTGATTTATGTTAGGAACCAAGTGCAGTATATACCAACAGATTGGCTTTCTAGATCCATTTTACCGGTCTTTCACAAGAGAAGTTTTGATGCCTCATTTAGTTAAGACTTTACAATTTAGTCTGGTGGCTGAGTGTCTCTGCTCACCTCTTCTATAAGTAACTAAGAGATTCCTCTCACCTCATACCCATGGGAAACTGTGAGAGGTGATTGCTTCGAAACAGGCCTGTCTCCAGACCAGAGCTCCAGAATTACTGTCCCTGTTCCCCAGTGGATGTAACACTTATAAACCTCATTGATGTTAAACCGATTGACTAGAGCCAAACCCCGACGTTTATCAACCAGCATCCATTCACCTGAAAGAAAGGCAATGAATGATTTTGAGATTTACAAAAATTACCACGCTCAATATATGCACTATAAAAACGCTCTCAATGAACTATGGTACTTCGATGGACCTGCAGTTCTTGTAAAAACAAACCAAATGGTTAGTGCAATAACTGAAGTTTAGCATTCCCATTACAGTGATTTTGTAAATATGAAGGATGACAGTGATTTCCGCAAACGTCGAGGATTGTTACTTCTTAATTTAATTTACCCTAGAGCTTCCCTTCTCTATTGTTAATCTTGGGATTAATAGCAGAGACTTGAGTCAACTTCAGGAGCTCAGCTTTGTAAGCAATAGTCCTTTGCCAACTTTGCTCGACCTCACGGTTTGTTTCCTTCCCTTATTCCTTTCAGTTCCATTTACGTTCTTCCTTTTCTGCTAAAAAATTGTATAGAAAAAATCCATATAAAACACCATAAAATAAGGCGACAAAAAATTTACCATTAGGCAGAAGATTCTCTTGATAGAACTGATCCCCAGATTCAGGCCAAATTTCCTGTTTTGATCCATCAATGGAGGTGAATGAGACACAGGTTTCAGTGGGATGCAAGAGAGTAAACGTTGGGTGTACTCTTAAGCAAGCCAGCCTACAAAACAAAAATAACAACAGTTTAGTATTCATAGCTTTAAATACACGTCGGCACATGCTTGTTTATAATGATTTAAAGAAAGGGTTACAGGCTTACAGCCCTAGTACACATTACAAATACAGGAGAACCAAACACGAAGTTAAGAAATAAAGAATATTCAAATGAGTAAATACGAGGAAAAATGAGTGTTTTGAAGGATTTCTCATGTGAAATACTGCAATATTGTAGAGAAACAATGAAGCAGAAAGATATTAGGAAAATGAACGTTTTCAAGATTAGCTCAAGTGAACAGAGACTGATTTTTTAGAGAAACAGCAAGGTGACCTGCAATTTCTGAACAAATTCCAGAAGGCATCTACTGGTAAAAAAACTGTACAACAGCTTGTGAACTGTAAGTTCTCATACTTCATAATTTTCCAACGTTCTCATCAATTTGTTGAGCACAACAAAATGATAGATGCTATCACATAAATAGGCTACTATGATTGAAAAACAGTTAAAACAATATCTCCATGTGATGGATTGACAAATATGGGTTGGTGCAAAGACAACCTTAAGAGTACAAATCCTCGAAAAGGTAGCTGAAGTAATTAACATCATCATAAATAAGGAATGTTTCTGGATCTAACCTTGAAAATCCACCAGAACCAGCACCAACGCTGGAGGCTATAATGCCAGAGTCGATGTGGAGAATCTTTGGGTTATCTTTTCGTAAAGATATCTGCCGTTGAAGAACCAACCCTCCACCAATATTACCTTCCAAAATAAGAGATTCCTCCTCTCCTGCATGCTTAAGATCCCGCCTACGTGCAAAGACTACAAGCATAAACACAGGCATCTAGAAGATACATGAAAAAGGAAGTGACTGCTGATTTTCATGTATGAGCCAACAGAACAAAAGCACTAAGGAAAACAGGGGTCCCCAAAGTGCATCAGTAAAGGTCAAACAATCCATATTGAAAATAGAGAAACTTGGTAAATTTGGCCTACACAACAAGCATAGAATTTTTTTTTTGGCTGTACAATGATTGATGATCTGACAATAAAACAAATTCTCGAGGAAATCAAGAATTATTTTTTGATTTATCAGTTATATAAGTTAACAACTCACTCATTTTCTCTACCATATCACATATCACTACTTGAATATTCAGTCACATGGAAGTATTAGGCTTTGTATCAGAAAGGAATTGAATTGGAATCATTTCTGTTCTAATGATAAAAAGCTACAATGAAATTTGTCATCAACTTACTCGATGACATTATATTCTTCAGAACATCCTGCAGACCGGTACTCGGTGCCACTGTACTCTTCATATCCATCAATCTCAACCCTGCTATGAAGCCACTGTGTTCCTTCAATCAGTTCCAATAAAAGGAGAAAGTGAGCTTTTGGATCATATTAGGAGGTCCTTGGCCAGGAGTTTTGCTGAGATTGTAACCATTACCTGAGGGAAGGTGCTCCATGGAAATAATTCTGCCCCCAATCCAGGGAACTACTTTAACAGTCCAGTCACCATTTTTCAATTCAATAGGGACCCTCGAAAGCTCCACTCCTTTGGGTCCAGAAACCTCTTCCACCACCGGAATATGCTTAGCACATTCTGCAGTTAAAAAGTTATCTATGAGGGGACAAAACTGATTTAAAAAAAAAAAAAAAAACACTAGAAATTAGAGTTTGGAAAGAACCATGTGATGCATTTGGACTTGTGGAATGACAGCTCATGCACCTAAGATAAGTTAATAGATACATTAAATTTTCTTAAGACGACAAGAAATGATTTCTATCATTCTCACATCTTAGCCACCATAATGGAAAAGAATCTACGAAATCTAGCAATACCACATAAGGGTGGAGTTAGGAAACCACAAGTAGCCTCCTCAACTACAACAAGCCATTAGTGTCTATCCTATCGAAAACCATTAGACACACAGAAAACCTAACCTTGGAGGGCATCATGGCCATCCAAGTATGATCACCAAAGGAAAACAAATAGACTTGGGAGAATGAATGAGACATACTAAAACGAAGATCTACAAGTGAAATTGCAAGAATAAAGGAGAATATTCTATTCTGGTCCACAAATTGAATGCATATTCCCTGAGAAAAGTAAATCTTCTCTTCATGAAAACCAAAATGGAGAGTAGACTAGAGAAGAAAAATGATGAGTTCTTAACCAACGAGAATTATGAGCCTATATGATTAAAAAGTAGTACATGCATCAGTCAACTAATGTTTAAAAATCTACAAAATGATGAAAAATAGAGGATATTGACAGCCCAAAAGAAGTAACAATACCCAACCGAGTCCTGTATTGTTTCTCGCTGGCAGACACGAGTGTAGAAACTTCAACTTCTGTGGGCATATTGACTTTCAGGACATCTCCATCCATGCCCCACGAGTCAAGCTGTTCGCGGATAAAGAGATTGATAAATCTTTTAAACATATGCTTCACCAGTGGTGGATTACGGTCAATGCCAATTGTGCTCTAAGAATGTTCATTGAGAACAGAAGACATACCATTGCACCTCCACCAAGCAATAAGTGCACACGCAGACGACGTTTGGGCCTCTTCCATGATCCTTCCACTTTGGAAACTCTGACAGTAACAACTGAAGATTGAAGTTCAGCAACATAGTGTGTCAACAGATATCCACCTCTGGTGAATTCATAGCCATCGCCTTCGTCTTCAAATAGTACTCCTTCAGCAAGCCCTGCAAATGCAGAAATGTAATGCATCCAGGTCAAACCAATCCATCAACACACACTCTCCCACAAACACACATGAATAAGAACCAGAAGGAACATTTTATCAACCAACTTTTTGCTTCACAAAACAGTAGAGACAGGCCTTAAAAGATGTCTCTTACCAGTTCAAAGAAAAAATGAAGTAGAGCAACCTCGTTTTCTAAAAGCTTCAACTATCAGAGCACAGTAACTCACTATGCTTAACACTGTATAAACTGTGTGGCTTGCCACGGTCTAACTTGCAAGCTTGTGAATTGAATTAGGAGCTTAAGAGGTCCAATAGGTCAAACTTTCTATCATAAGGCCATATAAAATTCAACACCAATAACTTTACATCTTTAAGTAAACAATTCAACATTTGCCCTTCATAAAATTTAACATGCATGAGAAATACCATTTTTATCTAAAGCTACAAGGAGCGTCAAGTCATCTGACGGATTAGCTTCACCAACATGCTGATGAGGGGGAGCCAAAGGAATTATCGATCCTCCTTGCAAATATAATGTTGGTAAATCCTGTTACAGATAAAGGTAAGTAAAAAGATATGACTAGATGAAGTAGAGCAAGATGAGAATAATAGATACCGGATGTGAATCATCAAAATCAAATCTCAACCAGATTCCCTTGGGCAGCAATGGATGCAATTTATCGATTCCCTGATCAGCAACGGTGCTAAAGCAGGTAAAAGAGAGTTAGTTACAGAAAATGCTATCTACAAAGAGCAACACTCCTTACCAATTACCACCCTAGTGACAACACAACCAAAAAGAAATATGACAAGTGAAGAAGACATTGTTACTGTTCCTCAATGCGCACAGAGTCATCATTCTGTATTAGCATACTCTACTTTCTTACAAGAATGTTAGTCCTCAAGCAAAAAAATATACAGTATTACATAAAACCCTACCAACACTGCCTCTCAAAATGGTGCACAACAGCACGGGTGTCTCTCTAGCACACCTTGAAGGAAATAGAGGGGAACATTTTATCACCAAGACGGTTAATAAAGGCATCAGCTAACTGATCTCCAAGCTGTATATAATGCATATAATTTACTCCTCAATGAACCTTCCCACTGATAAAATAGCTGCCAATAACCCCGTTGCCTCTTATGGCCTTATTCGTCTATAATTAACAATTCAAATTAGAACCTACAACCCAGGTCACATGGCATAGAGGAAATCAAGTCAATCAAACACATTTAAGTTAGTACTTAGTAGCCTCATTAAATAAAGAGAATGAGAACCTTGAATAGACAAGAAGAGGACCCAGAAGGAAGGAATTCTCGGTGGTCCTTAGGCCAGGATCTTTTGGATCTGCACGGGCAGTTTACATGGCAACTATCAGTGACCATAATGAATGTAAGAACATTCTGAAGTTCCTTAAATGAAGCAAGTTTATTCAACTGCACAAGGACATACCAGCAAAGAAAGTCGGAGTTGCCACCAGGGTACCCGTTGTGTGAGCCAAATAAAACAGAGTGTATATGTGTGGTAGAAGTCGATAACGCCTCTTCAATGCTAGACGGCAAACTTCTTCGCACTAATGGAACTAAGGTTAGTATGTCATAAAAATTGAATGCAGATGAGAAAAATTAGCTACATTTACCAGCAATATGGAAAAATTATGAATGTGGCAACCATAGTTTTAAATTGCGGATGGTTAAAAAAGCAATCGTGGTCGTCATTGCAGATTACGGCTTATTATAATATTAAAATAACGATAACAGTATATTCTAAAAATATTACACAACGGCTGTTATTTAAAACTATGATTGCAACAGGTAAAACAATTTTCTTGCTGGTAAATTGCTCCAGCCATGTGTCAATTGCTCCAGACTATGCTATATCAAAACGAAACATCCACTTTCATATCACAAGTAAGAAATAAGCGAGAGGTTGTCATCAAATTGATAGCATGTGGGACCAACCTGTTCCCCAAAAGACCATGGCTCATGATCATTTGAGATCTCTTCAGAATGCCCACGGCAGAAAGGAAACATAGCTCCCACACCCATCCACCTTCCAAAAAGCTTGGGTGTTGCATTTCCAGCAAATCCACCAATATCAGGTCCAGAGAATGGCTGACCACTGAGTCCCTATCCATAGTGCAAAACTGAAATTAGAGCAAATAACCATATAGCAAGAAGAGAAAATAAAAATTTTATTTTAATTTCCTAATAGAAAATAGTTTCCCTTTCTAACCACAGTTTCTCTCGCTAAAGGAGCAAAACCAAGTACTAATCTTGGTACCATTTACACATGGCCTGAAGAGAAGTTGTTGGGAAATGACAAATTTTGGCCTTGGCAGGAAAAGAAAATCAAAGCATAACTTACAACAATGGTAATGTGAGGATCTGGAGAGACATATGAGATAGAAAAAGGCATAACTTGTAACATACTAAAAGGCAAAAAAAAAGGTCAATTTGCCTACTTCTCAATGGGTAAACAACAGGCTCAAATTACTTACCAATTGAAGTACCATGGAGATAGACATATGTAAGTGCTCCCAGTTTGAAGAGTTATCTCCTGTCCATGTTGCAGCATACCTTTGACTACCAATAAATCCAGCTCTCGTGAGTACAAAAGGACGCCTCTTTTCACTAGCTAACTTCATGCCTTCATATGTTGATCTTGCCATAAGCATGCCATATACCTACAAATGAGAAACCAACAAGAATGACTAGAGTTTCAAAACTTATTTGCTCCATAGTGATGAATGAATGCAAGCAAAACCATAGAAGAGCAAACAATTCATAAATTAGATGCAGTAGTTCTTCATTCAGGTTGCTGGCAAGAATGCATAAAAATGAAGAAAATAATTGTATTATAGTACTGGCATCCCATTCTTAGATATCATTATCATGTTACCAGAAGAAAACAGCAAGATTACAGTTTGAGGGGAATACATTGTGATAGTGCGAGTGATTCTGACCTCCTCCAATTTCTTCATCTCCTTGATGAAAATTGCTCTCAGGCATCGTCCTTGTGACAGTCTGAAAAGCAAACAAATGAGACCAAAAAAAGACAGCCAGAAAATGGAACGTTTGAGAAAGAAGCATAGAATCACTTTGAAAACTGCTGGCTCATTCATATCAGTCCATATGCCATCAACACCATTCGACGTAAAATCTTTAACTAAACTAGCCCACCAAGCGCGAACTTTTGATTGCGTGAAATCAGGAAAAACACAGGGCCCAGGCCACACCTCCCCTAGAAGTGGCAATAAAACCATAACTTGTCAGACGATAATGTATAAGAGTAAGAAAATTAAGGGTACTTACTAAAGCATGCTAGTTAAATTCATACCAACAAATGGTTCTCCATCTGCTTTCTTGATCCATACATCATTTTGAGAACCACTGTCATAGATCTAATAACCTTCTTCTTTCTTGATACCAGGGTCGAGCATCCAAATCGCTTTGAAACCATTATCATGGAGATCTTTTGCCAAAGATTGTGGATCGCGAAAACGTTCCTGAAAAAATTAGTAGAATATGACAGATTAAAATTTGATAAACATTTCCCATATCTTCTCTTCATGGGAACTAAATGGATGTCCTTCCCCATAATATTAGATAGGTTCTCTTTTAGTAAAATCCCTTCCACCCCAAATAAAATGTCCAAACCCTCTTATCAAATACAATGAACTTGTAAAGAAAAGGATCATTCAAGCAAAGTACATGCCTGGTCAAATGTGAAACAGCGAAAACCATCCATGTAGTCAATGTCCATCCAAATACCATCACATGGTATGCCCTTCTCCCGAAACGTTCTGGCAATCTGCAAATATAAGAGGCTCAGCAGCCAGAAACAGGATATACAATGTCAAATAATATGAATGAAGTACATAAATTCAAACAATTGAGGGCCTCTGATATGAGGTGAACAAAACTTTGGGAATCATAACATTGAAAATATTTATGATCACTATAGGAGGCTAGCTTGAAATCCTGTAATAGTCAACATTTTACATGCATGAATGCTAAAAATCCCCACCTCGCGAACTCTCTCATCTGAATCATAGCTCCACCGGGATTGCTGATAGCCTAATGACCACTTTGGAGGCATAAAAACAGTTCCTGAGCAAAGTGACAGCATAAATCACTAGCAAAACAAACCTTTTGCAAAAATAAATTACGATCCTAATGTCTACTCTGGCCGTTAATTGAATGATTTCTATCCACAAAGTAGCATCTAGCAACAATATCCTATAGGTGTTCCAAATTTTAAGAGAAAAAAAGCCAATGCTTTAATATTACTAGGAATACAACACCCTTGCAGTAATGCCAATTACTCAAATTCTCTTCTTGGCAAACTCCCATGCCCCCATCATCTTAGGAGCCTGCCCCTTGCAAGATTCCAACTGTTCCATTGCAGTTAAGCCACCATTCCTTATGCAGCCCACTCCATGATCTCTACCTTTTATTTTCCCACCTCTCACTGAAACATTTTGTTGTTCGTTTTAGTCAGTTCGCCATAATCCCTCCACCAATGTTCACTAAGGAAGAGGATACACACCCATTCCCATTTCTTTACTCGCTAATCTATCCACAAACCTCTCTACATACTCAAAACAAAAGCCACTTATCACCTAAGAAACACTAGATCAAAACATCAGAAACACCAAAATTCAAAGATCAAAGCACTAAAACAATTCCAAAACCCAAAAAACAAAAGATCGAGTCACCAAAAAACCACTCCAGATGTAACAGTAAAGTAAGACACAATGATATCAGTCCATTTTTCACATCATATCTTTCTTTAATAGACGCACACAATAAGTAAATGGACCAAATGCAGCAACACATGAAATAGGCATACAATTAACGATAAATCCACAAAAAAAGCAATTGAATCCGGACAGAAAACAGAATCAAGAAACAATCCAAAATGGTTAGGAAATTACCAATGGCATGGGATAAAGATTTCAGAACATCAGTGGGTGAAGCAAATGGACCAAATGTGACAACAGGATACGATGACGGAGCAATGAACTGAATTATTGATTCTTTCCTCAGATCAATCTGCTTATTGATGGTAAGTGTGAAAGTTAAATTAAGGCAACATACAAGGGCTAAAAGAATGCAAACGTTTTCATTGTTGGCACATCACCTCACAGCGTAGTGTGGTGTCTGCAAGAACACCTAATGCCTCTCCATTCGGAAGAACAGCCAGTACCCAAGGATGTGACTGGTACAACGATGGAGTTCCTGAACCATAACCCACCGTGTTCCATGCGAAAACCTACATTAAAATATCTTCATTGATGAACCACAAAGAAAAATATATCAAGGTTGTTGCTTCTAACAAAATGGCTTACTCTTTTTCCAGTCCTCTCAAGCTGTCCAGTAACTTCTCCAGTTCCATAAAAGGAGGTACCAACAGGAAACTAAAACCAGAAACAAATTCTTTCGCATTACAAACAATACACTGTAAATTGACAGAACTTGGAATAACACAACGATATAAAGATAAAAGATTTCAAATTTAACGTTAAGATATGTAAAAAATATGGGAATTCTGTAACTACCCACCTCGAGTTTAACAATCTGCTGCCCAGAAACACATTCAAAAGCAGGAGTGTATGAAGGAACACTATGATTCACGATTGGTGTGTCCCTATCTTTGCTAGTGATGAATGAAAGACTGGGATGTGTGGCAACTCTAAAATCTGTAGAACAATCAAATCGAAAAATCCCATCCTCCAAGATAGGCTGAAAAATCATATCCCCGGATACAACATCAGCGGAGGCTAACTTGGCTTGATCATGATCAGCCATTTTAGACATCAGTCCCCTGCAACTTGATTTCTTATTAAGCCTCCTTTTTCTGCATCCCAACGTTTGATTAGAAATTCAATCAATCAATCGAACAGTCAAAGAAGCACAATAGGAAAAAAAAAAAAAAAAAAGCTTTGGACAAATGAACCTCTTCTTTAGTAATTAGAAGGGCATGGAGAAGGGCTACATAATCTTAGATATCGCAGTAATGATTCCTAAGAAGTAATAGAATTAATAGGTACAACAATTTCAGCAAGTGAGTACTTGGTACACTTCTGCATGCGTGCATCAAATGTAGAACTGAACTAACATGAACTTGTTCTTTCAAAATGCCAAACAGCTGATTCCCAAAATAACTTTTCGGACCCAAAATCAATAACAGAAGTAAAGAAGCCGTGGGCAAGTGATGGTTGAGAAAGAAGAACCTGGAAGCGAAGGGGCGAAATAGAGAAAATGTAACGGCTGTTGTGCTGGTGGCTGTTGAATTGGGGAAGAAAGGGAAGAAGAGTGAGTTTATAATGCCTAAGCTTTGAGATTGTAAGTGTTAGTCCACGTTGCTGTCCACTACTGCCCACCAGTAATGATTCCATTGCAAATGCCAGGATTCTCTCTTAAGATTATATTACACCAGTACTACTACAGTGTCAATATTTGAAGCAAGACAAGACCTTAGGAAAAGAGATTGAAGGGACCCGTGGGACTGACTTTTTTCCTTTTGCTTTTATCTCTCTTTTTGAACGGTGGCATCAATCATCTTGTCATTGTAAAGAATCAGCTTTCGGAAAAATACTGATGGACTAAAAGAGCTTTCCCGCGTATGAAGAGGGAGTGTAATGAGTAAGTTGCAATATTCTGCACCCTCAAAACACATTTGCCTTCCTTTAAAAAAAAATAGCATTAAATGATTTACTTGACCAAAGGAGATTTGATCTTTACGAGAGAGGGAGGGAGAGACTTGAAAAATAAAAATCGAATCCACGAAATTCTATCATCAGTTCAAAGTGACGACATTTATCATTCTTGAAAAATGTTTAGTATTCAAAAGGGATGTCTTAGGGGTCTCGCTTTCTTCTCTGTGAGCAGGCAGTTACACACCGAGTCACTGTGATCTTTTAATGCATAGGTATACATACAACTGTTTTTGTTCTACAAACAAGCCATAATAAAGCTCATAGCAGTTTACATTCCCGTAGCCGTTACCATTTCAAATGCAATCTGCTTTAAGACAACCAATTAGGCAATTACAGCAATAAAACTGGCAACCTTCACTTTTTTTAATTTCCTTTTTCCATTGAAAATAACTAATACTATGTTGCTTCAGATCTTTAAATTGGGGAAGGTCTCTCCATCTGACTGTGATATGAATCCTGTTGCAGAATGTCTTGTAACTGCAACAAACCAAATAAGAAATTGCAGAACAACTGGAGGCAATAATTATGTTCCGGAATGGACAAGCTTTGGGACTTCACAATCAAATATCAGAATAAATCTGAACATGCTCGTTAACAGTTATGCATCCGAACTCATCCTGGTGTAGGAAAAATATGAAATTGGCAGGTCAGGAACGTCGTGGCTACTCACTGCTATTCTCAAAGTTCACGTGCATATTGATGATTACTATCCATTTATCATGATATTCGTAAAACTAGTAGCACAAAGATTTTAATGTTTCCATTTGGACCTATTTTTGGGTTGCCCAAAAATTCACATTGAAATAAAATGAATTCAAGGAAAAAACTTTTTTTTTTTTTTCTTTTAGAGAGAGATTTCATCTTTACATGACAATTCATTGTGAGAGAATTCATCAGAAACACAACAAATCATCGTGCATCAGGCCCCATGTCCTACACAACCAAAAAAAGCAAACAAAAGCATGGTCTCTGCACAAATCATGCAAGATATTTTTCTAGTCTTTAGCCAGTACCATTTTTTCTCTAGTGGAAAAATGAGAGATCCTAATCGATATTTACTGATTTTGATCATTTTCTTACCACTCACTTTGTACGATAATTCTTGCTTCATCATCAACACCACCACTACCACTACCGCAAACTGATACCCACCACCGACGCCTAGATTACCAGGTGATCTGCTTTGGCTCTACTGCAGCAAAATTATGGAGACTATATAAATTTAAAATGTATTTTACCGTTTATAAAAAGTTCGATTCAAAGAAAAAGTTTTTGATTTAAGAAAAATAGGTCTTGTGTTGCCAAAACATCGCACATTACATTGATCAATCATATGTTTTCCTTTTCAACGGGGACCAAAAAAAAAAAAAAAAAATTTGTCTTTTCAAGCCTTCAAGGGCATTTTTTAATTTCAGGTTGTTTATGCTATGTAACACCGTGCATGTACAACAAATCCACTAGTCACTTAAACAACTAGAGCCCATACCTCAACTGTAAATTGATGAAATTTAATTAGTGCATTCTGTACTTTTAAATTGTTTATTAGTTGGCTTTCCACAGTTCGATATGAATTGAACAGAATAGGTAAAATCATTTAATTTTATAATTTTTAATCTAATTTTTTGTTTAATTTATTCCTTTTTATGTTTTTTTTTATAAATTTTGTTATTAAAAAAAATATGATTTGTTATTTCTTATTCATTGAGTCTTAAATAATACCTTGCAATAATTTAAACAAAAAATCAATTTATTATTTTGTTTTATAACTAATTTACAAAAACTTGACAGAATATCCAAAATGTCTGAGTATTTCAGTTTTTTAGTCATCTTTTATGGTTTTACAATCAACTAATGAATGCGATTTGAGACAAATATATAAGAACAAAAACTAAACATATTCTGACATTGATTTAGTTTAAAAAATAATATATTTAATCTTGACTCATTTAAAAAATAATCCGATAATACTCAATTATTGGTAAGTATAAAAAAAATTGAAAAAGTGTCTACCAAATTATAATTCATAAAGTTTTTAAGCTTATTAATTGACAATACAGAAATGCATCCTCAAAATCATTTAAAAAATATTTAATCTTAATTAACACACAAGTAAACATAAAAACACTCTTATCGTTCAAAAAAATCTAAATAAATTGAAATTTATATACTTACATGCTATATATAATATGATGCCAGGTAGTAACTCCAAAGATACTCATGCATAATGCGAAGGTAAAATCCTCCAATTTAAAACTATTTGTATCAATTCATTGCTTAAAAAAAAAAGCATAAAATTCTTTAAACAATGAAATTAGTTATAAGATTAAAGAAGTCTGGAGTTAGCTTCATTCTCTGTCTAGCTGTTTTTTTTTTTTTTCAACGACGTCTCCATAGGTCTAAGAGAATAGACCGGTGGTTCATAGCATTTACCAGAATTGGATAAAAGCCTTCAGCAGTTGACTAACTCCTGTTGACTTGTGTTCCAATGCCGACTGGCTTCACTCTACGGTGGCCAAACTAAATCAGCTGAAATTAGATATGGTGACATTAATGATAGTTATTATGGAGGTAATAATCATAATAGATGGGAAAAAAGATTCACCTTAAAAAGTACGTTTTGTCTTCTTCACGCTGTCTTCTTGTAACTTATCAAGGCTTCTTACTCTTTGCTTAATCGCTGGTTCAATTTCAGAAAACTTAGAGAAAACGAAAAAGGTGTCAATCTAGCCTTATATATATATATATATATGTGTGTGTGTGTGAATTACCTTCTCGTAATTAGATTTTTTTCCTCACAATTAAGTTAAATATATAATATACATGTAAAATTATTAGAGTTAAAAACCTATTTTTACTTTTATTTTATTTTTAGTTTTTTAAAGAGATGTTCAAAAGGTGAAAGCTATTTTTCAAGGAGAACAAAAAAAAAGTTTAGTAATAAATTTAAAAAAAATTTATTTATTTATAGATAAATAGGTGAAAAAATAATCTCTCTTGAAAAATAAAGAAATTTTTTTTTCCACATTTTATTTAAAAAATTAACTATAAAAAAATAAATAACAGTAGAAAAAATTTAACAATCAATTAAATTAACTATTACAATTAACAAATTTGCATAAGATTGATCCAAAAATTAATATTTTGAATTTAAATTATGTAAACGGACAATAAAAATTTGGAATTGTCAAATTATAATAGAATATGGGCATTTTTTTGACATAAAACCCATATAAAACCATAAAGTTTAATCTAAGACAGGTAATGCTCAATAATGCCTATTTAAAAAAAAAAAAACTTACTTTAAAATTGATCTACCTGCTTTTGCAATTCTTCAATTTTCTGAAAAAAGAAACCACATGTGTTGTAAGGAATCAAGACAAATTAAACAATCCAACTAGTAAAACCCAAAAGAACACACAAGATTGAAATTTTAAATCTAAAAAATCCATTAAAATAATTTGTTATATATATATATATATATACACACACCAAAAAAAATAATGAAAATTTTCATGGATTTGAATAGAAATTATTTACCACTATTAGTTATATACTTGAATGAGCAGAATTGAGAATTTATTCCTCTTGCAAATTAATCAGCTATATCCTCAACCAACTGATCAATTTGCTTTCGCATTTTTACAATTCTCTGCAGGAAGAAACCACATATGTTGTAAAAAATCAAGACGAATCTAGTCAAAATGTTCATAAGTTGACCTGGATACCCGCGTTATCAAAAAAAAAAAAAATCAAGACGAATTAATCAATCCCACTAAAAGAACACACATGTACGAGATTAAATTTTTAAATCCATTAAAATATATTTGTTATATATAAAATCAAAGATATAATTTTCATACCAAAAAAGCGCTAAATCTAAGTCAATATAATTTTGTGTTAGAGTTCTATATATAAAGTAAAATTTTCATGGATTTGGATAAATTATTTTTTAATCATTAATTATATATTTTTTCGGGAGAAATAATACCTCTGTCAACTGGTCTATTTTACACTGCAATTCTTCAATACTCTGCAAGAAAACCACATACATTATAAAGAACCAGAAAAATTGAATAATTCCACTCGTAAACCCAATCGAATACACGAGATTGAATTTATCTTTTTTTAGCAGCTTCTGACTCGGATGCTCATTGTTATTTTATTTCTTTAACATGCTTAACGCTGTTGGGTTACAATAATAAAGAAAATTTTAGACTCAATTACCTCTTCATTACTAATTGATAATGATGATTTTAATGACGATTTTTATCGATTCATCGTTTAAAATACACAATAAATTCACTTTAATAGACAAAACATCTAAATTCATCAAAAATAATAAAAATAATTTCATTTAACGTCAATTTTTTATTTTTGTATTTTTTTCTTTGTGTCTACATCTAACTTATGAACTGTAATTTAAATAATTGCGAAGAAAAAAAGTGTGCAGTAGAATTTTAATTTTCAATGAAAGAAGTAGATTCCTTGTAATTAGAATTATTGTTTAGCGTTATTTTTGTTATTACCAAAGAAATTAGATTATTCATGTGTGTGTTTATAATTTAATATTTTCCCCGAATTTTTTTAATCTTTTTTTATAAAACTAATTAATGATCATCTTTTAACAATCAAGAAAAGAAAATCTCAGGACTTCAAAGAAAACAAACAAGTATACCTTCAGGTTCATGTGGATAGCAGTTGCCTCAGGACTATCAACTCCGATTTTCACCAGTCTCTCGCTTTGTTCTAAACTTGGAGGTGGCTCCTGGGGACCATCTTCATTCTCCATGCTAGATCTTTCTTTTCGATTAATATTTACTTTTTTGGGTCCTTTGCGCATAAGAAAACGCATACAGGTACTACATCCCCCACGTTTACTATCTCTTTTTGGCAAAAGTTCTTCGAGTTCTAGTAAGATGTTAGATACCTCTTTTTCGTCATTATTGAATAAATCAGAGAAGCTGAAATTGGTGGTGTGCTTCATTGTTGTCAATTTCAGCCCTGCTTGCAAGGATTTTTGCACAGAAAAATTAAGCAAAGTCAAAAGAAGCAACTAAGTTTTAGGTCTCACTGAGTTTACTGTCAATGTTGTACGGATTTTATTTAGTTTTTTATGAACAATTGGTACGGCATTAATTTATACCCAGATTAGAATGCTGTCAGTAGCGTGGTCTGATTTGTATTGCTGCAATTGGAATTTGGAATGGATTAGAAGTCTATCTTTGTTGTATTCTTTTTATTGTTATCTGTAAAAATTACCGTCGAATAGAAGGAAGGAAGAAAGAAAGAAAGAATGTGCAGGGGCTGAGGGGCACAGGAACCTTACTGGGTACAAACTATAGCATACTTGGGGGACTTTTTTTTTTTTTTTTTAAATGCTAGGAATCTAGTGAGTTAATTATAACTCAGTCCCTGCAGTTTAAAAATTTTAATTTTTAGTCCTTGTGCTTTCAAAAACCATTATTCAATCCTTATATGTTTAGATCTATAAATAGCTTGATTCTTTTGTCAATTCTATCCTTTTTCCCGATTAGAAGAAGGCGAGATGGGAATATGGCAAGATGGGACTATTTCATTAAGAAAGAAAGCTCTTTCTGGAACAAAAAGCTACCGAATTACTTTTTATACTCCATGGACTAATTAATTAGTTAAGGTAAACTATAAGAACAAAGATATAATTAACTCAATTCTAGATAAAAAGATAGTTGAAAACAAACAATGCTAGTGCTATTATATGAATAACACCACAAAAAAAGACGAGCAAAAAAAAAGCTATCATTTGAAAGACTAATTTACTCTCCATGCCATGTCATCGGGTCCTTGCAAGAATAACATAATAACTGGACAGTTACAGTTCAAAAGAGTAGGGAGTTATAACTGGAATTAATGGCCTTATATGTCAAATGGTGTTATTTCAACCCACGGGTCTTGTAGAAAATCCCCAGGAAAAAAAAAAAAAAAAAATCCCTCCTAATTGAATTGAAAATGACACATTGTAAGTATTGACTTCCCTTAGAATCCTGGATTGCTATCCAATGCTTAATAAAACCATGGAATATTCAAGGTACATAAATAATCACTGCAAATCCAGTACTGTCAACTATAAATTAGTTAAAACAATAAACAGTCCCCAGGAGAGTTAAAAAATGAGAAAATGTTGGTTAGTTTAAGATGTTTTCTGTTTCTTTGCGATTTTCCTATTAATTAAGAAGTCCTCGTCAGAATCATCTTCGGAGCTTTCATCTTCAGCCTTGCGCTTCTTAGGCTGTTTCGATGCAACTTTGGAGACAGTTGTCTTCGGTTGAGTTGAAGATACTGCAGAAGGTGGTGTCTTTTTTTTAACAGTTGCAGATTGAGTCTTCTTTGTGACACTAATTGCTTTCACCGGCGAGGCGAACTTGTTCCTTTTCTGTTTCATCTCGTTAACTTTCTTGGCCACCCCCAAAGGGAGCAAACCAGATTCCATCAACCTGCAATTATATTCAGATGCAGCTTTGTTTAAAAATGCACCCTAATACTAAAAAAGATAAGTACAATCAAGATAACAAAGCAGGTTCCTGGGAAAAAAAATAAAATAAACAAAGCAGACAATTCAACAATTATATTCAGATGAAGCTTTGCTTAAACATGATCATTCCACTCCCAATAGCCACATAGATTAGTTTGCTGAAACTAGCCAAAATCAATCAGATCAAGTCGTACTTCATGACGTGATATGTATACTTGTTCTTGTTTGGCCTAAATTCTAAACAAGAAGTGCAATTTTTAGAAAGGTAGTCAACTTTCAAATCCAAAAGGGGTCAGTCGATATTCACAACACACAGACTTATACAATCACTCATAAACCATTATTAACATCCCTTCTCACTCCATTGAAAGTTGAAACTAATACATGTTATTAAGATGGAGGCAGTGCTGCATCATATTACAGAAGAAAACGGGATATGATTAGCCAGAGAATTCAACTGATTGTCCTCTAAACTATGCAAACAATCACACCCAAACTTTCAGTGGTATGACAGAGGATGGAACAGAAATAAAACAAAGGCAGAGTAAAACCTGATGAACCCAAGAGCACACTCAACTTCTTTTCAGAAAACTGATAATATTGAGTTCTTCAGCTCTACATTCCATTCATGATAACCAAACAAGAAAGAAACATTTAAGATAAGGATATATGCATTTCTCCATGACCATTATGAGATTATATCATGAACAGCTTAGTTTCCTGTTGCTTAACCTACAAATATTTTTTAGAAAAAAGGAGCTGCGATTGTTCTTTGACCAATGTCATATTTTGTGTGCCATAATGTCCAATATGAAAATTGCAGTTTAGCTTTTATTAAATATACATGGATCATAAAAATGCCATGTCCTTGAAATAATCAGTGAATTTATGCAAATAAATAGTGATGTTATTTTAACCCTCAAGTAACAAAGATTGATTGCGTTAGTGTGCAACAGCAATGGATTCTACAGAATTCATCATATGGTTACATTGCAGGCACTATAACTAGTCCATGATTTCTTATATGGCCTACACATCCACATGAACTGAACATCAAATGAGGGGCTGAATATGAACTTAGACATACTAATCATTGTTGGGCACATTAAAAGGAGGAAAAAAATAGACCAAACGTAAGCCAACTAAATATGCATACACTTGCAAAGTATGCTTATGTTTCTAAGTAAGACATTTATGATTTCCATTTTGCATCAAAATTGATTTGGCTGATTTTATGCACTGATGCTTTGCATACTTCTATGACCTTGCAGGTCTTTTTTGCAGACTCTCGTTTACAACCTTTTCACTTTCTAATTCCTACATAAATGTGAACATTTGCAAATATTGTAGTATATGCTCACCAAGAGGCATGCCTTTGCATTTACCATCAAGAATATAACCCGTTCAGGGCCTTCCCTATCCCTTATGTTCTAAAACTCTTAAACAAATTTGGTTTTGGTGCTGGCTTTATCCCACTCTTTATTATCAAAGCTCAACAATTCCATGGCTTGTTAAGCTGGCATGATACTATCAAATAATCCTAGATTCAGAGTTTGCAAGATCGTGGAACCCATTAAATGTACAAGGAAGGGTTAAGGGGCAAATCATAGGAGATAAAGCAAGTCCTCTCTTAACTATCAGCAAACTTCTTTTCCAATTACCAGAGACAAGATATTGGTGTGATAACAAAGGGAACGAACCCTAAAGACAAAACAACTCACCAGAATTGTGCCATTTCACTTTCAGGGACCTGCTCATACAGTGTCTCGTAAAATATCCTCAATGGATCTCTCTGCAATCATAACCCCTTAAAATCAGGAGATTTGAAGGAAAACAACTTAAAGCAAATGAACAAAACTACATTACCTCATCAGGAGGATCTCTCTTCTGTCCAGGAAATTCATAAACCTTCTTCTCCCTCTTCTTCACAATCTGTGCAGCTGTGACAGACCCCTTTGTCTTCTTAATAACTTCCTCTTTTTTAACTTTCTTCTTGTTCAATTCCTTCATCTCAAACCAACCCGCAAAATAAAACAAAATCACACCCATTAACCGAAAAAGTCCATTCTTCTATCCAATTAAAAACAGGGAACTAAAATAAAACAAAATTAAAAACTTTAATCACATTTTCCCACTATTTAAAAATTTTGCTCCCTCACACTACCTCTCTCTGTCAACAAGTTACAGGGACTAATATAAACTACACCTTTATAAAACGCAAGACCAAAATTGTAACTTTTAGAAAAAGAACACAGATAATAAAAAGAAAAAAAAAACAGACCAAAGCCAAAATACCTTATCAGTTTTAGAAGTAGAGGTCTTTTTCAAGATGGGTTTATGATCATCATCGCCATTGGCTTCTTCTTTCTTAACTTTAGCTACTGGTTTGGAACCAGAACCTGAAGAGCCCTTGCCCTTGCCCTCTTCTTTAACGGGTTCAACAAAATCATCATCTCGTGGCTCTTCTTTCTTGACTTTGGTAGCTTTGGACCCCGATTTTGTGGTTAAAGTACCAGCATTTGTTGGGTTCTTTTTCCGGGCTTGAAGTATGGCATTCAAGCTCTTCTCTTCCTCTTCTCCTTTTTTTACTACCACTTCTTTCTTCACGGGTTTTGCATCCTCTGAAGGCATTTTTCTGAGAAAATCTGGAGAAAGATTGATAGTGCGTCTATGGAGGTTGTGATGATTTTTAAAACCCTTCTGTCCTGTGAATTTAGAACTTGCAAGGAAAAATCGGTTTGGGGTTAATCTAGGCGGTGTCGTATGGAGATAGGATTAGCAGTTGCCATCTCCATGCAACGACATCGTTCCCTCGCACCTTTTAATATTCAAATTTCTAAATGGAAAATATTTTACTATAAATTTTTAATGTATGTTGAAGGATATATTACTTATATTTATAAGTATATGTTAGAAAATCATTTTATTATTCAAATTTCCAAATGAAAATTTTAGTTTAATTTATATATATAACTAGATGTTTTATACAATTTATCAACCATTCTTTTAACAATATTTAATAATAGTTAATAATTCTTATGATTTCTATTTCTTAATTACACTTATTTATTCATTATCTTTCTATTTTTAATTTCACATGACTAATTTTTATTTCATATACCTTATCCAGTTATTATTTTATTTTTTAATTATAAATGCACTATTAAATATGAAAAAATTTACAATTTAAATGTGATTTATTAAATATATAATTTGGATAAATTTAATAATTTGTAATAGTTTTATTGGTTTGTTTCATGATCTTAGATAGCGGATCATTTACATGTAATAATTTTTTTTAACCGCAAAATCAATTTTTTGAAGTTTCTTCATTATTTTTAAACCTGTGTGTTTAAAAGAAAAAAATTCAGCTTTTTAATGAGTTCAATTTTAAAATTATAACATGAGAAATAAATTCAAGGACAAGGCTTTAAACTTAAATCTTGAAAACTACGAAATAGTTTGGGAATTATAGGACTGCTAACTTATTGTATATTCCAAAGCTTATGAGCCCTCAATCCTCGGTCTTTAATTTGTCTGAATGTGTAAGGCTATCATTAAAGTGCTCAAAAGGTCCATTCATTAGATCTGTTTTACAGATTTTTGTGAAATATTACCAAATACGTGGAGCTTTAAAAAAAGAAGGAGGAGGAGGAGGGCCACATTGAATTGAAAACTAAAACTATAGAATTGAAAGTGAATTGTTTTCAATCCAATAGAAATATGAGATAATATGTATTTATCTATCCTTATATACGGATTATATTTTTTTTATATATGATTTTAAGGTTTTTTTTTTTTTTTTAACTCTCATATACTAGTGTATATTAATATTTTATCTTATATACTTTTGGACAAAAATACCCCTTAGAACAATAAAATAAAATTTAATTTTCAAAACACACAAAAAAAAAAAATTTCACAAACTCAAAAAAAACTTGAAAAATCCAAATATTTAGAGGGAAAAAAAAACCTAAAAACAACGAAAACTTAAAATAAGCCGTAAAAAATGTAACACTTCTAGTAGTTGTAGCATATCTTGGTTTTAAAAATAATGAAAAAGACATAAAAGAGAAATTATAAAAAAAATGTAAAGGCATATAAAAATGAAAAACCCTTTGAAAAAAACACAAGAAAAAATGCATTCATTAAATAAAAGTAAAAGTAGATGCGTCCATCAGCCGTTGAAACATTGGAGAAACTATAGGTGCCAAAACACGATTTGTCAAATACAAAAGGAAAAGGTGGCTATAGATATTCCCAAAAAAAAAAAAAAACAGTGGCTATGCTTTGAAAAGTTAGCTCTGTTCCACAAAATACGTGGATCAACAAAAATACACCACTTTTCTGAAGATGCATGGGAGCCTGCTTTTAAATTTCTATTGGGTTCATCGAAGTTACCATCGCAGAAGGATCCAATCATCCAAACCAACCGCTTAGGCATCCAATAGCTTTGAATATATTCCTTCCTTTTTCTTTTTTCTCTACAGATATACACAAGTTATAGTAATAGCTACTAGAAAATTGTTTTGGTATCAATACCAGCTGAGTGGGCATGAGTCCAAAAGATATATATAGTCGGTTGAGGATAGAATCGAAACCCCAGAATTTATGCTAAAGCAAACACTCAAAACCGTCCATCCTCCTATATAATTATAGCCCATTTCATAACAGAAGATACCTTGAGAAATACAGGGCTAGAAAAAGCTACTTCAGAGAGAGAGAGAGCTGATGGCTTGGTTGTTCAGAGATAGAAGGGGGCCTGCATGGAAGCAAGAGTGGACAGAGCGTACTCTAGCTTCCATGTCTCTACCTCCTTTCCCTTTACTTGCTATTTTCTTTATAATTTTTCTTCTCCTTTTTGTATCATCATCTATTAGCTGCAAGAACCAGATTCAGCATACGGTGATCAACTTCAAGTTGTTCCTCTTCCTCTTGCCTGTGCTGTTGATCTTTCTGGCTATGTTTGTGTCTAAGTTTGAGACCTTCATGTTTCCCAAAACAAAAGCACAGTATGGCTCGGATAATAGGAGCTGGAACTTGCCTTGGGGATTGGCAGTCTTGGTTGTGGTGCTTCTGGTGATGGTAAATTACAGGTCTTCTATGCAGTCCATGTGGTCTCCAATTGTATGGAGGTCCGATTAGTGGTTAGCTCTTTGCATCATTCTTGTATATGTTGAAGCCTTTTATGGTTTTACCACGGTACTTGTAAAATTCTGGTGAAAATTAAGTTTGCTTTTCATTTTCTAGATATCTGGCAGTACAGTTTTTTCAGTTTAGGTATCATTCACTTGAGTAGATAGGAAAATTTTAGATTTGTGCTTCAGACTGAATTACAGGACAATGATCGAAAGTTCAGAACATAGAAACGAGAGAGAGAGGGTGAGACAAAGGACATTACAAATTCTAACCAAATTCATCACTACAAACTAAGCAAGACTACAGCTAACTTAAACTGCACAATAAGATCGAAGGAAAGAATGGCTTTTCCCAAGGTATGACACAACTTAACTTACATCAGACTGACAATAATACAGAAGAAAATTTTACAGAGCTCAATAAGAAACTACACGGAGAAGCTGCTACTTTGTTAAGCTGAGAGGTTAAAGAATGGTGTGGGGTAAGGTCACTAGGCAGGAGCTGATGGGACCTTCACTTTAGGAACTTTGAAGGTAGAAGAGAACAATCTTGGAGTTTCTGAAATGGTAAAGTCAATCCTTTTTTCTTCAAGCTTCCGCTACCCTGGTAACAAAAATAATGTTAATCGCAATAAGCTTTACAGGATCAAAGAATGATACGATAATCAAACACAAAGTGTCCACTATTTTGAGGTTCGCATAGTCATGCTGTGGACAAATCACAAAAAAAATCATGAAGATTGACTTCGACTATCTATCTATCTATGTAAGAGCCTCAAGGGACAACATGATAAAATGAACAAACAAAACAGAAGTTAAGTAAGCTTTTCGAGTCATGACTTCAAAGCTGATGTGATTTAGCCCCAATGATGGATTTAATGGTCTTCCAACACAACAGGTCTTCTAAAAGCTGGTACCAATTTTTATTCTTACATAAATGAAAAGATTATACTAGATATCCAATAGTGCATACGCCAAATTAGTCATCATCTTGTACCCAAAAAAGAAAAAAATACCTTTTCAGCATCTTTGGAAGGAACAGTGGCTTGTATAGCTGCCAATACTTTCCTGTCAACGAGATTTCTAACCTTTTTGTCACAGCTTTTGATTCCCAGTGTGGAAGTTCTAGCTTGTGCACCGCAAGGTTTCATTATAGGTGTAACTTGAGCACTTCTTGACTTTCTTAAAAATTCCAACTGCTGGGAGAGTTTGGAAATTTCTTCCTTCTGATTCTCTGTGTCAGCTTCCATCTTGGCCACCTTAGTATTCAATCTACGAATAATTTCATCCTTTTCATCATTAGATGATTGGAGCAACTCTGCAGTGGCAAGAACTTCCACTATCTTCTCATTCGCCTTTTCAACTTCAGCTTCTTTACTCCTTAATTTACTGGTCAGATTGCTTTCTAGAATACTATATTGATTCCACACAAAAGTTTTCTCTTTCAGGAGTGCAGATACTTCAGAATTCTTTTCAGAAACAAGCTTCTCGTTTTCAAGCTTTAACCTTTCTACTTCAGCTTCCAACTTCTTAGCACCATTAGACTTTAAATCACTATGACTACCTCCCTTTCCATTGGCAGTTTCTTTAGAATTTGACTGATAAGTATCAAACAGATAATTAAAATCTCACAATGGCATTTATATTTAAGTCCCTAAGAACCAAAAAATAAAACGTAATTAGAATTTGACTGATAAATATCATACTTTTAGGTTCTGAGAGAGGTAGTCGAACCATGCTCGAAAATCTGCCAATTCATCTTCTGTTTGCTCTGCAATTACAAAATGCAATCAAATATAGCACAATTAAAACATGTAAAGGAGTGATTACAAAGCCATCAATGAACAAGTGCATTCCCAGCAACATAATCTATGTCAAACTCACCATTGCATCAACACCAAAGAACAAACTAATAAATCTGAATCAAGAGAATCAAACAGGAAAGTTGGCAAGGAAGAAACTTGTGAAGTGTTTCTATATGCAATGCTACATACAACTTAAACGCAAGCACAATTGTCAATGTAGCATCACTCCTATACCAATAAGATATCCAAAAGATAAGATTGTGTGACCACATTCTATTATCCCTTTTGTTCATGCCATCAACAAAATCATAGAAAGCATTCCCTTTCTTAATACAACAAGGAGGAAAAATTAAACAATTTAGCCCCTACTTCATCTTAAATTCAAAAATCTTGCAACAGACTCTAAAATTCTCAAAGTTTCTTTATTGAAGGAAAAATGCATAAAAACACTTGAAAAAAACAATCACCTAATTTCCATATACTTTATTGAAGGAAAAAAAAACAACCTTTTATCATTCAGCACTAAATCAGTATTATCTTGAAATCAGGACTTGCAACTGATACTAAAGTTCTCGAAATTCCGTTTCTTTTCACATTAATCACAACAAAAGAGTGCATAAAACCCTTTAAAAAGCCACTGACCTAATCTGGATTTGTGAAGAGAGGCCTCTCTCTGCTTCAAATCCAACATCAAATCACCTTTGGCGGTCTCGAGCAGACACGCCATGTCTTTCTCCACCAAATCCCCGTTTATCTACACAACAAGTCACAAAAAGCCCCAAATTTTCAAAACCCTAATTTCAAAATCCAAAAAGAACCAAGCTTTCCGCAAAAAATTAAACTTACCTGTAAAATATAATCCTCATAGAAACGAATATCAGAAAACCATCTTTCATGTTGCGTTTTAACCCGATCCTCAAGAATTTTCCTCTCTTTTAAGAAAGTTTCGAGCTGTTCTTGTTGGTTCTTTATTAATTTTAGTAGGCCACCAAATACCTTATCCCATTTTTCACGATCTGATGTCACAAATTGAGTGCACTTTGAAGTACCCATTGTTGAATCGAATTGCTATAAAAGAAGAAGAAGAAAAGGAAGGATTTTTGAACTGAAAGAGAGTTTGAGAGCGGATTCGACCGTTGTAAATTCAAAAGAGGGGTTTCAATCTAGTGCCCGTGCGTATTTAAAAGGATAAGGAAATTGGGCTTTCCTTATTGAAGTGATTTTGGGCTTATCGGGCCCTAACTGCACTTAGCTTTTATAAAAAATAAAAATAAAAACCATGGATGAATGCTCCCTGATTGTTTTTTTTTTTCTTTTTTCTTTCTTGAATAATGGGATTGATATCAATTTTGGAGGAAAATAAAAACTATATTTTTATCCCTATAAATTCTTTAAAATTTCACTTTGGCTCCTATGTTTAAATGTTTTTTTACACCTCTCTCATTTTCTCCCTCCCAACCCCCATACATGTCATTATATTGACATGAACACTTAAAAAAAACATAAAGCTAAATTAAAAAAAAAAAGGCTATATTTGGGTATAAAATTAGAAGTTTCAAAAACTAGAAAGGTACTCGGGAAATTTTAAATTATGAAAACAGAATTCAAACAATGGTGAATCTATGTGATAAAAAATTAAATTTATCAATAAAATAAAATAAAATGGTGAGTACCAATCAATGCAATTGCAATTTCAAATGATGAATCTATGGGATAAAAAAATAAAAATAAAAATGGTGAATACCAACAAATGCAATTGCAAATTCAGTTGGTGTGTCAATGAAATAATGTCACAGTCAAACTCTAGTATGGATGGCAATAGACAGGATATTAAACGAGTACCTACTTTATTCGATCTAATATATACTCATTAAAAATATTCAATAAATATTGAAATGAGCAAGTATAAAAAAATATATACCTACTAATATGATTTTAGGATATAAATACTCACTCTTTACTCTATTAATACCTATTGATTTATTTAAATTTTTTATTAACATACAGGAATCTAATTGTATAAAATTTAAAAATCAAGGATCAAAATATTTTTTTCAAAAAATTTATGAACCAAAAAATCATATAAATAAATGACTAAAATGCAAAACAAATAAATTTTAAGGATCAAAAAAATTTATTGAGATTATAAAGATTAAAATGATTTTTTTGATAAATTAAATTTAATGAGTATTAAATAGACGGATAAATTAATATTAGTAGAGTACGAACTGAAAAAAGATTTATATAATTTTTTTAATAAATAATAAATAGATTATTTTTCGATGACATAAAATAAAAAATTAAATTAATGTATTGGATATCAAAATATTTTTTTCATTGTCAACCCTAGAGGCTCTAGAAGACTTGTCAGTGGTCCATAAGGTGCTTAATAAGCTCGTGAAGGTAGCCCACTGACAACCCTAGAGGCTCTAGAAGACTTGTCAGTGGTTGAATTATTATTCCTATGCTAGCCGAAAAAGCATTTGCAGGATCACTTCTCTGATTCCGTTGGACGACTGTAATCTTTCTAGATTATTGCAAACACAATGCTTATATTTTTATAAAAAACGTCTCCTACGTCACACACACACACATATATATATATTATCGATGGATATGCCAGGAGGAAAATGCTAAATTCAATGGATATTTTCTGAGGAACAAATGGGAATAAGATACTTCCCAATGTTCAGGTCATTTAGTTATAGAAAAATCCTCCACAAAATTTTCATTATCCATTTTGGAATTAATAACATTATTCCAAAAGAAAAAAGGGCTTTCTCATTAGGTTCTTGAAATTGTCCATTATCAATTTGCCACGTGTCATCCAAGTAGACCTTATAATCCAAAACAAAGCATTAGAGAAACAAAGAACAGAATTAGCAAGTTCATTGGCGTGAGAATTACAATCATTTGCTATTTAAGTCTTCACGACAGTGCTGATTATGTTATGCTGTTTTTCTTATATATACATTTACAGAGATAGTAAGATACTTTCAAGTTAATTTTTGTCTTATTAAAAATTGAATTCAGCATTTTTTAAATTAAATTAATATTAAATTTAGTTTTTAATCGATTCTAAAAATCAGATTCCTTAAATCTGTCAACATATATATATAAAAAAAAATTCTAAAAATGAGATTGAAATTCTAAACTAGTAAATCAGAAATTCTTTTCTTGTTATTTAACTTGCACTTTCAATATCATGTTATGCCAGTTATTAGCCTTTCTCAAGGTGAGGAGTAAGGATTAAAAATAGAGTTTGAAAGGACAAGTAAATGGATGAAACTTCCCAAGCCATTACCGGATCTTACAAGATTTCCACGTAAGCCAACATTTTCACTTACTGTACCAAATTAAAATGCCAGACATGAAAAAAGCACTTTCTTTTCGTTAGTTGATGTGTCCGAAGGTAGTGCAGGTTTCTTCGTGCACATCCTTGGCACTTCCTAGGCCTACTTCTTTCCTCTATATATGTTTCTGTCATCTTAATGTTACTCTGAGAGTCCCTTTTCGTCTGCTATATTTTCAAGGTTCACATTCATTGTTTCGCTCTCAACTGGTATGAATGTCTCTTTTCTTTAATTTCCCCTTTTGTCCCCTTCTGTCTTGCTTGTTTTCTGAATCTATGTTGCTATATTGATAACGATACTAGCCCACATGGTGGATGGGTTACCTTTAAATCTACAAGTGTTTGTTTAAAAAAAAAAAAAGAGTTACTGTGGTTCGGATGTGGATGATCTGTTTAAGATTATGGGGGAGAAAATCAATATCCATGCACTAAAACTGGCCCCAGATATTCTAACAAGAACAAAAATTATAGATTAACAAATTGGGCTAAACAAGAAAAATAACAAAGTGAAGTACAAGGAATTAAAATGTTGGATCTTTGGTTAAGCTTGAAATTACAGGTTGATCTGTAAATGTTAAATATTTGATGTCATGTTGCAGATGCATATTCGTATTGGTCTTACTATGTCGTTAATGTTCGTTTCTTTTGATCAATCGCAGGTGTTATTTTACTATAAAAGTCTAGACTGTTTTTCCAGTGACTGATTTGAGAATTTCAAGGATGTCTCCAACTACTCCCATGGATGTGTGTCAAAATGGAAGTGTCAAAAGCTTTGAGACAGCAGGTCATATGTTTGAAATTGACTCTGAAATTTTAAGATTGTCTGACAGACCTAGACCCCTCAATGTGGAGAGAAATAGATCTTTCGAGGAAAGATCATTTAGTGAAAATTCCTTGCGCATAATAGACCATCTCGAGAATTCGTCTCCGGCAGGAAGGAGGTCTGGTTTTAATACGCCAAGGTCAAGCAATTTTGAGTCACACCCCATGGTAGGTGACGCTTGGGAATCGTTGAGGCGAACATTGGTTTACTTCCGCAGCCAACCTGTCGGGACTATTGCCGCATTGGACCATTCTGTCGAAGAACTCAACTATGATCAGGTAAGCTCGATTCCCTTCAGTTTCTATTCCTTTTAAGCCTTGTTCGACTATTCTTCATCCGCAGTGGCAGTACTAATCTTCCTGTACTTGGCAGGTCTTCGTCAGAGATTTTGTACCGAGTGCTTTAGCTTTTCTGATGAATGGGGAGCATGAAGTAGTCAAGAATTTTCTCTTGAAAACCCTTCATCTCCAGTCACGTGAGAAAATGGTAGACCAGTTCAAGCTAGGAGCAGGAGTACTACCTGCAAGTTTTAAAGTGCTCCATCGTCCTGATAGGGATATTGAGACTTTAATTGCTGACTTTGGTGAGAGTGCAATTGGAAGGGTAGCTCCTGTTGATTCTGGATTTTGGTGGATTATATTGCTTCGTGCATATACCAAGTCTACAGGAGACTCTTCCTTGGCCGAAATGCCTGAATGTCAAAGGGGTATGCGCCTTATCCTGAATTTGTGTCTGTCAGAAGGCTTTGATACATTCCCAACTCTGCTCTGTGCCGATGGGTGCTGTATGATTGACCGTAGAATGGTCGGTTTATAACACAATTTGCTCTTGTTGTTTACCTTGGAGTAGACAAGCTAATTGTACTGTTTTTCGTGTTCTTGTTCAGGGTGTGTATGGCTATCCTATTGAGATTCAAGCACTCTTCTTTATGGCATTAAGGTGTGCTTTGATTCTACTTAAGCAAGATGATGAAGGGAAGGAATTTGTGGAGCGGGTAGCCACACGGCTCCATGCTCTAAGCTATCACATGCGCAATTATTTCTGGCTAGATATGAAACAACTCAACGACATATATCGGTATAAGACAGAGGAGTATTCTCATACTGCAGTTAACAAGTTCAATGTTATGCCTGATTCTCTTCCAGATTGGGTGTTTGATTTCATGCCGACTCGCGGCGGCTACTTCATTGGAAATGTTAGTCCTGCGAGAATGGACTTTCGTTGGTTCTGTTTAGGTAATTGTGTTGCAATTTTGTCCTCTTTGGCAACTCCTGAGCAAGCTTCAGCAATAATGGATCTCATTGAATCTCGATGGGAAGAATTGGTTGGAGAAATGCCACTGAAGATCTGTTATCCAGCCCTAGAAAGTCATGAATGGCGGATTGTGACCGGCTGTGATCCCAAGAATACTAGGTGGAGCTACCACAATGGAGGGTCTTGGCCAGGTTAGCATTTTACGCTATCGAAATCTAGCCTAACTCATGATAATTGCTTCCGAAATTTAAATAGATTGTAGTTCTTAGCTATGATCTTTAAGGGTGTTTTAAGACATTTAATTCGTGTAATTGTTTCAATGCAGTCCTTTTATGGCTTCTAACAGCAGCTTGTATCAAGACTGGACGTCCTCAAATTGCTAGGCGTGCCATTGAACTCGCTGAAAGCCGGCTTTCAAAGGATCACTGGCCTGAATACTATGATGGCAAGCTTGGTCGATATATTGGAAAACAGGCTCGCAAATTCCAAACATGGTCCATTGCTGGGTACTTGGTTGCCAAAATGATGCTGGAAGATCCATCTCATCTTGGCATGATTTCACTCGAGGAAGACAAACAAATGACGCCCATAGTGAAAAGATCTGCTTCTTGGACTTGTTGACATTTCCTATTGTCATAACCAAAAAAAAAAAAATCACTTTCATTTTTATTATTTAAAAAAAAAGTAATAAAAATATAAAAATACAAAAACATAAAAAGAAGAAGAAGAAGAAAAGGTTCAGAATTCAATTAACATTTATCCTAATCCTCTAACCATTTTTTGAATTCAACCTATCCCTATTGTTTAGCTAATCAGAATCACAGATTAATAACAGAAGTTGAGTTCAAATTGTATAGCTAAAAATCCGAATTTTGAGGTGTTTGAGTTGGAATGAAATTTGAATTAAGATGTCTATAAAAGGGAAGGGAATTCAGGGTAGAGAGGAGGAGCATTTTTGGGTAGATAGGAGAGAGTGAAAAATTTTGAAAAGCGAAAGATTTTAAGGGAAATAGTTGCTGCATTTTTCTGGGTTTTCTGGGCATTAGCTACAGTGTTTTTGGTGTTCTTCATTTGCTGGGTTTTTATTGCTTCAACGGTCAGCTATTTGATTCCTTGTTTCGGGTTATTGCTGGGTTCCATTTTGTTCCCAAATAGGTCTCTCAACTTCACCTCTAGGGATTTGGGACTCAATTCATCAAATTTTTAGTTTCTCCTTTAGGAATTCTAGGCAGGAGTTCATTCTACTCCTTACTGCCTTCAAGTTTCTGGTACCCTTTCGTTTGCCTAATTCCCAATCATCAACGAATTCCCGAGCAAGCTGCCTCCAATTAATCCAGTCAGACGCAATCATCCTAACCTGCAAAATCAATAGCTATCACAACAACAAGGTCTCAAAATTATCCTTCATTCCTCTGTGTTTTTCTTGCCCAGGTAATCCCAATGCTAAAATCATTTCATTACCTTTTGTTAGATTAACTTCTCAGTTACTTGAATTTGAAAATAAAAAGAGAGAGAGAGAGAGAGAGGAGGGCTGAGCAGAAGCGGGCTTGATTTAAAAAAAAATGATGAAGGGATCCTGGTTTGCTCATGGTATATGGTGAGGGAGAGAGAGAGACGAAATAAGGAAAAGACAAAGTAAAGAAGGAAATGGCGTGAGAGAACCAGAAAAGGAGAGAAATTTTTGGAATTTATTATGAAACATTTGACCAAAAGTATAAACTTTTGTTAAGTGGGGTTCATGGGTCTGGGCTTGGTCTGTGACGAAATAAGAAAGAAAGATGATTTGGGTTTGAATGAAGGCTGGGCCGCCAGTTAAGGAATTAAAAAAAAGGCAGAGATTGGTTCAATCCAGCCTTTGCATTCCTCCATTTTTCATTAAAAAAAAAAAAACAATAAAGAGATGGATTTAATCCAGTCTCCAACCGAGAATGGAATACAATAAAAAAATATATTGAGTTAGAAATTTAAGTTTATGTATCTTGTATTTAATTCAGATGTTCAGAGGGTTTAATTATTTTAATTATTTTTTATTTTTTTTATTTGTAAATTTTATCTGTTTGTATTTAATTTAATATTTATTTATTTATTTCAATTTTGACTTTTAGGCATACGTGCTATTAAATAAATAAATATTAAATTAAATATAATCATAGTGTCTCTCGATGCACCTAGGTTGTGTCGAGGCTTTAAGTGGATCCGATGTTTGAACCGACGTGACGCTCGATGAAGGGACCGACGATCGCTTCAATACGATGTCATGCTCAAAACTAATTTTTTTATTTTTTTATTCTATTATTTTTTTTTATGTAAAAATCAGAGTTTCAAATAAAAAATAATAATTTGACATAAATAAAACATTTTAGGAGATAAATTTATGACTAAATTAGACATGGTACCTTTCTTCAGAAAAGGCACTTTTTGGGTGAATAAATATCTTCTCAAAAGTGTAACCAACTACTTATCATAGAATATCTAAACCAATGTTATTTTTAGGTTCCTGGTTTCTTAATACTAGATGGCGACTCCAAAGCTCTATAAATAAACTTGTAAATATTAATCACAATAGAGATTTAATTTTTCAGGAGTCTAGTCCGATATTGGGTAAGGACACCTATTATCATTTTCAATGTTTCAAGAATTGGTTAGAATTTGTTAGAATCTCATATAGATAATGTATATTTTAATGATTAATGATGTTGGTTATCAATTCTAGTTTTTTATTAGTTTGTCTATGTTATGCTCTAATGGTTTTTTAATACAAGAGAATAGGTGAAATTATTTAATGGTTTTTTAATCAAAATTATTTATATTTAATTAACTTTTTTTACATATATAAACTTTCTCCTGAAAACATTAGCATAAAAAAACTCAATTCGAAGAATATGGTGTCATCAACTTGTTTTTTTAAAACATTTCTTAATTATTTTATTTGACAGAAATGTTCTTTTTAATTGATGCCTAAATGAAGCCTATTCTTGTTTCTCCCTGTTTTATTTTTTAATCCCTCTGCCTTTAATTTTGTAATGGTTGGCGTCTTCCAGCTTATCCTAAAAACGTGGTTTGAGTTTCATGATGCATTGATGTCCTCGTACAATCTACAAGCTCTTTGGAAAGGTGCTTGCCAAAACAAAGAAGCAGAAAAATAAGAGGAAAACTGCTTTCTTTTTCAAATGACCACATAGATCACGTACTTTCAGCACACAAGATTCACATCATGGTCTCATTACATCACAAATTTACATTAGAAGCCAACAATCCAAACACAAAAACTCTGTTTGTTAGCTCACTTTCCAGGGACAAAGTTGGTGGCATATGCCCAGGCGTTGTTGTTGACGGGATCAGCAAGATGGTCGGCCAAGTTCTCAATTGGTCCCTTTCCAGTGACAATGGCTTGGACAAAGAATCCGAACATGGAGAACATAGCCAACCTACCGTTTTTCAGTTCCTTTACCTTCAACTCAGCGAATGCCTCTGGGTCGTCAGCCAAGCCCAATGGGTCAAAGCTTCCACCTGGGTAGATTGGGTCAGTGATCTCACCGAGTGGACCACCAGCAATTCTGTAACCCTCAACAGCACCCATCAAAACCACTTGAGTTGCCCAGATAGCCAAGATGCTCTGTGCGTGGATCAAGCTTGGGTTGCCCAAGTAGTCAAGTCCACCCTCGCTGAAGATCTGAGATCCAGCCTTGAACCATACAGCCTCACCGAACTTGACACCGTTGCGGGCCAAGAGCTCGGGGAAGACGCATCCAAGGGCTCCAAGCATGGCCCACCTGGAGTGGATGACTTCAAGCTCCCGGTTCTTGGCAAAGGTCTCTGGGTCAGCAGAGAGGCCAGCCGTGTCCCAACCATAATCACCAGGGAACTCACCAGTCAAGTAGGATGGGGGCTCACCAGAGAATGGACCCAAGTATTTAACGCGATCTGGACCGTACCATGGACTTCCGGATGGAACAGGCCTGGAGGTTTTTCTCATGGAAACACGCCCATTGCCCATCAGCTCAGGGGAGGAGGGGGTGAGCTTCACCGCCTTTCCGGTGAATGAAGGGGACGAGAGGGCCATTGTTGCAGCTGCCATTGCTGGATGAACGAGAGTAGTTTAAGGTTGGTGAGCTTTTGGTTTAGTGGTTTAGAGTAGTGGAGAGAAAGCGTTGGCAAAGTGGGGTATTTGTAGGGAGCTGGCGTTTGGGTTCCTTATCTTTGTGGTATCTTCCTAGATTTCATGACACTGCACCTATAGAGAAGAGGTATCTTATCTTTAGATATCTAAATCTCTCATCTCATTGGAAGCTCTAGATTTTGGGCTCTACACTTATAATCTGACATGGCACTCTCTAAACCACCAGGTTGTTATTTTCATTTCTGATTTGTAACCAATGTAAGTGTTCCACTTGTGCCCGTCCCATCCCACTTGAAAGACAGAATCCTCTCTCCTCGCTGGATTGCAGTTTCAATTCACGCAACTGAGTAGTAAATACAAATTAGTCTCTCTATTTTTCAGAATGAATTGATTAGTCCCGCTGTTTCAAAAAACAATTATTTTATTTTTTTTTCTGATTTTTTTTTGTTTTAAAAATAAAAAAATAAATAGATATTATGGAAAAAATATGACGAACAAAGTTATTTTTTTGAAATATATTAATATTAAATTAAGTGTAGTTGAAATTGATTAAATAGTTAGTTTTTAAAACATGAGTATTAATTACTTTATTTTTCAAAACTTGATGGACTAATTTATAATTTACTCATGCCATTACCCAAAAAAAAAAAAAAACGTTAAAGCCGTGAAATTAATTACATTCATTTTCACAAATTAGTCTCTCTATTTTTCAGAATGAATTGATTAGCCCTGCTGTTTCAAAAAATAATTATTTAAATTTGGTTTATTTATTTTATGCTCTTTTCTAATTTATTTTTTAAAAATAAAAAATAAATAGATATTATGGAAAAATATGAGAAACAAAGTTATTTTTTTGAAATATATTAATAATAAATTAAGTTTAGTTAAAATTGATTAAATAATTAGTTTTTAAAATATGAGTGTTAATTAATTTATTTTTCAAAACTTGATGGACTAATTTATAATTTACTCATTTTATTACCAAGAAAAAAAAAGTTAAAGATTATTCCATCATTTTTTAGCCATAAATTAACCAATACTACATAAACACTAGCCGTGAAATTGATTACATTCATTTTCACAACAATTAGAGCCAATAATATTTTGAAAAACATGCAGTAGATTCTTTTTGTGAAAGACAGAGTGTTAACGTAGGTTGGGAAGGACAAGAAAGGGACAGAAATTGGATTGGAGTGGAGTTTCCATGGACAAGATTAATGAAGATTTCACATCATCGGTCCATATAATTAAGCATGTATGCTATTTACAGTTTCATTACAATTGTGTGGCTGGTAGAATGGCTTCAACAAATATCTGCTGACATGAAAATAAAAGGTTTTGGCATATATAGCCAAGAATATCTCGTTCACCATGCATCAACGACTTCAATTTTTTCTTTTTCTTGATTAATTGTTTTTCTTGAACTAAATTAATGCTGAGAGGCACATCTGGGGTGGTTTCGTGGATCCTTCTTTCATGTCACCAAGATTTTTTGGAGGCCTATGTTTTATCTTATACAAATCGCTAACGATGCTAATTGGCATTGCTGTCAAGATTGTTAAACTGGGTTAAATATAATCTACTAATTAAGAGAGAAAATTAGAAGTTTAGCTTCAAAATTAAGGTTTTGTAATTCATATAATCGATTGATGCAAAATTTACACCAACTTGTGTCTTGTGCTTTTTAACTTTTGTCCACCAGCACCCAGCTGACTAATATAGAGCTTATTAGACAACATGAAGTTAGAGTAACGGTGGATTTGAGACTTCATCCAAGCTAATAAGCACAATGCTCTGTTTTTTTCTTTTTCTTTCCTTTTCCCATTCAATTCAAGCTAGGCATAGTTCTGTTCCTGAAGTGATTACAACACCAGCAAGATGTCCATTCACGCAAGGGTTATCAAAGTGCCATCAACACATAAGTTCAATTCTCAAAGGTACACCTGTTCAAGAATTCCTACCCATGCAACAACAATACAAATTAAATGGTCCTGACTCTTTAGCCCTCACCATTACACGTATACTTTTTGTTTGTAATCCACCAAAATATGAAAATGCTAATGGCCATAGATATTTTTATTTATTTGCTGCTGTTGCAAATTATATATTACTTACAATTTTCAGGCAGTTGATGCGGAAATAGTGATAGATTGCAAGATGACCAAAAGCACATGTGGCAAATTTCTATTGGACCACACACATCTTAAAGCATTGCTCCAGATTTTAGATACGTTTTTTGCGTACAAAACGATCTAGAGACGATTGGTGGTGTAGAGAGTGCCAAGTCGACATTCAAAATCGATCTTCAGAAAAACGAGCAACCAGTAAGAGTGCAGTGATAGATCTCCTAAGATAAGGATCTTCTCCACAAGACCATATAAATTCAGAGACCGTCGACAACAAACCACTAGTACCAAACACCTTCTCTTCATTAGTAAACCACAAATACTCATCAGTTCAACAATGGCAGCAGCAACAATGGCCCTCTCCTCCCCTTCACTCGCCGGAAAGGCAGTGAAGCTCACCCCCTCCTCCCCTGAGCTGATGGGCAACGGCCGTGTTTCCATGAGAAAAACCTCCAGGCCTGTTCCCTCCGGAAGCCCATGGTACGGCCCAGACCGCGTTAAATACTTGGGCCCATTCTCTGGTGAGCCCCCATCCTACTTGACTGGTGAGTTCCCTGGTGATTATGGCTGGGACACTGCTGGCCTCTCTGCTGACCCAGAGACCTTTGCCAAGAACCGGGAGCTTGAAGTCATCCACTCCAGGTGGGCCATGCTTGGAGCCCTTGGATGCGTCTTCCCCGAGCTCTTGGCCCGCAACGGTGTCAAGTTCGGTGAGGCTGTATGGTTCAAGGCTGGATCTCAGATCTTCAGCGAGGGTGGACTTGACTACTTGGGCAACCCAAGCTTGATCCACGCACAAAGCATCCTGGCCATCTGGGCAACTCAAGTGGTTTTGATGGGTGCTGTTGAGGGTTACAGAATTGCTGGTGGGCCACTCGGTGATATCACTGACCCAATCTACCCAGGCGGAAGCTTTGACCCATTGGGCTTGGCTGACGACCCAGAGGCATTCGCTGAGTTGAAGGTGAAGGAACTCAAAAACGGTAGGTTGGCTATGTTCTCAATGTTCGGATTCTTTGTCCAAGCCATTGTCACTGGAAAGGGACCAATTGAGAACTTAGCCGACCACCTTGCTGATCCCGTCAACAACAACGCCTGGGCATATGCCACCAACTTCGTCCCTGGAAAGTGAGCTAACAAAGAGAGTTTTTTTGTGTCTGGATTGTTGGCTTGCAATGTAAAGTTGTGATGTAATGAGACTATGATGTGAATCTTGTGTGCTGAAAGTACATAATCTGTATGGTCATTTGAAAAAAGCCATTTTCCACTTATTTTTCTGCATCTTTGGTTTGGCAAACACCTTTCCAAAGAGCTGGTTAGCTGGAACACGCCATCCATTTACAAAAACTAAAGGAACAGGGATTTAAAAAAAAATAAAAAAAACCAATGATAGGCTTCATTTATGCATCAATTAAGAAGAAATCTGCACATGTTACTCTCAGTCATACCTTTGTGCTTTGCATAACTCATAGCCAAGGCAACAATGGATTCGAGGTAAACACAGAAGCCCAGCAAATTCTGTTGATTCTGTGATGCTGTGTTGTTGCACGAATAACCAAAGCTAGCACAGCACATGGTATCACCTGTTTGAAAGGAGAAAAGGCACATAGTACATTCAAGAAAAAACAACAAATAGAAAACGGAGTCAAAAATCTCGTGATCAAACTACATTATAAGCCTGGTTTGAAAAAAAAAAAAAAAACTACTACATTATAAGCAAAGCTTGCAAATTGATGGTAACACCGAAGTCAAACCAAGAATGCACATAACTACCGAACCCACCATTTCCATGGGCACATATCAGGAAAGTTTTGTTTCAACTCATGTAGATATTGTAACCACAAGTAACCAATAACATCTAGCAAGGGTAAAATCAGGGATTTTTTACTTACAGGACGAGCTACCTGATCAAAACATATGGAAAAAAACTGTAGCTTAATTTGCATGCTAAAATATGCACACTTTAGATCTCGTATCACGATGGTTTTTGAATAACTCGTTTAAGTACTGTAAGCCAAAGTAAGTGATAATCTTGCTGGGGGCATAATAAAATCCAGAATTTTCAACTTCCAAAATTTGCTAACCGATCAAATACCTATGGAAAAATTGCAGTTTAACACTTCAACTTACATGCTAAAATATGATCGCTCCATGATCTTTTACATCTCATGAAATTTTCCAAAATAATAAAAATAAAAATCTTAACAATGGATTATTTCAGCTCAAACGATGCATGAGAATCGCCATATAGTAAATTGAAAAGTTAGCTTTGTTTTCCATGTAAATGGAGTCGAATAGGATCATTTAAATTACCTGAAGAGTTGTCCGCAATGTAGCTGAATCAAGTACAGTGCGTATGGCATACTCCATGACAAAACTTCAATATAGCTGTTAGCTCCAGTGATTTCGGTGAAAGTCCTGCAAACAACTAAAATTAGAGAAGACCAAAACAGAGAGACTGATTATGTAGGAAGATTCAAGCATGAGGTTTATCACAAAACAAAGGCTGGAGTTGTTTTGGTGCGAAATACAGAGATACATGATATCTACCAAGCAATTATCTATACATATGATACAATGAAAATTGATCTTGCTTTCTTCAATAGAAAGCTAATTATCCTCGAATAGCACGTTAGAGCCTTCTTCACACTTCACAGTCTTCCCATATGAGAAGATAAATCACCATACACAGAAAACAAGAAGAAACCCTTGCCAAGCCATAGTGCAAGATTGACATACACCCCATGACTATTTCACCAAAACCCATCATTATCTAAGCCAATTTTGACTCAGTTTTTATGGTCTAACATTTTCGGCTTTAGATATCAAGCAAAAGCCCTTTCCCTCTCACATTAATTGAATCAGAATTTTCTGGCCTAACATTTACGGCTTGAAATATCCAGCAAAAGCACTTTACCGCTCTCGCACTAATTGAATCTGAAGGCTTAAGAGTCCTATTCAATGGTTAAACTAAGGTAATCTCAAAAAACCAAAACTTTTACACTTTAAAATCATATATAAAACTAAAACATGACCAAAATTTACACCTTTAAACATCACAAAGAAAAACCCAACTGCGTTTTACCTATAATAACTTACAAAAGAATTCGATAGCAGAATAAAAAAAAAAAAAAAAAACAGAGAGAGATGTTTCGCATTTATTACCAGCACAAGTCTTCTCCTTCATGAGCTTGTACCAATAGAATCAAAAACCTCAGCAAGAACAAAGAGGTTGTCTTGATCATGAACAACCATTCCAAGAAAAAACAAAGCTCCTAACCATGAAACCACCGCTAGAAATGCCTTGACCATTGGTGGTTGCCTCCTTACCCATGTCGCCACCGTCTGCATCGGCCTCGTCGTTGCCTTCCTTTTATTCCTCCTCAGCAAAGACTCTCCTATGTCTCTATCTGCCCCTCTAGTTTCGATAAGAGTGAATATCAATTACGGAGACTGAAGTCATGATTTGAAAAAGCAGTTCTCTTGTTGATGTTGTGCCCTTTTTTTTTTTTTTTTTGGGGGGTTAAGGAAAGAGGCCAAAGGTTCTAGGAAAACATGGGGTTTAATTTATAATTTCATTTATAGTCACCATTCACTAAACATGTCAGTGTGATTTTCAAGTTTTCTTACACTTTTATCTTTAATTTTTTTTTTCAACTTTTGTTTTGATTTATAATTTCATTTACATCGTAATTTAGTCTTTCAACGTAGAAAGAAAAGGAAAGCCAAGTGAGAGAAGGAGAAGAGAAAACTAAAATGAGGTTCATTATCTTGATTTCAATGTGTTTATTTTGATAAATAAAATTTGTCTATGATAATCTCAAATTATGACATGGTCGGATATGATAAATTGAAGCCTCAAAATATTTTTTAAGTTTTAAATTTGATTCGAATTTTTATATTTTTTAAATACATTAAAATGAGTTTTAAAATTTTAAAATAGTTTTAAACCTTATTTTAATAATTTTGAAGTGTTTGAAGATAAAAATGACAATAAAAAAATAAGAAAGTAGGCCTGCACTGACCTGGGGCCATGAGAGCAGGCTAGCTTGGTTTTTTTAATAACTTTTTATTATTTAATTTTATGTTAAAAAATTATGGAGAACTAATAGTAATTTTTTTTGGGCTTGCCATTCAATCTAGTAAGAAATTTTTTTTATATGTTTTTACACCTTTAAACTAAAAATATATTTTAAATTATAATAATTTTATTATTTAGAAATTATTCCTTCAATTTTTTATTTCTTTTGGAATTTTTTATCTTATTAATTTTTATTTGTTAATAAAATTTAATTTATTAAAAAACATGATATATTTTTAACTATGTTTATATTATAGAATAGTTTTTTTATGAACATAATTATTTTCTTTTTTAAAAAAATAAATTCATATAATTCATATTATGGATTCGTATAATTTTTAAATGAGAGCAAAATGATATATATACAAAGGCTAAAAGTGCATTGTGAATAATTTGTCTCAAATTTTATATAAAAAAAATTAATTGATTGATTGATAACTAAAAGTGAAACCTAAAAAAAGAAGGGTTGCCCTAGGTTGGAGGCCTATGCACAAAAACTATGTATGACCTAGAAAAAGAAAATATTTTGAGAAGAAAAAAAAACACTTGTTTTATTTATCTATCTTTTATACAAGCAAAAATTATAAAATTACTTTTATAATAATTTTTATTTTAGTTTATTAACTTTCAATTTATTCAACATATTCCCTATCACTTAAGTATTTTTCTTTAAAATTTTCATTTTGTGGCCATGTTTGGAATTTGCGAGCTTGCTTTCCAATACATAGACCAAGCTTGCCATCATAGTATTCAGGACAGTAATTCTTTGACAGCCGGCTTTCAGCAAGTTCAATGGCACGACTAGCGATTTGAGGACTTCCAGTCTTTGTACCTGCGGCTGTTAGAAGCCATAAAAGGACTGCATTGAAACAATTACACAGTAACTAATCTTAAAACACCCTTGAAGTCGAAAATCATAACTAAAAACTACAATCTTTTTAAATCTCGGAAGCGATGTAACATGACCTTGCTAGGCTAACATTTCCATTATTGCTGAAGCTTGCTCAGGAATTGCCAAGGATGACAAATTTTACCTAAACAGAACCAACGAAAGTCCATTCTCGCAGGACTAACATTTCCGAAAATTATTACGCATGTGATAGCTTGAGGCATGGGGCCGTGTAGATACCGTTGTACAGATTCCTTCCCTTCGTTATCACGCTCAAGTTCCATCAACATATATATTTTGTTCTCAGAGGGCACACTAGTACTTGTTCAAGAAATCCTCGCCATGCAACAAAAATACAAATTAAAAGGGACCTGAGTCCTTACAATTACAAGTATATATTTTGTTTATAATCCACCGAAATATGAAAATCTTAACAGCCATAGATATATTTATTGGCTGCTGTTACAATTATATATTACTTGTAATATTTTCATGCAGTTTGCGGATATCGCGATAGACTGCAAGACGATCAAAAGCACACGTGGCAAATTTCTATTGGACCAAACACAACTAAAACATTGCTCCAGATTTTCGATACCTTTTTCTGCATCCAAAACGATCTAGAGATGATTAGTGGTGTCGAGTGCCAAGTTGATATTCAGAAACGTGAGCAACCAGTAAGAGTGCAGTAATAGATCTCCTAAGGTAAGGATCTTCTCCACAAGACCATATAAATTCAAACACCGTCCACCCCAAACCACAACTACCCAACTGCTTCTCATCAGTAGTAAACCAAAGATACTCGTCAGCTCAACAATGGCAGCAGCAACAATGGCCCTCTCCTCCCCTTCACTCGCCGGAAAGGCAGTGAAGCTCACCCCTCCTCCCTTGAGCTGATGGGCAACGGCCGTGTTTCCATGAGGAAAACTCCAGGCCTGTTTCCTCCGGCAGCCCATGGTACGGCCCAGACCGTGTTAAATATTTGGGCCCATTTTCTGGTGAGCCCCCATCTTACTTGACCGGTGAGTTCCCTGGTGACTATGGCTGGGACACTGCTGGCCTCTCTGCTGACCCAGAGACTTTTGCCAAGAACCGTGAGCTTGAAGTCATCCACTCCAGGTGGGCCATGCTTGGAGCCCTTGGATGCGTCTTTCCAGAGCTCCTGGCTCGCAACGGTGTCAAGTTCGGTGAGGCTGTATGGTTCAAGGCTGGATCCCAGATCTTCAGCGAGGGTGGACTTGACTACTTGGGCAACCCAAGCTTGATCCACGCACAAAGCATCTTGGCCATCTGGGCATCACAAGTGGTCTTGATGGGTGCTGTTGAGGGTTACAGAATTGCTGGTGGGCCACTCGGTGAGATCACTGACCCAATCTACCCAGGTGGAAGCTTTGACCCATTGGGCTTGGCTGACGACCCAGAAGCATTCGCTGAGTTGAAGGTAAAAGAACTCAAAAACGGCAGGTTGGCAATGTTCTCAATGTTCGGATTTTTTGTCCAAGCCATTGTTACCGGAAAGGGACCAATTGAGAACTTGGCCGACCACCTTGCTGATCCCGTCAACAACAACGCATGGGCATATGCCACCAACTTCGTCCCTGGAAAGTGAGCTAACAAAGAGAGTTTTCTTGTTTCTGGATTGTTGACTTGCAATGTAAAGATGTGATGTAATGAGACCATGATGTGAATCTTGTGTGCTGAAAGTACATAATCTCTATGGTCATTTGAAAAAAGGAAGTCGTTTTGCACTTATTTTTCTGCTTCTTTGGTTTGGCTATTACCTTCCCAAATAGCTGGTTAGATTGTATAAGGGCATCAATGCATCATAAAACTCAAACTGGAAGACGCCATCCATTTACAAAATTAAAGGCACAGGGATTAAAAACAAAAAAACCAATAATAGGCTTAATTTAGGCATCGATTAAGAAAAAAATCTGCACAACCATTGGATTCCTTATTTGCAAAATTTCTTCTCCATTTGGAAAAATGAACAGGAATGCACATGTTACTCTCTGTCATACCTTTGCGTTCTGCATTTCTCGTAGCTGAGACAAAACTGAAATGAATTCGAGGTAAACACAAAGGGCCCAGCAAGTTCTGTTGATTATGTGATGCTGTGTTGGATGAATAACCTAAGCTAGCTTAGCACATGAAAAGAAAAACACTACATTATTAGCAATTAGTACTGTTTTCTTTATGGGTTTAATTTAAACAGCATAAATATACGTGCCAATCTTGCAAACATCATAACTCATAAGAAGTAGTGCAAGATTGCCATAAACCCATGACTATTGCACCAAAACCCATCATCCAAGCCAATATTGACTCGGTTTTTATGGTCTCCATGACTATTGCACCAAAACCCATCATTATCTAAGCCAATTTGGCAATTTTGACTCCCTTTTTATGGTCTAAACTCCATGACTATTGCAGCAAAAACCCATCATTATCCAAGCCAATATTGACTCAGTTTTTATCGGCTAACATTTTCGGCTTCAAGTACCCAGCAAAAGCCCTTTCCCTCTCTCACACTAATAGAATCAGAATTTTATGGTCTAACATTTCCGGTTTCAAATATCCAGGAAAAGCACTTAACCCTCTCACACTAATCGAATCAGAAGACTTAAACTGAAAAAAACAAACCTTTTACACTACACAATCATAAATAAAACTAAAACATGACCAAAATGTACACCTTTAAACATCGCAAACAAAATCCTAATTGCATTTTACCTACAATAATTTGCAAAAGAATTCAATAGCAGAAATTAAAAAAAAAAACCTAGAGAGATGTTTCGTATTTATTACCAGCACAAATCCTCTCCTTCATGAGCTTGTACCAATAGAACCAACAGCCTCGTCAGCAACAAAGAGGTTGTCTTGATCATGAACGACTATTCCAAGAAAAACCACAGCTGCTAACCCTGAAACCACCGCTAGAAACGCCTTGGCCATTGGTGGTTGCCTGCTTACCCATGTCGCCACCGCCTGGATCGGCCTCTTCGTTGCCTTCTGATGCAGTTCCGATTCCAATCAATTGAAACAACCAGTGATTGCAAGAATAACACGTAGAAAACCAAGATTATTATTCAAAATCAAATGTAAATGTGACAGTGAAATACAATTCCATTAATGAAAACAATGAAGAACAGTAACAGTATCCATGAATGGAAAAGAAGAAGAAATATAGAGGGGAAGAACAGAAGAACTAGAGAGAAACTAGAAGAGCCAAGAGAGAGAGAAATTTTGTTAACTTCACAACTGATTCATACACCTCTTCTCACTCTCTGTTTTTAACTAACAACTTAACTAAGAGACTCAACTAACCATGCTAACAAAATAATTAATTCGTCTTATTTGTTTAGTTAGTAACAGAACCAACACCTCTTGCCACGTAAGCTGCCAGCTGTAAACTTCAGCTCTAACTCTTGCCAGCTCATTAATAAAGGATTGCATAGCCTTGCTTTTATTCCTCCTCTAGCAAACACACTTCTCTGCCCTTCTAGTACCGATGAGTGTGACCATGTGGGCGAAGGCACAATGTGAAAAGGTGAGTAAATTATAAATTACTCCCTCTCTCGTTTTAAAAAATAAATTAATTAGTTTTGTTAGTTTTCATAAACTAATCATTCAGTCTCTGTATTTTAAAATTTACTTCTAACTTAGTTATTTTTTTATTCTTTCTAAATTTATTTTAAAAAATAAACAAATAATAAAAAATAATATTTTGTGAAATACAATAGTATTAAATTAAGAGTGTTCAATCCTAGTTAAAACACTAAATAATAGTTTTTATGGAAACTAAAGGAACTAATTTATAGTTTACTCGTGAAATGTAGTTCCGTTGTTGGTGTTGCAAAAAATTAAATGTTTGAGCGTACTGTTGTTGATTTTTTTTTTTTTTTTTTTTTTATATATAAAGGAAAGAGGCCAAAGCCCTTAGAAAAAAATGATTTTTAATTTGATGTTTGTTCAAAGGTAATTATTTTGACTTAATCTCACATGTACTTATATACTAGATCAATTTTTTAGTTTCTCCTTAAGAAAACGTCTCTATTATATCTTTACACTTTGAAATGATTTCCAATCTATTATTTTAAATAAAATTTCCAACTAAATTAAAGCAAATTAAGCATATGATTTATATATGGTATATGATTTAACAAAATTATTTTTTATTGTTTAATACAGATTATCTTTATCTATTAATATAAATATTATTTTACCAAAATTGATGGGAATTTTTTATTAGAAGAATAAATTATAAACAAACTCAAAATATAAGGACACGTTAGAATTTTTTTTTTTTTTTTTTTTTGTAAGAATAGATTGAAAAATTAGCTTTCATAACAGGACAAATGAGGATATTAATCCTTAATTTCTCTTTGAAATTCAGAAAATGTGTATCACAATTTAGCTTACTTCCATATATTTCCCTTATATAGCAATCGTTTTGGGTCTTCAGTTCAATGTGGCAGTTTTAGCAAATAAAAAAAAAGTTTCATATGGCAATTGTTAAAATATTTTTGGCATTTACAGTCCAATGACCAATGAATTCTCTCTACCATTGTTCATCTAGATTTATAATTACTGTTCACTAAACATCTTATTGCGATTTTCAAGTTTTTTTTTCATGAGTACACTTCCTCCTTAGTTTTTTCAAAAAAAGAAAATTTATAATTCCATTTACATCTTAATTTAATCCTTAAACATAGAAAGGAGAGAGAAACCAAATAAGAGAATGGAGGAAAGAGAATGACACAGTAAAGCCCATTTTAGCCATTTTGATGCGAATCACGATTTCAATGTCCTAATTTTTGGTGAGTATAATTTGTTTATAATAATTCCAAGTCATGGCATGATCCGAGACGATGGATGGGGTTTCAACATATTTTTTAACTTTTGAATTTGATTTGAATTTTGCATTTTATAGATGCACTAAAATGAGTTTCAAATTTCTAAAATAGACTTCTTCTTTTAGTTATTTTAATGATTTTGAGACAAAAATAGACGAAGGATTCGAAAACAAGAAACTAGCGCTCTGGATTTTTATCCAGTTCGTCAGAAGTTGCTGACTGACGATGCGTATCAAGCCCATGCATGTGCAGACCTGGTTTTCTGCAGGCCCAAAGAAGGCCTAGCTTGGTTTTTTTTTCAATAATTTTTTATTATTTAATTTAGTGCAAAAAATTAAGGAGAATTAATAGTTATTTTTATTGGGTTTTCCGTACAATCTAGCATGCAAAAAAAAAAAAAAGTTATATTTTATTATTTTAAACAAAAAATATATTCCAAGTTATAATAATCGTGTTATTTAAAATTTATTCTTTTAATTTATCATTTCTTTTGAATTTTTTATCTTATTAAGTTATTAATTTTTATTTTTAATAAAATTTTATTTGTTAACAAATATGATATATTTTTCATTATGTCTATATATTAGAATAAAATTTTTACCAACACAATTATTTTCTCTTTTTAAAAAATAAATTAATATAATCAATACTATAGATTCGTATAATTTATGCTATGCAATTTGCGAGCCTGTTTTCAATACGTAGACCAAGCTTGCCATCATGATATTCAGGACAGTGATTCTTCGATAGCCGGTTTTCAGCAAGTTCGATGGCACACCTAGCAATTACAAGCTGCTGTTATAAGCGATAAAAGGACTGCATTGAAACAATTACACAAAGTAAATATCTTAAAACACCTTTGAAGTCGGAAATCATACCTAAAATGGAATGTATCATGACCTTGCTAGGCTCTGGAAAGCAGAAAATGCTAACCTGGCCAAGACCATCCATTGTGGTAATTCCACAAAGTATTCTTGGGATCACAGCCGGTCACAATCCGCCATTCATGACTTTCTAGGGCTTAATAACAGATTATCAATGGCATTTCTCCAATCAAATCTTCCCATCGAGATTCAATGAGATCCATTATTGCAGAAGCTTGCTAATTATAAGGATTCGCCAAGGATGACAAAATTTACGTAAACAGAACCAACGAAAGTCCATTAATCTCGCAGGACTAACATTTCCAAAAATTATTACGCATGTGAGAGCTTAAGGCATAGGGCCGTGTAGATACACGCTGTATTCCTTCCCTTCGTCATCTTGCTTAAGTTCCATTAACATATACGTTAGATTCTCAGGGGCACGCTTGTTCAAGAATTTCTCGCCCATGCAATAACAATACAAATTAAATGGGACCCGAATTGTCACAATTACACGTATATATTTTATCTGTAATCCACCAAAAATATGAAAATATTAACGGCCATAGATATATTTTATTGGATGCTGTTGCAAATTATATATTATTTGCAATATTTTCAAGCAGTTTCTGCGGATATAGGGATAGACTGTAAGACGACCAAAAGCACAGGTGGCAAATTTCTATTGGACCAAACACAACTAAAACATTGCTTCAGATTTTCGATACCTTTTTCTGCATCCAAAACGATCTAGAGATGATTAGTGGTGTGGAGTGCCAAGTTGATATTCAGAAACGTGAGCAACCACTAAGAGTGCAGTAATAGATCTTCTAAGATAAGGATCTTCTCCACAAGACCATATAAATTCAAAGACTGTCCACCCCAAACCACAACAACCCAACACCTTCTCATCAACAGTAAACCACAAATACTCGTCAGCTCAACAATGGCAGCTGCAACAATGGCCCTCTCCTCCCCTTCATTCACCGGAAAGGCAGTGAAGCTCACCCCCTCCTCCCCTGAGCTGATGAGCAATGGCCGTGTTTCCATGAGAAAAACCTCCAGGCCTGTTCCCTCCGGAAGTCCATGGTACGGTCCAGATCGCGTTAAATACTTGGGTCCATTCTCTGGTGAGCCCCCATCCTACTTGACTGGTGAGTTCCCTGGTGACTATGGCTGGGACACTGCTGGCCTCTCTGCTGATCCAGAGACTTTTGCCAAGAACCGGGAGCTTGAAGTCATCCACTCTAGGTGGGCCATGCTTGGAGCCCTTGGATGCGTCTTCCCCGAGCTCTTAGCCCGCAACGGTGTCAAGTTCGGTGAGGCAGTATGGTTCAAGGCTGGATCTCAGATCTTCAGCGAGGGTGGACTTGACTACTTGGGCAACCCAAGCTTGATCCACGCACAGAGCATCTTGGCTATCTGGGCAACTCAAGTGGTTTTGATGGGTGCTGTTGAGGGTTACAGAATTGCTGGTGGTCCACTCGGTGAGATCACTGACCCAATCTACCCAGGTGGAAGCTTTGACCCATTGGGCTTGGCTGACGACCCAGAGGCATTCGCTGAGTTGAAGGTAAAGGAACTGAAAAACGGTAGGTTGGCTATGTTCTCAATGTTCGGATTTTTCGTCCAAGCCATTGTCACTGGAAAGGGACCAATTGAGAACTTGGCCGACCACCTTGCTGATCCCGTCAACAACAATGCCTGGGCATATGCCACAAACTTTGTTCCCGGAAAGTGAGAAATATTCTTTGTCTAACTGGAGTGCTATATTTGTAAGTTTGATTTGAGTGGTGTGCTCTGATGTAAATCGGTATCCAAAACGTGAAATGTGCTGTACTATCAAATCTTTTTTCATAATTCTTTTGAATTCTTCAATTTATCATCTTGTGCTTAAAACACTTCATTACAGTGTGAATCACAAATTTATAAAAGTGATATTCCCAGGAATTAAAAAAAAAAAAAAAAGAAGCTCAATTAACTAACGCATTCCATAAAAATAAATGATAAAAAAGAAATTCAATTCATATTCCGAAAATCAAAAGACAAGTCGTTTTTTCGTCTTCTTCTTTTTTTTTTTAACACTGGTGTCCGTGCTAGTTTACGCACATCTCGACTAATCCTGCGAGTCCCAAAGTTAACGATCATGTAAGTCTCCAGTGGCTATCAAGAAAAACAATTAGGACTCGAACCAGAGATCACATGAGGAGTCCTTGCCGCTGCGCCACCCCTGGGTGGTTTTGTTTTTTGTCTTTGAATTCAATTCAGTTGACATTTGAAAAATTAATGACATAAAATATGGCATCTTACAACGTTATTTATGCAATATAATTTTGCAGGTTGAGAAAAGATTAAAGCTTGCAAACCCAACAACAATGCAAACTAATTAACTACATAGAATCTCTAAGCACCCCAATATATCTCAACGCAGGCCAAGAACCCATTAACAACAGCAGCAACTTAACATCATTTAAAGAAGAAAGCAGTGAACCCCCACTTGCATTTCTCTCAAGGTCTCACCTTCTTTACAATCATCTCAAACAAACATCATGTTTGTTATCTGTAGCCTATAGATGAGTTTTGTTATTAATTTTGATCTCAGAATCTAATTATAGATAACTGATGTTTTGAATAAATGAATTGTTGATGATCTTTGTATGTTTGTGCTTTTAAAACAGTGATTTTCACTGTCAATGCTGCACTTAACTCTAGGCTTTGCCAATATAATGTTTTTATGTGGAAATATGATCATGGGAGCTTTGAAGTTAGGCTAGAGTTGATTCATCAAGAAATTGTTTGTCAACGAAATTGTAAACTGGAAATTGCTAAGCCTCGATTTCATTTGCCATTATAACGGAACAAATGTATTTCAACAATTAATTGGTACACGAATGTAATTGCCTAAACTTCTTATTTTCCTCGTATATTTCTTTGTTTTTTATGATGCATGAATGACCATCGATTTTTATTTTTATTTTTTTAGGAAACTTTTATGAGATGTGAAGATTGTAGGGATCATATATTATAGTAAATTGTAAATCAGTCCCTCTAATTTCAAAGATCAAATTAATTAATTTATCTTGTTTCAAAAACTAATTATTTAGTTCCTATATTCTTGCATTTTCTTGTAACTTAATCCATTTCATTATTTTTCAATTTATTTTTATTTTTTTGTATTAAAAAATAAAAAATAAAAATAAAAAGGTAAAAAAAATGAAAAAATTGATGAGAAAATAAAATATTTTTAGAAATAAATTAATATTAAATTAAATGTAGTCAATGCTGATCAAATGATTAAATAATTGATTTCTAGAAAAAAAAATCTAATTAATTATTTTTTTCAAATAAAGGTACCATTTTAAATTTACTCTTCTATATTAACAAATAAGTTAAAGTGTTAAACTACAATGTTTTCATAAGTACGTGACTAGTTAGTAATTCTAATTAAAAAGTTAATTATTTTATTAACAAGTTATTAATCTCGTGGTAAACAAATTATTGTCTAGATATTTTTTCTATCTATGTACAAGATTTAAATTCTAAAATAACATTTGTTGAAAGAAATTCAATTTTATCACTTTATGTCAAACAAAATTAGTTATTTATTCAGTATAAAATAGGGATCCCTGGATTAAAAAAAAAAATCATGATATTATTATGTCCTCAACAAGAGGATTAATTATACGGTACTTAATCACGTTAAACCAAAAACCATCATGATATGAGATCTAATAGTGTGCTTATTTTAGCATGCTAGCAAACTGCAATTTTTCAGTAGGACTTTAATCAGCTAGAAACCATCCCGATATGTGCCTATTAAAATGGTGGATTAGCGTGTTATGTGCATTTTTTATTTCACTTTCGTGTTACCACCAATTGGCCAGATTTGCACTTGGCCTTATGATGCTTTAAACCCACAAAGAAAGCAGTACTGGTTGCTTATATTGTAGTAGTTTTTATTCTAACCAGGGTTTTGATCATGAGTTTTTTTTTTTTTTTTCTTTCCTATTTCTTGTTTTTTCTTAATGCAGTATGTGCCTTTTCTCCTCTCAAAACAGGTATACAGCGTGCTGTGCTAGCTTTGGTTATTCATCCTACATCACAGCATAACATAATCAACAGAATTTAGCTTGAATCCATTTTAGTGTTGCCAATTTGCCATCTGGACTTCCAGATTGTAGGAAGTATGGAACCAGTTAATCCAAGAGATTATACATTAATTAAACATAATTTATTTAGTCATAGATAAAATACTACAACTCACAATCAATTATCAAAAAATTAAGAAATCAATGTTAGTAGCTGGCGAAATACAATATGATTTTTCTTTTCCTCGTTCAATTCAAGCCCGGCATAGTTCTCTTCCTGAATTGATTGTAACACAAGGTAGATGTCAATTCATACACTGGGTTATCAAAGTTCCATCAACATAGACGTTCTATTATCAAGGATACACTAATTCAAGAATTCCTCAACCATACAACAACAATACAAAATAAATGATCCTGAATCTTGATTATTACACGTGTATATTTTGTTTGTAGCCCACCAAAATATGAAAACATTACGGCCACAAATATTATATTTTGTTTTTAGTCAACCAAAATAGGAAAATATTAACAGCCATGTATATTTATTGCCTGCAAAAATTCTTGTCGCCGTTGCAAATTAAATATTACTTGCAGCATTGTCATGGAGTTGATGCGGATCTAATGATCGATTGCAAGATGACCAAAAATGCACATGTGGCGAATTTCTATTGGACCAAACACAACTTAATATATATATATATATATATATATATATATGATCTAGAGATGATTGGTGGGGTTGAGAGTGCCAAGTGGACATGCAAAATCGATCTTCAGAAACTTGAGCAACCAATAAGAATTCAATAATAGATATCCTAGGATAAGGACCTTCTCCACGAGACCATATAAATTCAAAGACCGCCAACCCCAAACCACAACTACCCAACACCTTCTCTTCAATCGTAAACCACAGATACTCATCAGCCCAACAATGGCAGCAGCATCAATGGCCCTCTCCTCTCCTCCCCTTCACTCGCTGGAAAGGCGGTGAAGCTAACCCCATCCTCCCCTGAGCTCATGGGCAATGGCCGAGTTTCCATGAGGAAAACCAGTAGACCTGTTTCGTCCGGAAGCCCATGGTACGGCCCGGACCGTGTTAAATACTTGGGTCCATTCTCTGGTGAGCCCCCATCCTACTTGACCGGTGAGTTCCCTGGTGACTATGGCTGGGACACTGCTGGCCTCTCTGCAGACCCAGAGACATTTGCCAAGAACCGTGAGCTTGAAGTCATCCACTCCAGGTGGGCTATGCTTGGAGCCCTTGGATGCGTCTTCCCCGAGCTCTTGGCTCGCAACGGTGTCAAGTTCGGCGAGGCTGTATGGTTCAAGGCTGGATCTCAGATCTTCAGCGAGGGTGGACTAGACTACTTGGGCAACCCAAGCTTGATCCACGCACAGAGCATCTTGGCTATCTGGGCAACTCAAGTGGTGTTGATGGGTGCTGTTGAGGGTTACAGAATTGCTGGAGGGCCACTCGGTGAGATCACTGACCCAATCTACCCAGGCGGAAGCTTTGACCCATTGGGCTTGGCTGACGACCCAGAGGCATTCGCTGAGTTGAAGGTAAAGGAGCTAAAAAACGGTAGGTTGGCTATGTTCTCAATGTTCGGATTTTTTGTCCAAGCCATTGTCACTGGAAAGGGTCCAATTGAGAACTTGGCCGACCACCTCGCAGATCCCGTCAACAACAACGCCTGGGCATATGCCACCAACTTTGTTCCCGGAAAGTGAGAAACATTCTTTGTCTCACTAGAGAGATATATTTGTGTGTTTGATTTGAGTGACGTGTGGTGTATGGTGATGTAAATCAGTATCGAAAATGAGAAATGTACTGTTTGAATTCTTTTAAATTCCTAAATTTATTATCTTGTGCTTAAAATACTTCATTACAGTTTGAACGCTTACTAATGGAAGGGAAATTTTTAGGAATTGAAAAACAAAATCGAAAAATAAAACAGAAACTGCTCAATTCACTAAAGCATTTCATCAATATAAAAAGAAATTCAATTCATATTCCGAAATGAATTAATTATTTCTCTTTATTTCAAAAAATAATCATTTAATTTAAATGTTTTTAAATTTTCCTGTAACTTAATTTTTTTCCTTTTTTTTCAATTTATTTTTTTCAAGAAAAAAATGAAATAATTGATGAGAAAAAATATTTTGAAAATAAATTAATATTAAATTAAACATGATTAATATTTATTAAAAGACTAAATAATTTGTTTTAAACAAAAAGAATGATTGATTCGTTTCTAAAAAATTGAGGGACTCGTTTATAATTTACTATAATATATTAACATATAAGTTAAAGTGTTAACTACAATGTTCCATAGGTATTTGATCGATTAGCTAATCCTGTAAATTTCAAATTCACGATCTTATTATGTCCTCGACAAGAGTATTAATTATACGGTACTTAATCTTAAAAAAAAATCATCATCGTATGAGATCTGATAGCGTGCTTATTTTAGCATGCAACTAAACTGCCAAATTTCCATAGGTTTTCATCAGCTTGCTCGTCCTGCGAGTCAAAACATTCCTGATTTTACTCTTGTCTGTTTTTATCAATTACTTGAATCCCTTTCAATCTGCCCATTTGCCATCTGGACTTCGGTATTCCGTGGAAAGTATGGAACCAATCAACGAGATTGTACATCAGTTTGATTTCATTTATTCATTCACTCATTCATTCATTTATTATTATTATTGTTGTTATTATTATTATTTTGTAATATATGGAATTCTAGAGTTCATAACAAGAGGATAAACAGATAAAAGAGTTAGTATTAATAATCTGTAGTCAGTAATTAATGAAACATGAATTATCACGACATATTGAATTGTAATTACTATTATAAAAATAAAAAAAATTATTCTAGTCTCTTCTTATTATGAGGTTTTTTAAAATTCAAATAGTTTTAAAATTGCTATTGACATAATTTAATAATTTTGGAATATGAAAAAAAAAATCATGTATTATTATATATGCCATCTGCATCCTTTTTTCAAGAGATGGGTGAGGCAAACAGGAAGTGCTTTTGAGTTTTATTTAAATTTGAGAGACCTTTTCAAAATATTACATAACTAATTGCACGATTTCATTGGATCCTGACATAGAAGATAGACCAACTAACGTACCTTAACTATGATTACTTTACCAGAAAGAAAAATCTCATCCTACACACCTGCTTCATTAGTTTATGTTTAGTTACACTAATCCTCAATCGCCACTTTTCCTTTACCCATTGTTTGGATATTTCCTTTTGGGAGGAAAGAAAATAAAGGAAAGAAAATGAGAGTAAAGAAAATTATTTTTCACTTGTTGTTTGGATAAAAGTAGAAATGAAATGAAACAAAATATATTTTCCTTATTTGGATAATTGTAAAAAGAGAGAGGAAAGAAAATGTATTATTATATATTTACTATAATAGCCCTATGATTATATTTCTATATTTAAATACTTATAATAAATTTGTATGAATATTTGTTTCATGAAAATAGCACAAATGATAATAAAATAAAAATCTAGCATGTAACATCTATCTAAAATGATAAGATAGATGATGAATCGTCTCCATAGAATAATCGATAACTCGTTTATTAATTGATAATTTTTATTTCTTTTGAGGGATGTTTTGTGTCTGTTTTGGTAGGTTTTTTGAGTGGTTTTGAATCCGATATCGGGGTTTTTGGAGCTCGTTTTGGTGGTTCAAATGACCTGTTCAAAGGAGTTGCTCTGTAAAGGTTTTGGGGGTTGTTGGTAACGGTTTTGGGCTGAGTTTGGGGGTTTTGGGTAGGTGTTGAGTCTGTTTTGGGGTTGGTTTAAAGCCTATTTTTTAAAGGTGTTTTAGGGTTTTTTTAAGTCTGGTTTGGGGGTGTTTTTGGATATGCTTTGGTTGTTCAAATGACTTGTCCAAAGGGGTTGCTCTGTAAGGGTTTTGGGAGGTCTGTTGGTAACGGTTTCGGGTGAGTTTGGGGGCTTTGGGTAGGTGTTGAATCTGTTTTGGAGTTGGTTTTAGGCCTATTTTTTAGCGTGTTTTGGCCTTTTTTTGGGTGGTTTTTTTAGGGTGTTTTGGGGTTTTTTTGGGTTTTTTTTAAAGCTGATTTAGGGGTGTTTTGGAGTTACTTTGGTGGTTTAAATGACCTCGTCCAAATGGGTTGCTCTGTAAAGGTTTTGGGGGCTCGTTGGTAACGAGTTTCAAGGCTGAGTTTGAGGGCTTTGGGTAGATGTTGGGTCTGTTTTGGGGTTGATTTTAGGCCTATTTTTTCAGGGTGTTTTGGAATTTTTTTGGATGGTTTTCAAGCTGCTTTGTGGGTGTTTTTGGAGCTACTTTGGTGGTTCAAATGACCTATCCAAAGGGGTTACTCTGTAAGGGTTTTGGGGGGTTGTTGGTAACGGTTTCGGGACTAAGTTTGGGGGCTTTGGGTAGGTGTTAGGTCTGTTTTGGGGTTGGTTTTAGGCCTATTTTTTTAGGGTTTTTTGGGTGGTTTTGAAGCTGTTTTATGAGTGTTTTTTGAGTCTGCTTTGGTGGTTCAAAAGACACTGTCCAAAGGGGTTGCTCTATAAGGGTTTTGGGGGTCGTTGGTAAGCTGTTTCGTAGCTGAGTTTGGGGGCTTTAGGTAGGTGTAGGGTCCGTTTTGAGGCTATTTTTTAGGGTGTTTTAGGGCTTCTTTGTAGGCTGTTTGAGAGCTAATTTTGGTGCTTTGGGGGAGGTGTTGGGTATCCCAAGTATTGGATCAAAAAATATGAAAGGGTTGAGGAATGGCGTTTTGAATTGAAGTTAGGTAAAAAAAACATGCCGACCTAATATATATTTTTGTGAAGTTAAAAGACGTTTTGAATTGAAGTAAGCATTTCAATTTTGTGGATTAAAATTTCTATTTAGAATGGCGTCAACTCGATTTGCTCATCCAAAATAAATTATAAACTCTTTACCTGCTAGCTAATCTATTCGTAGAGAAGTATTTGCAACTAGAATGGAATATCACGTTAACACGGGACATAAAACCCCTAAATGTTTACTTATTTGCATGATCATTATTAACGAGCAGTGATGGCCGCATTATAGACAACGGTTTAGTTATTCATATTTTGTTCCTTTTAAAGGCTCATACACGATTAACCACCTTATACTTAGATGTAAAATAGGTAAATAATGAAAAGGCCAAGACAATTCAACTTCAGCATATTAGAAATTCAAGTCCAAACGCTCCGAATTTTCTCCACGAAAAAAAACAATCAAATAAAGAAACACTCTAATGTTCCCAATATAAAACTCATAAATGGCTTTAGATTTTAAGAGTTACCCTCTCTCTCTCTCTCTTTCTATTTCTCTCGACCCAAAAACTTGGTCTTCTGCTTGGCTTCTCCCCTCCAAATAAATGAAACTCTTTAGTGACAAACAAGAAAATCCAACACCGAATGTGTTTGTTCTCGTCTTTAAATTGTGAATTCAAATATTTGATCTATTACTTTGTTATTCATGGAACAAGCAAGAATTTTGGGCCTTTTAATATGAACTCTAATCTATAATTTTGAAAAAAAAAATTGCTAACAAAAGCTCGTGCCCAAATAATAATAGGTTTCAAAAAATGACTTGAAAATATGTTATTATCTCGTAAATATTAACAACAACAATAATAATGAATTTACACACTTTTGATTCTTCTAAACCAAATAACACCGACAAATTCCTTTTAATAATTTTTTCGGACATCTAATTCATAGCCGAGCACATGCAAAAATTAACTAGCTCGGATAATTTTAAATTAAGAGCACTCGAAAGATATTGAGATAGAGTGTGTGGAGAAGATGAACAGGAGGAGCGAGAAATTAAAATGCTTCCATTGTTGCCTTTTGTTGTCGTTTTAATAAAAAGACACATCTATCCTAAAAAATAAATGAAGGTAAATTAATATCTTCTTTCTATTCATAACCTATTACCTTAGCTTCGTTCTCTGTCTTCATATTCTTGCAAAACAAGCCATTTCCAAGCAAATGCGAACAATGTGACCGGCACTTAGAACCCTTTTGCCGAGTGAAAGATTGGAAACTACAAGGGAACAACTAGATGCTTTGAACGGACATCAAACCCGAATGGAACCTTAGTGCTTGCTTTCACAAAAGATCGGCTTTAGCGTTGGAGATTAGAGATCTTGGTGAGTGATAAGGCGTCTTCAATTGATGAGATTATTGGTTAGCTTTCCTTTAATCTAGGCGATATTCCTACGCGTTTTCTACTCGGATGGTCCATTCGTAGTGGGGTTAAGGTTGTGAGAGAAAAGTTATTTTCCGTTTGGAAATGAAGGGTAGTCGTTCTCTACCCTCTACTTTGTTGACCGGGAGAAGGTAAAGTTCTTGATTTTGACGTTGAATTTCAAACCGTAAATCATATCACACATTATAGATCAAACACAATCCATCAATTGAATGACAAAGAACAAAATCAAACAACACATTACCCGCCCTCGTTAACGATAAAAACTTTGGAGGAGTCGCGAATGGGTGGAAGCTTCGTTACTCGAAAACACCTGTGGAGATGCTTTTTGTCGAATGAACTAGGGAGGAAAGAAAATTTGTTATGCAAATGGATCAACTAATGCAAGGTTCAATAGCTTGATTTGCGGATCCGTTATTAATGTAAAAGGATTCACGAGGAAGAGATGATGGCGAGAGAAAGAACCGTAGCGAGAAAGAGAGAGAGATTGAGGGGTTACGGATCCGTTACCTTGTGTTTGTAGCAAATGAAGGGGATAGCTAAAGACAAGGGCAAAATTGTGAAAAACAAAAAAAATACATGTCTCACGTTTTTCTCCTCGTTTCCTCTCAATTTTGGGAGGAAACTAGGTCTCACCGTTTCTATATTGTTTATTTTTTTTCTTTCCACTCGCTTTCCTCCCTCTACCCAAACAAGTGGAAACTTTTCTTTTCACCCTCATTTTCTTTCCTCTCCCCCACTTTCCTCCCTATCCAAACAATAGGTTAAAATAATGATATCTTCTCACCTCACTTTACTTCTAGTCACACACTAACCCTTGATCTCCACTTTTTAAATAAAAGTAATCCATTATCTTGAAAGACCAAAACCTTCTTAAAATCAATGTTATAAAGGAAGGATTAGTTAAGGCTTCAAGATTGATTTGATTGAAAAAATTCTAATGATTTAAGAAAATGGTTTTGGATTCGAGTTCATGTGTATAAAAAATCTCTATAAATAATTGTTTTTGCGTTATATGTTCGATAAAAATAGTGAAAAATTAGTTTGGATTTTTGAGTCCGAAATACCTCGAAGTATATTAAAAAAAATCTTCTCAAAACCCATATCAAACAAGTCATTAGCTTTTAAGCTGAAACCACAGCGATAATCATTTTTTCTTATAATCTTTTATAAGATTATAATCCAAAATCATAATATAAGAAGCAAGCGCGTCATTCTTAATTACCCGCTTGCAACAATATAAAAAAGATGTCATTTTTTCAGTGCACACGAAAAACGAGCTCCACGAAAAAACCTCAACAGAAGATACCAAAAAAAGGTTATCCACCATGACCGAATAATTCAAAGTGGGCTCAGCACCATAACCTCCATATTAATGGTAGTTGAACGGCCTATCCCACTATGTAAATAAGAGCCCAACGTCCAACACCTGCTTCTTACCAAACTCAACTACACGTGTTCTAACATAACTCAGTTTGATCGAAGACTTCCTTCCTTCCTTCATTCCCGCTGTTGATCTGTATCAGATCCTTCTCTTGTGTACCTCCTCTGTAGACATCAACAATTCACGGATCTAACATTTATTACAACATCAATATAACACAACTATTTTACATTATCACATCGGTTTCGCGTGACTGGTAGTGTACTTGTTGAAACTAGAAGCCCAGAGAGAGTGTGTGTAGAGGAGGAGTAAAATGAAGGCAACGAAGAGGCCGATCCAAGCGGTGGCGACATGGGTGAGGAGGCAACCGCCAAAGATCAAGGCGTTTTTGGCTGTGGTTTCAGGGTTGGCAGCTTTGGTTTTTCTTAGAATGGTTGTTCATGATCATGACAACCTGTTTGTTGCAGCTGAGGCCGTTCATTCTATTGGAATCTCTGTTCTTATTTATAAGCTCATGAAGGAGAAGACTTGTGCTGGTAATAAAAATGAAACGTTTCTCTCTGAAATTTTATGATTAGCCAGAAATTTAGGTTTTCTCTTTCTTTGTTGATTCTGCTAATTGATTTTTTAAAAGATATTGTAAGTATATGCAATTGGGTTTTGTTTGTGATCGTTTTAGTTTTATCCGTGATTGTAAAGTGTAAAAGGTTTGGTGTTTTTAAGATTATCTTTGTTTAACCAATGAAGAGCACTGTTGAGTTGCTGATTCGATTAGTGTGAGAGAGGAAAAGGGCTTTTGCTGGATATCTCAAGCCGAAAATTTCATTCCATAAAAACTGAGTCAAAATTGGCTTAAAAAATGATAGGGTTTTGATGTAATAGTCCTGGGGTTTATCATTTATGTCAATCTTGCATTATGTCTTGGGGCGGTTTTCTTGTTTTCCATATATGGTGATTTATCTTTTCATTCCGGTAAAGTCTGTGAAGTGTCAAGAATTATGTCGAGGGGTGAGAGTCTAATGTGCTAGTTTAGGATAAATAGCTTTTGTTGAAGAAAGCAAGATTAATTTTCATTGAATCATGTATAGATAATTGCTAGGTAGATGCTACTATTTGTCCCATGATCGTAATGATTTTCAATATCGATAATGTAACTCGTTGCAATTAAGCACATGTTCTACATTCTGTCTCTGTATTTCATACCAACACAACTCTGGCCTTTGTTTTGTCTCAATTTTTTGTCTTCTCTAATTTTAATTCTTTGCAGGACTTTCATTGAAATCACAGGAGCTAACAGCTATATTTTTAGCTGTTAGGCTCTATTGCAGTTTTGTCATGGAGTATGACATACACACTCTACTTGATTCGGCTACCTTGCTGACAACCCTTTGGGTAATCTATATGATCCGCTTCAATTTGAGGTCCAGTTACATGGAAGACAAAGATAACTTTGCAATTTACTATTTGGTGAGTCTTATGCATTTGTTGAACTGAAATGATCCATTGGTAGGATTTTCTTTTTCATTTTTTTTTTAATTTTTTTGGGGAAGTTTCATTTCATGTTAAGATTATGGAGTGCTTGTATTTTAGCATGCAAGTTAAACTGCTATGTTTCCATATGTATTTGATCTGTTAGCTAATCCGGTAATTTAAATATTCCTGTTTTTACTATGCCCTCAACAAGATTATCAATTACTCTGGCTGACAGCAATTAAATGAATTTAACCGAAAACTATCCTGATATGAGATCTAATGGGGTACCTATTTTAGCATGTAAGTTAACTGCAATTTTTCCATTGGTCTTTTGATCATTTATCTAGTCCTGTGAGTCAAACATCCTGATTTTACATGCCCTCCTGCAGGCTTTCACTTTGGTATTACCATCAACTTGCAAGATTTGCACTTAGCCTTGTGTTTTAACTTTTAAATCCACAAAGAAAGCAGTGCTAATTACTTACATTGAATGGTTTTCTTTTTTTCCCAATCAATCTTAGAATGTAGTTTGATCTTGAGTTTTTTTGTCTCAGTTTCTATTTTGTTCTTTTCTCTTGATGTACTATGTGCCTTTCTCCTCTCAAACAGGTGATACCATGTGCTGTGCTAGCTTTGGTTTTTCATCCAACAACACAACATCACATTGTCAACAGGGTTTGCTGGGCTTTTTGTGTTTACCTTGAATCCATTTCAGTGTTGCCTCAGCTACGAGTAATGCAGAACACAAAGGTATGACTGAGAGTGACATGAGCACGCCAGTTAACTTTCTCAGATGATGATTTATTTTATTTTATTTTTTAATGTGCAGATGACCTTTACATGGCTATTCTTACTCGTCTCTCTTTTGTCTGATTTCAGATTGTTGAACCATTCACAGCACATTACGTATTTGCACTTGGAGTCGCTAGGTTTTTGAGTTGTGCACATTGGGTCCTCCAGGTTTGATAATGCATATTACAACTCCTTATAGATCTTGGGATATAACTTGGTTCTATCATTGCAAAATGGCATTGTACGACGAACTCTTACTAGTAAATATCTATCTTGGTGTCAACAATCCCTGTTAGGTATTTTATTCATTGTCAGAGCGCACTTGTCCAATTCTAGGCAGAGGACTTGCATAGAGATTTTTGTTTGTCCACAAAATTGATAAGCACACTACTATAACTATTTAAAGTCGTACTTATTTTCCTTGTATTTTAATATTTTAAATCTTTATGATGCATGGAAGAGGGGGACTAAATTACCACTTTGTAATGAAACCACCTTCTTGTGGCCTTTAGGCACAAATACACATTAATGTTGTGCTGAAGCACCCTCTGCCCATTGGACATCCATAAAGCATTTGCTCATATGCATCATGTACACGCACCCATATGTATATATGGCTATCATAGTGTCTATTTTTAGTTCATTTTGATGTAAAATTCTTTGTTGCTCTGCTGTGGTTAGTACTTGTGCTTGTCCACAAATCATAGGGTATTAAAGTGACAAAGCTAGCATGAATCAATTAGATTGCACCTTCATCTGAGTATGCATTTTATCTCTATATATAGGTATTGGACACTCGAGGGCGCCTATTGACGGCCCTGGGCTATGGACTGTGGCCTTCCATGGTCCTACTTTCAGAAGTTGTGCAGACTTTCATTCTTGCTGATTTTTGCTACTACTACGTCAAGAGGTGGGTACTTGGCATTCTTTTCGGAAACCACTGGACATTAAGTTTCTGATGATCTATCTAACACATGCTTGGTTATATGCAGTGTTCTTGGTGGACAACTTGTCCTACGGCTCCCCTCAGGAGTGGTATAAGCTAGTGTGCCTCGCAAACTGCGAAGTGCATCCACTGCTAACTGCCACGAGACTGCAGCTTTGGTTGCTTTTGAGGCATCCAGATAGCGTGTACACGCTTGTTCTTTCTTCCAGGCATTAGAGTTATTGTAGTAGGTGGACTGTAAAGTTGGGTTGCCTTGGATGTTGGTCTTTTGATAACTTAATAATTAAATAGAAATATTTACCATAAAGGAATTAGCTTCTGTTGATGGATCACTTCCTGCGGTTTTCGGTTTATTCGGTTCGGTTTTTGAACAGCCAAACCAAACTGAATTTATGAAGAAGACCGAAATTTTCGTCTTGCTTTCAGCTTTTTTCAAGTAAATGTTTGTAATTTAAAATTTCATTTTTTTGACCCGTGAAGAGCACATCCCTACTTCTGGCATACAACATTGCTCTCCTCTTGCCGAATGTCGTTGGATGTTTTTCATGTCTTTATGTTTTCATTTTTTTTTCTAACCAAAGAACGGATTTTAATCACTTCTGGTCGGTGCTCCTTGAATTCTAAAGCGACTTCTCGGCAGAAAACATTGGAAAAAATCGAACTTCATATAGATTTCGAATCTGAATGCCTCGTATTCAGTCCTAAAGAAACATCCAGCGAAGCAACCAGGTCATTTTCTAAAACCACTTGCTAGAAATCTCATTCATTGGACAATGAGATTTTGCAAGAGAGAATTTTTGAAATAAACTTTTTATAGAATTGGTTGCTTGGGATTTGGATGACTCCAAAGTGAAGATGGTCGTCCATGCACTCGTGTCCAAGAGGCTGGGCCTGGCTATTTCTAGAAATGGCTCATTTTTCAGAAACCCATCAGTGCTTTCACCTGTGACGCGCACTATTTTCACGGTCTATTTTGTACAGCTGTTTGCTTACGTCATGGTCCTGCTGTGTGTACTGTGCATAGGTTATCGATAAAATAAAATAAAAAACCCAATGAATTTTGTTGGTTAAAAGATTTGAAAGTGTTCAGTATTTTTTTTATTTTGAACTTTGAAACTTTTTTTTAAAAAAATATTTCTTTAATTAAGGAGAATTGATGTGGATTTTGTTTTTCAAAAAATTGTTAAAAAAAAAATTAGAATGAACTAATGATCAGTATTCAAGAGACTCTCTCCAAATGAAGGAAAAAATTAAGAAAAGAACAATGAAAAGAAAAAAATTACATCAAAATAATGTGGGTATTTTTTTAAAAAAAATTGTTTATCAATTAATATTTAATATTCATGAGACTCTCTCTCAATGAAACAAAAAAATTAAAAAAAGAACGATGAAAGGACAAGAAAAGAAAAAAATGTACGTAGACGTGTCACCCCTGATATGTGAGACTGAGCTTCTAATTCGTTCCTTTTGTCACTAGCATTGTTTTGTGTTTCACTTTTCCTTGTAAAATATCTTTACTTTTTTTTTTTTTTTTGACAGAAAATATCGTCATCACCTCCTTCACGAAAAGTCTACTTTAGATTGTTTTAGAAAGAAAATATTTTTCCTTCGAAAACTATTTTAGATCTTTTAGGTTTTTGACATTTCTTCTTTTCGCTTGAGAAAATAACTACGAACTCAACAGGTTGTTAATTTAGTAAAGAGGAGGAAGAATCACTGTCAATCATATACTCCATATTCGACCAAAGTAGCTCGCCACCTATCAAAAAGGTATGGTCCAGTTCGTGGATTAGTTGTAGGGTTTGGTAGTCGCAAAACAGGTCACCACCACAAAGGAATCAAAATTAGGTCCTAGCATTATTAAGTCGGCACTGCAAAACTATTCATGAATAAATTATAAATTAGTCCTTCTATTTTTTAAAAAGAATTAATTAGTTTTTATTTAAAAATTAAATAATTAATCTTTGATCAGTATTGATCATATTTAATTTAATATTATTTTTATTTAAAAATATTTTATTTTTTATCAATCTTTTTGTAATCCTTTTTTCTTAAAAAAATAAAAATAAAACAAAAAATCATAATGGAATATAAAGTAGACAAAAAAAACTAATTAATTAATTTTTAAAATATAAAAGATTAATTAAATTATTTTTTAAAACTAAAGGGACTAATTTTTAATTTACTCAAAATTTCATTAGGTCCATGCACCTACGTGCTTTCCGATAGACCGGTAGCGCTTGATGTGTAAGTCTCTATTAATTATTAGGTGCTGGGCCAGATCAGAATTTGACAACAAAATTTGACACTTTCCTCATCTCGAGGATACGCAAATTATTTTATAACTTTGATACATAAAATGATTGTAGATTACTCAGTCATGTCATGCACAGAACTTTCAAAGTAATTCATGTAGCGTTGAGCACAGGCATAGGGAGATTTTTTGGCAAAATGAGCAGGGTCCCACTTGCAGGTGCATATCCTTAAACTTGGTACGCAATATTTATCTTTCGTTTTTTTTTTTTTTTTCCAATTAAGGTGTTATGGTATCAAGTTTTAAAATATCTGGAAACATTCTTTTAACATGACTAGGTAACATTTTTCAACGTATGATATTAGATATTTTAAGATTAACTTTTTTAAATGCTAATTCCAATAATCAAATCTTAAATCTGATTTATAATGTATTATTACCTTATGATTTTTTATCTTTTTTTAATTATAGTGAATTGAGATAAATTTAAATGATTTGAGGCTTATGAAAAGTAGTTATTTTTAATTTATATATTAAGTATAGATTATTTAACATTTTCACTCACTTGCATTTTTTTTAGAATCTATTAAATAGCTAGTATTTCTAGATTTTTTTAGACTGTCAAATCTTTTTAAAATTTAGATATTATATTAAATTAGATAATTGATATTAAATTTTATTTTAAAAAAAATTAATTTTATGATGAATAATAATCATTCTCAAGTTTATATATTAAATATCTATTATTTATTTATTGAGAGTGAAATAGATTATCTAACATGGTGTAACGAAGTCATTTTCTTTTTTTGTAGGTTAGTCCATCAAAGAGTTTGAATGCTGATGTGTCTTCACATAAAACAGTTGAAAAGATTCAGTGCACTGCAATAATCGGTGTAGGTGTATGGATGAATGGAAACATTACAGCTTGAAGTCTCTTGTCTTTAACATCATCAGCGTTATTATGTTGACTTGGCTACACGAGAAAATTTAAAATACTCTATGGATAATATAGATTTCTCTTGTTACATCATCCAGCCACAACACAAGTGACAAGCTTAATTAACAGCTAGTTTGGAGTCAAAAGAGTCCAACTTAGCCCTCTGGGACTGGCAATCTGGGTTCCATCACTCGTAGATTTTCGCAAGACATTTTGTCCTTGATGCGAAAAGACTAATTATTAAAAAAACAATAAACAGAAGTGAAATGTGAAAAACGTACTTCTCCGAAATAAAACCAATTAAACAAAGAAAATGGCAAAAACATGTGCCGAACCCATTGTATTTTATCTAAACACGAAAATGAAGCGTTTTCTACAATGCATTTGGAAAATCCCAAAATTATTAGTCTTTCGATTTTATGGAAGAGATTTTGTACTATAAAGTATGTTTGTAATTAATTAATTAAAATATTATTGGATTCGGTTATATATGCAGGTTGTGTAAGTAAATAGGACGAAATTTTAAAATACTTAAAACAATAACGATCAATATTTATTATATTAATCTATTTTAAAAACATGTAAAAAGATATAAAAAAAATACAGGGAACCCACAATGATAAGAATATTTGTACTTAAAACTCTTTTTTTTTAACTCTATCTCTCCAATTTCTCTCTATTTTTTTATCTATTTTTATATAAAATAAATATTATTAATTATTCTTTAAATATCATAAAACTTCCTTATAGCAGCCATAAAAATATTTTTACTTATACTCAATTTTTTTAAATCTATTTCTCTAATTTCTCTCTATTTATTTATTTATTTATTTTTCTATAATGCAAGTATTGTTAATTATTTTTTAAAAACCACAAATTTCTTCATAAATAGACATGCTTTTGTTTTTTATTTGAAAAAAAAAACTCAATAAAAGTTCTCTCAATCCAGATAATTGTAATGCATCTTATCCCCAAGCTCTAACAAGTGACCATAATATAATTAGTGTGGCAGACCAACCCTCGGTTTCGTGAATGCATGCCAGCAGGATGTCCGTCCTTGCGTGGACCCACTCTCTGTTTTTATTCTCGAACTCCATACAAGCACCTTTTCTCCTATACCATGCAATTAACAACTAGCTGTCTGGGTTCCATCACTCTTGGATTTTCGCAAGCCATTTTGTCCTCAATGTGAAAAGACTAATTATTAAACAAAAAAATCAAAAACAAGAAGTGAATCGTGGGAAAACGTGCTTCTCCGAAATAAAACAAATTAAACAAAGAAAATGGCAAAACCATGTGTGATGTGCCGAACCCATTGAATTTTATCTAACACTAGAAGAAAGCATTTTCTAGAATGCATTTGGAAAATTCCAAAATTATTAGCATTACGATTTTATGGAAGAGATTTTGAACTATAAAATATGTTTGTAATCAATTAAAGCATTACAGGATTCGGTTATATATATAAGTAGACAATGGAGGAAAATAGGAAGAAATTTTAAAATATTTAAAAAATAACCATCAATATTTATTTTATAAATATATTTAACGAGAGACACATATAAAAAAAAATCACATTGAATCTATTAAAAATATTTCCACTTAATTAAATATATTTTATTTTTTTTTTTAGCTCTTTCTCTTCAATGTCTACCCCTCTCTCTTTTTCTTTTGTCTATTTCTCTCCTGTAGACTAGATATTATTAATTATTCTTCAAATACCACAAAATTTCTCCATAAATAAAATGCTCAGAGTCCAGACAATTGTAGTATATCTTACCCCCAAGTCCTAATTAAGGGGACCATAGTATAATTATTGCGGTAGACCATCCTGCGGTTTCGTGAATGCATGCCAGCAGGATGTCCCGTCCTTGCATGCACCTACTCTCTAATTTTATTCTCAAACTCTTCCTATAAATAGTGACACTCTTTCTGCCATTTCATGCAACTAAGCAAGCAGAATTCAATTCTATTCGAAGCAACATTAAAAGGTCTCCAGGAATCAAATTAAGCTGTAGCAATGGCTATTTCGAAGCTTTTGATTGCTTCACTTCTCGTTTCTCTTCTTGTGCTCCATCTGGTTGAAGCTGATCAGAAGGTAAAGTATTGTTTCTCATATGTAGTTTATTCCTACTTTTAGATTTGAGAGTTGTCAAGTTCATTTCTTTCTCTTTTTATGTTAAAAATATACTGCAAAATAAAATGGCGGTTGATGACTGGTGCAGGTGAACTCAAATCAAGCTGCAAGCTATATTCCTGGGAAAAGTATTGGTACGTAACCATTGAGTTATTTTTCAAACAATAGCACATCTTAACTGGATTATTCTTCGTATAGTTAATCAATGCGCATTAATTTGGTTTTGTAAATATGCAGATTGTGGTGGCGCTTGCAAAGCTAGGTGTTCCTTATCCTCCAGGCCAAATCTTTGCAAGAGGGCTTGCGGGACATGCTGCGCACGATGCCAATGCGTCCCCCAAGGCACTTCCGGCAACCTAGATACCTGCCCTTGCTATGCCACCATGACTACTCATGGTGGCAGACGCAAGTGTCCTTGAAATCAGCCTTGCCCTGCTTACAAAAAGTTGAGCATTCTCTGCAGAGAGTCAAAGATCAAGAATAATAATTGGAGTTGGAACCGCAGATATGAAGTTGCACTTCTTTAATAGATATGAAGAGATGTCGTTTTCTTTCCGTTTGTTTTTTTTTTTTTTGTATAATATATCTTGAATTATTTGTGAAATTTGTAATTGCACATGTACAACTGTATTCGGAAATAAAATTCCCGGTTTCTTTTCTTTTTTAATTTTCTTAGCGAAACTTGAATCCAAATAGGGACCAAATTGATAAGCTAACAATTTCTATAACAAAAATATTAGCTCTCAAAGTTTGGGATGACGAGTTCCCAAAAAAACAGAAATTGGTAGGGAATAATAATTAGTAACAATGAAAGCTATAATCTACCAAAATATCGAGTATTTTGTCTACCAACTTACTCATAAATTCAGTCACTATAATAATATCACACGCATGAAGAAGTGAATAAACGTGATTAGTGATGTATGCTCCGAATTAAAACCATGTTGTATTTCTCGTATTTTTGTATATCTTGAACTTTGCAATTGAAACAAAGTCAGGTCAGGAGCCCTGTCTTGTATATTCTAAATTTCAGCGATTAAATTATTAACTAGTCCTTCAAGTTTGACAAAACAAATTAAATAGTCTTGTATTTCAAGAATGAATTAATTAGTCACTTGACTAGCGTTGGTCATGATTAATTTAATATTATTCTGTTAAAAAATTTTATTTTTCTCGTTAATCTTTTCATATTTTTATTTATTTTTTATATTTATTAAAAAAATTAATTGAAAATAAATGAAAAAGATTAAGTTACAAAATAGATTTTAAAAAATAGAAGCTAATTGATTTGTTATTGAAACTAAAGCGGTTATTTAATTTTTTTTAATACCTTGAGGGATAAATTTATAATTTACTCATGTTTTATTAACAATTATTAATTTCATTATATTGTTTCAAGTCTATGACTTACTATTATACAGAAAGATGTACACGTCAAATATATTTTTTCATTATCTTTTTTTTAATATTTTTTTTAAGAGTTCAAGGATTTATTTGTATTCTGAAGATGTTATCTCCGTATATAACAGTGAATACCTTAAAAACAGTGTTTTTCACTCCTCAAAACCAATTATTTTTTTAATATTTTATTTCCATACCAAGTTTCTCCAACAGATGGAGGAAACAAGATAGGATAATGCTTTTATTTGATCATAAAGAAACATTTATCCCAAAGGACCTCAATTCCCAGCCTAAATCACTAATCTTTACCCCAACAAAATATTAAGAACCTCCACTGTCTTAATTCCAAAGGGATCTTTACTAATCTTGAAATAAGAAAAAACTCGTGACTCTGATTTTTTGAACCTCTACCAAATCAACGTAGTCCGTGCGTCCTGCGAAGTATTAAGAGCAATTAATAAATATATAAAATAATTATTTTATGTATTCATTTTTCAGAAAAGATATAAACATATTAAAAAAAAAATCACATTCGAATTTATATAAAATAATAAATTTTTTTTTTACATTAGCTTTAATTTTTTAATTTTTTATTTCTTTCTTATATTTATATCTACTTCTTTCTATGAAATAATTTTCGCTGTTTATTTTTTTGAATATTATAAAATTTTTACTGCCACTGGGTGCATGAACATGTTACAGCTGTGGTGTGATCTCATACAGCTGGCGGAGTCAATTCGGGGAGGTTCCTGAGAAGCTTTCAATTGCATAGATGATAGTTGCCTGTCGTCTTTTTCAATAAATAGAATCAGTGGCTATTGCATGCTATAGATATCGTAAAACGAAGTTTGCACGAGCGAACATGATCAGATTGGGCTTCGTTGTCAGGAAAAATATTGTGCGAGTTAAATTTAAAGCCTAGCTAATACCTACTAAGGACATCCCGAGAAAAGAAAGCTCCTCGGGGTCTATTTTGTAACAGGACAGACAACATTACTTACTGGAGTACAGTTTTTGTTAGGCACGAGCATAGATTAGATGTTAGACTGTAACGAAAGAACAATGAGTTTGGTTCAAGAACATACTGGTCACAGATTTTGAGCCATATCTTTACTTCTCATCTATCACATAATATGTGACTACTTCCAAAACTTTGTCAGCTCTCATCAATTCTACAATGCTTAGCCTTTCACGTGTCTTGTGGCCGACTGCTTAGATAAAAAATTAGCAGCCCAAAAAATGAGAATATGGTAGCTTCAACTTTCTCCATGGAACAAATCGTAGCTAGAATCAAATTGCACTAGTTACCTTTCAATTATTTTCTTCCATGACTCACATTTTAGTGTTTTATATTATTTTTTTCTAAATTACATATTCAAAATTTTTATCAAAATTAATTTATTAGAATTTAAATCCATAACTTTTATTATAAGAAATCATGAACTACAAATTTTTTAATTATTTTAATCTTTAATATATTCTCAATCTCCGTCCTCGTCTTGATTGCTTTTCCACTTTTCTACTTTTTTTTTAGTTTATTTATATTTATTTTGTTTAAAGGTTTATGTTCTAGTTGAGAAGGTTTATCTTTTTTGTTGACAAATAAAAAGTTGAGAAGGTTTTAATTTCTTTAATTTATAAAATTTTGCAAGTTGTTTTTTTTTAAAAAAAAAAAAAAAAAGCAGAAGGGAAAAGTACTATACACTGGCTGGTAGAGGCAATTGATTGAAAGAGCATCCACTAAAGAATTAAAAAATATTTTCGTTTGGACCCTTCTCTAGTTCCCTCCAGATTCCAAAGGCTCTTCTCCACCATACATTCCTGACAACTCAAGAATAACGTACCACTTTTTTTTTTTTTTTGCCTTCTTATGCTTATCGTTATAATAATAATAATACTATTACAATTCTCGGTCCTTTCATGGACCGACCTTAGCCTCTTTAATAATTATTATCAAAAAAGGGAATACAAATACCAACATCCTTTCTTTATTTTGCACGCCAAGTTTAAGGTTTCGATTTATATATTCTATAGCTGTCTTCATGAAAAAAAAAAAAAAGGAATTGATTGGTTAAATTGCAAATTAAAGAGAAAATAAATACCCAATTATGAGCATTTGATAATTGACGGATATAATTGCAAATTCTCAAAAAGGAAAAAAGAAAAAATAGAGACCTTTTTTTTCATAAAACAAAAGAAACCTTACCATATGTGGTTGTTTTGACTTCGAGCTTAATCATGCACGTGTGGTTTCATTTTTCAGACTGGGGTAGCGCTTGCCCGGCCAGGTGCCGGTTATCATCTAGGCCACGCCTGTGTAAGACAGAGCATGTGGAACTCGTTGTTCAAGATGCAACCGTGTTCCTCCCGGAACAACCGGTGACCAGGAGGCTTGCTCCTGATACGCCAGCTTGACTACCCATGGCGGCAGACGCTAGTGTCGTTGAAGTAAATTTAATCTGGAGTATGTCACGCTTTTAAAAGTAATATTTATCTTAGATCATCGAAAATAGAAATAATTGAAATGGATCCGGTAAAGCTGAAAATCTGGTTGCTATGATAATAAAATTTCAGTAAATTTACTTTGTTTTTGGTATGTAATCTCTTATTTAAGTTGAGGTAACCAAAAAAAAAAAAAGCTTTAAACAGTAAAAAAATTCAATAAATAAAACTGGGTTTGTCTCCTTCAAAGCTATCAAATAAAGATACCACTAGAGATTATCTTTCATTTTATTTTTTATTTTTTTGTCGCAAAATAAGTATTTTATCAAAATATTTAAATCATGTGTTTTATTAGAATATATCTAATTAAAACTAATTTGTAAAGAATTCATAGTTAAAGATACACTTATGTATGATAATCTCTTTAAAAGATAAGAATTATGATATAATATTATATTAAATATTATAATGCTAATTTTACATAATAGCTTTACTCAACTCACTTATTGAAAAAATTACAAATATTAGGTGGGCACCATATATACTAAATACGTGAATTTCAATAATGAATTTCATAAATTCAATTGATAATACTTTTGGATAAATAAATTATCAACTACCGTTTGGTAATGTTAGCATTAATATAGACAAATATGCTTCATGATAGACTGAGAGTACTCGACGTCCAAGTCTCATTCACTTTCCAGCTATCCAACTCTATACTAATTTAAAATTGGTAAGATTACACAATGGCTATTTAGAATCCATCCAGACTTAATTATTTGGTGTGGTGGTAAACTAGGTATAAAAAGACATTAAAATGTTACCCTAAATTTGACACTTTGTTCAACTTAGGATATGTTAATTATTACACTTTAAAAAGGCTACTCCTTCTGTCCCAAAAAGAATTGTCCTCCTTTTTATTTATATATGTCTCAAAATATTTTTTTGGTTAAAATTTTAAATATTGTACTTTTTTAAAATATCCATAATCAATTTTTTTTCCATTTCTTATTTTTTACTAAGTAGAAAATCAATCTTTTTTACACTTTTTTTAAAACATACAAATTTTTTAACATAATTTTTTCAAAGAAATTTTTTTTATTACATAAAAATTTAAGATTCCTTAATGAATTTTAAAAAATATAATGATCTCCATATCGTTTTTAAATTTTTGAAACTCCAATTTGACAAAATGGAAAAGTATTTTAATAGAATAAAGATAAAAAAAAATTGTGTATCGTAATAATTAATATCTTTTTTAAACGATATAAAAAAAGTCAAAAGAGATCAATATTTTGAGATAAAAAGAGTATTTAAACGTACCGTTAGACTAAATCTATTTATATAAGAAAAAATTTGACAGAACGACCAGCGTCCTACTCGCTCAAGCATATCTTTAATATTTGTAGTTTGGTACCCAACAATGTTTATTTATTTTAATCGTGCTGGGAAGGAAGTCATTTTCTTGGTTTTTGCAGGTTAGTCAACAAAGAGTTTGAATGCTGATGTGTTAATGGATAAACCCACTGAAAAGAATTCAGTGCACTGCAATAATTGGAGTAGATGGAAACGTGACAGCTTGAAGCCTTGAAGTCTTTTGGCTTTGTATTATTATGAACAATTCTGACTAGCAATTCGTTGACCTTTTTACGAAATCGGGTGACAAAACTAGCATAATGAGTCCAGATTTGATAACTCTTAGATTTTTTTCGCAACCCATTTTGTCTTTGAAACGAAAAAAACTGATTATTAGGAGGGGAAAAAAAAGGAAACAACAGGGGAAATGTAGAAAATGTACAAACTTTTCCGAAATAAAAAGAAAGAAAATGACAAAAACAGGTGCTAGAACCCACTGGATATTATCGAAACATTAGAAAGAGACATTTTCTGCCATGCACTTGGAAAAATTCTAAATGTATGGGTCTTACAATTCTTTGGAAGAGATTTCGTAATGTCTCTTATTTAATTAATTAATCTATTATTGAATTCTGTTACACATCAGCATGCTCTGTATTACCAAGTAGGGATGCCTTTGGTTTTTCTTTAAAAAAAAAAAACCCAATAAAAGCTGCTCCAGATAATTCTAAGATATCTTCTGCCCAAGTCCTCACAAGTAACAAGTGACAATAGTATAATTAGTATGGCAGATCAACCCTCTATTTCGTAAATGCATGCCACCAGGATGTCTCGTCCATGCTTACACCCGCTCTCTGTATTTATTCTCATACTCTGGCTATAAATAGTGGCACCCTTTTTCCACGCAATCAAAACAAACAGAGTTCCATTCAATTCGAAAAAAAATTAAAAGCTCTCCAGGAATCTAATTAAGCTTTTGTAATGGCTATTTCGAAGCTTTTCATTGCTTCGATTTTCGTATCTCTTCTTGTGCTCCATCTTGTTGAAGCTGATCAGAAGGTAAAGTATTGCTTCCTATTATAGCCTATTTCCTCCTTTTAGATTTCAGTGTTGTCAAGTTCATTTCTTTCTCTTTTTTAAGGTTGAACCTTCCAACATTAAAAGTATATAAAAAAGTAACATTGCGTTTGACTTATGCAGGTGAACTCAAATCAAGCTGCAGGCTACATTCCTGGAAAAAGTATTGGTACGGGAATGAAAAATTTTATAATACACAATAAGTATCTAGTGACATATATAATAGTTACTCTTTGAGCTCATTTTGAGAAAAGAGATAGACACAAAAAAAAAAATTATATCTATACCTACAAAAAGTGATAAGAAAATTTCCACGTCCGTTCAAATTTTTTTATTTTCTCTCTTTCTTTTTGTATATCTATCTCTCTTCTCGAGTGAGCCCAATGAGTAACTACTATACATGCCACTAGTTACTTCTTTGTGTATTATAAAATTTCTCATACGTGAATAATTGATGAAACTTGCCCACATTATCTTCGGTTTGTCAAATGGCAACTCGTTTCATTTGTTAATTTGTTTAAAACATCAACGAGTGCATCTTAATTAAATTATTTAGAGAAATTTTATAATATTTAAGGAGTAAGAAATAACTAGTGTTATATATAACAGTTAGTTTATAGATCCATTTTGAAAAGAAATATAGATACATAAAAACAAGATAGAAACAAAAGAGAGAAAATTAAAAAAAAATTAAACAAACTTGAAAATCTTATTATCGGGATGTAATTTATTTTTTATATGTTTATCTCTTTTCAAAAAAATACATGAAGTAACTAATATACATGTTATTAATTACTCTTTGATGTTATAAAATTCTCACTATTAAATGCGTCTTAATTGGTTTTTGTATGCAGATTGTGGTGGCGCTTGCAAAGCTAGGTGTTCCTTATCCTCCAGGCCAAATATTTGCAAGAGGGCTTGTGGGACATGCTGCTCACGATGCCAATGTGTCCCCCAAGGCACTTCCGGCAACCTAGATACCTGCCCTTGCTATGCCACCTTGACCACTAGTGGTGGCAGGCGCAAGTGTCCTTGAAATCAGCCTTGGCCTCGTTATAAAATGTTATCCATTCTCCGCACAGATCAAGAATAATTGCTGGAGTTTGAATAATATATATGAAGTTGTACTTCTTTAATGGATGTGAGAAGATGCCGTTTTCTTTCTTTCTTCCTTTGTTTTGTTTTGTTTTTTTTTTTTTTGTCTGTATTGTTTATGTTGAATTATTTGTGACAAATTTTAATTGTACAAGTAGAACTGTGATTGGAAATAAAATTCCGGGTCTGGGTTTTCTTTTCTTTCTTTATGTAACAGAAACTTGAATCCAAATAAAGACCAATTCATTAGCTTTTAAAATAGAAAGGGCTAATTTATAATTCACTCCGTTGAATTGCCATTATCTTGTAGTCAAAGTCAAAGAAAAGTACATTTGACGTATCAAGACCAAGCATGGTGCCTTAACTTTGCTCCTTTTTCTTACGAGGTTGTGTGCATTTGCTTCCTCCTAAATCCTTGCAGTATTTCTCTTATTTTTGTACGGCTGGGAGTACATTACATACCCCAAACTGGCCCCCCGTTTCAAAATCTTATTTCAAATTTATGTCTCATACAGTGAATATTGTTCAAGTCATATCACTTTATAAACGAATTAAAAATGAGAGTCCAGCTCTATCATGTATCATATATAATAAATCAATCACAGTCGAGCAATATCAGTTGCAAATGGCAAAGTTATCGAATGGGTTTTGTTTATGTTTGAATCATGTATTTTTTTAATTTTTTTCATTGAATTTTTTTTTTTTTTGTCTTAATTAGAATGTTTTATGTTTTTTAGATTTCTTGCATCATTCTCTATTAAAATTATATCAATGTACGACATACAAAATATTTTTATTTTTTAAAATTTTTTACTTTATAATGTTACATGTCGAGTGTCAAATGACGAAGTAGTAAAAAAAAAATCTTTTTTTTTTAAGAATATAAAATCTTAATCAGATTAAAAAATACTAACAAAATCTTCAACCATTAATTACATTTTAACCACCCATATTGATTTAAAATTCATATAGGTTACATTACCATAGTCCATATAGATAGACCATGAACATCAAGGATAGGGACTTCACGTTGCCAAATTTTTTATCACGTGGAACTAACTGGATCCATATATTTTGCCGACGTCGGCTCAATAATTCTTGGAAATATTAAGCATAATTAATTTATATAGACCATGTATTTTTTGAATTTTCTATTAAGATTTTTTATAATTTTTTAGTTTAATCAAGATTTTATATTTTTCAAAATATTTTAGAATTTTTATTATATCATCACAATCAGTAATCCATATACAATACGTATTATAAAATAAAAAATCTAAAAGAATGAAGGGTTCAATCAAACTAAAAAAAATTCAATCAAAACTTTTCTTTGACTCGATTCCCAGCCTAAATCACTAACCCTTACGCCCAACAAAATATTAAGGACCTTCACTGTCTTAATTCCAGAGGGACCTTTACTATCTTGAAAAAAATAAAAAACTTATGACACGTGATTTTCTGAACCTCTACCAAATCAATGTAGTCCGTGCGTCCTGCCAGAAATTAAGAGTAATTAATAAATATATATTATAATTATTCTCTATATTCATTTTTTAAGAAATATATAAACATATTAAAAAAATAAAAAATTATACCTAAAATTATCAAAAATGATAAAAATATTTTTATGTTTATTTTTTTTATTTTTTATGAAATAATTTACGCTGTTTATTTTTTTAATATTATAAATTTTTTGCTGCCACTGGGTGCATGAACATGTTACAGCTGTGATGTGATCTCATACAGCTGGCGGAGTCAATTCGGGGAAGTTCCTGAGAAGCTTTCAATTGCATAGGTGACTGTCGCCTGTCGTTTTTTTCAATAAATGGAATCGGTAGCTACTACGATTGATATCCTAAAACGAAGTTTGCACGAGCGAACTTGATCAGATTGGGCTTAATCAATACTGTGCGAGTTAAATTTAAAGCCTAGCTATGACCTACTAGGCTACTAAGGACATCCCGAGAAAAGAAAGCTACTCGGGGTCTATTTTGTAACAGAACAGACAACATGACTTACTGGAGTACAGTTTTTGTCAAGCACTAGCAGAGTTTAGACGTTAGACTCTAATTAAAAAACAAGGCGTTCGGTACAAGGACATACTGGTCACAGACTTTGAGTCATATCTTTACTTCTCATCTATCACATAATATGTGACTACTTCCAAAACTTTGTCTGCTCTGATCAGTTCTACGATCCTTAGCCTTTCGCGCGTCTTGAGGCCGACTGCTTAGATAAAAATTAGCAACCCAAAAAATGATAATATGGTAGCTTCATTTTGAACAAATTGTAGCTGGAATCAAATTGCACTAGTTAGCTTTCAATTATTTTCTTCCATGACCCATATTTTAGTCTTTTGTATATTTTTTTTAAAATCACATACTCAAGGTTGATTACAAAATTAGTTTATTAGAATTTAAATTCATAATTTCTTATTATAAAAAATTACTGTTATCTATTATCTCTTATTGAAAGAGATTATTACTGTTAAATTACAAACTTTTGATTATTTTAATCTTTTGTACATTCTCATTCTTCTTCCTCCGCCTGATTCCTTTTCCACTTTTTCACTTTTTTTCAGTTTCTTTATAGTTATTTTGTTTAAAGTTTTATGTTCTAGTTGAGAAGGTTTTTCTTTTTTGTTGACAAATAAAAAGTTGAGAAGGTTTTAATTTCTTTAATTTATAAAATCTTGCAAGTTGTTTTTAAAAAAAATTGGAGAAGGCGAAAGTACTACACACTAGTAGAGGCAATTGTTTGAAAGAGAATCCACTGAAGAATTACAAAAATATTTTCGTTTGGGCCCTGCCCTAGTTCCCTGCAGAATCCAAAGGCTCTTCTCCACCATACATTCCTGACAACTCAAGACTAATGTACGACCTTTTTTTTTTTTTTTGGCCTTCTTATGCTTATCGTTATAATAATAATGCTACGACAATTTTCGGTCCTTTCATGAACCTACCTTGGCCTCTTTCATCATTATTGTCGAAATGGGACTCAAATACCAACATCCTTTCTTTATTTTGCACGCCAAGTCTAAGGTTTCAATTTATATATTCTATAGCTGTCTTCATGAGAAAAAAAAAAAAAACTCAATTGGTTTAATTCCAATTTTTTTTTAAAAAAAACCCAATTATGAGCATTTGATAATTGAGGGATATAATTGCAAATTCTAAAAAAAAAAAAACATTTTTTGTTTATAAAACAAAAGAAACCTTACCATATATAGTTGTTTTGACTTCGAGCTTAACCATGCACGTGTGGTTTCAATTTTTCAGATAAGAGTAGCGCTTGCCCGGCCAGGTGCCAGTTATCATCTAAGCCACGCCTGTGTAACAGAGAGCATGTGGAACTCGTTGTTCAAGATGCAACCGTGTTCCTCCCAGAACAACCGGTAACCAGGAGGCTTGCTCCTGCTACGCTAGCTTGACTACCCATGGCGGCAGACGCAAGTGTCGTTGAAGTAAATTTAATCTGGAGTATCTCACGCATTTAACAGTAACCTTATCTTAGATCATCGAAAATAGAAATAATTGGCATGGATCCGGTGAAGTTGAAAATCTGGTTGCTATGATAATAAAGTTTCAGTAAATTTACTTTGTTTTCGGTATGTAATCTCTTATTTAATTTGAGGTAACCAGAAAAAAAAAAAAAAAAAAACACAAACTTTGAACATGTAAAAGATTCTGTAAATAAAACTGGGCTTGTCTCTTTTGAAACTATCAAATAAAGATACCGCTACAGAACATCTTTCATTTCATTTTTTATTTTTTGTCGCAAAATAATTATTTGATCAAAATATTTAAATTATGTGTTTTATTAGGATATCTCTAATTAAAACTAATTTGTAAAGAATTCATAGTTAAACAATTTATATTTTTAAAAAATATAGATACACAATAATGGCATAAAATATCAATTATATATATATATATAATAATCTCTTTAAAAGAGAAGAATTATGATATAATATTATATTAAATATTATACTGCTAATTTTTATATAATAGTTTTACACAATTCACTTATTGAAAAAATTACAACTATTAGATGGGTACCATTTATTAAATACGTGAATTTCGATAATAAATTTCATAAGTTCAATTGATAATACTTTTGGATAAATAAATAAATACCGTTAGGTAATTTTAGCATTAATGTAGACATATAAACTTTTTGATAGACTGAGAGTACTTGATGTCCAAGTCTCAGTCACTCTCCAGCCATCCAACTCTATGCTAATTTAAAATTCGATGAGATTACATAATGGCTATTTATAATCTATCCAGACTTAATTATTTGGTGTGGTAGTAAACTAGGCATAAATAGACATTAAAATGTTACCCTAAATTTGACACCCAACTTGTTCCACCTTGGATATGTTAATTGTTACACATTAAAATAACTACTTTCTCTTTAAAAAAAATCATCATTCTATTTATATGTGTCTCAAAATAATTATTTGATCAAAAATTTAAATATTATACTTTCTTAAAACATCCATAATCAATATTTGTTATACTTTCTTTTTAAACATACAAATATTTTTAATATACATTTTTTTTAAAACTTTTTATTTCATAAAAATTTAGAATTTTTTAATAATTTTAAAAAGACGTAATGATCTTCATATCTTTTTAAAATTTTTGAAACTCAAATTTGACGTGTTGGAAGAGTATTTTAAGGAAATATGGACAAAAAAATTACGTATCATAATAATTAATATCTTTTTTAAACTATATGAAAAGTTAAAAGGGACTAATATTTTGAGATAGAAAGAGTTTTTAAATATACCGTTAGACTAAATTGTTTGTATAAGAAAAAAATTTGACAGAATGACCAGCGTCCTACTTGCTCAAGCATATCCTTAATATTTGCAGTTTGGTACCCAACAGCATTTACTTCTCTTAATCGTGCTGGAAAGGAAGTCACTTTCTTGATTTTTGCAGGTTAGTTGACAAAAGGTTTGAATGCTGATGTGTTTGTGGATAGAACGATTGAAAAGAATTCAGTGCACTGCAATAATTGGAGTAGATGGAAACGTGACAGCTTGAAGTCTTTTGGCTTTGTATTATTAACAATTCTACACTAGCAATTCGTTGACTTTTTTACGAAATCGGGTGACAAAACAAGCTTAATGAGTCCAGATTTGATCACTCTTAAATTTTTTTCCCAACCCATTTTGTCTTTGAAATGAAAAAAAAAAAAAAAAACTGATTATTAGGAGGGGAAAAAATGGAAACAACAAGGGAAATGTAGAAAATGTACAAACTTCTCCCGTAATAAAAAGAAAGAAAATGGCAAAAGCATGTGCTAGAACCCACTGGATATTATCGAAACATTAGAAAGAGACATTTTCTACCATGCATTTGGAAAATTCTAAATGTATGGGTCTTACAATTTTTTGGAAGAGATTTTGTAATGTCTCTTATTTAATTAATTAATCTATTATTGAATTCTGTTACCCATCAGCATGCTCTGTATTACCAAGTAGGGATGCCTTTGGTGTTTTTTTTTCTAAGGAAAAACCCAATAAAAGCTGCTCCAGATAATTCTAAGATATCTTCTGCCCAAGTCCTCACAAGCAACAAGTGACAATAGTATAATTAGTATGGCAGACCAACCCTCTGTTCCGTAAATGCACGCCAGCAGGATGTCTCGTCCATGCTTGCACCTGCTCTCTGTATTTATTCTCATACTCTGGCTATAAATAGGTCACCCTTTCTCAATGCAATCAAAACAAACAGAGTTCCATTCAATTCGAAAAAAATTAAAAGCTCTCCAGGAATCTAATTAAGCTTTTGCAATGGCTATTTCGAAGCTTTTCATTGCTTCAATTTTTTTATCTCTTCTTGTGCTCCGTCTTGTTGAAGCTGATCAGAAGGTAAAGTATTGTTTCTTATTATAGCTTGTTTCCTCCTTTTAGATTTCAGTGTTGTCAAGTTCATGTCTTCTCTTTTTTAAGATTGAACCTTCCAACATTAAAAGTAAATAAAAAAATAACATTGCGTTTGACTTGTGCAGGTGAACTCAAATCAAGCTGCAGGCTACACTCCTGGGAAAAGTATTGGTACGTGAATAATTGATGAAACTTGCCCACAATATCGTCAGTTTGTCAAATGGCAACTGTTTCATTTGTTAATTTGTTTTAAACATCAGCAATGCATCTTAATTAAATTATTCGTATACTAAATGGAGAAATTTTATAGTAATCAAAGAATAAGAGTAATTAGTGACAAAAATAATAGCTACTTCATATATCTATTTTGAAAAAGAAGTAAACACATAAAAACAAGAGAGAAACAAAAAAAAAATTTTAAATTAAACAAACAAACATATAAATCTTCTTATTGGGATGTAATTTTTTTTATCTGTCTTTTTTAAAAAAATTAATTCATGAAGTAATTAATGTATATTTTGATTATTATAAAATTCTCACTACTAAATGCGTCTTAATTGGGTTTTGTATGCAGATTGTGGTGGCGCTTGCAAAGCTAGGTGTTCCTTATCCTCCAGGCCAAATCTTTGCAAGAGGGCTTGCGGGACATGCTGCGCACGATGCCAATGTGTCCCCCAAGGCACTTCCGGCAATCTAGAAACCTGCCCTTGCTATGCCACCTTGACCACTAGCGGTGGCAGGCGCAAGTGTCCTTGAAATCAGCCTTGGCCTCGTTATAAAACGTTATCCATTCTCCGCACAGATCAAGAATAATTGCTGGAGTTTGAATAATATATATGAAATTGTACTTCTTTAATGGATGTGAGAAGATGCCGTTTTCTTTTTTTTTTTTTGTATTATTAATGTTGAATTATTTGTGAGAAATTTTAATTGTGCCAGTAGAACTGTGATTGGAAATAAAATACCGGGTTTGGGCTTTCTTTTCTCTCCTTATGTAACAGAAACTTGAATCCAAACGAAGAACAATTCATTAGATTTTAAAATTAAAAGGACTAATTTATAATTCACTCCTTTGAACTGCCACTCTTTTACAGGGGTGTTCATTATTCGGTTAAAACCGAAATACCGAACCAAATCGAACTGAATTAACAATTTCGGTTCGATTTTTTTAAAAAAAAATTTAAAAAAAACCAAAATTATTTCGGTTCGATTTGGTTTTTTTTTTCAAATTCGGTTTCTACCGAAAACCGAATTAGTTTTTTTTTTTAAAAACACATACTCAAACTCTTTTTTAAAAAAAAAAATCAAAGACGCATCTATGGGTTTAACTAAAAGAACAATATCTTTAATGATTTTTTTCTACTTAAAATAGAAATATTTTTCATTAATTATTTATTAAAATAAAAAATAATTGATTATATTATATTGACTAACAAAAAAAAAAGACTATGATAAAGAAATTCTTTATAAAAACACAAATTTATAGGTGAATCCTAAACCCTCATGAAAAAAAAATTGTCTCCTTGGATTAAAATTGGCACAAACATAAATTAAAAATTGAATTTTTCATATTATATATTCAACAATAAAATATGCACAAAATAAATAGATTAAAAAAAGAATATGAAAAATTAATAAAAAAATCAATTATAGCGTGATTGAAAAAATAATGAGAAGCCTAACTAATTTAATTTATAATATAAATAGAAACATATTTATTATAGAAAAATAATAATAATCATATATAATTTTCTTATAAAATCAAATGTGAAATATGCAATATTTGATTATACAAGTTTGATATTTTTTAAAAGCAAAATAATTCGATTTTTAGAAGAAAAATGCAAAAAAAGAAAATCGGTTTTTAACCGAAAATTGAAACGAAAAAAATTTGGGTTTAAACCGAAAAATTGAACAATAATTCGGTTTAGTTTCGATTTTTGTTCTAATCAATTTGGTTAATCGAAAACCAAAATAAAAACATCAAAATCGAATAAAAAAACCGAATAAACACCCCCTACTCTTTTATAGTCAAAGTCAACGAAAAGTACATTTGACATATCAAGACCAAGCATAGAGCCTTAACTTTGTTACTTTTTCTTACGAGGCTGTGTGCATATGCCTCCCTCCTAAATCCTTGCAGTATTTCTCTTATTTTTGTACGTCTTGGAATATATTATATACGCCAAACTGGGCCCCTGTTTCGAAATCTTATTTCAGCTTTATGTCTCATACAATGAATATTGTTCAAGTCATATCACTTTATAAACGAATTAAAAATGACAGTCCAGCTCTATCATGTATCATATATAATAGATCAATCACAGTCGAGCAATATTAGTTGCAAATGGCATAGTTATCGAATGGGTTTTTGTTTATATTTGAATCATGTTTTTTTTTGTTTTTTTAATTGAAATCTTTTTTTTTTGTCTTAATTAGAATGTTTTTTTTATATAGATTTTTTGCATTAAATTCTCTATTAAAATTCTATCGATGAACGATGAATAAGTTATCTTTATTTTTAAAAAATTTTTATTTTACAATGTTATATGTAGGTTGTTAATTGATAGAGCTATAATAAAAAAAATATGATTTTTTTTAAGAATATTAAATCTTAATCAAATTAAAAAATACTAACAAAATCTTCAACCATTAGTTACATTTTAACCACCCATATTGATTTAAGATTCATATAGGTTATATTACCATATTCCATATAGATAGAACACGAACATCAAGGATAGGGACTTCACCCACGTTGCGTTCTTTTTTATCACGTGGAACTAACTGGATCCATATATTTTGCCGACGTCCGCTAAATAATTCTTGGAAATATTAAGCATAATTAGTTGGACACCATTGTGCCTTGGAAAACAATCGCGGAGCTGATTGGTGACTGATTAAAATAAAGAGTGTATATATATAGATGTTGACTTTTTTTTTAAAGATCTTTTATAATTTTTTTTATCTTAATTAAGATTTTATATTTTTTAAAATATTTTATAATTTTTGTTATAACATCATAAATCGATAATTGATATATAATACGTATTATAAAATAAAAAATCTAAAAAAATAAAGGGTTTTAATCAAATTTTTTTAAAAAATACATGATCCAAATGCAGAAAAAAAATAGCATATTTACGATAGGTGAAACTTAAATCACAACCTCCCCAGTTATTATTCTATCTCTGAACCCTTCATAGTTGTTCTTTTCTTTTATCATAAATAAGCATTATCCAGAAGTACCTTAATCCCCACGCCAAATCACTCTCATAGGAACAATTATTAAGCACCCACTATCATAATCTCTGAAGGGACCAATACCTTCCTGAAGGAAAACGAAAAAAGGATCATTTGTGCAAAGTATCGGGACCTCCTACCGAAGTAATGTAATTTCTGACAGCTGGCATTGGGAGCGCGAACAAAGTACAGCTGTTGTGTGATCTCATACAGCTGGCCAGGTTCTGAAGAAGCAGCCTGTCATTTCTTTCAAGAATAGAATCCGTAGTACATACAATTGGTCATAAAACCAGTGAGCTTGACAAAGATTGCGCTCCCAGCTGGTCAGGAACTTAATCATCATTCATCAACACAGTGGTTTTAACTATCATAAAACCATTCCTGGGATTTTATACTGTGAAATTTTATATTGATAATGATGTCAAGTTTGCTTTTGGTAGTTCGGAGAAATAAATCTGAATAGAACTCCTATCTGGCCAGTAATTAAATTATAAATTAATCTTTTTAGTTTTAAGAAATTAATCATTAATCTCTTTTTTAAAAAAATTAATTAATTATCTTTTATATTTAAATTTTTTTAGCGAAAAGTGTTTTTATTTTTAATTTATTTTGATTTTTTTGTTTTAAAGAATATAAAAAAGCTATTTTTAAAATAAAATGACCTTAAATTAAATACAGTCAATACTACTTAATTTAATCAATAATTAGTTTTAAAGATAAAAAAATTAATAATTTTTTTAAAATAGAGGGACTAATTTATAATTTACTCTATATCTGGCTAATGGATACAATCTACTAAAAAAAATGTTTAGAGAGTAGCTTTTGGATGTGATTGTTTGTTGATATAATATCGTAATTTCGACGATTAAACAATCATGAATTCTAACATCTCTATATAATGAATTTGTACATATTGTAAGTTCAAAATGCTCTCTCTTTCTCTCGAGTGAGTGATTGAAAAATAATATAAATTATATTATAATGTTTTATTTAATAATTTAAATTTTTAATCACTTTATGTTAAAAACAGCATAAATCACATTTTAAAACCTCATTTAATAATTTAATTTTTTGAATTAAGATATTTTTGTTTTACTGAAACGAAAAGAGATGCAGTGACCAGCCCTCGTGACTGTCATTTCTCCACTGATTCCACACGAGAAAAAAGTTTTGGGTTAAATTTATAGGCTGACAACGCCCGAGTACAGATTTTTGTTAGGCACCAAAAGATTGGACTAAAACAGAAGAACGAAGAGTTTTTTTTTTTTTTTTAAGATATTCTAGATTTAAAGATTCAAATTAATCTTACGAGAATAATTATTTAAAATTTTTTTATATGCATAAATATTTAAATTTTAAATTATTTATTTATATAATTAGAACTTCTTTCGCTCAAATCAATTCTCTTACATAAAAACTCGAAGGGTCTGCTACAAGAATATACTGATCACAGATATCAAGACATATCTTTACTACTTATTAAACGTTTATGTTATCTCTTGAATCCGCTCATCAATTCTACAGTTCTTAGCCTGCCAGGTATCTTGTGGACTGTTCAGAAAACAAATAATTATAATCTAGAATCAAATTAAATACGAACCTTTCAATTATTTCCTTCTTCCATTACCCATATTTTAGCCTGTTATGCATTCTCAATCTTCATCCGAGCTTTGTTTGCCTTTTCTTTTTCACCTTTCTGATCACGAAAGATGCGTCGCATTTCCGCGTCTAATAATTATTCAGAAGGCTAAAGTAATATATACTATGTAAAAGAATAATATAAAATTAATTTTAAAGAATTTTGATGATCAAAAAGATCACGAACCCATTTTTTTTTTCTTTCAAATATGGTTCTTTGACACACTAATACAGTCCATCGATAGAAAGAGCAACACTAAGGAATTACAAAATTTCTTTGGACCCCTTCCCCAGCTGGCTCATTCCAGATGATTCTAAAGGCTTTTCTCCACCAAACGTTCCTGACAACTCAATACTGATCCTATACTCATATACCACCTTTTCTCCCTCTTCCGCGTAGAATAATAGCGCTACTAAGACAATGTTCGGTCCTTTCATGAACCTACCCGCCTCTTTAATGATTACTATCAAAATATGGCTATAAATACCAAGGCCCTTTCTCTGTATTTTTCACACCCACACCAAGTTCCAAGGTTTCGATTTGAGACAGAGAGCTCTGGTGCATTAGTGCTCTTAACTTAGCTATGGCTATGATCGCCAAGTTTCTGATTGCCTCCCTTCTCTTCTCTCTTCTTGTTCTCCATTTTGCTGAGGCTGATCATGACACGGTAGTGTTAGTGTTCCACTTTAAATTATTTTCTTGATTGCTTGTGTTTGTGGTCTTTATCATCATCATACTCTACCAGCCTTTGAACCCTTGATGTTTGGATTGTGCATGACACAAACCACCAAGCTACAAGGGCGGCTAGTATCGCTTATGTTTATGAGTGGTCTTTTTTTTTTTTTTTTTTTCCCTTTAACTTCTAAATCCGTTTGATATTGATGCAGGTGAATTCAAATCTAGCTGCGAGTTCTCCCCCTAAGAAAATTGGTAATTTTAATCTCCATAGCATCACTAATTGGTCAAATTAATATTAACGTTAACCCACCTCCAAAAGGGTATGATAAATTTGCACCCTAACTAACAATATGCAAAATTTCCGATTTCTTCTATTAAAAAAAATGGGTTGGTTTAATTGGGATTAAATACGCATTTGTGGATATTTTAAATGATAATTGAGTGATAAAATTGTAGATTCTTGAAAAAAAAGAAAAAAAGAAACAAAGTTGATGTTTAATAATTTACGTCTGGTTTCGTTTCTCAGATTGTGGAAGCGCTTGCAAGGCAAGGTGCCAGTTATCATCTAGGCCACGCCTGTGCAAGAGAGCATGTGGGACTTGTTGTTCAAGATGCAACTGTGTTCCTCCAGGAACAGCCGGTAACTATGATGCTTGCCCCTGCTACGCTAGCTTGACTACCCATGGCGGCAGACGCAAGTGTCCTTGAAGCAAATTTCGAGCATCATGAGTATATATATATATATATGGTGTGGATTATGGTATACAAATAAAAGGAGTTGAAATACATATAGGAAAATGTATATGCTGCTATAATAATATGTAAGGCTGAAAATCTGGTTGCTGTTATTAATTATAAAGTTTCTGTAAATGTGTTTTGTTTTCAATGTGTAATCTCTCTGCTTAATTTGATCGAAAATTACATGTAAACAGTCGAAAATTATATTTTTTTTCCTTTTAATTGGAAGACTTGCGTCTTGAGCTACATAATGAGGAATTTTTTCATTACATAACAACCAATCAAATTAAAAATTTATCGTATACAGCATAATTAATTAGTTTACCCCTACTTATGTCCAGTTCAAAATTATTTGAACAATATAGAACTGGATTTTGTCTCTTTTAAAACATCAAATAAATAATATCCGAGTTATTTTAGGGGAAAAAAATCTATGTACTAAGATTATTTTTAGACATCAATTAAAATTAATCTATTATTTTTCAAATTAAGTGAATGTTAGAATATGTCAATATTTAGTTAATTAATGAATTGTTTTTAGATAAATCAATGCAACATTAATATCATTAAAAAAATATTAAAATTAATTGTCTTTAAACATTAATTTTGATCAAATTAAAACAACACCATTCAGTCTTATCTGTAGATGTGGACCAAAAATATCTTTCCAGAAATGTTCTTGTCCTCTCGTAACAGTTTTAACTTTTGAATAAAGAAGACAAATGAAGTCGTTCTATAAAACTCAGACGACACGTATCATCGATGCTGGCGCTCTCCCCGTTCACAATTTGTCATTCTTGACGAATCACGACAACAAATAGCATGCCACCGTTCGTTTCCTATCTTACACGTACAACCTCCGAGAGATCACCGCTCGTGCCTCTTCGACTGCAGCTAGCTAGCCACCACCAACTTATTCAGCACCGTTCCTCGCTCTCTTGCTATAAATAATTAAGCTGTCTTTCTCGCAGAATTGAATTTAATCAACTAAGGCCTCTAGTCAATTTCAATCCTTTTCGTAATGGCCATCTCAAAATCTTTGGTTCCTTCAATACTCGTGATTTCTCTTCTTGTCCTCCATCTCGTTGAGGCTGATCAGATGGTAAAGTTACCACTCTAATTACGACACCCGGTCACGTTGTTCACATTTTATTATTATTATTTTTTTTCTATCTTGCTTTGATGCTCTATTACCCTGTCAATTCCTAGCAGGAGAACGCAAGTCTAGCAGGGAGTTATGTACCGGTGAAAATTGGTAAATATTCGTATAAATATATTAGATTTTTTTTTTTTAATTTACAATAACGTATATTGCATGTTTAATTAACACGGAGTATATAATCCATCGAAAAATCATATGATGGTTAATTAGACAAATAAAAATCTCTATTTTTGTAACTTTGCTAACTAAATTAATTCCTTTTGTTTTCTGGGTAAATTAATTACTAAATGATTAACCAATGTTGTTGATGGTGCACCGTGTATGTAGACTGTGGTAGCGCCTGTATTGCTAGGTGCCAGTTAGCTTCCAGAACTCGTTTGTGTAAAAGGGCATGCGGTTCTTGCTGTGCACGTTGCAACTGTGTTCCTCCAGGCACTTCCGGCAACCAAGATGCCTGCCCTTGCTACGCCAGCTTGACCACTCATGATGGCAGACGCAAGTGTCCTTAATTGAAGACACATCGTTTGGGTGAAACAAGGATTCTTGTATAGAAAGTAAAGGATAATAGACAAATAAAGCTATATTTATATTGCTATATATGTAAATTAGCTTCTTCTTTTTTTTTGTTTTTTGTTTTGCGTCAGTATCTAGTACTCAACATCTACGTTGAGCTTCTGCCATGTATAAAGCTTGTAAAATTAATGTGTTCTATTTATTTTGATTTTTGATGATGAATGTTTGTTCTATTTGAGTTTTTAGATATGTATACAGAGAATAACATTTTCTAGAGGAAAAAAATCCACCAACTCTAAAAGTTATCCCTATTAAAGTTAATAAATTATAAATATATTAAAAACGTATTTTTATTAATGTAATCAATTACATTTCTTAGTAATTAAATCAATGTGTAGTACCTTCCTACCCTTCAACGCGACTAATTACTCCCCTAATCCCCTTCTTCGTCCAAGGTTTTGGATTTTCTGCCTAGTGGTACGGCCCAACTTTAGAATAGGAAAGCCATAAAACTATTGCTGATAGCTTAACCCCATGTTCTTTAGGGGCATGCTGTGGGCCTGAAATTTACCCACCAAATACTATCGAGGTCCAGCATCAAGAGCTTGGGCTAATTATCTATTTGATTAGATATTAAGGCGGATCAAGGAGCTGATTAGCTCGAGGCAACCCAATGCAAAGTGGGGTTAAATCTTCAGTGCTCTAATTGTATTTATTTCATTGTGATTCAGTTTCCAGACTTGGAAGTGTTTCATCAGTGAAATGGTACCGATAATTATTTTTTTTTTTTTGTCTTGTCATGTTTGGTTTTTTTATATATATTAAGAAAGTCGTTAATTGTTACCTTATTTTAATTTTTTTTATAATTTTTTAAAATATCTTTATTTGGGCTGGAAGTCTTTTATAATATAGACTTAAATAGACCGTATTAAAAAAATACGTATTTAATATTTTGATTAAAACGATTATTTAAGATTTTTTAAAAAATCTTTTTGAAACGAAGAAAGTAGCACAAATGTAAAGACTGGATACACTACTTCTTTCAACAGGGAGTCTCCTTCTCGTGGTTCTAGCCGAGGCTCGTCTTGGCAGATGGTATTGAGAAAGCATGTTCTCCAGACTTGTATAGTTGTTTCTTTTTATCCGTCTCAATTACCAAAATAGCCTCATTCTCGTGGTGATGTCCTACTCGGCTGGGCGTGGAATAATTTTACTGGCGCTGTCGACTCTGCTAGCCGTGGAATACTACGCAAATATTAATTACCATATATTGAACTTATAGACAATACACAGTCAGTAATCAGCTAACTTACTGACTCCGCGTGCCTTAATTAGGTTCCTTAAAAGACAGTATCATGCGTGGATGTTTCTCTAAGGTAAAGGAAACTTTAATGTTCACTTTGTTGTTCTACGGATGTTTCTAGCGTTTTTGCTCAATCCACATGCTTTAAGCAGCAGTAAAAGTGACCAAAATGAACCCTGACGCTTTACCAGAGTGATTAACATTTGTCATAGGAATGATTCTCTAAGAATCAAACCTTCAATCGATCGTTAAGAATAATCAAATACCAAGTGATTTCTGTCAAACACATGATTCTTAAAATCATTAAAAAATAAATAGTCCTAATCGAACCAACATTTTTACTTTGACAGGAATCCAACCAACCCCATCATGTTCTCCTTTTTGCAATTTCTTTCCTATAAATACACCCCATTATTCATTTTAACCTGTACAACAATTCTTAGAAGTAGAAGGTAACTTTTAAGGCAGTGTCTTAAAGCAATGGCCATCTTTAAGACTCTGGCTATTGTACTCCTTGTAGGAATCGTCTTCAACCTTGCTGTTTCTGATATGGTAATTAAGCGTTTTGAATGTCATGTCTAGGCATAACCTACACTTTAATTTCTTGATCTCCATTCACACCTCAGTTATTGTTTTGTGTTCCTGTTCCAGGTGATCAAAAACTTGGTGGAGAGTGACCAAGCCCCGCAGATAGGTATGACTAAACTCATTGGCCAATGCATAGAGAATACATTAGAGATTGATTTGACAGATTAACTTAATTTTGAATTTTTTAAACTTCTTGTTTTAGACTGTGCTTCGGCTTGTGCCGCGAGGTGCCAATTGTCGTCGAGGCCAAACCTATGTCACAGAGCATGTGGTACTTGCTGTGCTCGTTGCAACTGCGTTCCTCCGGGCACTTCAGGCAACTATGATGTGTGTCCCTGCTATGGCAACATGACAACTCACTATGGCCGGCATAAGTGCCCTTGAGCAACATTTGGTCATCCTGGTGTTACCATTTCGATATTGTTGGGAATGCAATTACTAGGGATATAAGGATGCTTCAATAAAAGGAAACACTAGAATAAAGACGGAAAGATGATAGCTTCAATAAAAAATAAAATAAAATGTAGATGTGGAGCTTCTTATGTATGAAAATCACCTCCACTTACCTACGTTGGGTAAATTTTTATTTGAAAGTTTTTGGGTAATCATTTGAAATACCTTGGATAAGTGAGGTAATACGAAATAAGTCTGGTTGTTTGAACTATTAAAAATCATATATTTTTTAATTTTTTTATTTATGAAAATTCTAAAACTAGTGAGTTTTTGTTTTTCTTGAACCTAATTATAGCTAATCAAAACTTTCAATTGGTGTAATTTTGACTAATTAATATTAAGTATTTTAGTATTTCGAGTTAAAAAAACTTCGAGTTGTCCTAATCAAGAAATTTTATAATAATCAAATAATAACTAGTGACATGTATAATAATTGCTTCATGAACCCAATCGAAGAAAGAGATAGTCATATAAAAATAAGAGAGAAACAAAGAAAGATAATTTAAAAAAAAATTTGAGCCAACATGAAAATCTTTTGGGTCCGGATGTAATTTTCTCTCCCTTTATATGTCTATCTCTCTTTTCAAGATGAATTTATAGAGTAGCTACTTTGTATGTAAGTAATAACAATTGTAATCGAAGGCGACGAAGATAAAAAAAAATTTCAGTAATTAGGCTATTGGAAAAACCTTTTCTTCAACGAATTATCTGCCACTCGGACCTTCTAAGGGCTTGATTAAATTGGCTTTGCTTAGACAGAGGTTCTAGCCTCTAATCCAAACTTTCAATCAACAATGAAAATAACATACAGCTCTTCTCTCTGTTTTTAACATTTTGACAAAGAAAGCAGGTTTTTTGACTTTGGGATAGAAATTTGAAAATGCTCAAAAGAAATAACTAACAATAATTATTTTATGGTTCTATTTTTCTTTTTCTTTTAAAAAGACAAATACAAAGAAAAGAACGAAATTTGCATCTACATCCAAGTGATAAAAATGTTTTTACGTAAGTTTAAATTTCTTTGAAATTTTCTCTTTTATTTTTATTTTCTATTTCTGTCTACTTTTATGTATTTCTATATGGTATAAGTATTGTTAATTACTCTTTAAGTATCATTTGACTACCATGAATGAAAGATCTGAAATAAAAATGCAGAAATCGAAATGACATTCACATTCTTATACTATGTTTGAAATATTTATAAACAATCAAAATAAAATTTAAATTTTTCAATATTTGATTTTTAATGTAAATAAGAACAAGTAATTAAAAAAATAATTTCATCAATTATAATAGTGTTAAAAGTAATAGAGATAATTGTGATAGGGTAGGAGGAGGATAAAAAATGATATTTAATAATAGTATAATAATAGCAATAATTTATTTTTTAAAATAATTCGATCACCATTGAAGATAATAATAGAAAAAGAGTGATGGTGATAATGATAGTATAATAAAAATAATGACGATGCCAGTGAAGAAAGAATGATGAATAGAATAATAATAATAATAAACCGTCAATGAAGATGATAGTTATGATTGTGGTGGTGATAGGATTAATTAATGCACAATAAATAAAAATAATACATAATTATTTTAAAAAATAAAAAAAACTATTTATATTCCTTATTTTTATTCACACATTTTACATGAAAATGAAACTAAGTGTAATTTTCATTATCACTCTTACTTTTTATTCCTATTTTCATTTAATTTTTTTCAACTAAACAATTACACCATAGGAATAAAATTTTCACTTTCATTTCCATTTTAAACTCTTCGTACTTTACAACCAAATAGTACTTCGAAGACTATGAAAACCTTCTGTTTTTATAAACTCAACATCGAAGCCCAATTTCATTCTTCACCTATATTGGTCCATTGGGACAAAATTACATGGTAGGAATAAAATTTTTATTTTTATTTTCAACTTTCCGTACTTTACAACGAAATAGTACTATGGAGACTATGAAAACCTTTTGTTTTTATAAACTCAACATTGAAGCCCAATTTCATTTTCAAAGTTGTAAAACAAGAGTGAAGAAAAGAGAAGCCAAGTTTCATTCTTTTACCTGCACTAGTCCATTGGGCCTAGAAGTTTTGGAACAAAAGTGGAGAAAAGAGAAGCCCGTGCTTCTTTTAAAATGATGGATTAATTTATTTATTTCTAAAACCTAAGAAATTAATTTATAATTTACTCCTTGTAATCGTCCTGTCCTATAAGATCTTCAGGGCATGCTTGCTAGTTAACTCTGAAGAGATTTTTCCTTCACCGATGTAAAAAATTCACATTTATGATATCTCGTGATTTTCTTTAGCTATATCGATTTAGTATTGCATCAGCAAGCATGAAAATTGAACGGAAAAGGAGTCTGCACGTAGAAAAGAAAAATTTACAAAGAAAGATTGAACATTGACAGCGTGAAAACGACAGTAAGAACGCTGTCGGTGGGCACAGGCTCGTGATCTTCCACGTCTTCTTCAATTGATTGCTAAGGGCTTCTCCTCCCACTTTTTTCAACCTTATTCTAGCAATCTGCTGGGACAGCTTCTTTATATGCGTAAATTATAAATTATTTAAAAAAAAACTGATTATTTAATTATTTTACCCCATGGTATTATTTTATTTTAAGAAAAATTTATTTTCTTCACAATTTTTAAAATAAAAACAAAATGAAAAAACTAAATAATTAGTCTCTGAAAAAAAAAACTAATTTACAATTTCTCTTGTTTGCATTGATGAAAGGTTATTCTATAAAAATAAAAAATAAAAAAAAATCCAATGGAAGGCTCTTAAGAATGATTTGAAATTTGATATTCTAATGCTTGATTAGGGTAGATGACAAATTTAGATTTGAATTCTTTGTTTGAATTTTGAAAATACACTTAAAGGTTCAAACTAATTCTTTACTACTCGATCGAATGTATAAGACGGATACAAATATTCAATGAGTTTTTCACATACGTAAGAATTCAAATTCAAGATCATTTATTTGAACGATTTGATATTTTTTCACTTAAGTTAACCCAACCCACTTTGATAGATTTGAACTCTTAGACACAGCCTAAGTTATCAAGTATCAGCCCTCAGCTCTTGGTCTACATACCAATAACTGTGTGATGAAGGACCATTGTCACTGTAGCAAACCTCCCTTGCTTAGGCCTTAGATCCATTAAATGAAGGCAAATAATATATGATATACATTCCAAGCCGAAAATACAAATAAAGCCCACTTGCCATTTATTTGCTACAACGCTTTATTTAAAGGCCTATAACACTAGACATCTGCAATCCCATCCCTACGGCCAACACCCATGACCCAAACCTATCAAATAATGCAAATACATTGAGTACATTTATCAGCTGCTGCAGCTCTTAATTGGTCTCCAAGCAGAGACACAAATAAAAATCAATACAACATGTTGTTTAATACAGTGGGCACGCCTTCTCCATCACAATTGCAACTGTTTAACTGGCATCTTTGTAAAAATTAGGTAGCTAACAAATATGCAAATACTCTGCAACAACATTAAGCTCTTTCTCCATCATATTTTAGACAAAACTAGCTTTTTTATCCTCTGTGTACTGATGATCGAACAAAACATATAACATTATTTTAATTTAATATTTAATATTATATTATGTATAAATTAAAATATATTAAATCAAAATTAAATAAAGATTCATTTAATTTTTTAATCAAAATTTTATACTTGACCGATTATTCTTTATAATCTTTATAGTCTTCGTAAATTTTCTATTAAAAAACATTATTTATTTATCTCTATCCATAAATTAAAAAATTTATAATGGTATAAAAAATGTAAAAATCAATGGATTTTTAATTAAAAATTTATTTTGTAATTTTTTTTAAACATTTTTTTTACCTTAAATTTTTTTATTAAAAAAAAATCAAAGAAAAAATGATCAAAATAACTAAAGTGAAACAAAAAAGAGGGACCAAAATCAAATAAAAAATATTTATAGTTTAAAAAATAATATTTAAAGAAGAAAGATCAAAGTTTAATGTCACAGATTTGAAAACTACAAAAATGCATGTAAAAAAATAATGTATCCGAGTTTGGATGAATAGTATGAATGAGTCGGTGTGAATAATGTTTCAAATAGCAAAGCGAATATATATATATATATATATATATATATATATATGAAAAAAGTTTTTTGTGATGTTTTACTGGATTATCCAGGAACAAATTCAATTATCTTCTTAATCAAATTAAAAAGGTGTGCAACTGAGCCACATCCTGCCTGTGTAGCTGATGTTCTGTTAAAAATTGTTAAATCCGGAAGTTTCTGTTGTTATTTAAGTTAAACTAACAATCATATATATGCAATCATATATATGCAATCCGGAACAGATGCTTATGTATGGACTAAAAAAACATTAAATTTGATTTTTTTAAAAAAATTGTTTAATGATTTGGACATTAACATATGCAGACCATCAAAAATCACCTAAAAAGACATAAATTGATATATATAATCTCAAGATTAAAAGTATTTTTAGATAATTTGTTTTAGATTTTTTTGAAAAAAAATTATAAGAAAGTTTTTAGTTAAGAGTCCGTAAATTTTAGAATTTTTATTACAACTTATCAATTAGTAATCTGAATATATAAAAGAATAAATCAAGTCTGTTTAGTAGAAAATTTATAAATAATATAATAAATATTTTATTAAACATAGATTTAAAAAAAGTTTTTTTTTTTTACTTTTTATTTGATATATTTTTATAATCAACAATATAATAAATATTATCAAATTAAAATTATTTTTTAAAATAAAAATTTATGAGTTTTGTTCGAATTCATAATGTAGCGCAGTTAAAAAACTAATGTACCCTAAATCAAAACCCATGACCCAACCTGCCAGACGATGCAACTACCATGTCATGCCTAGGTGCATTTAGCAGTGGCTGCTCCTCTTAATTATCTCCAAGGAACCGCTAGGCAAAACAAATAAAAATCAAAGCAACGTGTTGTTTAATACCGCGGGCACGCCTTCTCCATCCCAATTGCAACTGTTTCGTTGTCACCCCCTGAAAATTGGGTAGCTAGTAAATATATAATTCAAGTGAGCTTCTTTATATCAAAATTATATATTTTTAATCATATTTTAAATAATATCTATATTCAGATTTCAGACTATTATACTCCTAAAAAAAATAATCATATTTATTAGATTACCCGAGAGTAGGGTGTTCGTTCGTTTTTTAAATATTTCGGATGGTTTTCAGTTAATAATTATTTTTTTTAAAAAAGGCTGAAAATGTTATTCGATTTTAAAATATTTTGATCTCGGTGTTCGATAATTCAGTTTTATCTGCTTTTTTTTTTTTTCACAAATGGCTGATTCTTTTAAAGTTTCGATATCTTTATTCAGATTGAGTTTCTTTTACTAGCTAGAAAACAAAGTTATGTAAAAAAAAAAAAAAAAGGTAAAAACATTGATAGATAAACAAATAATAAATTATTCACTCAATAAAACTTGATTTTGAGATGATAAGAAATCTACCAAAGCCTTTGATATTTTATGTATCCTTTTTATATGTTGGCAATATTTATGTAGTGCCTACACGATTAAGATGGCGAGATGATGAGGGGTATGAGCCTCGAAATTTTAAAAAATTTTACTTTTTGGTTCTAAGTTTTTTAAAAAATTAATTACACCATACAAATCAAGGATTATTTTCTTTGACTTGTTTACATCAATTTTTTTTCAAGCTTAGGAATTCTTAATATATTCTAGCTAAAAAAAAAAAAAATTACAAAGAACCCTAAAAGAAAGCGATTGAGTTTTTATTATTCCTATGCTATTTATAGACTCACAACATTTTTGTTATTTTAAGTTGTTTTATGTATTTATTCCGCCCATATTACCATTCACCTCCATTGCTAATTTTGAGGTTTTTTCCGGACATTCTATATGTAGAGTTTTGCTATGTTGTTTTTACGTCCCTCATTTTTTTAACAATTTTTATTTGAATTTACAACTTTATTTGTATTGTAATTGGTTACTAATTGTTAAGACGAGAGAGAAACAAAGAGAGATGAGGGAGGAGAAATCTATGAATAAATTTTATAATACTCAAAGAGTAACTCAGTGACATGTATAGTAGTTACTACATAACCCCACTTGGATGAAAGAGATAGACAAAGAGAGAGAGAGAGAGAGAGAGAGAAATAGGAGAGCGAAAATTAAAAAAAATTGAACAAACGTGAAAATATTTTTATTACTTTTGATGAACTCAAATGTAATTTTATATGTTTATCTCTCTCCTCCAAGTAGATTAATAAAGTATTATAAAATTTTCTGAAATCTATGTATAAATTATTTAATGATTTTTTTAGAATATTGTTTTTTTATATAAAAAATTAATATAAATAGTTTTATTTTTAGTTTTTATTTGATGTATTTTAATAATTAATAGTATAACATTTACCATTAAATTAATTTTATTTTTCAAAGTAAAATTTTATAAGTTTTGTTCGAGTGCGAAGCGCGGGTAGAAAAAAAAACTAAGTATAGGCTAAATCGACACCCATGACCCAACCTATTAGACAATGTCATGCCTAGGTGCATTTATCAATGGCTGCTATTCTTAATTGTCTCCGAGGTACCGCTAGGCAAAACACAAATGGAAATCAAAGCAACGTGTTGTTTAAGACCGTGGGCACGCATTCTCCATCCCAATTGCATCTGTTTCCTTGTCACCCCCTAAAAATTAGGTAGCTAGTAAATATACAATTCAGGTGAGCTTCTTTATATCAAAATTATATTTTTTTAATCGTATTTTAGATAATATCTATATCCAGATTTCAGACTATTATATTCATAAAAAAATTCATATTTATTGGATTACTCGGGAGTAGGTGTTTGTTCGATTATTCGGTTTGGTTTCGAAATATTTCAAACGAGTTTTCAGTTAATTAATTTTTTTTTAATAATCAAAACCGAACCGTAATGTTATTCAATTTTTTGATTCGATTTCAAAATATTTCAATTTCGATATTCGATAATTCGGTTGTATCCGTTTTATTTTATTTTCTTTTACAAATGATAGATTATATTAAAGTTCCTAACATCTTTGTTTAGATTGAGTTTCTTTTTTGTTATGTGGATTACTAGTTAGAAAATTAAGTTATCTTAAAAAAATAGTAAAGACATTGATAGATAAATAAATAATAAATTATCAATTCAAAAAAAATGAATTTGAGACGATAGAAAATCTATCAATATCTTTGTTATTATGTACATCAAAACCAATAGCAAAGATAGAGAGAGCACTTACGAAGCTGTGGGAGGAAACACATATAGGAGAGAAGAGTTTTTCCTAAATGAATATAGTGAGTTATATATATATATATATATATATATATATATATTTAAAAAAATATGAATTTTTTGGTTTAACCGATTTTTTTTTAAAAACTAAACCTGAACATAAAAACCAAAATTATTTTGGTTTAAATTTTTTATTTTTTTTTAAATCACGTTAAAATTGATATTTTGATGCGATTAAATTCGTTTTTTGGGTTTTCATCCAATAATAAACATCCTTGCCGAGGAGAAGATTAAATTATCTTGTTGTTATGCTAAAAATGATCAGATAGGCGTGTTTCTGTCATTTCCACTCAAACTAACAAACTAAAAAGAACTGAAAGTCACGCACCATTCATGACCCGATGCCACGCTGAGACGCAGAGAATCGAATCATCATCACTGCGCACAACACCAATCTCCACATCAAATAATCGCCATCAATTAATCGCGGATTCTCAAAAACCTCCCTTCCCTCGCGACCGCAACCTTTTTCTACAACTCCACGTAGTAGATTTCAGTCTTCGTTTCGCAGTAATAAACACAGAAATCTCTCTCTAGCGCGTGAAGCAAACCTTACTCTTGACTCCGTATAAATTCTATCGCGTGTGATTCAAATCACAAACCAGCGTCTGAACCCAGACTCTTTTTAGTATAACTAAAATTCGTAGAAAGGCAGCAGAGCATATTTTTTATTTTGTTTCAGTAGAAACTGTCTGATCGATCGTACGGACAAAATGTTTCGCCACGTGGCAACTATCTATCGCCTCCTTAAATGGTAGTAGCCGTTGATCAATGAATCAGGAGCGTTGATTGTTTGATTAGATCATCATGTTGCAGAGTGTCAGTAAGCGACAAGAAAGGCAAGGTGGGGCTTCTTAAATCCGACGTGGCTGACAGGTGTAAGTAGACCAAGGAGATAAATCGGACGGATGCGGGTGGGTAGAGAATAGAAACCGTTGAGATTGGGAATTACGTGAGAATGGGGAGTGTGTATAAAATTAATGCTGGAAGCGAGAAAGAGAGGATACGTTTTTTTTATGGGAAACATTAATGAAGAGGATTTTAGTCTGCGAAAGCTTCGGGTTTTCCGTCGCTTAGGAGACTGAGAAAGAGAAAGAGGTCATAATTATGTGAATGTTTGATGGCAGTTTTGACGAATTGAAAGGATGTTTTTTGTTCTTACTTGTTTCTTACATTACCCATTTCTTTATCTTCTTCGAATTCTTGAGCTTTGAGTTTTTCTGCTTGAGGCAAAAAAGAGTGGTGGTTTTTGAAAATGGGGTCTGGTTAGGATCTTTTGTGAAGAGGGAGTAATGGGTTTTGAGGATATTTGATGGCATTGATGGGTTAGTTTTAATTGTAATAAAGGGAAAGTTTTAAATGAGTGAGATCTACTCTTTAAATTTTTCAAGTGTGTTTCACGGTTAGATAGAGAGAGGGAGAGAGAGCTTTTCCTTTTCTTGTTCTGCTTCTTCTTCTTTCAGCTTTCAGAGTTTTTTTGTGTCCCATTTTTTCTCTTTCTTTGTTCTTTTTCTTATCCAGTGTGTGCTTTATTTCACGAAGAACCTGATTCTCTTAACACGAGGAAACGAATTGCTTTTCTACTTTTCTTCTTCTTCTTCTTTTTTTTTCTTTTTATCAATCTCTCTCTGTTTTTTTCTTGTCTTTGGTCTCCTCTATATTTTTCTCCATCTATTTTCATCTTCTCGGAGAGAAACAGAGATTCTCGTCAATAGCCTGTTTGCTTTCCCCCAAGATAAATAGAGAGAAGCGGATAGATATCTGGAAACTAAATTTTTTCGGCTTTCTCTATCCTTGCATTTCGCTTAATAACTAATGCACTAAAAACCTCCTCTCTTCTGTTTCTCTATCTCCTTCATTATTCCTGTTTGTTTCATTACTCAAAAGTCAGTAGCATCTAACTTCTATTTCTTCCATCGAAGAAGCTTAATTGTGAAGAAAAAGAGGTTGACAACGAGAAAAAAAGATCTGGGGTCGGCTGGATTTTTCTGCCTTTTGAAGAAGCAGAAGTAGAGATTACGGTGGTGTTGTTGTTAGTGTGTTAAAATGATTAAAAGATGATAGATATGGACAAGAGTAAAGACGTGAGGCCAAGAGCCAGTCGGTTCTCAAGACATCAGATTAAGCAATCTGGACACAAGCTTCTCTCCGGTGATTTCTTTTTCCAAATTTCAATTTATATATTTCTGGTCCCCAATAAAAAATAAATAAAAATAAAAATCATGGCTTTTGCTTAAAAACAAAAGCCTCAAACGAAGACTTGTCGTTATCTGTTTTATTCTTATTCTGCTTTTGTGATAAGAGTTTTACAGATAATGCGTCTCTCCTTCCATGCTCTCTTCGTATCTTGTCTCTTATTTGTATCTTCTTGTGATTTTTTTTCAAGGTTTGAATGGTGGTGACTTAGTTGTTTCTTTGGAGAAATCGAAGAGAATTAAAAGATTGAGTGCTGTTAATAATAATATTAATAACAACAAAGGGAGTTGTAGTTACGAGGTGGAGGAAGAACGGAAGTGTGAGATGGGTGGTGGTGGTGGTGACGTGTCAGATAAAGAAGAAGTTCAAGCATCTACTACTACTTTTAGTACTACTAGTACTAGCAGTAAGAGATTCAAGCTTCCCAGAAAGGTAGGTCCATTAATTATGAGGCGGTTGCTTTCTATTATAATTTCCTGTTTGAATTTTACTTGTTAATTTCCTTCTCTCTTTTATTCTTTTTTTGTTTTACTAATTTTTGGTTGTATTTTAAAGCAGTTTTTTGGTGATTGCAATGGTGTTGATCATGCATCTGTTCCAAGGAAGCTACGGTCAGGTGTGTGTTGTTTCCTTTGTCAATTCACAAATTAAACGGTTTTTCTTTTTTTATGGTGGGGTTTTTGGTTATTAGTTGAATGTGTCTGGTTTTCAAAATCAAGTGCTTTTTGGTGGTGGGTCTTTCTTGGAAGTTTCTTTGTTTGTTTTTATTTTTTTGGATGGTTTTGTTTTGTTTTTGGCTTAGAGAATTTTGGATTAGAGCTGAAGCAAAACTGAAGCTTTTTTGCCTTTTCTTTTCTTTTTATGGAAGCAAGATTCTGTGTGTTGTCCTTTTTAGTTCTATATATTATGTTGATGCTGCCACTTTCATGATGTATCGATTCTTTCAAGTAATTATATATAGTATTGTGTTGGATATTTTCTTTTTGTTCTTTGATTTTCTTAAGCTTGCTTTTCCAAGGGAGATACTTTCTGCTTTTTTTTTTTAAATCAGAAAAGTTTTTTTCATTTATTCTTTATTCTTTTTCATTGAATAAAACCAAGAAATTACATATCAGTTCTTCATGATTTTGTTGGCATTAATTCTGTGGACATATGACCAATTTCATTCTCAGCCATGAAGAAACGCAATCGCGAATCTATCTCTCCACCTTTTCGAGATTCAAAGAAGCTGAACTACGCTAATGGAGTGGAATCACCCAAAAGGGATGGTTTGAAGAAATCGAGACTGAATGTGGTTAGTCGGTCATCTCTAGTTTCCAATTTCAATTCTTAAATTCTTATTCCTTTTGCATTGAGCACTTCAATTTATGTAAAGGTAAATTTCTTTTTAGAAACAACCAGACCCAGACTGGTCCAGAAAACAGGGTGTCTGTGGGCCAATAACGAAAGATGAGGAAGAAGTTGTGGAAACCTTATATTCTCTGGCAGAAATGTTCGTCGACAATGAAGAACCTCAAAATGAGGGTAAATTGGATCGTACTTCTTTGGATGCAGGTCCTTTAACATTGCAAGACTATAGCGAGAGTGATCCCCCCGATTTTGAAGGTTATTTTTGTTAGTTTTCTCTGTGTGTGTGTGTGTATATATTATGCTGTGTTGTAAGAATGTTTTTTGTTGAATTCTGTAGCTGTAAAAGAGGACTTGAACTCAATTTGCCACCTGAGAATTGACGAGGCTGCTGAGGAAACAGTAAATGACAAAATTCCTAAAGTCGATTATTTGATTGAGCCTAGTGTTCAAGATAAAGTCCATGGTGAAATAGGCAGTTGTGTTGCTCAAGTGAATCCGCCCACTATGTTAGCTAAACAGGCCGAGCAAAAGCCATTGTGCAATTCTGTTAATATTTTCATTGCCCCTGAGCTACACCAAGATACTGTGTATGCTTTCCTTTTTCTTCTTTCTTTCGGTGGTTATGTTAAATACATTGCTTTATTCATAGCTTCAAGGCTTTGTTTGTTTATCCTTTACATTTTTTGAGCTCACAGCAAACTGGAGCAGTCCACACAGTTGGAGACCTCACTTGAGAGAAAGCCAGACATTGCATTGGGGTTGACAGCAACTGGAAGTCAACTAGATCGACAGGATACAATCTGTCAATCCAAGAACAATGGTAGAACTCCTTCTCCCAGGATGTTGTCATCTCATACACAATTGAAATAGTTTTGATGTTCCATAGTTAATAGTTGATTTTTTCATCTGAAGGTCCAGCATTGTGGCCAGGTTTGTCTTCAACTGTACCAAGTGGTACATGCAATCATGGTTCTTCATCACAGTAATTTTCTTTCATTCCTTTGATTTTCTACATTTACAGCATTCGTTCTTTTGCAATTTGTCATGCAATTTTACCATCTCAGGTTCTCTGCCGCCAAATTTCCTTCGTGGATGGATACTGCTGTTGGTGCTACCAGGCCCAGTTCATTCCAAGATTGTTCTTCTATTGGAAAGGTGATGGAAGAATCAAGTCTAATGATAATTTTTCTTCCCTGGATGGATAACTGGTTTATCTAATGGACTATGACTTGCACAGGTTTCCAAAGTCAACACTGATAAAAGATCATTGAAGAGGTCCACAACTCATGTTTACATAAGTCGTCTTATTCGGGTTTTACAAATTCCAGAGAGCAGAGACAGCTTGCCGCTAAATCGGAATCAACTGCGGCCACAGGATATATTAAGGCAAGGTGTATTTATGACAATAAACGACTTCAATGGCAGCAGGAATGGTTTGAATGGAGCTACTCCTGCTAGAGCTGTAGGTAACGTGGCTGACAAGAATTCAAATCAAGTGGGAATTGATAGTCTTCAACGACGAAGACTGCATCAAGATCAGTCACAGACTTCTTCAGCATCTGGGGTATACAATTCTCAGAAGCAGGTAAATTTAGCTTTCCATTCCAATGGCTTATTATTTTCTAACTGGCTTTGATTGATTCTTACTCTCTTGCAGACTTTCAATTTCTTGTCTTTGTCAACTGGTGGGGGCAGCCTTGAAGCTAAGAACAGTTCCAACGGAGTCGAAAATAGGTCTGAACAATCGGCTCAGCCGCAATTTCCTTACCTTCACTCTCATCTGCAACAGCAACATTCCACACTCATGCCTTTCCCTATGTCCCAAGCGCATTACTCATCCTCATCTTACCCTGATCAGCCTGCAGCAGCAGCACAGCAGGTTTTTATCCTGACCTTTTAGGTTGCTTCTATGTATTTATGTTGATGACTCAAGAACTAATAAATAGGTTTGAAACTCTACCTGTTGTATCTATTTGTTCTAGTCAATAATTGCATCCATTAAATGGGGATCAAGTCGAAGTGTAGTTTTGTGAATGTAATGAGTCAGCCAATAGGTAACCTTTTGCTGAGTTACTATGATCCCCTAATTCACACTTACTTCGACTACATATATACATGATTTAGTCAAATCCTAGTTGAATTACTGAGTTCCTTGCAAGTTTATACCAATTTATGGTGTAATTCTTGATTTTTTAGGCTCAGATTCAGCTACCTCCCTACTTTGGCAACTTGTATTGTGGTGCTCGCACAAGCCCTACAGGCTTCACAAAGCAGCAACAGAAACAGCATCAGCAACAGCACCTGCAGCTCCAACAGCATCAACAAAACCGGCTTTGGGCATCTCAGCTGGCAGCAGCTCAATACAGGACAGCTGGAAATTCCACAGCCATGACTCCTTTTCCAACCTGGCAAAATGGAAGGCAAGACTCGTCTACGCAGATATCAAGTGCCCAAACCATCATCCCAACTTCGGCATCTCAAGAAGCACTTGGTCCCAAGTACGCTCAGATCTCCCAGCAGCAGCTTATGACCATTTCTACATTGCCTCATGCTCGGGTCAGAAGGCAAGATCACCATCTCTCCGCTGTTTATGAAGAAACTGGAGGTGGGTTTCAAGCTGGCGGTGCACTGCCGTTGCAATTACTCTGTAATGAGCGCCTATGAAATGGGATAGCTGAAGGCTATTATCAATCAGATGATGGGCAGTGAGTGATATTGTTTTATTCTTTGCGTTAATGCCTGCGATTCCTCAACAATGTCGGCCAAGGGGGAATGAACAACTAAGTTGTACTTTGGTTGTTGGGGGAGGAGAGCACTTGAGCAGGCAAGGGAAGTTGGATGGTAGTGGAAATAGCATCCGAGGCTTGTTACGTGATAAAGAGGGGAGGGGAGGACATTTTGTACCGTCTCCTTTTCTCAAGTACATGTAGCACGTTGTGATCTTTAACAAAGAAAATTAAAATAGAGGAAATTGTATAACGTCTTTGCCTCTTTTAAGTACCCCCAATCCTGTAAGCCAGCTTATGGTTTTTATCCACTTAACATGCTTAACTGTTGGACAAATTGCTAACCTACCACTGGGGAGGGAGAGGAGACGAGGGGGTGAAATTGGCTCTGAATTTTGAGCTACTCCCGTACATATAGCGTCTCAGATAACTTTGATTTTCATGCCATGACCCGATAGGTTACTTTTGTCTTCTCCGAAACACCAGTTATAGGATGGTTAAATGGTAGTCTTACATGTTTGTCATATCATAAGCTTTTCATGTCTATGTCAGCTTGTGCAGTACCTTATCTTGTAGGGGAATGGTCTGAGCTGGTCATTCCTTCAGACGCGTAGTTATGAGCATTTATTTCCTTTCAGAATTCAAGATCCAAAGTTTTCATAATTTTTGTTTATTAGATTCTTGGCAGGCCATGAAACCTGTATTGTTGCTTTTGTAAATTCATTCATTCATTGATTGAACTTCTCACCAATCTCCATTACTTTCTCATTTTCCTGAGCCACTGTTGGGCAATTGCAAACACCATGTCCTAGTTTTCTGACATCGCCTTAAAATATAAGTACGGTTTGCAACATAACAGAATAAACTTAGCACATTTTAATTATTTTAACATGATTTTTAAAAAATAAATGAAAAATAAATGAATTAAGCTTTTGATATCCGATACTGATAGATAGGATAGGATGATACGATAAATTAAAATTTACTAAAAATTAAAATTCTTCTCGTACTCGAATGACATATCGTGTATTTAATTTTAATTTACCTCTGATTTCAAAAACAAATAATCCTCACTTATTCTATCAAATATAGAAGGGTTTAAAGGGTATTTTGGATCAAATTTATTAATCTTTGATCAAAATCATCCCCATCTTGTCTTAATTGAAATTTGAACTTAGAGTTTTAAGGTTTGACAAAATTTTGAAGAAGAAGGTTTCGGAGTTGTTTCGGGATGGCTAACGGCAATCGGAGTTCTTGGGCTTTGACTTGGAGATGTGGGGCTGTTATGGCTGGCGGGTTATAGGGGTTTTTGGACTGTTGTGGCTGGCAAGTTTGGTGATTTTTTGGAGCTACTGGAGCTGGCGGGTAATAGAGGTTCTTGGGCTGTTGTGGCTGGCGGGTTTTGAAGACTTTTTTAGGGTGTTGTGGCTGGCGAGTTTTGGAGACTTTTTGGGGCTGTTAGAGCTGGCGGGTTAGGGAGTATTTTTGGGCTGATGGCTAGCGGCTATGGAGGCTCTTTTAGGGGCTGCGGCCGAAGACTACTGAGCTTTGGATAGTGGGATGGAGTTTGATGGTGTTTTGATGGTCGGTGTGGAATTTTGGGTGGTGGTGGCTATGGAGCGACGAAGATGTTTTTCAAGAGTTTTTTCATTTATTTTGGAGAGAGTGGTTGCTTTTAGGTTTTTGGTGTGAAAGAAATGAAGCCCCTCTCTACAGAGAGAAGAAATGTGGCTTTTATAGTAGATTTTTTGAGTTTTGGATAAAAATCAAATTTGATCTTTTCTTAATTCCCAACCCAATCTCTATTTTCTCTCGAGACACACCTCCAATTGAAATTCTTTTCAATTGGAACACTGACCCAACTTCGTCAGGATAGAAAAGAAGATCATAGGTTTTTTTTTATTATTTGTTTTGGATTTGTGTTTTGAGAATCATTTGTTTTTGAAATCAAAAATCAATTAAAATTTGATGAACAAACCGTCCCAATTAAAGGAAAAATTTTAATTTTTAACCATGAGTAACCCTAAATAGATTTTAATCCATGATGTCATCATGTCTTGTCACATTAGATGAAAAGAGAATTTTAAACGAAAAAATCCTACTACATCAATATGATTATTAGAAACTTAATTCATATATTTTTTTATCAATTTAAAAAAAAAGACATGTTAAAATTATTAAAATATGTTTCGTTTGTAATTTTATGATACAATAAGCCTTGAGAAATTAGAGGAGATATTGATTGCAAATTGTTTATAGACATAGTACATGAAATGACCACCCTCCTTAACCTAAACAAAAACTCATCCCACGCCCTTTAAGTGATTGATGATGGAAAATTACACGACATGAAAACAAAATGCAGAATGAGATGCAAAGGCGTTGGAAACCGAAGGAGAAAAGACGATTTCTGGCTAGATTTTCTGATATTACACGATAAGAATTGGCTGGGGCTAAATGGGTAAAGAAATAACAGCTGAACAATAAAGAACAAGGCAAACAAACACAGGAGGGAAAAAATGGAAGACCAAATTGACACTCATAAACACTCTTCACCGCAGAACACATGGTCACTCCAGCTTCTCCAGTTCTCCCATTCTCTCTATGATTGCCTGCACATGACAAATGAGCATTAGTTACACGTTTAAAGTTTAATTAATTTACAAAAATAACAAAGTGAGAGAGAGTTATAAAATTGTTGTGCCATGATAACCAGAAACTTTTACATTTGTGCTTGCATTGTACTCCCAAAAAGAAGAGAAATATTAGTAGATGGGCATGTATTGACCACACATTATGCTAAACGATACTTCTGAGCTAATAAAAATAATGTTTATAAATTGGATGTTTAAAAACAGACTTGAACCTCCATGCACTTTAGCACGAGATTTTGAGTCTTGTGTGTTATGTGGGTTGAAATGGGCAAAAACTTGTTTTCCCTAGGAACCAGATATGCCAGGAAGTAATAGAACTCCAGAAAATACTCACCTTCTTGCTTGTTTCTTGGAGCTCCCCAGCAAGAATGAATTCATCAAGTATCAGATAAACCTTTAGGGAGGAGACAGAAATCAAACAAAGAAGTATATCAGAAAAACAGCAGCAAGGAACATGCTACACTTGGAATGAACAGAGGCAATATGAGGCCTATGAATTCCTTCAAAGAAACTCATCATAAAGTAATCGATCAAGTAACCAGACCAAAGGGCAAGAATTTCACATAGTAAAAGCAAAGAAAAGGAAATTATCCATGCAACACCATGTAGAATTCCAAGAGATAAGAGCATGGATAAAGGAACATTATCAAAAAATTAGAGAGGCAAATCACACTAGTAACAAACCTTGTGAAAGTTAAAAACCAAATCTAGCTCGCACACATTGCTGAAGAAATGATCCAAAATCTCCACAAATAAATGAATGCACTCCAAATACGCCAATTCGTTATCCGTTATGTCAACACACAATGAGAAAAACAAGCCAGCATACCGCCTGTATATTACTTTGTGCGTGCGGAACTGCAAGCCAAACATTCCCCAGGTAACTAAAACTTTGATTATTATTCAAACTAACTATTCGCAGAGAATAAATACTTAATTACAATAATGATGGCCACGTTCTCTGGCTACTTATGCAATCCGTGACACCAATGAGCCAGAAACTTTGCTTCCAACGCAAATTTCAAGCATAAGGTTTGAAGGGAAAACAATCAATTTTCAATTCTTTATATGCTACCATGGTTTCATTAATGCAAAATTCAGCTCACTGAGTGAATAAATTAATTAGCTTCTTTTTGTCAAATATTTTGCTCATAAATGAAAAGAAACCAGAATTAACTTACCTCAACAAAATTCGTGTATTTGGGATCTCTATTAACAACCAATCGATGAACCTAGAAGACAATAAAATTCATAAAAAAAACCCTAAAATTTCAACCAATCCGGAAAAAAAAAACACAAAAACAAAACAAAAGAGTATAAAAAAGATCACAACCTCGTATTCGACTTTGTGCTTCTCGGAATCCTCAAGAGGAACATAGTATTTGGCTAGACGAGTCTTGCCTTGTCTGTTTTGCAGGAGTATAAACCGGATCTGCCAAACAAAATATCGTCAAAAAGGGACATAAAACGTGATATCGAGCAGAAATGCATTGACAAGATAATTGAAACAGTACCATCGTTAGAAAGATCGAACGAGGAATTAACGAAGAAAGGTCACGAATAATTTGCAGGGAGCGTGAATCTAGAGAGAGGTGAAACTAGAAATGTTTGATTTTTCTCGTGTATTTCTTTCGTCTTCGCAGCAAGTCTCCAAGGTTGAATATGTCGAAGGAAAGGAAGAGACTAAGATCTAGCATGTAACTACCGTAGACGGATAAATCGTATGATATCTGAAGTTATACTCTCCCTTTCGATTGGTGTATTCCTCTTTTGTCCCTTTTGATTAATCTACGGATGTCGAGATGTTCACACATAAGTTTGGTATAAGTATTTCATACGTACTAGAATTAGGCGAACCTGATGTTAGCCGTTTCGCTGTGTTTGTTAAACGAAACGCAGACTGCATCCTTTTTTTTTTCCTAGAAAAAATAAATAAATTCCAAAATTATAATCTTCAGATTTAATCTTTACCGTATACTTCGTAAGAAATCATATCATTTTTATGTAGCAAAATGTTTTTCAGAATTCAATCAATTTCAATATTTACTTTTGGGATTGAGAAATATTAGAGAGCAGAAAGAGGATTTTTATTATTATTATTCTTTTTTTATAGCTTATTTTTCTTTTCTTTAAACATATATTAATATATATATATATATAGAGTAAATTATAAATTAGTCCATCTCTATACTTTCAATAAATGAATTAATTAGTTCCTTTATTTCAAAAATTAATTATTTAATATTTTGATCAATATTAAGAATATTTAATTTAATATTATTTTATTTTACAAAATTTCTTCATTTTTCATCTATCTTTTCATATTTTTTATTTTTTATTATTTTTTATAAAATAAATTAAAAAAACTGAAAAAAATTAAGTTGTAATAAAATTTAAAAAATGCGAGAACTAAATAATTAGTTATTGAAAAAAAAACAAATTAGTTCGTTTTCTTAAACTAAAAAGAACTAATTTATAATTTACTGTATATATTATCAGAGTAACATACACCATGTTAAATTCCAGCCGTTGCTCCTTGGAAAAGAAGGGAAAAACTCGCTGATTTACTTGGAGTCATGAGAATATACACCAAGAAATTCTAGCACTTCATGTTGAAATCAAGGAAGAATGAGGCAGCTGATATGAATAAAATTTGCAATAATCACATTCTTACACTACATGGTCTTTGAGTTGTATTACACAAAATCGCACCAGATGAAAGGGTGCAAAAACTGGAAAATATGATCTCACAATTAGTTCTCTTGAATTTCAATGACATTGTCGAAAACAATCTTATTCTCAACCTAATTTTGAAATTAAAGTACATTACAAATCCCAATCAACTACTTTGCTCTAATCAAAGACTAATTACATAGGAATAAATTATCTTCATGGCTAGCAGGTTACTTGCTAACCTAAAAGTCATGATCATACTTGGAGTTTGTGGCTGCTAAAAGAGCAGCCCCAATACCAGACCCATCCTTTGAATGTTCTATGACTATGTTTTTGGAAATTTCTAACCCCAGAAGCTCGTTAACAGCATCTTGCAGGTATCTTCTGTACTGAGGGTAGTGCTCGTATAATCCACCATCCATAGCAACCACTGTTCTCTTATTGAAGATGACACCTTTTGAATCTTCTTCCATTTTTTGAAGAATTCCAACAATTCCTGCACCTGCCAAGCGTCCACCTCTCTTTACAATGGCATCGCAAACCCCTAACACAGTCCTCCTTGCACTTAAGCTGGACTCAACCTGAACTTGGAATTGGATTAAAGAAAATGGTGATTGAGTAGAAGAACTGAATTGAACAAGAATATCCAAGAAATGTAACTTCTTTTTCAATATGGATATCTCAGATGTTAACAACTGACATTAGTTCAAATATCCTGTACAAATGCAGGACTACTTGTTAGCATGGTGTATGCACGATGCACCGCTAGAGGTTACTAATTGTTCATTGAATACCGACCCACTTGATTGATGTACACACACACACACACACGGGAAAGCGAATTCCATATGTACACACAATTTCGTCAAAAGGCTGGGCGTCGTAAGAGTAGCAGAACAGTAAACATTACCCCAGCTACATTATGTAGAATTGAACCGACGGCTTGAAGATCATCTGAAATGTCCAGCTGCATTGCGCATATATCTGGTGTCCTATAATATATTTGAGAACATGCTTCAGTATGAAGGAGATACATTGTGCTAATAGCATTAAGTATATAAGTGAACCAGACAGTAATGGATGTTAGTGTGACTCAAGATGAGTTTTCGGACCTTTAAACTCTATAATTACAATGGAAGAATTTAAAAGATGTAGTTACCGGAGTGCAAAAGGTGTGGATAGTTTTTTCGGGACAGACATGCCAAACAAAGATCCTTCTTCAGCCATTGTGAGTAGAGCTCTTCGTGCAATTTCTCCTAGATACATTCCAGATATTGTCTTCTCAAATATCTGTCCAAGAAAAAGTTGTCCAAGCAAAAGTTATTTTAAATTTTAACCACAAAGGGAAGCATAGTATATATAAATTGACCAGAACCCGGAAACCTAAAGTTACCTGCTCACCAGGATTGATACTAGCTGCATCCATATCTCTATCAAACACAGTTAAAGGAATACCATTTGAAAATGCTCCCCATTCGGTGTTAATAATCTGAAGCAAGGAAATTTCATCTAATTAAGTGAGTAAAATAAAACGAGATAGGGGGAAGGAAGAGGAGGATGGTGGGCAATTTTCCGCACCGTTCTTCCAGAAGAAGACTTAGACCCCTGTAGTTTTGGAATGGAATCCGTCCGTTCCACATAGCAAGCATTAGTTCCAGTACCCAAAATAACAGCAACCATGACATCATCATCCCAGTATCTTGCTCCCGCTAAAGTTCCCACAGTATCATTAACCTAATTAATTGACACCAATTTATTACAGAAAGATTACTTCATCAAGCCAGAAAGTGGAGGATGCTGGAATGAGCACAACATACCAGGGCAGACACCCTCATATCTAATCCTTGCCTTTCCATAGCTTCATTCAGACAAGCAACGACATCTCGCCCTGCCTGTAAAACAATGGCATGCTAAGTTACTCATCATTATTTGAAAGTTAGTTCACTTCATGCAATAAAATTAAAGAACTACAACTAATGCAAGTTACTACTTTACATTGCAAGTACCCAAACAATCCAGTTAATAGAAGGCTTATAGGACAAATGAACCTTATTTAAACATAAATCCTTACACTTTAAATTTGACTTGAGATAAAAAATGTTGAGACACCAAAATTTTGCGAAGAACATTTCTTGTCTATACAATTAAAGAATGTAGTCAATTACAAACCGTTCCAGAGACTGAAAAACCCTTGGTCCACTTCATTAATATGCCAGAATCAATGGATGTCTGCTTCACAGGGAAAGAAAATGTGAATCCAATTTCTCTTTGCCTTCCACGCGGTAGGTGAAATTTTTCACCCTCTTTTTCTGCAAATCCAGCCAGTGTGGATGCAATAAAATCGAAAAGCTCCTGCATTAAGAAGCAAAAACATTTGAAAGGAATGTATAGACCAATGTATTAACAGACTTAAATTGTGCAAAAACAGACCTCAGATGTGCCAAACATGAGCTCTTGAGGAATCGATAATTGCTCAAATTCAGTAGCAATCACTCTCTCTTCTTTCCCACCTAACTGCACCCTCAGCGCCCGCAAGTTTGTGCCACCAAGATCCAATGCATAGAACAGTCCTTTCTCATTTCTTTAAAAAGAAAAAAAAAACAATAGATTACATAAAACATTCAATTCTAGGAAGCATTTCTCTATTTCTGGGCATAAATTGCAAGCTACCTAACAACTAACTGCAATAATATCCATTTCTTTTTGTATCGAGTGACTGAAGATGTTATGTTTTCTAGTTTGCTCCAGAAATAAGAAATAAATGCATGCGATAGCAAGAGAATTAAAAAAAAAAGTCAACTAAATAAAGCGAAAACATTAAAATTAAACTTTGACTTTTGAAATACCCGCTAGGCAAGCTATCAACATAGCTAAGAATCATCTTGAGATCGCTGCCACCATCAACAGCAAGCCCAGCTCGCATGTCAACAGTCATGGCATCGGCCACGTGGCGAATTACCGGCAAAGGAGTTGCGCAGTCTTGCTGTAACTTAGTCAAGATCGAGCCTACTGAAACAACATTAGATCGGACAGCCATCGTTACTCGAGGCATGCCCCTGCTGCTCGGAGATCGTGAAAGGTGGAATGATCCAACGGCCGGTGAAGTGGTTGCAGCAACCAACATTTTGGGTAGACGGTAAGATCAAAGAACGTGAAGAAAGAGAAATAAAGTAAAAGAAAAGGAAAAATATGAGGCTGAGACAGAGACAGGGACACAGAGAGCATAGTGAACAGCGAGTGTAGTTTTCTCTCTTTATTTCTTGACGGGAAGGTTTCAACAGTTAGGTTTCGAGATTTATTATTAATAACAAAATATTTATCTGTTAACGGTTTCTTTTCCTAGTTTAACAACCAAGCGTTCGGTACTTTCTAGTTTATTTCGGTGGTTTTCCCCTTTTTAAAAATATTTTAGCTTTGGTCATTTTTTATGTAACAAATTTAGCTAGAGACTATAGTTTTGGATCGGACAAGGTTAAGGACTGGGCGGACAAGACGATGTTGACACAACATCTGTGCCTTGTTTTCGTTTGGAGGGTCCTATTCAGATGTTTTAGCTCTGTTTGACTTGTTATAGGAGTGATACATTGTGCAGCTCATTGCCTCCAAAACAAAGGACTTGTGGCTATATATATATATATATATATATATATATAATTGCAGCTTATATATTTGGTTAAACGTTAAGTTTATTTAAAAAAAAAAAAAATTGAACTCGTAATCTCTTAAATTACAAAAAACTCGTTATTATTATATCAGAACTCTATTGCTAAATATATGAATTTACACGTATGGAAACACATACATAAAAATGAATTTTATTTTAATTTAAAAGTTCAACTAATGGGTAAAGAATCCGTTTTATATATAATCACCTTAAATTTTTTTATTTTTAATCTAATCACACGTGGAATTCAATAGATTCATAAAAAAAAGGGTCATGCTCTCGTCAATTTTTGTATGCATTTGATGAGTCAGATCCACTGTTCATGCATTTCCCAACATCATAAGATTTTGATATTGATTGCACAAAGAAATCTAAATGAACGTAATTATTCGAAATTATAATTAAATCTGATGTTGATTTTAGACTAATCTATTTTAGCGTGACTAATCAGATATTCATGACCTCAGATGTCAGACAAGCCTTCATTCGGTGACATCTCATGGACTCTCAGTAACTTCTGATGGGCCTGGCACTGGGATATATCTTTGCTGAAATTTTGCATTAAAAATAATGAAGAATCGCAGTCATATGTCGGCCCTTTCCTCCGAGGATTCTTTAGTTGGGCTTGCTTTGAAAAATCAGTCCACACTGGTCACACCCATAAAAAGGATTTTTCCTATTATAGATTAGTCAAATACTAATTTGCGCGAAGTGGCTACATCGAAACTAAATATATTTATTTTAATTTAATAATTTATATTACATTAGTGATCTACTAATATATATTAGATTAAAAATAAAAGATAAAATTTTATTTAATTACATAATTTTTAATCAAATTTTGCATTTCGTTCATTGTTTTTTTAATGTTTTTCATAGATTTTGTTATTCAAAAAACATGATAAAACTTATAATAATATAAATATAAAATTAAAAAAATATTAATATTTTTTCATATAATGTATCAAAGAAATAAAACAATACTCAATATAAAAATTTGTATAAAAATTAACGAACAAATCTTTTTTAACTTTTTGAAAACATGTACATTTGATTTATATATGCACATACACACAAAACAATCAATAATATTAGTATAAACAATATATATTTGAATTATTAGGTGGTTCTTTTAAAATAGTATTTTATGTAAAATAAATTAATTTTAGAATATTAAAAATAATTAATAGAAAATATTTGGTATTATGTGTATAGATACATAGTTAATTTTCAATAACATCAATGATCTCAACACTTTTTTTGTATATATCAAGATCATGCTCGGTGGACTAGAGTATATAGTATAAATTAAAAAAATATATTTAAAAAAAACTTAAATTGTAAGGAATATATTGAAATTAATATATTGCAATATAAAAAATTAAAAAATTTGATTATATAAAAAATAAGTTAAAGAAGCATGTGAATTTTATTATCTATTAAAAAATATTGAAAATTCACACATAGAGAAAAATAAATCATATTTATTAAAAAATAAAATTATATAAAAATTAAAAAATTAAATTGATGAGAATTTTTATCATAAATAAAAAAATTTAAGAGATTAATTTTAAATAATAAGGAAATTATAATCTGATATATGTGTTTTCTATAAAATTTTAAACCGTGAGAGGCTAAACCTAGATTTTAAAAATATGAGGGATCAAAAATATATCTTGAAAAAATAAAAGACTGGAATGGATTAAGTACAAAGCATGAGGATTCAAAAATACATTTTGAAAAAATAAACGACAAAAAGAAATAACGTATAAAATTTATAAACGAGTGCCCAAAAACTATAAAAAAAAAATCACAAAATCATCATTGTCAAAAATTATAAAAACTACCACTCATAAATAATAAATGAATAATGATTTGAGACAAATGAATAGTGATTTACTGTTTATTTTTGTCCCAATCTTTTAGAGTTTTACTTAATGTGGTGATTTTAGATGATAATAGCATAACTTGATTCTTCTTCTCCTTCTGTTATCCTTTTACAATGAATTATTTTTTTCTTTTCATGTATTGAATGCTATTTTAATGCGTAAATATTTTTTTTAAAAAAAGAAGGCTAAAACTATATTTTAAAAATATGAAAGACCAAAAATATATCTTGAAAAAATAAGAGATCGGAATGGACTAAGTAAAAAATATGAGGATTCAAAAATATATTTTGAAAAAATAAAAGAAAAAAAGAAATAAAATATAAAATTTATAAACGACTGCCCAAAAACTATAAAAAATTCACAAAATCATCATTGTCAAAAATTATAAAAGCTACCACTCATAAATAATGAATGAACAGTGATTCGAGACAAATGAAGAATGATTTACTGTTTATTTTTGTCCCAATCTCTTAGAGTTTTACATAATGTGGTAATTTTAAATGATAATAGCGGAACTTGATTCTTCTCCTCCTTCTTTATCCTTTTACAATGAATCATTTTTTCTTTTCATGTATTGAATGCTATTTTAATGCGTAAATATTTTTTTTAAAAAAAAAGAACCGAAAAGAAACAAATGGAAAGGAAGGAGTTTGTACGAAGGATAACTATTATTTAATTAATTTATCCACTCGATGATTTTCATTTAGTATTATTACTGCAATGATCATAAATTTAACGGTTTCGGATTTATTTAAGAAAAAACCGCCATAATTCATTTCAAATATCCAATAAAGAGAGCAATATAATTTTTATGGAGAGAGACTATTAAGAATTAAGTAAACTAGGGTTTTGTTTATATATATATATATATATATATATATATATTATGATTTTGTATGTAATTTTGACTAGTATTGACTTTTTTTTTTTCAAAAAAAAAAACCCAGATCGTCTTTTCAAACGCACTTTTTAATTTTGTTTGGAGCATATAAAATTTAAAACTTGAATAAAACTGAAGGGCATTCTAAAAAACAATTAAATTATCAAGAAAAATACGGGCGTTCAATAAATGTAGGTTGGTTGATTTTCCTTCTTATTGTTGTTGTTATAAAACATAAAGAGCGATTTCATTGATGAAATGAACATTACAGATTGCAAGAAGCACAAAGACACAAGCTTTAGAGCCCCAAGAAGGACCCATAATCACGGGTTAGAGTTAATATGGGCATTATGGGCTTCGGTTGTAAACTCGATATGATTATGGCTTAGAGAGTGGGTTGCGGATCACATAACACACGCAATGCCTTATCTGATTCGTTAGCTCTTGGTGAAGAGTCCCTCTCTTTTGCCTAACTCATACGGGCTGGTAAGAAACAGTACTACGTACTAACAGAAAAATACAACAGAAAATACAAGAATTCTAGTGAAGTGGACGCGAAGTAACGAAGCTCCCCTGCAAGATCTTTGTCATACATTATTGTCTCCCCTGACCAAAAATTCACTTCTAGCTAATTGTAGCCAACCTGTCCCTCTCTCTATCTCTTGTTCTAAATTAAAACTGTATCCCTTTTGCCATCTTTCCTTCAATCCAGAAACATCTGATCTTTCTCAATCTCTTACTTTCTCCCTTACAAAGCACATATTGAGCATGGAAGGTGAAGGAGTGGCTGTGCTCAAAAGGGCTGAGATTGACACTAGAGCACCATTTCGGTCAGTCAAAGAGGCTGTTTCGCTGTTTGGCGAGAAAGTTTTGGCTGGGGAGCTGTATGCCAACAAGCTCAAAGAGGTTATTAATTATCGCTCATTTATTGCTTTCATACATTAAATTACATTGTCTCTTCTTAAAAAAGTTACCTTCTGTTTTGAGGTTGTTGTGGTGCTTACAAATATGTTCGGAGCCATTGATGTTTCAACATAATTAAGTACTTCCCTTCTTTATGTTTCATGATTATAAGTGTGAGTAATACCTCACTCTTTGAAAAGGTGCATTAAAACTCAATATTAATATCAAAATTTAGAGTAAACAATATATAAAATTGATGAAAAATAATTAATTTAAAACTTGATACGTAAAGTCAGTGAATTGATGCACGTCGATTGTAAAATTGGATATTTGATTATAAATGAGGGAAAAATTTTATTTTTTTAACTAATTTTTAGAGTGAAGATAATCATTAGAATATTTTCATTATAATTAATGCGGTAATTTTTAGCATTTCGTCAATAATCATTCAATCCATTGTGTTTTTATATATGCTTGCTTGCGACGGAATTTAAGTTTTCTTAGTACTTGATCTGCGAGACTTTTATTCCTTTTGTCATGCGGTACAATAAAGTTAAGGAAAAAAAAAGAACGTTTTTGCCCATTGATAAACAGTAGCGATATTAGTTTATTATTTACTAGAATTCAGAGGTTCAAGAATCAATCTCTATTGCTTTTGATGAGGAGAAGCCAACTCATCCTGCATGCGACCCTGTCATAGCTATGAGCACTTTGAGTGTGATTGGAGAGAGCGGTAAGCAAAGCATCTTATGTGATATCGTCACCGAGAAAGATCCAAGTAGTTACGTATTTTCAAATCTCATTCCAAATTAAGGAAAGCCTAGCCATTCTACTTGTATTTTTACATAACATTCTTAGCCAACCAAGCAAATCTTTGTTTTTATTTAACATCCTTTTTATAATAGTTGTGAGGATCTTCTTCTTTTTTCTTTTCTTTTTTTCCTCTTTCTGTACTGGGAGGAGTGGTTGGAGCTAGTTGGCATCCCATAAGTTTTTCAAACCAAAAAAGATTTTAATCGTGCTAAGACTCCATGAGTAATAAATTCTTTGACATTAGTGATAGATGAGATCTATTTTCTAAAAATTCTTAAAGACTGTTTAAATTTTGTCTTAGAAGATATTTGTAGAAATATCTTTCTCAGGATTATGCACTTGCAATTCCTTATAACTTTCAACTTTGCACTCTTTATATATATATATATATAACTTAGAATCTAGCACTCGTTTTTTTTTTTTTCCTTAAAAAAAAAAAAAACTATTGCCAGCTTTTGTAATGGATTGATTATGGAAGCTGTGATGGATTAATAATTCATTGTTAATATTCATGAATTTTCTGGTTTCATTTAATTAGATGCACGTTGGAGGAATTGAATATGGGCACGGCCCATCCAGGCTTGGAACTGTCACAGCAGAGCTAGAGGAGACAAAACAAAGCCTGGAAAAAGCTAAAGAACAAAGTACGCTAATGGCAAATTGCCTCTTTTCGCTTCAAGAAGAACTTGAAAAAACAAAGAGAGAGCTTGAACAATTGAAAGAACGTGAGATCGAAAGGCAACTGATAGAATCTGAAATTGAAGATGTCCAGGTTGTTGAAGGTACAACAAAGTTTGAAGTCAAAACGCAAACATCTAATAAAGAAGGGACAGAGTTTCAAAAGAAGAGATATGTGACATTTGCTAACCCTCCTTCCCCTACACAAGTTATAATTCCACAAGGAGTTGAAGCACTAGAGAGGCACCCTTCTCTTAGGAAAAAGAAGAAGAAGCCCATGATCCCTCTAATAGGAGGGATTTTCTATAAGAAATTCGGAAAAAGAAGCGCATCCCCATGAGTTGCAGCAGTAGCACATCCATAATTAACATATTTTCAGCTCCAAGAATAATGATGAGCTAGTCCCCGAAGTTTTCATACAGTTTTTTTCAGTTCCTTAAATTATAGCTGAAAGTTGCCTTGCAATGGCAAGTTTGAAAAGCTTGCGAGATCTATGTAATAAAAATTAATACGTTCAAATCATTATGTTTTTGTTACTTCCTGAACTATTAACTTAAATGGAGCTTGAATTTACATAGCAAAACTGAAAGTTCTAAACAATTTCCAGTATTTTATGCATTAGTAGCAGAAAGTAGAATAAAAATTGGGTGCTTGCTAGCTGGTTTAACTAGTAAATCATGGTGTGGTGTCAAATAATGTGAAATTAAATCCTCTTCACGCTAGCTATTGGAGAGTTTATGGAAGAAGAAGAGCTGCCTGCTTTCTATCGTATTGTTTAAGACCCAATAGACCGTAATTGGCCAAAAATGAAAATTTAAAAGGAAAAATGATTTTATTTTTTTATTTAAAAAAAAAAACACTGCAGACAAGTCATAGGCCAATTAGGCCCATTTGCTGATGGTTGTTGAGCAAAAGCATCAAAGGGTCTTTACTTCTAAGCCTATTATAGACACTTTGGACTACCCATTAGAGACAGCTTTACTGGATATCCACTATTCAGACAAAGATCTGGGTCATCAACGGCAGCCCCCATAGGGTAAAAAGAACAAAAACAAAAACAAAATAAAATTTTCATCTCAAACTCAAAATTATTGATTTGCAACACATCACAACCATCAAAACCTTGCCAACAAAGAACAAGGAAGAGAATTGCTTAACAAAACCAACTAGAACAACATGACTAACTCTTGTATCCATTGTGTATATTATATATCATAGCAAGAACAAAAAAAAAAAAGAAAAATCGAAAGCAAGAGATAGAGTAAAATTTAATCCTCATGAAATATAATCAAGCCCAAACATCAGATTTTCGACCATCTAAATTCCCTTCCTGAGCAGACTTATTGAAGAACTCAATGCAGTCGGCAATAGCCTCGCTGTAATGTGAGTTAGACGAGTAATAAGAGCTGCATGAAGTCTTCGGTGGATCAAATCTCTCGCAACTTCTTTGCTTCGAAGCCATGCTTGACGTCGTCGTGGGACGCGAAAATATGAGTCGCATGAAAATTTTGCGAAAGCGATGGAAGAGCTTCATGGCAGAGAAATTTAACTTACTAGCTTGAGGGATTTGGTTGTCAAGGGCTTCAGAATAAGTACTAGTACTTCCTCTTACTTGAATAACAAAGCTGTCTCTTTGAGGCTTGTGCATGGTATTAATTCTCTTTCTCTTGGCTTGCCAGATACCCTCCGGGAAGTGTAATCAAATCATGTATGTCGTTTGGTTATAAGGATATAAAAAGAGGTAAGGGTTTCAAAGGCTGTGTTTATTCTATTTTGGAAGACTCAAAGAGAGCATATTGCAGGAGGGTAAAGAGGTGGCATGTGCCCAAATCATTTGTATGGCCTTCACTTGTCCTGACAAAGTTGTTATTTTTTATTAGGGTTTGCTCTTGATTATCTTCAACTAATTAATTAAAGCAGTTTAAGAAAACTTCAAAGGCACTAATTGCCTGGCTTTTAGTAATGTTCTCAAACCACCTGGTGGTAGACCCATGAGATTAAGTAGATGGATGAGTTTTGATTTAAGGAAGAATATCCCATTAAATTAGTATGCCAATCCTACCGAATATATAATATATTTTTTTTCAAGTTACTTATAAAAAATTTCAATAAATCAATTTAATGAAATTCGTCTATTGAATAAATGAGATCTTTTAACGAAAAACTCTATACAAACAAAACAGTCCTCTGTATAAAAACTCTATACAAGAGATTTTTTAAGATTTTGTAATTTTTCTGCTCGTATACTACTTTCTTTTAGAAAATAATTTTGGATAGAATATATACTACAAAACATCACATGTTGTAACATTGTCATTGCTGAGTTAGATCAAAGGGACAATTAAGAAAATATAAAAAAGGTAAATGGTTTAATTTCTTCTTATATAATATCCTCAATCTCACATTTATTTTTAGATTTTTTTAAAATAAATGTAATTATATTTCATCTATTTTTGAAAATTTTTAAAATGTTAAATCTATTTTTTTCATTATGAAAATTTTTTTGATCAAAATGATCCTAAATAAAATGCAAAATAATAATAATAATAATAAATTTTAAAAACTTCATAAATAAAATATACAGGTCATATGACTATAATTTTTTTTTTTTTTTTTTTGCATTTCAATAAATAATATTTTAGTAAAAATTTTTGTCCGTATTCGAAAAAATTAATTAAAAATAAATTGAATATTTTAAAAAAATTTAAAGATAAATAATATGTAATTAAAAACCTACAAATATATAAGAAATTCAAGTGTTATATAAAAATAGATTGATATATTTACTAAAAAAGAAAAAGAGAGAAAAAAAGTTGCTAGCATTGATCATAAACCAAGTGTTAAATATAAAAGAACACGAAGATTCAAACACTTACCCCAATGATGTAACAGTCAAACGTTCTTTCATAGTACATGATAGTCCATGAGCATGATTGTTATTCCCATTGCCTAAAAAGCTTGGATGGTTCGTGGTTTTAACTGTTTTCATCGAAAAAGAATTATTGATTCGTGGTTTCAACTTCAACCCAAGATAGTGGAAAAAAAAGGCAAATGATTACTGATCCAAACGAGGTAAATGGCTAAAATTCATAGCAGAAGTATCAAATGTGTCTTGTCTCCTTATAATTCATTAAAAAGAAACCAGATTGTAGTTCTGTATGATGGGCTTTCTTAAAACGAAGAGTAAAAGCCATGGTGAATGATGGGCGTGCCCTTCTTTGTTTCATGGTAATTAATTAACCGTTCAACTCTTGTGGGGCCTATCTGAAAACATTTATAAACAAGTTGAGTAATTTTTTTTGTTACGCAAACATCAAATATACCATCAGATTATTAAAGTATTACTAATTTTTCATTCAAACTATTTTTTATATTAATTTTAATGTTAAATTATTTTAATTTCTCAATTAAGAACTTCGGTTAGAATTACTTAACATAAAACTTTAAATTCCTATAAATTAATATTTTTTTATAGAGATAGTACAATTTAGATTGAAATATGAATGAAAAATATTAAAAAGGATATATATGAAACTTAATTAATATCTTTTGAAAATTTTATGGTAAAATTGATACAAAATATTACTCGATGGTAATATTAAAACTACCTATATAATTGGATGATGTTTTTAAAGTTTATTTTTTTCTTTTAGAAGATGCTAATTTTAACTGACATTTAAAAAAATTCCACGTATTTAGTTAATATGCCTTGCAAGTAGATCTAATAAACGGAACATGATTTTGGAATTATTTTTTTTTCAGAAAGATTAATTACCATAATTATTTTTCACCACCACTTATGATTATACTATTTTCACGGTGTTAAAATTCGACTATAGATTGAATCAAGGAATTGCATTTGGTAATGAATTATTGATCGAATTAATGTCGTGATGTGAAGCCAAGTGACCCTTGACTTGAGAAATGACAACATTTTACTGTTCATCACACGAGAGCCTTTGGTAATTAACTACCTACCTATTGATCATTTACTGCTGATTGGGAACAAGCAAAAGTTGAACTTGTGATTAACCAATTCTAAACCAAAGCAATGTAAAATTGATCTTCGAAGTTCATTTGTCCTGTGGTCCATACAACATAAAATCCAAAGCTTGGCTTGATTGTACATGCATCTATCAAGATACCAATGACGAGAAAAGTGGACAGAAGAAAGCAAAGGCAAAAAGAAATAATTAAAAAGGCTCATTAAAAAGATTGAAATTGGAAGAAGCAAGACATGCATGATGAGATTTGAAGAGTCTGTTCAGATGATATCATTAAGAGTGGAGGGTTTGAGATAATGATTTTGCAAGACAACTATAATTGTGTCTTGTACTTTCTTCTATATCTTAGTAAGTGGGACAATAATGAGGTCTGGAGTTAATCACCTTTCACATTAATTTTTAATCAAACAGTCATCATAGGTTTAATATAATAATCACCAACTTTTTCTAATCAGAAAAAATCACTAAAAATTTCCTGCTAAATAAAATAGTAAAGCCTGCTAAAATGTCAATAACTGGGCTACCAATGGGCCAATTTGGTCGGGTAATAACTGAACTTTACAAAACGCAGACAAGCTACGAAGTGGAAGAGATTTCGAGTTTCAAAACGAGGCTGAAGCCTGAAAGCCCCGAAAAAATTCGGGCTACAGGGTCCCAAAACATTTTCTAACAGGCCATGCGGAAGGAATTTCTATACAGGATTCCACCAGTTGCATTAGAGCCGGAACCTCTACAGATAAAGTCCAAAACATGCCAATAAAAGATAGATTCTGATATGCATGGCTTTAACGAGGCTGTAGGAGAAAAGAAAGACACACACCTAGCATATTTCCTCCTTCTCAAGGCAAGCATATGTCCCTTGGTTGTCCTGTCTTGATTTTTAATTGATTTAATAAACTTATAAATATTAGTACATGTTTTAGTATATAGTGTGGTATTTAAAAATTACTTTGATATAGCACAGGAAAAGAGCTCATCAAAACTAATTAAATCATTTTAGCCAAATTTAAAAAACAGTGAATAAAAATAGTTGAACTTTTTATTGCTTTCAAGAATGAGAGATTTTTAGACGAATCCATATGTTATTGGATAAAGTATTTCTTATTTTGTTATCCAAAATAGTTTCCTTTATATATATATTTTTAGTATTATTGTTCTCATTTATTTTATTTCAATAAAAATTAATTAATTTCTTTTTCAAGAATCATTTTTATTTTATTTTAGTTATATCTAATCCATTAAACTCGTGGCATGATGTTGTGCCTCTACTTTAATTGACTAGCATAAATACTAAAATTCTAATTTCCTCACAAACGGAAGCTGACAGAGGGATCACAAGTGATAAAAAATTAAGACTATAGAGTTTATTTTGCGGAGTTTTATACAGTAAGGTCAAATTTGACCAAAATCTAAAATTTGAGTCACAAGTTTTAGTTAATACGCAAGAACTTTAGGCATGTTAAATTTGACCATATACTTTAAAAGAGTGGACTGGATTGAAAACAGCAGACCATACCAACTAGAGAACTAACGTTACAGACCCAATACTGCAGTCCCAAGGATCCTAAAAGAGAACCTAAGATGATTAAACATAGTTTGAGTAGATAGAACAGAACTCAAGTTCTTCAAAATGCAGTTACATATGTGGAAAATCCAATCTGAAGCAAACATAATGCAGGTGCGACCGTGCCAAGCTTCGAAATCATTTTTTGTCTGGTCGGGAAATAGAAACTTGAAACACCACATTGTCATTTTTTAGCAACTTAGGAAAAAATATCACCAACGACCACCGTAAATCTGCGCTAGCCTTCTTTTTGTTTTTCCAAGCTGTATCTCCATCTCACAGTCAGCATAGAACTAATTTTCTTGGGAACAAAAGCCACAAGGTTACAAGCTTTACCCTTTTCAATTAATATGATTTCAGAATTTTAATCTTGTATATTGAAAAAAATTCACCAACGGACCAACTTGTTTATCAATAAGTTGATGGTTGCGCCAGACTTCTTTCAACCTTAATCTTGAATCTCTTGCATGCCTTTCAATTTTCAAACACCTACTTAGCTGGTCAACTTCACACATCCAAAACTGTAAGAGTGATATAGCCTTCTTCTTCTGTCCAATATTTATGGCTAACAATGAAGGTACATTCTGCATATATATCAAATTTAAACCCCAAAAAAGAAAGAAACCAGTGAGAAAATATTGATTAATTTTAAGTAAAAGTGTTTTGGTTCTTACCAATAATTTAAACCCCAAAAAAGAAAGAAACAAGTGAAAAATATAGATTAATTTCAAGTAAAAGTGTTTTGGTCCATTTCAATATCGACCGTGGAGGGAGATGAGTTTCTAGCATGTGGGTTGTGAACAAGGATTATCATTAGCTAGGAACACCTTTCTGTCTAGAGCTTTAGCTACTCATGAGTAGCCAAAGATACCTAGGACTTCACCTATCTCTCGTTTTTGTTCTCCAAATCAAGCTGTGTTTTTCTTTTTTCTAAATGAATAACATGGATTTTGCCACGTAACCACCAAAATAGATATGGCAGCTTAAGCTACCATGAGTCCATGAAGAAGAGTCGTGGGCTCATGGCTTCAACTTCATTTACAGCACTCCAGACCGAGTCACTCATGACAAATTCAAAAAGTCCATCTCCAGTAAATGGTTGAGTTTGCAAACATCCTGCAATGGAGGAGCCCATTACGAGGTCTGCTGGACATGGCTTTGTGAGGTTTCATTTTGGTTCTGAATTACTATAACATGTCCACACATCCGCTCAATTACATTTTCTTGGTGGTTAGTCTCCTGAAACACTAAGAAAAGCATCAATAAACTGTTAGAAATCTTAGGTATGTTAGATAATTAGTTAAATGTGTTATGAAAAAAATTTAAAAATGTTTTCAAGTGAGATTTTTATCTCACGTTGAAAAGGAATGAAAAAAGAAAAAAGCTTATAAAGTGGATGTCTAGTAGAATTATAAAAAATTTGGATTTTATGAATTGAAGGAAAAATTAAGCTAATTGGTTATAATTATATACATAAACATATAGATTAAGGATTTTATTTTTATTTCTTAACATGATTAAATTCATAATTATTTTAATTAATTACATTTTTAATTTTCTCGTTGTAGTTGTTTAGTTATTAACAGTTTTCAAACAAACATAATTGCTGGCCTTATCATTGCTAGAATCCAATAGCTATGACTATTAAAAAATTTAATTGTTAATCGAGTTAATTTCAACGATCACATATGTTATGAACGAGTTAATTTCAATAGTCATATATGCTATAAAAGAGTATCAGTAACCTATAAATAGAAGATTATTGTACATGACAAAATTATTATTTTCTCTGCAAACCTTCTCTCTTCTCAAAATTCTTTTTCTTCTGATACTTTACAACTTTAAGAAGTATTTTTTTGAAAACATTTTAGGAGTATTGCTTATAATTTTTTGTATGAATAAATTATATCATAGATGTAAATTGTTAAAATCTCTATAGCATTATAATAAGAACAATAATCATTCTAAAAATAATATGAGATATTTTCTATATGCAATCAAGCATCACGTAATTCTGTACTTTTCCTTTCCAACATCGTTTGAAGATTTTCAACATCTACGGAGCTGTCAGTGGCCAATTTGGCCGGATAAAAACTGAACTTTACAAAGCGCAGACAAACTACGAACTGTGTTAGAAACATGGTCTATTATAAAGCCTTAAGCTTTTTAGATCTCGAGCTCCAAAATAAGGCTTAAAGCCCAGAACATAAATCGGGCTACAGGTCCCAAAACTTTTTCAAGTGAGGCCATAGGATAGGATTTCCACACAGGAATCCTAGAATACATCAGTTGCATTGGATCTGCAGATAAACTCACAAAAGTCCAAAACATGCCAATAAAAGATAGATTCTGATTTGTATGGCCTTTAGGAGAATAGAAAGACACATATCTAGAATGTTTCCTTCTTGTGAAGGCAAGTATATGTCTCATGATTTCACTTTCCCTTCTCTTTAATGTCCTTTCAAGAAATACTTTAGCGGTATTGTCAAGAGACAAATCTCCTAATCTGTTATCCTGTTAATTGAGTTATAAGTTCTTCTCTGCTTGAAAACAGAATAAATTTGATTTTTTCATTTTCTTTTTAGCCAGGTGCCAGGTTAAAAAAAATTAAGAGACTGGTTTTTAATGGACAGGTTGATGGTTTTCTGGTCAGTGGGATCTCCCGGTAACGAAGTAATTTCTTCATAATATGAACATTCTGCTCATTTTTCTTTCTTGTTTAGTTTTTGTCTGCATGTTTTTGGCCCTTTTCCATCTCTTTTTATCCTTGTCATCGAGCACAAGAGAGTCCCCTTCTTAAGCTTGTGGCATTTGGATCATCCACTGTGGCACTACGCATATCCGTTCAACCTAACCAACAAAAATCCGAGTAAATTATAAATTAATCCCTCTTATTTTTTTGAAAATAATTAAATAATTCTTTGAGTTTTAAAAACTAATTAATTAGTTTATATATTTTTAAATTTATTTATAAGTTATTTTTTCGTTCCATTTCATTTTATTTTACTCCCTTTGTTCTTAGAAATTAAAAAAAATTATAAAAATATTTATGAAAAAATAAGATTTTTTTTAAATAAAATAATATTAAATTAATAATAAACAATACTATATTAATTAATTGGTTTTGAAACAGAAAAAAAATATATTTAATTCAATTTACTCACAAAAACCTACATAAATCGAATTTATCCCTCTCGAATTAGATACCAAGCAGACCATCCACGCTAAATATGCTACGATTAGAAAATATATTTTTTCACAAATTCCGCCATTTCAAACAAAAAATAATAAAGGAAAAAAAATCATTCAAGGGACACAGCTAATTAGAAAACTCATCAAGACAGACGCATGCTCATAAGTCATAACTAATTTATTTGAGACCAGGTAAATGTCAAACAAAAAAAAACACTTATTAATAATCTGTCGATAATTAAATATATAAACACAATTAAGACCTGCAATTAAAGCAAGAAGAGGGTTTAATTACTTGGTTTACTAACCAAAGTTTAACTCTCCAATAACGTGCAAGGCCAAGCCTCGATCTAAGATCAACAGCCAATCATCAAACTGTCAACGCGTCCTAGTAACAACCCTCGAATCTCAGTTATGAGCCAGTACAAGCAAAGATTAGTTGGTCTGTCCACAGGAAGTTTCACATAAGACAAGAGTACATGGACTCTCATCCCTTGAATTATTATATAGATTTATGTGCTAAATTTTCAGTGATCTCACTGGGGATTACATTGATTTTGATTTTAGGAAACTCCCATTTAATTTAAATACTCTATGCCACCATCTTATTCCTATATTCTAATCACTTCCTGCAAAATCCAAGCACCCCAAACAATAAGAAACAATGAATGTGCATATGCTCAAGCATGTGGTGGGCAATTATCATCCAGCACGCATAGGTCTTACTTATCTTGGCTATTGTTGATCGGTCAAGGTCAAAGAATTCCCTCCCTCCCCACCACTTTTTATATCATCTAACAATAATTTCAAGGTAATTTCACGTGACCCTTTCATAATGTTGGAATTTGTCAAGTAATTGGGATTCCAAAAGAGAAAAGAATGAAAAGATTACCCCACGCATGCAATTCTGATGTATAATTCATACCTAATTAATCACCCTTTTAGGACTTTAATTTCGTTTCTCATGACAAGTTACTGCACCAACCTGTAAATGTCCGACTCCGGATGAATAAAATCATAGGAGAAGAGACCCACCTGCAGATAAAGAGACTTGGGTGAGCTATTTAGACAGCGAAAGATGTCCATTTGAAGGTGACACTTCAATGACTCCGTTTTCAACTCCCACTAATTATAAAAGTTGCCTGTTGCTTCTCTCGATTGAATAATGTCTTCAGCACATTAGCAAATTGCAATCAATGATTTCAGCGTCCTTATTTAAAAAATTTATTGAAGTTCACCAACAATTTGAATGTAATATTTAATCTTGCTAACCTAATTAATTAAAATACCGAAATTATACAACGCAGGATGATGTTTGTTTTTGTTATCCTTCAAGCCAGAATAGTTATTTAAAGATTTTTTTAATATATATTCGAATTTCAGTTTGCTTAAATGATTAGAATCCTTTTTACTTTAAGTCAGTTCTCTTAAGTTTGTATTAGGGAGATATATATATATTTTTTTTAAGTATGTAAGTTAAAAAAAATATATTACAAAAAAGTCAGATTACTTCTTTATTTTTATAAAGGTTACCAGTTTAATTCGTCGTTATAATCCAATCTTATCTTATATTCTATCCAGTTAACTACTCACCATTAATACTAATTTTTAAATGTCTAACAACTATTAATGCTAAATATCTAAAATATCTAACAACTACTGTAATTTGTGTTGGGTCTTATCTACGGGAGGGAAAAAAAAAGCAGAGGTCCCAAAGTGTCATTTGGCTTGAACTTTTAGCGTGAAACGTCTATTCCACTACCGTGCATGTACCAGAACAGCCTTTGTAAAGAGGTTGAGACGTGAGAAGGGGTTCTTGAACAAAAGGGGCAAAGGGGATAAATTTGACGGAAAGATGTGCCGAAGATACTCTTTGCCGTTCGAACCAAAAATGAAAATGCAATACTACTTATCTTTGCATTTCACACATGGAGATGATCACTGCATTAATATATTATGTAGTGAATAATCTCTCTCCAATCACATGTCTTCAGATCAACTTTTGTATACACAAATACCTGTAGCAGCTAGCACAGTTACGCTAACCGTTGATTAAGGTATAATAGGTTACTCCAAGGTAAAACCAAAAATAACAACCTGTAAAAGTAATCTAAGACTGGAGAGCCTTGTAGATGACAACAAAACAAGGCAATATAGCCCTTGGATTAAACACAGATAATTCCTCGAGATTCGAGTAAACCCCAGCATACCCGGTTACAGAATCATATGAGCCAGCAGCAGCTGACGACGCACCATCCTCTTCAGGCGGCGGCGCATCCTCCGTCACGGGCTTCACTCTCCCAGCAATCACGCGACACACCAGCATGGCCCTGCGCCCGTCCGTACAGCCCAACAATGAGTCATGGGCCCTACCGCTACTAGCCGTGGTGCATACACCTTTGCACTCTTTGCCTTGAAACCCGTGCCTTATGATGGTGCATACGCCACAGCCGGGGATTAAGCCGCACAAGTTGGAGGAGCCGCGTGAGCCGAGGGAGCAAGTTAACGTCGTACAGTGAAATCTTAACAGCTCGTTGCCGTCAGCTGCACATCTGGGGTTTTTTCTAGTGCTACTAAGTGCACGTGTCTTCACTGTGTCCCTGCAATCCTCGAACCGTTGGATTGTTCTTTGTGTGTTGTGTACTTTTAATATCCGTTCGATCTTGCAGATTGAATTGTCTTTCTTGAGCCAGCTTGACTTGAAGATGATCTCCACGATATTTCGGCCTGAATCTTCTGGGCCCAGCTCCGACACTGAAGATATGGCATTTAATTTTGGATTAAAAGTTGATAAAATTAAAAAATTTGATCACTTATGAAAATATTTACTTCTCGTTTTGGGTGAGGTCAGGGCCCGTGCAAATTTTAAGGTTACGGGACGTAATATTCAGACCACATTATCAGGCCATTAAATTTTGGTCATCAAGGAACAGCTGTAAGTACCGTGCTACATGGTCCCTAGGACCTTGTAATAGGTCATCTCATATGATTGGCAGAAAAATGTCCCATTAAAAAAGGCAAAGTTGGTGAAGCTGTATTGAGGTAACAGTTAAGGAAAATAAAGTGATTTACTGGTTTTGTCTGTGCAAATTTGATGGGAAATAAAGCATGTAGACAGGAATCATAAAAAGAATGGTTTGGTCTTAAATTTCAAACTCTAGGTCCAACTCATTAATTAAATGGAAAAGCTAAGTTATATTGTTCCATCAGAGAGACAATTGTTCTTTAACTAAACAGTAATGTTATGTATCAAGAATTAATTATTCTGAAAAAAAAAAAAAACGAATCAGTTTCAGGAAATATCAAATTTCTTATAGGAAAATAAATACAAGAACAATCAAATAATTGATTTATTCAAAATAAATAACATTACACTTAGTTAAATTGCTAGTAAAAAATGGACTGAAAAAAAAAAGATGAATCGGAAAAAAGTGATTTAAATTTAAGCTCACACTACTTTAAAAAAAAAAAAAAACATTGCATGTGCCAAAATGGCTTAATTATTAATCTCAAGAAACAAAAATCAATGTCATTAGTTGAATACGTTGGAAGATTCATGATTTTCTGTATTAAGCTGAAATTTTATTTTTGTGGACAAAAATACGTAACCGATGATCGATAAGTAAACTTTGCAAAAATACGTAACTGATGATAGAATTTCCTTATATATACTAAGCAAAAAATTGAATTTACCGGCATGGCGAACTTTTTGATGAAGCTCCAAGCTTTCAATCTTAGGAAAGACTTCTCCACACTGACTGCAAGCGCTGATTGTGGTTCTTGCAGATGGATACCTGAATTTTTAACCCAAAATTAATAAATAATAATATTCTATATTTTTTTCCTTTCTGTTATTTTGAAGAGAAAATGAGAAATTAGGAGGAAAAATAAATATGAGAGTGCAATATACCTGCTAGGGTCGACGATCATGTGACATTCATAACAACCTGAAAGCTTCCTAAATTGCATGCCTCTAGAAGATGACGTGTACGTTACACCACCGTTGGATCTCCCTGATCCCGCCACTGACCCAGTACCAACAGCTTTTCGACTCAATAGCCCAGTTTCTTGACCGACTGTGCTACTTTCCGGTGAGTTATCAGCTCTATGGACAACCCTTGTGTTGCCATGAACAACGTCTTTGAAACTACATATTGAGCCGCAGGAAGAGCCAAGTTTTGAGTATCCAATGGGGTTCTTTGATGGGTCGTGTACTCTTGACCCTTCGATCTGTTTGCAGGTCAGTAGGTTCTTGATTTGGTCCCATGAAGATGGTTGCTTTTCCTTTTGCTTTTGTAGCTTTCGCTTGCCTCTGGAAGGCTGTTTTTGATGAGTCTCTGTGTGTTCTTGTAAAAAGGTAAGTGCAGCCATCGAAAGCAAAGATGAAGATAAAAGAGAAGACTAGCTAGCAGATAGAGTTCTCTGTTAACTATGTGTCTATGTCATGACACTCATGAGAGAGAGGGGGAGAGGAAGGGAGACAGTACTTGAAACAATGAGAGAGTTTCGTGCAATGGAGAGGGATCCGAGATCGGTAATAAGGAGGCAAAGGGAGTGTGTTATGGGGTGGGTCTGCCTTTGTTTATTGACTAATGACCTCTAATTATGGTTCACGCCACCTTTTTGTATAGAGTGCTGTTATTTTCACCCGAGTGAGGGTGCCTTTAGCAAAACCAATCCCAACTTGATGGTTGACCACTTTGTGACTGGGTCAAGTACGCATAGAAGGATAAGATGCATTTGGAAGAGAAATAGTAACTAATTTACAGTAATTATTTCATAAATTTATTTTTTTTAAAAAAATAGACATATATATATATATATATATATATATATTAATTAATTAATTAATTTAATTTTATCTCTTTTATTTTATTTTTGTCTCTCTCTTTTTGTAGTAGTGAGTCCTATGGAGAGCAGGATCTTCCGTCCTGAAAAACTGTGGTTTTTAACTGCAGTTATAGTTGTGGTAATTGTAAAAAATATTTGATAATATATACTGTTAAAATGTTTTATCTTATATAAAACCCAAAATTAAGAAATTTTATTTCGCAGTTTTCTAATTTTTAGGTTTCAGATGACTTCTAGAATTTTACCAAATAGCTTTTACAGGTATTTAAAATATATATAAAGAATAAAAAAAATTATCTAGCTGCGAAACAGGCACTTAGTATGTTTTTTGAACAGCTAGCTATTTGGCTGCTTTTGCAGTGAATGCATGTCTGTGTGGGGTAAGCGATGGATGCCATAGTTAGAGTCGTTATTCCTTTATAATGTTTCATTTATTTTTCTGTCTTCTTCCTTGTTAGAATGTGGGAAAATTACGTTTTTAAGGTTGGCTAAAAGATCGACGAGAATAGAGAATAGAGAAAGCTGGACTGAGAGCTAAAATGATGGGAGCCCTCCACTTGGACGAAGACCGCAAAAAGTGAAAAAAAACAAAAGAAAATCTGTGTCTAATAGCGAAGGATGTAGCTTAATTAAAATGATACTATTAAATACTATCAAGATAAATATTGTTGAAATTAATTAGGTTAAGAGATCAAACGTGAGAGCAGAACCTACCTTCTATATATCTATATATAAAATAAATAGAGGCTTAGAAGATCAAGAAAAATAATAATATATAAACAGCAAAGACAAGACAAGACAATTCTAATAATATCTTGGAATAAGAGATTAGTAATTTCTAGTGGATAGAAATTATTAGAAAGCGGATCTATTTGACTTTAAAAAATTGCTGATATTTAAAAGTAGATTAATATGTTGACTAAATGGTACAATTTCTCTTTGTATATATAAACATCAGGTTACTTGAGAATTGATATCTCATTTTTTTTAATTTTGAATTGAAACTCTTTCTATATATTTTTATTTAAAATTAGATTTTTTTTTATCAACTTTAACGTATAAGTATAATTTTGTAGCAATTAAAAAAATTCTAAAACTTACAGTTGTTTTGCTTATTTCTTCAAAAAAATGTTATAAAATAAGTAATTACATAATGTTTTAGGACGAAAGAAATAATTTTTGGAAAAAAATGAAAAATATTCATAAATTTTAGAATATTTTCAGTTGTTGGAAAAACTAAAAAGTCAATAACGTGGCATTTGATTATATTTTTTCACCATTAGAATTGATAAAAATCTAGTAGAAATATTCAATTTCAAATAAAAATTAATTAAAAAAGATTCAATATAAAATTAAAAATTAATTTTGAAATAATTTCAAGTTTTTTTTAATTATTTAACCTAATATGTTTTTGAAAGTCTCACACAATTGGGAAACTTGAACTGTTGGGAGTGGATGGAGCTTTCTGTTGGCCAAGCAGGAAACTTGTGGTAGTGTGTTTGGTTGTCTTTTATACTAAAAATGGAGATAAATTATTTATTAGTGTTGCCAGTCTCGAGTATAGCTTCTTCTAAACGATCCCAGTTTCACCATTCAATCGGACCGAATATTTAATTCTTCAATATTAGTCATTTTAGTGTATTAGTATGCGTTACGCATTTTTTTTAAAGTCTGTATTAATTAAGAAAACTTACTGCAAAAGGTGTAAAACTAATTATTCATAATTCAAGGATTCGATATGTACATAAACGAGGATTTGGATACTGTTCCCAAGGATTTTTTTCTTCTTTCTTGAATTGCTGAGTTTTTAACCACTTAGTACTATTTTGTATTCGCCTGTTGTTGCTTACCATGCATTCAATTCGAATTCCAGCCACCTCCAATCGATCCGATTTTCCCTTCGGCATTTGCCCCCTGCTTGAGCGATTCCCAATTTCCCATTGTTAGGGCTATACGAGTCTCTTTTAATTACGTGGGCTTTTTTACCTCTAAGTCCATCAACGAAATGGGTTATACTCTAGCTCATTTGGGTCGGTTAATTTTATGGGTGCAGCAGTATGAAAATATTCTTAACATGGAATCCTTTCATAAAATGCTACTGGCAAGTAGAAACAAGGTAAAATTCATACCCATATGTAAAATTGAACTGGTGAAACAACTTGTTCATTTGTTGGACAACTTAAATGAATAGTATACTAGAAAATGGCACAATTCCTAAGTTACAATCCACAAACTCCGGCAATAAGACTTTGCTTTCAATCACTTCTCGAGGTACTGCCAATAAGTAAACAATAAATTCGATCTAGTGGGCAGTTCCCATCATCATACATACGTATGAAGCTGATATTCTCTAAAGGCGTGGACATGTGGGTTGTTTTGTGCATCAAACCATAGCCTGGTGGGGTCCAGATTCCGAAGGAAGCAAGAGGTAAAGCGCATGAGCCAAAGAGACATCATATAAAACAAGGAGAAAGAATAGAAATTCTTGCAGCAAATACGCATCTTTCTATGTCACCGGCTATCCACGTCCCTGGACAAATTGAACAATGTGCTCTGTTTCCTCTTCCAATGCCCAAAGCAACCTAACTTTGGGCAGCATTGCCTCTCACCACTTGGCATCAGGGCTCAAAAAAGGCCCACTTATGAAATCAGAATCCCAGGCTAGATGACTTTGCCGATCTGTAGATCCATGGTTCGATCAATCCAGTTCTTTTTTCTTTTGGGTTTTAATTAAGATAATTTTCCCACTAGTTTTCTATAACAAAAAACTAACTTCCTTTCCATTTTCAATCAAACCTTTATTAATATTCAAACTCAAAAATTTCTCTCTCTCAATCTTTCATTATATTCAAACTTGAGCATGGTAAAAAAGACATGACTCAATTACCATTGCTAGAGCCAACACCAAAGTTATGGAAAGCAATATTATACGGTGTGAAACATGGTGACCTCCACAGCTGAGAGAGTCTGAACCAATTAGCAGATCAATAATTTTGATACTTGATCCGTTGAACCAAATTTTCATGTCTGCATACGTATGTTTGTACGTAAGGCGAATCAAACAGAGAATAAAAATAGCAAGGAAAAGGACGGCATCTTTTGAGAGTTGTTATAGTCAGATATAGATTTGGCCAACCATTCGCTCAAGAAAAAATAAAAATAAAAATAGAGAAATCGGTGTTCCCTTGTCGTCCCAACTCAAGGAACCAGATCACTCTGTATCTGATCCATTATGGAACAACTATTTATTAAACAGAAAAAAATAATTTCCCCCAAATCAACTAACTGGGATGACAATCTTCCAAGTACAACAAAAGTTTTTATCTTATTCATTCATCAAAACCTAATCATTAAAATATTGCTGTACTCTAAATTAATTAATTACGCACTTCATAATTTATGGAATTGGTAATGTGTCAGATTTTCTCACTGATCACATGTATTTTAATTACTCTTCCGCTGATGAAATATAAAATATTCTTGGTTGATGATTAGTGTTTTAATTTTATAACAATAATCAAAATTTCAGCTCCGTCTTTTGCCTTGAATTTTGTCAAATGACTATTAAAATTTAAAAAATTTAACATACTAAAATTCTAAAAATAATTTTATATCATTTTCGAATAAATACTTTAAGTGAAAATAAAAAAAGCGAGGTGACAAAATTAAATAGGATTTCGACTTGTAATTTTTTAGTCAGTAAAATTTTAACATCATGTCAAATAATTATTTTAATTAAAAAAATTAAATTATTGGATTAAGTTTCAAAAATAATTTTATATTATTTTTTTTAACGAATTCAACATATGTTCATCGCTATAATCAAGGCTGTGTGATATTTTTTTATGCCGAATCCTTAATGTAAGATCCCATGTGCATGGTAACTTTCTACTAGTTGGAACATCACGTTCTTTACGAAGAGACACAGACACTGAAGTCTGTAGAGGTACTAATATGGACCCTTGTTGTGGGATCATAAACCAATCGTGCAAGTTATAGAAAATAACTTGTCTTGAATGCTAGGCGGCTACCTTTCACGTGAACAGCTAAGCCTATTTTGATACTTTAAGCTAATAATTAAGAGAGTGTTTGCGTTGCATTCGGAGAAATATCGCGGCAGGAATTGCAACTCAAAGGCCACCGTGCCATTTCTTTGAGAACTAGGGGAAAAAAAATTGTTTTGTATTGGCTTGAAGCATCACAATAGGCTTAGCTGCAAGTCGAACGAGAATATGCTCAATGGGTTGGCTCAGGAGAGGGGTTACTCTTTGACCCTGAAAAAGGTAGAAAAAATGTATTGCTTCTTGTCTAATTATTATCTAGTGTGATAAAACAAGAGATTTTTTACTATCTCTGATTAGGAGTACAATGTTTTTGATGTTATTTTATTGGTTCGAATTTGCTTCAATTCATGATAGGTGCATATCTCGAGCTCAAATTTTCAATACCATCAAATATGAATAGTTTCATTTTCGTGCTACCTCGTAAATTTTAGCATAACATTTTCAACTTCTAGTTTTTAATTTTTTTTTAATGTTTTAGATAATTTAAAATTTACTTGATTTATTAATTGTATTTTAAATTAGTTATAGTGTTGGTTATTATGTATATATATTTTTTATAATCTACATGTTTCTATTTGTTGTTTCATGAATTATTATTTATAGATTAAAGGTTAATGTTTTGCCATTGCTATTTATAATGTTATATTTTAATTTAATAAATTAAAAACTATTGATCATATATATACTTATAAGAATAATTCTTATCGAGTTGTCTCCATTCATTTGATATATGAAATCAGGAGAAAAAAAAGTTCAATAACGAAGAGAAAGTTTGATCCTTTCCTATAGATTTGCAAATCGATGATATATTCGAACATTTAAGTATTAAAATAGTATAAAGAATAATAATCGCTCGTTGAAAAAATTGGCAAGAGAATCATTCGGACAAGACGAACAAGATTGCTTTTAAAAAAAGATAGAAATTGTTAGATTAGATAACTGATTCTTTAATCAAATCTTTGTTGCCTACGGGTTGATTGATGTGTGATATCACAAGTAATTAAAGCATGAGGCCGGTTTGATAGATAAATTTTGAAAACAAAAACTGTCATTATCATTCACAAATCAGGAGAATCTTGACATTATTAATATTCCGAGCTAGAATAATGCATTAGTTAATTCTTCCAACCCCTCCCCCCTTTTGTTTTCACTGATAATGCAGTAATTTGATATACAACATCGGGATTTCATTACGCTCATTTTCATGATGTATTACCATGCTCCGACATAGCATGACCTCAAATTAATGCTAACTAACTTAATCATGATCTGATTAGGAAAATCATTGACTGTTACGTAACGTTAACCTTGTCCTAGTTTAGAAAACATAAAAACTGGCTGAGGGGGTCTCGTTCTAACACTGGAACGGTTTTAATGCCCTTAACCTGGCCTAGTTTTCCTTAGACACGCATATGCGTAGACTATATAACAAAAAATGATAGGGTCAGAACCAATCGAAGTTCTTTTGGCTGTCATGCAAACCAAGCCTTTTCTGAGGTTGGTTTCACAGCATTTTACATTCCTTTAATTATAATCTATATGACCTTTTTTTTTCTTTATTTGGTTTTTTAATCAAAATGTGTTAGTCGGGGAGAAACGAACAAACTTAAACTCTGGAAGAATGAACCACTATGAGAGACGTACATCTTTCACAATGGATTATCATTTTATCTGGTATTTGGAGAATAATAATGACATGGGAATAGGCCATCTCTTTACAGTTGTGTTTGATAATGAATTTGTACTTTATTTGAAAATTTGTTCAATCTGAAAATGTATCAATTTAATAGAAAGGTTTGGACGTAATTTGATATATATTTTTAAAGTATTTTTTTATGGTTTTGAACATTAAAAACACTTTTGAAGAAAATCATTAATTTGATATTTTTCAATCTAACCATATTTTTAAGAAATTATGCATATTGCATTACCAAACACATAAATAGAAGGACTCATGTTGACCGAGGCAACCTCCACCTTGAGTCAAAATTTCTGCATTATTGGTGAAGTTCACAGGGTTTGTGCTCTAGTGCAGCGAACCAAATCTTTTTATTTTATTTATTTTTTTATATCCAAAGGGAGGGTTTTGCTTTTCTGGTTGGCCTCTTAAAATCTTTATATATATATATATATATAAGAATTTTAACATATTTAAAATTTATATAGGATACATATTTAAAAATTAGTTTCACACCTAAATATTATCAACTAAAAGAACTCAATATATGTGTGTGTATATCTTAAATCTCAATTATTTGAATAATTTTTGGGTTTCTTTTTTCTTAGAATTTTAGAGGTTTTTTTTTTGTTTATTCTGGTCATGTCAGGTAGATAATGCTTAATATATATATATCGTTTGTTAAAGAAAAATAAAGTTCTCACAAATCAAGAGTTACCTGCCTGCCTCCTTGAATGCCCAATAATCATTTCTAATGCCCTTCCAAAGCATAATTTTGGATACCGAATATAAAAACCTTAGGATTTATAACAAAAATCTTGGTCCAAATTTGTTTAGCGAGGGCTAATGGCTTGACGTGACGATACCATGAATCTTAAAATAGTCCAGGCCGATCACCGAATAAAGGTTGAAAAAAGCCCGTCCTTTATATGGGCTAAGGTTAGACTTCGATGCACCACGATCTCATGAATATTGGGTTCATTGATAAGCCCAACCCAAGGAGACTTTCCTCACTCGTTTTGGACCGCCCAACAGTTAAACAAACACTTAAACCCTAATTCTCTGGGTTTTATTCGCTTTTGGAAAGTTCGAATAAATCAGTTACCGCTTCAATGCTATACCGCAGCAAGTACAAGCAATAGAGAGTCTGTTGCTCTCCTGTATTTTTCTATTCTTAAAAATCACAATAAGGACCAAACATGTCCCAGAATAACATCCAATCAGATTTAGTTCAAAACAGTAGAGTAACCTGGGAAGGTTGCAGCGTCTTGCTCGACATTAACGATGGCGACCGTCTGGTTTTTGCTCGATTAACAGCTGGCTCGTAAGTTTTTTTTTTACTTTATTTTTACAATTAATAAATGGTTAAGATTTTTTTTGGTCAATTTGTAGGAACTTGAAAATTGGAAATAAAAATTACTCTTTACGGCCATTGATTGGATGCCCTTTTGGTTCTTCTTTTCAAACTGGGAATGGAACTGAAGGGCATTGTTTATCTAGGGTTATTCCCTCCACAGAAGGTATTGTGCTTGAGCTTTTCTTTAATTGCTTAATCATTTTTTGGTTAAGAGCTTTGTTTTAGTTTGCTGATTTTTTTTTTTTTTTTTTTTTTGTGAATATTTGTTGGTAGGTAATAATGATCAAGAAAAAGGAGGATGTCAAATAGTGGATGAATGTAGGGATAATCGAGCTATTGTTGATAATAATGAAGCCCAAACCCTAACTAGTGAAGACATAGATCAAATGCGGAGGTATTTGTGTAAATTTTTCATGTTTTTTTTTCTCGATGATTGGTTAAAAAGTCGAAGCTCTAGCTTATCAATTTGTCTTCGTGTTTTATATAGCATTATGTATAATCTTGTTTCCTTAAGATATTTCTTCTGAGAAATCATGAACTTTGTTTTGTGCAGGCAGGGTGCGAAAGGCGATGAGATAATTGAAGCTCTCATTGCCAACAGTGCAACATTTGAGAAGAAAACAGCATTTTCTCAAGTAAGTTTGCTGTTAATAAATGAAATTTCAGAGGACCAAACAGGCTTTAATTTATATGCTGATGTCCCATGTGGTTTCAGGAGAAATATAGGATTAAGAAGCAAAAAAAGTATGCCCCTAGAGTGCTTTTGAGGCGACCTTCTACTAGAAGGTAATCTCTTGCTTCATCCCTAATGAGTTTATTTTTTTGTCACATCATCGGAATTGGCTGAATTACTCATAACTCAACTGAGTCCTGTTTTGTACTTCATCTTGAAAGAAGTGACCTTGAAATTTTATGAAACCTGTTTGAACCTGTTCAGTCACCTGATTTTATACACTGACATATTATCATTCTTGTTTATTCAGCATATGCGAGGCGTACTTCAAGAAATACCCAAATAGAATCGGGTACTTTTGTATTCTAGCTAACTACATTATTTATGTTATTTGATTTTGGGTTATAAAAATTTTCTTCATTCAGGATTTTGTTAGTTTGGTTGATATCATTTTGAAGCATTTTATTTTATCATGCTGTATTTATTCTGTTGAAGCTGAACATTGAAAGAGAGATTTTCTAGCTTAGGGTTTTTAAGTAGTTATAAGACATGCTTTAAGAAAAGTTAAAATTACAGCATAGGTGAGGGAAGAGTGAAAGATTATGGCAAAAGCAAAACACTATCATGACCATTTGGGTATCTTAGATCAATTACCTTAAGATTGGTTCTTTGCAACTAGAGGATTCAAGTGGTGAACGAGTGTCAAATTATGTAAATAGGAAATAACATTACGAATGATATCAGTAGGCATTAAGTAACGGTTTGTGGGTTGTTCTCATTCAGACGTATGTGGTCTTTATTTTTTAGTTGGTGTCTGAATTCCCTGCCTGTGATACAGATTCCTGCGAGTAGATGCGTTATCACTGTTGCTTTCACTTGCTAATGTTACTGCAAACTCTGACATCCTGTTAGTGGATATGGTTGGTGGCCTTCTTACTGGTGCTGTGGCAGAGCGTTTAGGAGGTTTGGTCTCTGTTTTTCTCTCAAAATCCCTTTGAATTCTATAGCTTTATAAAACTATTTGCTTTATGTAGTGAAAGAGAAATACCACCACAAGCGGGAAAATCATGCTAGTTTACGTTAATCATGTTTCAGTTATTCCTTAATTATCTTTCATAGGTTCCAATATGTTATACCTTTTTAATTCTTAAAAAAAAAATTGTCATAACTTTTCCACGATCATGAATAATTTTATCATATGAATGTATCTTCTTACTTGCATTTTCTTGACTTAAACAGCTGTAGTTTCTCATATGTAATTTCTGGTTGCGAATGATGTTATTTGTTTAACAGGTACAGGTTACATCTGCAATACGTATCTTGGAAGTACGCCACATCCCATGGACATAGTTAGAATATTCAACTTTGAAAATGAAATTTGCAAAAGGTACTTCGTGTTCTTAGTTTCATCATAGATTCAGAAAGTGGAGGAACTTGACTAACTTAAGTAAAAAAAAAAAAAGAAAAGATCTGAGTACCTCATTTTTCAGAAATAGTTGAGAAAGTATAGCTATTGTTTACATATGAAAAATTATCAATGTGTCTTGGCTTTTCATATTAGTTTATGACAAGGCATGTTTAGTTGTTTTCTGATGCAGTAGAAAAATATTGGTTCCTTAAGGGTTTGTGATTCCTATCTAGAATTATTTGATACGATGGTCCTTCCTGGTCAGTGATTAGAGATTTAATATGCATAGGATCAGCATGATTCTCGCTAAGCCTCTTCCATATAAGAAATCCTGCTGATTCAAAGTTCTTTTTGCTTTGTTTGGATATGGTTTTAAAATGATTTTCCCTCACCCATATCTCACTATTATTTTCAATTTAAACACAATTTCATTTAAAGGGAATTAGTATTTTCTGTCCAGGATTGTGCGGGCTCCTCTGCGTGACCTCTGTTTAGACCAAACTGGAACAGCTGAGAAAATTGATGCCTCTAATGCAGAACTAAATGTAAGTGGTGTTTTGCTTATTGCCTGAGTATGTGCGGGCTCCTCTGCGTGACCTCTGTTTAGACCAAACTCCAGTAACTGTCTTGGAGAATCAATACTTGTAGGGTCAAATTTCATCTATCAGCATGGAAGAAACCTCTCTTCCATCCGAGCAGGAGGTTGCAGATTCAGAGACTATTGTCTCTCCACAAAGCAAAACGGGCAAAGCCCCTAAAGCTGGAGAGAAAGCATCAGAAGAGGCCCTTATGTCATGGAAGGAAAATGGGTTCTCTAGGTAGCTAGATGTGAACAATTGGTTTATTAGTCCATATAATCTATAATTGGACATTCTTTATTTCAACAGTTTTTTTTCTAATTTTTCTTTCATAGTCAATAATTCTAGTTCAATCTGTGTGCAGCCTAATAATTGCTGCTCCAGATACAGATGCTTGGAGCTTAGTTAAGGATCTCCTGCCACTTCTATCATATTCGGCACCATTTGCTATCTACCACCAGTATCTTCAGGTCATTTGATTTAAATTCTTGAAATTTATCCAACTTAAAATTAAGACTTACTTATGCATTCTTCTATATTTTAGATGGAAGTTTATTAATAATAACTTTGCAGCAAACTGTTTGTTAGTTAAAATGCAGTATTTTTTTCGTGGTTAATTTTTCCAATATTACACACATAGGCTTTCACTCATAGTGGAGTAACAACTTAACTGCTTTTCCTGTTTGAATATAGCCTCTTGCAACATGCATGCACAATTTACAGCAAGGGAAAATGGCAATTGGTTTGCAAATTTCAGAACCTTGGCTACGTGAATATCAGGTTTGTTGGCTACATATGTGATTAACTATGGAATATATTTCAGTCTTTTGGCAGAGGTTTTTGCATCGCTGTTAATGTTTTGGTTATTAGTTTTGAATTTTTGGAGAAATAGAATTGAAGCTTTCAAAAAGTATATTTATATGCTTCTTTTCCTTGATATCTATTCTTGAGGGGTGAAAGCAGACAGAGTCTAATTCTTAAAGGGGATAGAGATGCATCAATTTGATCTTCCCTTGTGTTTTCTGATACAAATGTAGGTTCTTCCATTAAGAACTCATCCATCGATGCAGATGAGTGCCTTTGGGGGTTATATTCTCAGTGGGACCAAGATATGTAGCAGCAGCTAAGCCGGACTTGAAAAGAATAAAAGAATCACATCAAGCTCCTTCATGCAAGTTAGCTGTTAACAAGCAGGCAAAATAGCTGCCTACCCGAATGTACACTAGCTTTGTATTTATTATTTATTTATTATTTCTAACAACATCCCTTTTCTGGGTGCAATTTTGTGACCTTTCAAAAATGAAAATCTGCAACCCTGAGCTTTCGTCAGGGAGGGTTGCAAATTGCAACATGGTTTCTGTGACTGATATTTTTTCCTACCCGATCTTGGACTTCCAAGGTGCGGCAACTTGCTGTTTCATCCAAGTTGTGTTTTGTAATATAAAGAGGGAACAATCATATTTTTAGGCCACACACGCTTTTTGCTAAATATAATTTCTTGGAGTAATGATTCATTTTGTCTTCCTTCGCAGTTAACATGAAAAGTACAAACTTTGGATCCTTGGAACTAAATAGAGAAATCGTCAGCATAAAAGATAAAAAGGTGAAATTGCTTCGGCTTGTAAATGGGCTCCCAAAAAAGGAAAGATCAATCTATGGCCCATAATCATAAGGGTTTAATATATGACTTGTTGGGATGATTTTTCAATTTCTAATTTAGAAACTTCACACAAATTATAAATCTCTGTAAAATTCGAATTTCTTTAAGTAGAAATGTTATTGACTTGTTTCTAAAAAAAATTATTTATGATAGATATGACAGAGATTTATAGTATTAATTTTCTCTATTTAAACATAGCATGTTTGTCTAGAAATATTACCAAATTAAGTAACTTAATAATTTAAAATCTTCCCAATAAAATTTAATATTAACAAAATAAAAAAATAAAATAAGAAAAAAAAAGAAAAGAAAAGAAAAAGAAGTGATGTATTAAGATGATAGCAAAATTAGGGTTAATCCAATGGAATACAAAGCCCAGCCCAATCCAATCAAAAATTTGTAGAAGAGGGGCATCCAACTGGCAACAAAAGGCGGGCGTACTCATTCGAAACTCACTTCTTCAGCTTGACTCCTCTACGATTCTAAAACCCCTTTCTCCCGGCAACTGCCGTAATCTTCCCATCCTCTCATCCCTCCGTACCTAAATCAGTTACTCGCTCCTCCTCCTCCTTTCACTACCTCCCTCTTTTTCTCAAATCGCCGCCTTTTTTTTTTTTAACAGAAACACAAATTACTTCCCTTCCCTCCAAACTCTCTCTCAAAAAACCCCTCTTTCCGTCCCTCCCCCTTTTATGGCCAGCGCCAGCGAAGATCGGACCCGGAGAATTAATCCATCGCAATTTCATTTTCAGTTACTTCACTCTCATTCTCACTTTCAAAATCAGACTCAGACTCAGAACCAGAATTTATTTTCTTCTTCAAATAATCCAACGACCGCAAATCGAATTCTTCCTTCCTCTTTCCGAAAACCTCATCAGCCGCCTCTCCCTCCTCCTCCTCCTCCTCCTCCTCCTACAACGCCTACTCCTGCTGCTACCAATGAAACTCTTCTCGGCTTTCAATTCCACAGTTCTAACACGCATTCTGCTTTTCGAGAAGTCCCGGTTAGTTTTTCTTACTCTCTTTTTCATTTTTTTCCTTAACTTTTTTTATATGTTTATCTTCGTATATTCATTAATTTTGATTGTAATTCTTTTGATATTTAATATTTTTTTTAATACGTTTGATCGAAGTTTTTTTTGGTAATTTTTTAGCCAATTTGTGCATTAGGATTTTCATTTAATCTAGAAATTTCAATAATGATATTTGTGTCCTTGTTTGCATTGGCATAATTTGTCGGCTTTAATTACAAACCATAACGTGTTTCCTAAAAAATATTTAGTTATTGCGAGTAAGTAAACTTTCTCTGTGTAGAGAGGAGTTTGAATCTTCAATTGGAAATACTGGAAGTTGCTAATAACACTTACATCCGTGTTGTATTCGTGGAAAAAATTTGAAATTTCCATTTGTTTTGGGTTATGATTGTGTAATGCCCTAAGTGCTTCGATGTATTTTAAACTGTTATGTTTTAATTAAGTTGCATTGGACTTTGTTGTTTAGAGACCATGTAATCTTTTTTGGTTCTAATTAAGTTGCACATTAATTAGAAATTCTATGACGATTATTGCAGTTCGGGATGAAAATTGAAAGTGATAATCCCGAGTTTCCGGCCACGAGAGATGCAATCATCCCTGCACAAAGCTTTATAGCTACTGATCCAACACTTGCTCCTCAGTCATCTTCTGGGGGTAAGGAAAAAAATAGATCAAGGGTTCCGAAACGTGCCAAATCAGTGACTCAAAGATTGAATGCTGGTAATGTATTTTTATATCATCAATTAGTAAATTGCTGCTTGTTATAATAGAGCCATCTCAATGGAGATGCTGAGTTTTTGGTTAAATTGGTTGTCCCTTGCAGAGTTTCTCAATGCAGCTACTGGTTGTCGATATGACAGTTCTTTAGGTAAGTTCAGATTGATTAGCTTTTGCCATCTTGTTAGTTTAGAATTTTCCAAGGTTTATTCTATTTGTACACATGGTAAGCATTCTTATGTCTCTACTCACTGTTAATTTGGGTGGCTTTAAATCTCTTGTGGTCAGGCTTGTTAACCAAGAAATTTGTCAAGTTGATCAAGGAGGCTCAGGATGGGACGCTTGATCTGAACAAAACTGCTGAAGTGTTGGAGGTATGGAAAATGTGCAGGCTATGCACATGTGCCGCCAAATAAGAAAATTGAATTGCTTACGTTGAAGGGTTCACATAAGGTTTCTTTCCAGTGTAGTACCGTCTCTCCTTTTAACTTAGCACAGCTAGTTATAGTGTGAAATCATATGTAGTGGGTATATGTTACATGAATATCTTTGCTGTTAGTTGACTTTTCTGGCACAATATTGATTTTTACAGGTCCAAAAGAGGAGGATATATGATATTACAAATGTTCTGGAAGGAATAAGATTTATAGAGAAAACTTCAAAAAATCATATACGCTGGAAGTAACAACACTGATCTTTTCTCGTGCACTTTATTTGTTGTTTGCTTTGCATAACTGGTGGTTGACCAATGGACCTTTTAAACAGGGCATCTGATGACTGTGAGCAAAAGATAATGGATGATCATGCTAGAATAAAGGTATTTATGCAGCCATTTTATGTTTTTCACAAGTCAGATGCTTTATGTTGGTTTCATTCTTTCTGCACTGATGACACACACACAATGTATCGGTAGCATTTTTGCATAACGAGCATGCTAAGCATTTGTTCGAATTTCACAAGATTCAAGATCAATTTGTTTTGTGTGCCCAAGGAATGGGTCTTGCTACATTTTTCTTAGGTTTTAGGTTTTAGGTTGTCAATATTATTTGATTCGAATGTAGAACCAAGTTTTTGCAACCGAAAAGTTGCTGGATAATGTTATGGTCATATTTCTAGAAAATGAAAACCTGTTGGCTTTTATGGGCAGAATATTGTTGTTACATGTTTCTATGATTTAAGTGGTTACATATTTCAGGGAATAATGAGCCGACATTAAGTGACCTGAAATATCACTGATTAGTAATTTTTTCATGTAGTGGATTGCTGATGAATTATCAGTGCGTGGGAGATGCAGTGAGCATGCAATGACTTGTACATATAAGATAAAGTTTAGATTGTTGAAAATTGATACTCTGTATTTTAAGGACTATCTGTTGACATTTCAGCTTTCTACACTTTTAAGAGGTAACCCTGTAACATGTTAAAGTCATTGGTCTTACTACTTGTTTATCTTTTGATTTGATTACAGGCTGAAGTTGAAAGTCTATATACTGAAGAGTTCAGGCTTGATGAATCTATAAGGTTAGTTAGTCAATTTTGGTTTGAGTTTTCATTTTCCATATGGTTGACCTCTGTGGTGAGTTTTAGCTGTTATCATGTTCTTCTTTCAGGAATAGACTAGAACTTCTGAGAGGCATGAAGGAAGATGTGCGTTGTAGAAAGTATGTTTTCTCCCTCAGATTTTATTGTTTCAATACGCCTTGGTTCTTGACTTATTTGCCAACTTGGTTTTGTTAGGCATCTCTTTCTAATGGAAGAAGATATTACCAGCCTTTCATGCTTCCAGGTATGCAAATCTTTGGAATTTCTTGAATTCTCTGCGGTATCATTTCCCAAATTCGGTGACAGTAACTAGTTATGATACCACTGCTGCAGAATCAAACACTTCTTGCAATAAAAGCTCCTGAAGCTAGTTATCTGGAAGTTCCTGATCCTGACGAGGTATCAAGTGTGGAGGCTTTGAGCTTTTAAAGTTGTTGAAATGCATTGCTGTCTGACATATTGCTTTTTTACATGAGCAGGATATTGGTTCCCCTCAATACAAAATGACAGTTAGAAGCACCAATGGACCCATTGATGTGTTTCTCTTGAGGTAACATGCACAACAGATTCACTTTGTTTTAGCCTGACAATATTATGAGCTTCTTCTGCATGATTGTGTGCTATACGTTCATGATGCCAATTTGATGATCCTTTTAGCAAATGCAAACAAGGCAAGGATGTAACCATTGAGCATGTTGATCCAATGGATACAACTGCTTGGAACAGTAGTCAATGCAGAGAGAACGATGCAGGGTTGCCTTCGGACTGTCAGGGTAACCAAAACAGCTGTGAGACATTCAGCTCACTAACTTTAGAAGCATCTGGGATTTATAAGTTAATTCCTAGAACCTGCAATGTAAGTGTTGGAAGCTTTAAATTCGCTTCATAACATTTTCCTAATTTCTAGTTTTGCTTCTGCATGAGTGCACATGCGCTTTTATACACTTGTATTGGTGTTTGGTCATGGGGAAGGAAGCTTGACTAACCTGTTTGCATCTGATCCATCCTGCTGCAGATTATTGATGATTATTGGTTCCTAACAGATGATTCAGTCAGCGTTTCAAAATTGTGGTTTGATAGTTTCTCTTAGCATTTGGTTTTGTTTCACCAAGTTCTGGTTTTTGAAATATGTGGATCTGCCAAGCTATCGGAGGAGTCTGAAGGCTAACTTATTACCGCTGACCTTCATATTGTTTTCACATGCTATGCAACCGACGTTGAGGATTTTTGCCTATTGGATGACCTCCTCATCGTTTCTGCAATGAACGTCAAGAGAAGTTGTTCATAATGTAAATGAAAATCAGGCAGGTCGTTCAGGATGACCGGCAGGGTAATTTTAGATCCCCTCCACCTTTGCAAGTGTAAATTTTATAGCTGGATTTTTTTTTCACTTTAGTGGTAATGATATTAATTTTATAAAGATCGGTAATTATCCCATGTATTATCATAAAGGCAGTTGAGGCTGTGATTTTGCAAAAATGCGTACCGCCCAGCGGAACCTAATACTGAGCCAATGCCATGTGAAGGACCGTTTCTCGGCCTTGGGTCTCTATGTTGGGCTTGGAGAGTCAAAAGCCAGCTGCCTGTGTTGATCAGCTATCCAAATAACTTGGTGAAAAATGGGCCGTTTTCTCGACGTTCTGGTGTTGATGGATCATAATTTAATAGCTGAGGGTGTAGTTACAGGTCTTTTGCAGCAGTCAGCATCCTAATCTTCTAATTATCACTGATTTCCGATCGCATTCATTTAGTTTTCCGGCCATTTTTTTTAGTCTAGTCGTATAAGAAGAATTTCCATGTCCTGATTCGAACCAATTTCCTCCTTTGGAGTAACTATTCAGAGAAGATTGTTTGCTTACCAAGATGAAGCTCACATGGTAACGTTCGAAAAAAGAGCCGCTTGCAGAAGCTGTCCTCATCACTGAGTGATGTTATACCCATTAGGCTCAGCATTTTTTGAATAAACGGGAAACACACTGCAAAATGTCATTACCCAAAATAAAGGCTTTGGGCTTCTTAGTTTGCCTGATAATATCTTCCCGAGGAGGAAACTTTACTGTAAATATTGAGCCCATTTCTATGTAATAATGCATAGGATGTTGGTTAAGTACCTAAGTGTATATGACAATGAAGTTTTATCGCAGATGTTGACTACTCACAAAGCAATAAAGTGCAGGAATAACCAAACGAGGCACTCTCAAAGCTTATGGAATAAATATTATTAAAGTACGTATCCAAGGTCCATGCAAAATTGCTAATACTAAATTAATCAGTAATCACAAACCAAAACAATTAAATATCGTACTTCCTGGACGTCAGTACGCCAATGTCAAAAGTCTTTCACCTAACGGCATCATCCCGGGGAAGTTAAGGATCATATATTCCAAAAACCAAACTCAGTTTTCAACGAATTATAGGACAAGAGGCTCACATTAAAGCCTTCTCTCTCATCATTTTAGGTATACGGGTATAATTATTTTCACTATTCTAGGAGTAGAAGTCAATAGCAAGTTAAAAGTTTGTTTTACTGTTCTGATCAGGGAAAGTTAAACTTATGATAGTCCTTTCATTTACCCTAAAAAAAAAAAAATTTAACTTGCTTGTTATGTTTTCTCTTTTTGGTATTAAATTGCTTAAGCAGACAGCATCATCAAATAACATGATCAGGCCTTGTACTTTAAATGAGCCTAAAAAAGACATAGGAACTGCAATCTTTGAATGATTCTTGATGCCTTTGCTTTATGTTTAGGCTTTGTGGTTGTGCTATCCACCAAATTTCCGTCGAGCATGCTCCATCATGAGATATCAAAAATTGATCATGCTGTGACAATTTATAAAAGGTTGAGACCAATCCACAGCTTCAATTCACGTCCATATAAAGGAAAGGATAAATAGATTTGGTCCATTAAAGTTGTATAACATCTACTAAACCGCATCTTCTACTGGTCTAGATTTCAATACCTATCTTTCATATTTGATTCAATGATACTTCGAACTCAAACTTCGTTTGGAAACCTTAAGCAAACTATTAACAGTGAAATTTGTTACCCACATCAGCAAACTGGATTTCTTACACACTATTCAATATTCTTAATCGATGCTACATCATCTAGTTGATCAGTAGGCTAATTTTTACAGCAATTCTCTTTCGTAACCGGTAAAAATCATATTCATGCACTCTGAAATTTGCAAACTTAATTTGGTAAAAAACATATTCATGCACTCTGAAATTTGCAATCAAATTTACAATCTTATCCAACTATATTTTTGAGTGCTAAGTCAGCTTGTATGGGTGCATCATAGCCGCCACACGAGTTCAGCAAAGGTGTCATGTAATTATTTGAACTTGCTTTATATACCATTTTCAACAGCTTAGGTATATAAAGTTCCTAATTATAACCCAAGACACTTAACTTGCCAACGTGAGTTCAAAAAATAAAGCAACAAATGGAATTAGGAAACAGAAGATGACATTTACAGCAGCAACGTCACAAAAAAGATCCAATACCCATCACCATCCACCTACTGATCAAATGCTTGTTCTCAGGGCTAAAATTGGGGAAAAAGTTTGACACCGCTCTTCAACTTTTTGTTACAGAACGGGTTTTCCTCAATCTGCCACGTGTTAACCGCATTGTTTGCTCCATCACAGTCTCCTTTGGTGTATTGTTTTCATTTTCATTTGCTGAAGATGACGGTGCATTTTCATTTGCTGAAGATGATGGCGCTTCTTCAGTTTCCATTGCTTCTTCCTCGGTTGGCTGAGGCTGGCTGGAAACTTCAGATGCAGCACCATTTGCTTTTGGAGGGTTTGAAGCTGTTGCAGGAACTGCTGCTTCAAGCACTTTTGAAGGATCTGTCTCTTCCGCCACTTCCGTTTGGTGCTGACTTGAAGATGTGCTAGAAGTGGGAGATGGAGGTTCTTCAGTCTCTGCTGGGGTAGGAGCCGGTTGGCGGTTTGTAGAAGGTTGACGACTGGGAGCAGGAGGTTGGCGGCCCCTAGCACCTTGCTGCTGTGGCTGTGATTTAAACAGTCAAATAAGTACTAGAAAACTGATGATGTAACAGTATGTATAACTCAACAAGAAGAAATGGATCATTTCAATCACCACTCCAAAATTGCAGCTTCCCATCTACCAATATGCAAGGTTCTAAAATGACAACAGTTCAAATTTAATTCCACATTATTTACTAGCTGCAAACTAAATACACAACAATACATCAATTGACGCTTATCAAATCTTGAAGAGAAGTAGAGTTGGTCTTGCAATGAAAGAAGACTACATGATTGCATCTTATAAACCAGAGAGCCTACACCTTTAAACCATAATTTACTAGCACAATGAAACTGTATATAAGATATAATGGCAAGAATATGACAATATACACTCCCCTAATTACATTACCTGAGCAGCGCGAGGCCTTGGTGTTGACTGTGCAGCAATATACTGCAAAATATCAAAAACTCTTGTCTGACCATAACTTGCAGCTCTTTGCCAATATACAACTGCCATATCTCCAGCCCTAGTCCTCAGTTCCAACAAGCTGCGATCTATGTCACTCTCATGCTTCGCAACATATGGTCTGAAGAAGGAATCATACACATAGGTAGTTCCCTGAAACAAGGAAAAGGGGAGGGACAATTAAAATGAAGATTAGGATCTAAATACATAATAAAAAAATTCTTATCAGCACTTTATAAATACGTACCTTAGTTTTAGGGTACCACAGGTATATGTAAAACGCCAACTTAGCTTCACTGTACATTGGAACCCTTCAAGAAACCAAGACGAAAAACTAAATGAAAATGCCAAATTGAAATGTTAGAACAGAAAATTTGCAACTGGATTCAAGCTAAGAATCAATACCATGAAATAAAAGAATCTGCAATTCTCTCACAAACTGTCAAAACAGCCACCAAAATCCTGCAAAAAAAGGAAAAAAAAAAAAAAAGAAAAAAAGAGAGAGAGAGAATGAAACCCACTTCTAGCCCAAAAAATTACATTCAAACATCCAACAAACATCAAATTACAATATAATACCAATACTGGCACCAAAAGCGAAGTTGCTCAATCTCTGGCTTATTCAATTCAACAGTTTTATAGCACTCGTAAGCTGGATAAGCATAGCCAAAAACCATCCTGCCAATACGTTATACCAATTTCAGTTCAGATAGCAAAATAACACCCTTTAGTTCAAATAAGAAAAAGAATTGATTAGGTCGCCGGAAACATACACAAGCCCTCTTGTTAGAAATGATCCAATCATTTTGTATACCTATCACGCACAAAAAATGAAAAAAGAAAAAATAAATTAGTTAATATACAATGCAGAAAATATAAAAGATCAAAGTTTCAAATGTCCCAAATGCAATATTAAATAAATCCAGCAAGCTTTTCAAATTTTTCAAACACGGAAATCAAATTTTCTTTTCATCACTAGCAATCATTCCGAATTTATTTTTTAAAAAATCAAATTCAAAAAAATTCTCACGGAACAGCCAACCAATCCGTTTAAAGCGCATTGGTTCCTTAAACTATGGCAATACAATGGCCAATAAATCACTAAAATGCACAAAATCAACAAAAAGAAAGTGAATAATCCAGCGAAAAAATCAATTATCCAAAAATACACTTAATAGCTATCAAAATTGATAACAAAAACACAAATTGACTCAAAATACCAGAAAAAAAACCTACAAAAATCAGGCTAAAAAGCAACCGCAATGCCAATAATATATCCAAAACAAAATTAAAACCGCAACGATCTATCTAATATAAAAATACGCAGCCATTCGGATAATCTTATTGAAAAATAATAAAATTTGAATATTCAATACCTTTTATGACGATTTTTATTATAGCGAATTTATTTTGAGGCGCACACACACACAAAAAAATATATATTATCAACAAATGAGAGTTAATAAAGAGCACGGAAACAAGGTCGAGATCGAGAAATGGCTAAGAATGTCAAAACTCCACCGTACGGAAATATCGGCGCCGGCGTTTTGCGACGGCGAACCGTTATGATGTCGGCGCCGCTATAAAGACGGAGGGGCGAAAAAAATAAAAGGGTAGCGAGAGAGCGAGAGAGCAGCAGAGACTTTCTTATGTGTCGTTTTTCAAAAAATTTCTCTTGCTTTTAATTTGTATTAATTTTAGCTTTTGAGTTCCGTAATTTAGAGAGATGTTTTTGTGTGCGCGAGATACACGAGGATGATGTTAATCACCGTTAAAATTTGAACGGACGGGTTACGTGTTCTAGAATTTGGGAGGTTTCAACAAATGTAAAGTATCACCGCTGTATGCTATCGCTTCTTTTTTAAGTTTGAAACTTTTTTTCACTGTTTCATGACGTGTAAGGAAGACGAGACTGTCACCTATGGGAATATAGCAAAATTGGCAGTGGGGCAAACTATATTCTGATCCATGTAGATTTCTAGATATTTCATTTTGACCTCTATAACAAATTTTTTAATACAATTCTTGTAGTTTAAAAAAGGTTTTTTGAAACTAGTTATTTTTTGAGTGGTTTTGAAAATTTTCAAATGTCTTTGCTCTAGCTGGAAATTTCTGTGAAATCACATATGTTATAAAAAAATAAGATTTTTCTTTTTTAAAAAAAAGGGGTGAAAGAGGATTGCCTCAAAAATATTATAAAATTATAAGACGGGATTATAATTCATAGAACTGAAATGTAATATTTATTAAATTATAGGGACTAAAATATAGTTTATCCTTTGAGAATTAAGTGTGCTTTACATTTACCGTTGAATCCTTGATTAAAAGGACTTTACCACGATGCATCTGCCTCTGGATCTGTACTTTTCTGTCTAATCGTGAGCCAACGTGACCAGAGCGAATCACCATCAGGTGATGTTATCATTGCTATAGATGAAAGTGTGAAACAGAATAAATTACCGCTCAAGGCGTAAGGTATCTAATCGTTTATGGATAAGGAGCAAAAAAAAAAAAAAAAACTAAAATAAATTTCCTCTGCGAGAAAGACATTAAAAATGCTACCGTGGGGTCTATTAGAATAACGTTAGGCTCCCCTAATAATTTAAAAATGCTACTGTGCCCTAACATTCTTGAGGTGGAGGTTCAATTCAATCCTATTCACTTCACTCTTTGGCTCTTTGCTTTCCCTTTACTCACAAAACATGAAAAAGGCTAAAGTGCATGACGTCCTATGAAGAATCTTGGTATATTTTAATTAGATCTGCTTAAGGCTAAACATGCATACCATGGTCTTACTTTCCTCTATTTTTTATTAGAATAATTGCATTATAACTAAACCATTTTTTTAATTAGATCTTGGTGTATTTTAATTAGATCTGCTTAAGGCTAAACATGCATAACATAGTCTTACTTTCCTCTATTTTTTATTAGAATAATTGCATTATAACTAAACCATTTTTTTACAATTGATTATATGAATTTTGATTTTTTTTTTGAGTATATTATTGTTTTACTACCAATGAAGTATTTTGTCAAACTTTTGTAAATTGTTTTGTTATCAACGATGTATCATTTGCCTCAGACTATTAAATCATGTTTTTATTTTTATTTTTAGAAAAAAATTTCTAGCAAATTATTTTGTAGATATAAGAATAAGTTGAGCATGTGTTACACAAAAAGAAAGAAAATGACAAGATAATTTAAAAGAAAAGATTCACTGCAAGAATGAAAAAACAAAATCATAATTTAGTAGTTTCGAACAAAAAACACATCATCAGATAATTAGCAATTGATAAAAAAAAATTAATAAAAAATACTTAATTGATAATTTTAAAAAAATTAATATATTCAAATAAATTTTTTAAAAAATTTATATACTTGATAAAAAAATTAAAAATTGATATATTTATAATGCACTTATTTTATTTTTTTAATTTGTGGTCTACAGAAATGGCATTAAATTTTAATCTCTTATTTGCATATATTAGTTACTGATAGTTGCTCACGGTGGTTTGGGCAGAATTTTTATCCCTATGGAGTAATTCTCCCGGTTTTATTTACCTGTGGATTATTCAATTCACAAGGGAACCACTCAGTACACCTAAAAGCGACAAACCCAACTTTAAATTAATCTATTTTCTTAATTATTTCCTTGTTGATGCACGTTATGAAACCCATCATTATTGTGCAAGAGTAGCATAAAGTAAATGCAATAATGTGGCACTAAATGGGGGCTTTGAATTTTGCTCACGGACATTTTCCTGCCAATTAATGTGTCATCCACCAAGAACTAAAGGTTCTTATTGCTTGATGCTGTAATTTTTGACGTGGCGTTCATTAGCTAGCGGCTATAATTAGCATCAGATTAGGACAAACTTATCATGAATAAGCATAATTAATGTAATCTAATTTAGATAATCTGGATCACTTTTATTCACCATGTGACCCTTCCTTTAAGGCTACCCGCCGGCACATAACTTTTCCTTTGCTCTTTTACTTGGATATGATCCCTATACATATCTTTATTTGGTTCCCATCTTTTCATTGTCAAGCCATGACTGTGCTGAAAGATGGTTCTAGCTGTTTATATGGGCAGATAGCCAGTCATTTATATATCTATGTGGATAGAATTGGGAGAGTGGTCGATTGCTGGCTAGCCAGCGCCTATATTCGTGTTAAGCACCGATCGAGGACAATATGGTCCATTTGGACAAGAGGTACTCTGTGCCTTCAATGGATCGTCATGGGTGAAGTTCTGTCCATATTCATCCAAAAAGGGGATGAATAACCAAGGAAAATGTTCATTAATGAATATATTTGACACCATTTATGCATGGCATTGAATTACTACCTAAAACAGTAATTCTGTAAAGGAAATACATAAAACTTTTGACATTGGTTCTCGTCTTTGCACAATGCCTCTATTCCTCGAGACATGGGTGGTGTTGTGTCAACTACAAGCAAAGCAAAAGGACCAACTCAAAAAAGAAGCCATTATTGAGTAAAGAGAAAGATGAAAAGCCATGAGGGGCCTGAGGGACGACGGAGGAAAGGGTCACCAAGGGAAAAGAGGAAGCATGTGGGAAGGGAAACTTCCAAAGCCTTGGATTCTTCGTTTCTCAAAGTAAATGTGCTGGTCCATTTTCACGGGACAAGGGTCCAATGCCATGAGACCGAATTCAAGAACATGGTCATTCTCTCATGTGCGTTTCATTATATCTGTTTGGTGGCATGTCTATTCCACTCTCATTTCTCACCCTTTGGCATTTGCCCCCTCTCTCCCTCACACGCACACAATTATAACGGTAAAATTAATAAATGCAACTTAGCATATCTAGGACTAGGAGTGTTGAATTACAGCTACATGAGATGGAATGAATAGATTCATATCACTCACTGGATTGTAAGCCTATCGTAATGCCTAGTCATGATTGTTCTTGGGCACTTCAACTCCATGTGCTAAGGTCAAAATAAAACACCCACTATACCTGTTTATTTTTTTGGCCGTTGGCTGTGGGATTGCCAACAATCTCCCCTTAATGTGTTTAACCACTATTCAGGTCAAGAATGCATGGCTTACGTCAAAGAAATCCTAATATAAAAAATATTTTTTGAATAATTATCTCTACAGTATACACCCAATAAAATAACAAAAAATTAATCTAAATCTTTAGGTTTGGGATACTTTAGAGTATATATATAAAAAAAAAAATCACTCTCAGTTGAAAAAAAATCTTAGAAATGATTACAAAGAAACTAAACCAACCTATTACAGAAATTTGCTTTAGCAAATATATAGATAGCAATAAAGTTAGAATTCACTGCGCCAATCAAACTATTTTACCCCACAAAAATCCATTTCATATATTAATTTTGCGGTGATCTAACAACTCTACAATGATTAATACTGTTGGTGTTTCAAATAATTCGTTTATCTTTTATTTATATTTATTTTAAAATACTTTTAAATAAAATTTATTTTATAAAATATCGTTCAAATATAATTTTAAAAAATATAATTTTGAAAAAATATGAAAAAATAAAAAATACTGACATGACACAATAATTAATAATTTTTTTATTCTGGATAAAAAAATCAAAGAGATGCAATATATAATAAATTTTGGGTAATCTTGTGATTCTCAACGAGATCGTGCAATGATTAATACTTAGGATTTTTACTAAAATATCTCACATTCCAACAATAAGAAGATTGGGGTAGAATTTAGAAATAAAGGATGACTGCCTCTATTTGTATGGTCTCCTAATAAAAAAAAAATTAAAAAATTAAAAAATCTCACTCATCCAATTGGGTTGCAAAAGATGGGCCTAACAAACTGTCAAAACTCCGTAATAAAAATCCACATATTTGAATCTCAGAGTATTTGGGCCGTCGAGCACTTGCGGTCACTAGAGTTTGGGCTTGGCTCATAATAACATGGGCTCTGAGAGACAGTCCAAATAGTCCATCAGTCAAAAAAAGTAAACCAAAAACAGTACCATCCATAGAATGAATGCCACGTGGAGAGAGTGCCTGATAGACAACACAGCACCCACTCACCACTGTCTGGTGGTTGATGCTTGAAGCAGTCCCCACATATCCAAAAATTCCCAGAGGCACCAGCCAGGCTTCAAGTGATGAAACTCTAGCATCCACAGAGCTAGTATATTGAAAATTGGAGAAAAATAGATACAGAAATGCCAGTATCACCTTCAATTCCTCGTCTTCGCTCGCCATTTCTATGTTGCCCTCTTAAAAGAATTTCTTCTTCATTTTCCTCCTTCAAGTCTGCAAGAAATAATCATCAACAGTCACCAACATCTTATCCATGCATCAGAGCTGCTGATCTTGATCAGAACACGGTTCTTTCTCTACCTTTACTTCCTGTTAATTTTTCTTTTCTTGTGGTATTGTTGTGAAGGGTATTAATTCTGCAAAAAAAACAAAACAAAACCAGATAGTTGCAATTTCGGTCGGGGTCGTGAGCATTGCTGTTGGGATAGGCATCCCAGTTTTCTACGAAACCCAGATTGACAATGCTGTAAGTTATTATTTTTATTAATTCCAATCCAGCATTATATTATATTTCAGTCATTAAGTCGTAAGTATGGTTTTATTTATGTTGCAGGCAAAGCGAGGCAACTCTCAGCCTTGTTTCCCTTGCAATGGTAGCGGTGCCCGTAAGTAACAATAATCCAAAGTTGAGCTGTTTAATTTTCTGGGAGTTTGTGTATGTTCGTAATTGCTGTAAGACATTAGAGGTAGCAATCATATGAATATCAAACTTACAGCAATATTATGTAAGAATTCAATGGCGGAAGGTGAATTTAAGGTTCAACATTGTGATAAGCATGCCTTGAAATTTGAATGCCGTTTGGTGCTATAGTGCACTTTTCTTGTTTCTTGACATAAAATGGGTTGGTAGAAATCATCTAGCATGTTTGATGAAGAGGATTTCGATCTTCTGATCTGTATCCTCTGCAATGTGCTTCTATTTATACCAGTCTCTTATTTAGCAACACGACTTGGAGCATCATTAATGGTAGCATCTGCTAGCCAAATAAGTAGTCTAATCCAGCTGTTCAAACCCAATTCAAATCTTGGTCTAACCACCCTATCCTTTCCGGTACTTTTCTACACATTATTTAACTATTGGTCCTAGATTTCCTTTTGAAATATGTTGGCATAGGTCTTAACTTCGCAAATGCGTGATCTAGTTTACAAGAGGAAGGAAGGAGAATTGCTGGATATTAAAGAGTATATGTTGTAGGAACATTATTTCTCAGCAAGAAGATCAAAATGACATGATAGCATAGGCATGACTGAATTTGGATGATGATATGCACATGATATTGTCATGTTCAAAGTCTGATGGTTGTTTTTGTAATTGGATTATTTTCTGCAGAAAAATGCAGATTTTGCCTGGGAACTGGCTCGGTGACAGTGGAGCTAGGTGGTGATGACAAAGAAGTCTCTCGATGTATCAATTGCGAAGGTGCTGGTTCTTTGACATGCACAACATGTCAAGGCACTGGCATTCAACCCCGGTATCTAGATCGCAGGTACGAGTCTATTAATCATGTCCTTTATGCATCTAAAAAAAAAAAAAAAACACTAATGGGCTAATGGCTACTTTGTATATTTAAACTACTCTAATTAGTCCCATCCTTGCAAACATCAGCCAGGGAAAATCAGACATGGTGGTTTGCTTTTTATAAAATTCTATGTTGGAAGTGACAAGAAAACTGTGTCCATGCTATTTCATACCACCCAAAAAAAGGGGGAAAAAAAAAAACAAAAAAGCTAGTTTATACTATGCAAGTCAACAAGGTAGGAGGTCTTAATTTTGAGGGAAATGGATTTTATCCGCTTTGATCTGATGCAACTTTAGGGAAGGAATGCTGAAAGTCTGTACTGTGTTACTAACATATTTCTTGCTTTCTTTCGAGCAGAGAATTCAAGGATGACGATTGAAGCTCTGAAGGAGCAATAGTTTTGAAGTTGATCGAATCAGCTTGTAATAAGAAAAGACTGGATCGTCAACATTCTTTGTATTAACACCTTCAGATTCCATCATTTCTTTCTCCTTTCTTGTTCTAATGCACACAAGCTCAACTTGTAGGGATTCGGGTCATCGGGTGGTTTTGATTCTACTGGGGAATCAATGAGAAGCAGGCTTGTTCTTAACTTCTTATTATGATAATTGAAAGAAATAGAATAGTGAAGAAGAAAAAGGGGAGAGAGGGAAGAGCATTCACCTGAACAGAATCTCTTTTTCATAACTCAATTCCATGTCAGGCACAAGCAGTGATTTCTGTTTCACAAAAATAGCATCAATCGAAAATTAATTAACCATTCTTTCTATGGCTATCGTTTGCCTGATGCTTATTGATCCACAAGTTAATAACCAAGTGAACTGCATTTTTTTAAGATAAATAAAATTCACGAATAACAATTGAAATGTTCAAACCACGATATATCTTTATAGATTCATCAAAAATAACAACGAAAATTGAAATTGGCATAATATCGGAGTTATCTCCGAAGACGGTTGATATTTTAGAATTCTAATTAGGATAAATTACAAAAAAACACCATTTAACGTTAAATGGTGGGAACACTCTACACCTTTTTTTTTTTTTTTCAAATATTACATTTTATGTTCTGAATTTTTTACGATGAAATTTTAGGTAGGTGAAGTTTAAAATGATAACAATAACTTTGTATATTACATGTTAAAATAGTCATACTTGATCATGCTTTTGATTAAGTTTGGACTTATTGGTCATTTAATGGGTAATGGCCTAGAGAGAATAAATTAATACCTACAAATAATATTCAAAATTAAAAATCATTTTTTGTTTCAGCTCCTAGTTAACGTTGACCTTACGAATAATTTTATTTTATTTTATTTTGATAAACTCGTGACAAAGCATTTTGAGTTCGTTAATTAGGCTAGTGGCTTATTCAGTCAACGTACGCTTAAATTAATAAGTTTTTATAATGTAATGTTTACCGTAAAGGACGTTTAAAGAATTAAATTTTAATAAGGACAATATTGAAACTAATTGGTAACATTAAGGACAAAATTTATTCAATTGATTGCGAAATGATAGTTAAGCCTATAAGTCAGATGTTTTTGTAGTTAATCGTATATTTATTCTAATTAAATAGCTCACAGAATCAATAGTCATGTCCTTTGGCTTATACGATTTTCCGCTAGGAATTAGCAATATTAATAACAAAAATAGCATCAATTAAACATTAATGTCTATCATTTGTCTAAGAATTATTGATCTAAAAGTTAATAACTAAAGAAACTGCTTTATATATATATATATATATATATATATATATATAAGTTTATGAATAACAATTGAAATTTCAAATCACAATATATCTTTTTAAATTCCTCAACGATGACAACGAAAATTCAAAATAACATAATATTAGATTTATCTCTAAAAACGAATAATATTTTTAAACTCAAATTAATAAATTAGAAAAATTATGTATAAGTGGATGACTATTGAAATTTGAAATTAGAACCAAGACAAGAACCCTATTTCAGATTATTGGAATTAGCTTAAGTTATTTATTTATCGATTTATTTTGAAGTATCTACAGGGATAACTCTTAATTATTCTAATGATAAAACTAATTTTTATACATGTGGTAATAATATTCTTTTATTACTCATAAAACATGTTAATTTAATGAGAGTTTCCAACAAAACATATAGACAACGATCATAATTCACTACATCTAATTTCTTTGGGTGTTTGATAGTCTAAAAGTGAAAAGAGGAACTGCATAATTAGAAAATCTTGCTAGACTACTAAAACAGTATTCAACATGTAAAAAGATACCCATTCTTTCTTTCCTTACAAAAGGACACTCAGAAAAATACTCCTGCTTAATCAGGCTCATGGTGGTTTCACCCCAGAAAATGCCAAAATTTGGACCTAAATGGGCCAATTGGGCTTTAAATTGAAAAAGCGGCAACGTTGCCCTTTTGATCTTTTCCTCAACCGTTAGCAGTTTCTAAGGTTTCTTAGCAAGAAAAACAAACTAGGGTTTAAGCAAGGGGGATACAGCGAGAGAGATATGCTGTACTTGATAGGTCTGGGTTTAGGTGATGAGAAAGATATCACGTTGAGAGGACTAGAAGCAGTGAAGAAATGTGAGAAAATTTACATGGAAGCCTACACGTCTCTTCTTTCATTTGGTCTCACCACGGATGGACTCTCCACTCTGGTAATTACTCCTTTTTTCTTCTTCCTTAAACTCTGATTTAAACCTCTCTTTGTAACTAATATTTAAAATATTCATCTGGGCTGAATTGGATTTGCAGGAAAAGTTGTATGGGAAACCAATTACCATTGCGGATAGAGAGATGGTAGAAGAGAAGGTAGACAATGTATTATCTGAAGCTACTTCATTTGACGTTGCTTTCCTTGTTGTTGGAGATCCTTTCGGGTACTGATTCCTCTTCATTTTTCTTTTCATTTTCACTCCCTTTTCTTAATAAAGTAAAGCATGTATTTTGGCTCTAATTTGATTGGAATGCAGGGCTACAACACACACTGATCTTGTTGTTCGAGCTAAGGAATTAGGGGTTGAGGTCAAAGTGGTACACAATGCATCGGTAATGAATGCTGTTGGGATTTGTGGGTTGCAATTGTACCGTTATGGAGAGACAATTTCGATTCCTTTTTTTACAGATACGTGGAAACCTGATAGCTTTCACGAGAAGATACAAAGAAATCGTGAGCTTGGATTGCATACTCTTTGCCTGTTAGGTGAGAATTTCATTCTCACACATCAAATTTTTAGTCTGCAAAAATAAAAAATGCAACTTGGTAATTTCTGAGTTCTTGCAGCTGCATACAATGGAATTCTATACTGGTGCAGGCATACCTCTAGTTATTCAACAATAGGGTTCATGACTTCTGCATTTTTGCGGACTTCAACTTGGTTCGAAGTTTTTGCTTCCTAATTCATTGATAAAATTGCAATTTATGGTTTACTTTACCTTTGTGTCATTTGTCTGTTTAGCATTAATAAGGATTGCATATCTGGAAGCTGTAATTTAGAAGATCATCTATCTAATGTTATCAGGGGCGGAGCCTCCCCACCCCTTTACATATGGATACTAGTCACTTTTTTGAGCTATCATCTATTGGCACAGTATTAAAATTTTCATACATAATTGTTCTTTTTTCCAATATCCATAAAGACCATTTTTTTTTTTTTTGTTACTTTATGACCAGAAATCCCGACTTTTATTTGTCCAGGGAAGTGGAGTCAGTTTTTGAAAATCCTGGGTTGTTTATCCCGTGAACTTGCAAAAGCTTCCTATTTTATTTGCTGTCAAGTCAAAAAACTTGATCCATGCATATTTTTCTGCTTTGTAGATATAAAAGTGAAGGAACCTACATGGGAATCCTTGTGCAGGTCTGTGCATGTCTATGGCTCTGTGGTTTATCATCTACAATTCTGTTATTGCTAGACTGATTATTACTTTTCATCTATGGCTCAGAGGAAAGAAGCAATATGAACCACCAAGATTCATGACCATAAATACAGCAATTGAGCAGCTCTTGGAGATTGAGCAAAATCGTCAAGAATCTGGTGAGGATCACAATTGTTTCACTGTCTTCAGGATCGAGTGATATACTAATTCATATTCTTTGTTTTTGGACATCATACTGTGCTGACTTTTATCCTCTGTAGTAGGAAATAAGTTAGGAGAGTGTTTTACATGCGCATATATCACCATAGATCTTAGATCTGGAACTGTGCCTGGCATATAATGCAAGCAGTCTGTCATTTTCCTCGTACCCAACCATTGTCTCATGATGCTATTTATCTTTTCTCATTGCATCTTGCTCTTCAAGCTTTAACAAGAGCCTGTTTTCTCTGCATTTTTAGGACTTATGGAGAAGAACCTGAATTATTTCGTACTAATAATAGCACTTTTGTCGTTCATGAATTGACATGCAGCATACAGTGAAGATACTAATTGTGTTGGGCTTGCTCGGCTTGGAAGTGAAGATCAGATGATTGTTGCTGGCACAATGAGGCAACTACTGGCGGTTGATTTTGGAGCACCCCTGCACTGTCTTGTAATAGTAGGCAAGACCCATCCTTTGGAAGAAGAAATGCTGAATGTATACAAGCTTAAAGGAGAGAGTCTAGACCACAAAGATGATGCTACTGCATGATTTACAGGTCATATTTCCTCTCTGGTTGTGTTTTACTACTGAAAAGATAAAATGGTTGATATAATTGAACTTTGTGGTTTATCTGTTTGTGAATTTCAACCTTCCGCAATAAGGTAGGACTCATGGATTATCTGCCTTTATGTAGGCTGTTGCTGTTTTCGAAAGCTGAAGGCACAAGAGATATAAAGTATCGTCTTGTTTGGCCTACTTTGGGTGCAAGTAGAGTCCATTCCTTGATGCAGTAGCCTACAGTCAATTGTTTCACACCTGTATTTTGCTTCAGATCAACGGTTGCTGCTGATCTGAAACTGTCTTTTGGGTCAATTGTATCTGTTCAATGGAGCCAACTGTACATCTGTATTACTCCAGTTTAGTATACGTCATTCCCCACTGTGCCTTCATTTATTCATCTTCATGCATTGTGTTCTCTTATCATGGATTTTTTGAGTTCCTGTTTCTGGTCAAATCATATGAGTGAACGAAAGGGTATCAGATAAAGCTGAAATTTTTTAGGTCTTTTCCCCAAGTTTTGAAACTTCTAAGCCCCGCCGGGGAATGCATTTTTATGGTGATTCTAAATTCAGAAGGTTCTCCCTCTTGCCAAATGCCATTTCAGAGTATAATCAGAGTATGTCTACATACGCTGAAGATGCTACATCACCCCAGTTCATGTCGGTAGTAATTTTCATTTCTTTCCCCTAGCTCATTACCTTGGCTTTCTTGGACAGAATCGTGAATTTTGCTGCTTGATATGCTTCTGAGTTCTGAGGCATTTGCGGTAGAAGCTAGAAACTTGGTGGTTCTTCTCCAGAGGACAAAATCTTTCCAAGCATCTCTGACATCACCCTAATTGGTCCAATAAAAAGATTAAATAGTATAAGTAAATTTCATGACCAAAATTCACTACTGCAGTTAGCGCATTATCTTTGGATCTTTTTACCAAGTATGCTAGCCATAAGGCTCTCCACCCATCATGGAAAACGCTAAAATACATGCCACCAGGTTATCTCTGCTACTAGCCATAAAGATCATCCAAGTGCCTTGTGGGTAGTGATAATCACAGATTCCAGTTGCCTATGCCTACCTAAACGTAAGCAGAGCGAGTAATCACTATTCACTACATAACTGCAAGTGCCTAGAGCACGCTACATTGCCACCATTAAAACCTACCTACATCAAATTTTGAAGCCACGATGTAAATATTCTTGCTCCTTAAAACTATGACTATAGCAGTAGAGATCTTTGAGAAAACAAAATGGGAGGGGGAAAGGTTCAAAAATGTTATTCCTTAACCTACAAAATGGTTGTAGCTACCACACTTGCCCTGCAACCAAGTCAGCCGGATGTCATCGCCTTTCAGAGAGAGAAAGGTCTCTCGTAAGGTGGAGTCCTCAAAGAGGTCCAAAGCCGCAAAGTAAAGTTGCTGGTCAATGTTTTGAATCTCATCCAGAGCTTTAATACAATTAGTTATCGTAAATTTTTCATCATTTTGTCTAGCAGCAAATTCCCTCCACTTCGAAGCAGCTACCATCTTCAACAAGGCTTCTGCCATAGCTTCATTAAGTTCTTGATCTCTATTATTCTGCTCCGAAGAAGGTGTCTCAAGTGGCCGTTTCCTTTTTCTTTCCCCTACATTCTTCACTGCCTTTTCTGATGACACAGCATTTCCTTTCACTAATTTTGAGGATGATGGATCTTCAGAACGAGAGGTTCCACCATCTGGACAGGAAATTCCACCCACACTATAATTTCCTTTGTCCAAACCCTCAAAATGACTTGATTGGGCATACTTCCCATCAGCTGATGTATCTGTGAAAATCTTGCAGAGTTGCTCATATATGGGACAGTCCTTGACTTTAACTGTCTCTGGCCTAGGCTGTGCCTGCAAGTAGAAGTTATCAGAATACAAAATAAGCTGATCAAGAAACAAAGCACAGGGTAACTGCAGGAATGAAACGCACCCCAAAAGACTCTTCCCACAGGTCAAATCCAACACCACAGGGATCCTCCAAAGCAAAGTCATTCTGAGCATATGCTGACTTCACATTATTGAATCGTGTCCGCAGTACATCAAGGTGCTTTCTCAGTTGATTGTTATTGAAATTCGAATCTGTCTCCTTATTGAATTGATCACGAATGTGATTCCAAGTTTTCTTGTCAAAAACATTATTTGGTCTGTTTCCCAGCTGAATCTGCTGCACTACCAGGTCTGCAAATATCTTGTCAAGGGATGGTGTCCACCTTGTACGAAATCGTTCTTGCTTGGATTGATTACCAGTTTCACCTTCCATGTACAACTACAGAAAGCGCTTATGCAGTCAGTAAAATGACTACCAATAAGATTACCAAAAACTCTCCATTTAATATAAGAACAGTTTGAATGCAATCAAGTTCAGGACAAGACATATATTGGAAAAACAATACAGACTGTTGTTAGAAATGAGCAGCTCTTTCCCTTTTTTATGGCTTGCACCTCTTGCATGTTCAGCAATAGGGACATCAACATCAGATATCTAATCTAAACGGACAAAATAAATCCATCCAAAACGTCCATGTGATTAACAAGAAACACACACAATTCCATCATAATTACTCCCAGAACTAGTAATCATTACCTTAAGTCAAATTCTGAACCATACAATCCCTCAGTATGCACATAAGACCGTCGATGAAGCCCCCTGCAAACATATGCAGTCACTAAAACAGTGTCATTTGTTGACAACATTAGCAACTTTTCAAGTTCAACAGTCTGCTTTCTAACTTTACAGGGAGCAATGATATATCGAACGAATTAAACAATGTGAACACTCATGAATTAAAGACATGCCAGGTGGTTGTATTGCATTAGATTCCACTTTAAAAAAAAAATCCTTCACCGTTTATTTTTATCAGCACTTCTGCATATCATTAAATTCGGGAGATCTTTAATTCGTTAAATATAGCATTACTCCTATACACTCCGTCCATCAGTTTTGCCGCAAATCATATAATCTCAAGATTCAATTTCTTACCAAGAACACTTAAATATGTCAGATAAAAAGTTAGCAATCCACAGATAGTGGAAATTAATAAACGTTCTCTTTGGTTAACTACATTATATTGAAAATGTTGAGACCTCCAAGTTCCACGGTCATAGAGAGCCTGAGCATTACATGATAGGCAGAATTCTGTTAATTCAAATTCGAGTTCAATCCAAAAATCCATACATTCCTAAAACTTAAAATTTTAGGACAAATGTTCAATTTTACTTCCTCTAACCAACATTTTAAGAGTAAAATGTGTGCTGGCATTTGTGGAATTCTTAATGTCATGATTAACAACAATTGTGATTATAATATAATTCACCATTCACATGCCTTCTTCTTTGCTAATAAATCTATACGTCCAAAACATTTCGCGCGCCTATTTAAAACCCTAAACGAGCACAGAATAAACAGAATAGAACTTAATTGCTCATAATCAAAGGCAAGATACCTGATCGCCAGGAAATTAATCGCAAGTCGGATAAAGGAGAGCGAGAGAGGCGTCACTCCAGCTACAAGCGCCGTCCGTCTTGGCAGAAATGATAAACTAGGTTAAAAAAAAAAACACAAAATAATTACTTTTTAATCGTCATTTATATTTTTCTTTGATTGCTTAAAAAACTGATGCTTTGGAATCGGCGTTGATGAGATTAATCAGGTGTGAGGGAACTAAAGGAAGGATTATTGCATGTCAATAACTGATTGGCTCTCTCTTTGGGGTTTCCGTAATGGCGCGTTTTCTAAAACGCATTGGTTGCAAGGTGACTCAACCATGACACGGTGCCGTTTTAGAAGAAGGGTAACGTTGTGTTGGCTTAGAATGACGTTTTGTGTTGTAGCCAATTTACATGCAAGATTTTGACCAATCACATCCACAACCGAAAATCAAGTGGATCTCACCAATTCGCTTTGCGGCCTTTTGCAACGCCGAACACACAAGCTTTTTTGGCCCATTAATTTCTTTGTTTTTTTGGATTAAACGGGAAAATTAAATTCAAATAAAACAAATGTATAATCTGAAATCTTATTAATCACCAGATTTATGTTAACAGTGGATCAAGTGTAGATTACTTGGACGAAAACCAACTCTTTGATGAAATGGCCAACTCTTAGATCGCTCCAATGTGTAATTAACTGGTAGAGCAATGCTGTTATTGAGAAACTAGCTTCTGTTTTGATCTCCTCTGTACTGTTTCTAGTACTTGCTTTGTTGCTATTCGGTTTTAAACCGAACCGAATAGTTGCTTAGGTATATAAGGCTGTTCGATCTGATTTCTATTACACAAATTTTCCACGTCTTAGATATACATTTTTTCACTTCACTCGTCCTTGGTAGGATCAAAACCTGCTTGAACTTGTCATTTCGGTCTGACTAGATGCGTAGATAATTTTTATTTTTTGGTGGAAACAAAGTTAGGTAGCCTTCACTTTGTTCTCTTGAACTCTGGATTTTTTAGAAACATAAGCAACAGTTAAGAGTCGACAAAAGAAAAAACAGCAATGAGATATGCCATCATCACTAGTGTAATTTAACTTCGAATTTGTCTCTCTTCACTTGCAAAACTACGAGTACATGTTTCGTGTAGAGACGATAATGAACTAGTATTCAATCCTTTAATTCAATTTTTCATCTTATTTGTCGAAAAAATACACTACCCATTATTCATTAAAAAATTATCATAAAATTTTTTATTCAATCCATACCTAACTCATACTAGTTTATCATTCTATTTAATACTCATTAAATACTAGCTAAATTTAATTTATTAAAAATATTTATTTTAGTCCTTATAATTTTTTTAAAAAAGTTTTTTGATCCTTAATATATATTGTTTTGCATTTTAGTTATTTATTTATAATTGTTTTGGTCTTCAAAGTTTTTAAAAAAATATTTTAATCCTTAATTTTTAAATTTTATGAAATTAGATCCTTGAATGCTATAAAAAAATCTAAATAAATTATCTCTTACAAGACGGACGATGTTTGTAGGTATGTATTTTTTTTTATCCTTATCCACTTCAATATCAATTGAATATTTTTAATGGATATTTATTATGTTCGAGTAAATGGAATACTCATTTTATATTCGGTCCATTGCTATTCCTACTTTCATGTATAAATATAATGTCGTTTCTTTAGATTTGAATGTAGTTATATATCTGTTCCGTTTTATATCCGATCTATTATCAACATAGTTATTTTCTTGGGCTAAATTCGGTCGAACCATATTTTCTTTCACTTTCTTATTTGGTCCTGCTTTGTTAATAGGATCATCAAGGACTCCTCGAGGGGAAGGGGGGTTTGTTTCTCTTTTGTGCCCAATTGGCCAATCGGCCTGGTCTTTTTGGTGAACTTAAGATTCCTTTACATGGGCTGGTCCTAAAATTTAGCTTCTTTTGGAGGAACAAGGCTTGTGATTGTAATGCTCGAACCATAAGAACCTAAAAGTTTTATGATGTCATTTCGATCTTACCATGGGATCCGTCGTAGAAAACAACCATGCTATTAACCTTTATAGAAAATAAATGAATAAAACAACCACGCTATTAGTACCTTTTTTATTTTTTATTTTTTATTTTTTGTGAATGCGAGAATTGGATAGCTCAACGGGCCTGGTAAAGTATACATAAGCAAGTCCAACCTAAGAAAAGTTCTAGGCCTGAGGCCCATGATATTTATAATTGGGCCAGAAAATATCTAATGTTCATCTTCCTGGACCTCATCATTACCACCTAACAGCGGGTCGCACTCTACCAACTTTAATAAAAAAGTATGCCCCAGTCTTGCGTCTCTGTCTCTGAAATGGACACCACAACTACATCTGGACCGCCAACTTCTTGCCATCGAAGCCCATAGCCAGTAATGGTTGTTGCTTTAAAAGCACAGATCATCACAAAGACGATCAAAAAATTAGCTTCAAAAGAATGAACAGATCGACAGTCTTTATCTTGCACCTGTTGTCGGTGGCCCAATTGGACGCTCCATATCAAACCGTTCCAAATGATTGAACGGCAGGCATGAGTCCTCTCTCCATTGACGAAGTCAACATCGATCTCTCGTCCAACTGTCGCCCCTAAGATCACCATCAATATCCGTGAATCGCAAAGCAGAAACTTACAAGTTACAAAACTTGAAAATGAAAAACAGGAAAAATGATCCTTTTTCCTCTTTAACGGGGGCCAAAAAAAAAAAAAAACAAGGGTATAGGTATACTACAGGATAAATATTGAAAAATACTTAAACTATGGAGGTCAAAATGAAACATTATTGAATTATAGTTTTACCCGGAAAATACTAACAATCCTGTCGGTGTCTCCAAAGATTTCAAACAAAATGGCTAATACATGCTGATGTGACCTAGATCTAACTTAATACCTTAATTAGGATTCCTGGGGCCTAAAGCAAGCATCTATTCAACTACTAACCTTTGGCTTAAATGTAATAACTAACAGCCTTAAAGACCCAAAAGCCAGCCCAAAAAAAGAACAAAGCAAAAAGTTACAGAGCGATTTCTGCTTTCTCTCTCTTTCTTTCGAAAACCCAGACTTCCTCCTGGCATTGTACATTGCAAGCACATTGGGAGTGCCCTTTATCCTAGAATTTGATTTTCTTCAGATCTGGACGTGAAAGATTGATCTTGATTGGATTTTGAGTGATTTAGTTGTGTTAAAATGGGAGTAAAACCAAGTTCTAGAGGGTGCTTTGGGTGGTTTGTGGTGGCAGTAATATTGGCATTGGTTATTGGTGCCATTGTTTATACAATCAAAAAGAAAACTGAGAAATCTGAAGGGCCAGCTCCGATTCCAGGGCCTCCTGGTGCTATTGACAAGAAATATGCTGATGCTCTCAAAATTGCTACGCAATTCTTTGACATTCAAAAATGTATGTTCTCTTTCCCTTATTTCATTTCGGTCAAGGTAGTATACTCAAAGCATTCTTTCCTTGAGCACATGAGTTCAATTTTGGTTCTTTAAAGTTAGGATGCAATGTAAGGAAGGAAGGAAACAGACTTTGGTTCGGTTTTGATTGTTTTTGTTTGGAATTGATAACACAAGTTAAGATCTTTTCTTGAGCTTATTCTTTGAAACTTTTAGTCTTGGTAACTCCGGCAATGTCTATTTTTATTTTTATTGCAATTTTTGTACCTTGTAATTATCTTTCTTGTTGTGAATGTTGACACTAAAATGATACTCGATTAATCCAGCTGGGAAGTTGGTAGACAACAAGATTAGTTGGAGAGGGGATTCAGCTCTTAAAGATGGAAGTGAAGCAAAATTGGATCTTTCAAAAGGAATGTACGATGCTGGGGATCATATGAAGTTTGGTTTGCCAATGGCTTTTACTGCTACTGTATTATCATGGACCATCCTTGAGTATGGAGATCAAATGGATGTAGTGAATCAGTTGGAACCAGCGCAGGATTCGCTCAAGTGGATCACTGACTACCTTATCAATGCGCATCCTGAAGAGAATGTGCTCTACGTTCAAGTTTGTTACTATTCCATGACCTCTAAATATTTGTATTTTGGTTATGATGTCATTTGCAAGCCTTAATAAGCTATGCCCATAACCCTTAAAGTGGAAGAAATATAAAATTTATGTTGGTCGTTAAAACCGATTAAACCAATGTAGTTGTGTCATTTGGTCAAGGTAGTGATTAATCACCAAATGAGCTGTAACCTTTCCTGGAGCTATGCTAGTTTACTTAAGTTTTTATTTGTAGAATCCAGCCGGTGAACTGTTTCTTATATGATTTGGGATCATTTTGGAACAGGTTGGTGACCCTAAAACTGATCATGGTTGTTGGGACAGACCTGAAGTGATGAAAGAGAAGAGGCCACTTACTCAGGTTAATGCATCTTTTCCAGGGACGGATGTTGCAGCCGAAACTGCAGCAGCTATGGCTTCAGCATCTTTGGTGTTTAAAGCCAACTCTGCATATTCAAGCACGCTGCTTAAGCATGCTAAAGAGTTGTTTACGTTTGCTGACAAATATAGAGGTTTATATAGTGAAAGTATCCCGGAAGTTGCCACATATTACAATTCAACGGGATATGGGGATGAGCTCTTGTGGGCAGCTAGTTGGCTCTATCATGCAACGGGGGATAAATCATATCTTCAATATGCGACTGGCCAAAATGGTAAACTCTTTGCTCAATGGGGAAGTCCGACATGGTTCAGTTGGGATAACAAACTTGCAGGAGCGCAGGTATGCGTCATTTTTTCCTGTAACTGAATGTAAATTTTATATTTTTTAAATCTTAGGACTTTTTCCACATTTGGCATATGTATGTTTATATCATACTAATTTCGTTCCAAGACAGAGTTATGTTCTTTTCCTTCGAAAGCATGCCAAAATTAAAAAAATATTGGTGTATTTTGTGTTCAATGAATTTTCTGTTCTGAAGATACCAACTTTAAAATTTCTCAAGTCAGGATTCTTTTTTGTTTGGATATGTGTTTCAGATATAGATGGCAGTCTAATTTCTTGGGAAACTAAGACACCTGACACTAGGCCTTGAATTGTGAAGTACAATTCTTCAAGAACATCTGAAATACAAATGTCTTTCTTAAGAGAATGATTCATTTATTCTGAATGCAGGTTTTGTTGTCCAGACTAACTTTCTTTGGAGACAAAGACACCTCAAACACAGGCCTTCAAATGTATAGGAAAACAGCTGAGGCAGTTATGTGTGGTCTCATCCCAGATTCTCCGACAGCCACAAAGAGCAGAACAGATGGTAATTTTCTTTTTCGAAGCTATATACTTCTCTTCACATTCAAAATGGGTGGCACGTGTTCAAATTTTTAATAAAATTTTATACCCAATTATTGGGGCCTCATTTTCACTTTTTGGTACAGGCGGTCTTATATGGGTCAGTGAATGGAATGCTTTGCAGCATCCCATTGCTTCTGCATTTTTAGCTTCTCTTTACAGTGATTACATGCTTAGTTCTGGGACTGCTAAGCTATCCTGCAATGGAGATTCATATAAACCATCAGATCTTCGGAAATTTGCTAAATCTCAGGTTTGTTGCTTATGTTATATCTGTTTCACACATATAATAGACTTTAAGATATTATGTATTACTACGTCCAAGAACCTTGATACCTTGCAAACCTGATAATGCGGTATTTTTTCTATTCCAGGCTGATTACGTCTTGGGAAAAAATCCTATGAAAACGAGCTTTCTTGTCGGTTATGGTGAGAAGTATCCACAATATGTGCATCATAGGGGAGCTTCAATCCCAGCTGATGCAACAACTGGTTGCAAGGATGGCTGGACATGGCTTGAAAGAAAGGAACCGAATCCCAATGAAGCAACTGGAGCACTTCTTGGCGGTCCCTTCTTAAACGAAACATTTGTCGATGATCGCAACAACTCAATGCAGGCGGAGCCAAGCACATATAACAGTGCTATAATTGTCGGCCTACTCTCTGGTCTTGTCACCACGTCTTCTACAGTTCATTCTTTCACCTAAATCAATCCTAGTATATAATTACGTACACATTGTTTGTAACATATTAGCTGTAATTGTGAGCTGTTCGCTACAAATTTAGTGTTCAATAGTTTGTTTCGTGATCATACAATGAAGTTCGAGATCAGATTCTAGGACTTGCAGCTCTTTTTCCTTGTTCTTGAGGTCGAGCCTTAAATATCAATGGTCTTCTTGCAGTATTTTTCTGCCAGTTTTGTTGGAATCATATGGTGTTCTGGTTTTTCGCTTTATATGTATTGATTTGTTGCTCCTTTCTATACCTCTCTTGAAACTTCTGCTGTCGAAATTGAAAGAAACCAAGGCCAGATTTTTTGAAGTGCAGTGCAGCACAACATTAGCTGCTGCTGCTTCTTGTTTTTCATTCTTTTTTCTTTTATGATAAAACGAGATGAATAAAAAAAAAATTACCCTTTCCAGTCTAGTCTGATTTCTTCCTAGACAACCAACCCTTTGGCGATTGTGAGCCACGAAACTCACAATTGGAGACTAACATTTAAATTCTGAAAATATGTTGGAGAATCCTTTTAGTCTTTAGATTAGGGGACGTTTGACCGCACAAAAGGTACATGTCATGGATCAGTAGATTTGATGGGCAGAAGTAGCAGCTTGTAAAGTCAAGAGAATACCATTCTAGTTCCCAATTTGAGAATTACGTGGGACAAATCTTTGCTATAAGTTCCTCTCCCTCCCTTCACCCTCCTTGACGAAAGCAACCTTCAATTCCAAGTTTTTGGTGCTCAGCCAGAGTACTTTATCACTTAGGTAAGTTGGCACTTTCACAATCTTCTTTTATAGAGGAAAGACAAAGGAAACCATGCACGTTATGCAAGATCAAGTTTTGAAGCGACAATGTTAGCTACGAGAAAAGTTGCATCTTCTTCAAAGATTTGGTGATGCTTTTTGTACCAATCCCATGACTCATCCACGAGTATATTGATGTAGACTCGTAAGGTTCAACACTGTCATTTTCCACCTCCCATATGAACCCAGAACTCCCACATGACTTTCGAGTGCGTGCTTGTCCAAAAAACAGAAAGCAAAACAGGAACAGAATTTGAATTGAAAAGTAATGTTTATACAAATGCAATTAGAGACCCATACCTGAATATTTTATAAATTGCTAGCTACTAGCTACCATCACCACCAAAAATCATGACCCACCATTGGCATAACATTGTTGATAACTATGAACTTGAAAAGGGTCCTCTTCTTTTGGTTTCCATTCAGAACCCAACAGCAACTTCTAAGTCTCAGCACTAACAAGTACATTGTCCCTAGGCCTTACCTACAACACAACAGTAACCATCACCGAATTAGTGTAAAGGGCAAAGCAACTATACTCTCCACCATTCCTTTTCCCCTTCCTCTTGTACAGGAGTGACTAGTCTATGGCTCTTGTTGGTACTGTCAAGGACAGGTGTCCTTGACTCCTTGTGCCTTCAATTATTCACTTAAACCACTTTGGTCTTCTGAATCCTTTGACTCCCAAGCACCCCCAACTTGCTCGATTCCTGTGTGAAGTCTCCATCTGGATGACAAAAAAATCTTTTCTACGAACCGTATGTTTTGGCTTATCACAATACCTTCCGCTTGTTGGGTCTTATCATTCGAGATGCTTTTGTGTATTGCTTCAGAGTTAAAAAGAAATAAAAACATCAATTAAGGCCTTTGCAGCCTAAGAAAATTAGCAATTGCAATTATATGGATCTACGAACAAACTTTTTCGTAAATGCATGAAGTTAATGTTTTACTTATTTAAAACCTGCCTGAAACATAACTAATTCGCACCAGAGAATATTCTAACTCCTAATTAGAGCCAAAAAAAGCATGCACATATATATATGATAAAACTATTTTTGGGCTGATGCCCTACCTGATCCTTTTCGTATCATCCCTTTAACATCCCTTTCAATCTCCTATCATGAAAGTAATTTTTAACAACCCATCAATTCATGACAACTTGAGCAAAAATAAATAAATAAACCAATCAATTCAAGATATAACAACAAATGAACTATCTCTCTCTCTCTCTCTCTCTCTCTTTTTTTTTTTTTTTTAATTGAACTTAACAACAAATATACACAATTGGTAAAACCGGCAAAGGAAACTAGTAATATTAAAATCACTGGCCTAGTTTATCCAGGTCAGATTCTAGTTGACAAATCAAGTAAAAAAACAAAGACAAGAACAAGGGAAAAAATAAAATAACATCATGATCCACACAGCTAACTAAAAGAAACTGTGGTGGCACTTCTTAATTGAGCTCACATCTACATAGTTGTGTGTATCTTAGAAAGATTTGCTAAAATCTAAGGTCAATAATTCTCCATCACGTCTGGGAGTATCTGATCAAGTCAACGAGAAATATCAGACTTTATTGTGTAACCCAGCTGTTGCTCCATCTCCCAACTTAGCTTTGATGCCACCCCACAATGCACAGGTTCATAATCCTGAAAAAAAAAAAAAAGGTTTAGATCATTTGCTGTATTATTAAATAACAACAACGCTGATTAGTTATAATTTCTTTTTTTTTTTTTGTAATTAAATCTTTTTATCTTTTTGACCAATCTCAATTTACATTGTATAATATTTAAAACTTTTTGAATAAGTATTGCTATTTTAATGGTTATACATGTTTTTTATATCGTACGAGATTAATCAACAAAATGAAAAAAATTTAATTACAAATCGTAAGAAAAAATTAGAGACCTAAAAAAAATGTAAGATATTTTTTTTCTTTTAACCAATATTTCAAAATACTTTATAACCAATTAACTTAAAAAAACAACGGTGTTGCACGTGTGACACTAAGGTTAGGAAGATTAAAAAAAAGGTACCTCAAGCTTGCACATGAGCTCCTGGGCAGTGTGGGCAGAAACAATAATGTGACGGGCAGCTGGGGTTACGAATCCTTCATCGACAGCCTTGTCTATGAATGATAGAAGTGAGTTGTAGTATCCATCAACGTTCAACAACCCCACCTGAATCCATGAAAGTAATGTTTCTTTTACTATTTTTAGCCCTCTTTCTACAGTGAATTGACAGGCATTTTTTTTAATTATTTAGATTCATATTTATTTCATCTTGCTGTTTCTTACCACAGCAACATGATTATAGAGTAATGCTAATTTTACCGAACGTTCTTTCTTTCCAGAATAATTTTTCGAGAAATTTTCATGCAGTGAATGTTTAAAAGTAAATTCCATAAAGAAAATTTTTCCATACCGGTTTATCATGGATTCCCAATTGAGCCCAAGTGATGACCTCCAAGAGTTCTTCCAAGGTTCCATACCCACCTGTCAGAGAATTTTGAGTTAAATTTACTACGATGTCTGACCGTTATGTGTCTAGACATTGTAAACTCTATGAGTTCAATGATTGGCTTTCAAAAAGATAAGAAATTGCGGTGCACCTGAATCAGTACGAGATAGATAATTTAACATCAACATAATTATAGTTTGAAATGTTTGTTAATTTCTTTAGTACCTGGTAAGGCTAGAAATGCATCAGCTTGACGAGCCATTTCAGCTTTGCGTTGATGCATACCTGACACAGCTTTTACTTCTCCTACAGTCTCTCCTGTAATCTGAAATTATAAAATTAAGTAAGATTTTGTGCTTAATTGGTCTGATTATAAGGACTTAATAACCCTGTTCTTCAAGTGATTTCAAGCTGAACAATATTAAAGCAATTACCTCTCTTGGCATAAGAGTCTTAGGAATAACTCTGCAACCAAAAAAAAAAAAAAAAAAAAAGGGAAAAATGAGAACTCAAAATGAATTTCGGAGGGAGAAATGGAAGAGAAAGAGGGAGACCAAATGCCAAAAAAAAAAAAAAATTACCCCAACACATGGCGGCCACCATCGTATACAGCTCGAGAGACCAGACCCATGAGACCGATGCTTCCTCCTCCATAAACCAAGTCAATGTTCCTTTCAACCTGCAAATTTTTAATTTGTTTTAAAATTAACAAAACTTACGTGTTTAAGTGTGTAATTTACCTGTCCATTATAAAACAATATAATTACAATTATACTCCATTATTATTTAAATAATTTTTAAGTTTCCTCTAATCCTAGCAAGAACAGAACAAGCAGAGGATTGCTTCTGAAACTAGCCATGAATCATCTTGTTCTGCTCCACTATACTTCTTTGATTAGACCTCAAGCTACTTGCCCAATAGGAACATAACAGATGGCAAATTAATATCAAGAAACAACCCATTCTGTTCTTGCCACGACATGAGAAAGGGCCCGGGTTGTTTTAGTTCATAAAGAAAACATGGAAGCCCTGACAAGAACATAAGCTTAGACTTCATTTCTGTTTACAGCAAGTACTAGGTAAAAACATAGTATATATACCAGTTGTTTGCCAAGCTGAATAGCAGCATGCTGGTAATTAGGATTCTTGCCAGGGCTGCTGCCACAGAACACACAGACACGTCTGAATCTTGATTTCATCGAAGGCTGACGTTGTTGTTGATTTTCCATACTAATTAGCAATAATATGTTTTGCTTAAATTAAGATTGTTGAGACAAAGGGAAAGAAGAAAGACGAGAGGCTAAAGAGAATGTGTTTTGTAGTGTTAGACAAAGGACAGTCTGCTTCTGCTATCTATTGAAAACAAAGGGCAAAAGTGAGGGAAAGAAAAATGGTGCCATCGTTCTCTTTTTATATCAAAAATGGACGCCTCAACACACACACGCTTCACACGTCACTCACTCAACTTCTCGTCATATCGTGATATATATATGTGTGTGTATGGTATTTCATAACGAAATTCACATTGAATTTTTAAGATGGAGATTTCGCTATCACAAAAAAATAAAAAATAACTTTATAATTGTTTACCTTGATGTTATTATTATATGCATTTGAGTCTCGAGTGAATATTAAAGGAAAAAAACACTAGAGCATCGTGGTCTTACGTGTCATAATTTCATGTTGTTGCATTTTAATATTAAATAGAGTTTTACTTGAAAGAAATTTAAATCAAATATCAAAAAACAAAATAAAGGATTTGCCGTATAATGTATTACTGTAAAGTAAGTTAACTCATAAGGTACATACATATAATCACCTTTACATGGGCAAATTGTTAACGCTGTCGTTTTATATAAAAAAGGCATTAAAGTGAAAAAGATTTAAGGTATTAAAGTGATGTATCTCTTGAGAATTTTACTCGTTAAATAATGGTGCTTTAGTAATGGAGTTTTGTTCTTTTTTAATTGTGCAAGACATGTCGTAAACCAAACAACGGAAAGTCGGAGATTGTATCTTAGAAGAGATAAATTTTAGTGTTCATTGTATCATTTATATAAAAAGATTTTGCATACTAGAGTGGGTTTGCATCTCCTTTTAAAAATGATGTATTTGTGTTTTAAGTACTTATGTTACGTTGTCAACTAAATGCAACTATATATATATATATTATAAATTTTTTAAAAATATTATCGTTTATTATAATATCATCAAGATTTGCCACACATTCCAAGTTATATCTGTATTTTACGATTTTTATTTAGTAATTTTTTAACAATGATATGCTTTTTCGAATTTAATTAATTAGGATATGAACTTGTAAATTTTATTGATCAAGAATTATGTCTTTGTTTTTATTTTTTTCTCAATCTAATTTTTAAAATTTTATAATTCAATCAATTAAGGTGTAAAATATACTATAATTTATCTGCTAACAGTGCCAAATTCTTTCTAATTAGTTATTTTTTCAGTTGGATCATGATGTAAGTTAGAAGACATCCAATCAGCTATTTAGACATAATTTTTTTTCTTCAACTGATGTTTAATTTGGATTTGTTTTGATTTTGTTTGGTCTCTTCCCTTTGTTTTACATTTCTTTTCGTTTTTGTTTTTTTTTCCTAATTCATTACATGGATGTCATGTCACATTAGTATCCGTGTTACCAAATAACCAAAAACAAGAAAAAAACAATGAAATACAATCAAATGAATCTAGTTACAAAAACGTCTAATTTAGAAGAGTTTAGAACTTGATGATTGAATTGTGAGAGTTGAAATTGAAATAAAATATTGAGAAAAATCAAAGATATGACATTTGATTGATGATGGATTCTGTAAATTATATATTTGAAATTTATATTTTTCTGAATCTCATCTCTTTTTTTATAGTTTTAGATATTTTTTATAATGTTAGATGATCGTATGGTCCGTAATGTATTAGATTTTATTTTTTTCCTTTTCCAAATAATATGCTTGGATTTGTTTTGCTTTATTGAAAATAAGTCTGTTTTTCAAGTCTTTTTATATTAAAATTTAAAAAAAAATGAAAAACCTTACATTTAAATTGCGTAAAACCAGCACAAATCAAACACAAAGCAAAAACAGATATAAAATTCAACATGATTGGGTTCCTACCCAGTACACCCATAAACTTCAATTATTATTACATAACACATAATTTCAAAAAATCCTTCCAAGAAAATTACCTCTCCATAGATTACTAAAGCACTCAAAAATTCAAAATCCCAATGACACTTAAAAGGACTGATCCTTCTTCAGGCAAACGGCGGTAATCACTGAATCTGCAGGGTCCCAAATGAATTGGTTGGTTGAGACGCAGCCAGATTCATTATAATACATACCATGAAACCACCAACTAATTGAAGCTCTCTAACCCATAAATAATGGGTGTAATTTGCTGCAGTGGAATCTACCACAACTTGATACATTCTTCCATCGGGACATGCCACGTATATTCCAATTTAATTATTTGAACTGTTTACAACCTGGATCATCGTTAAGCAGTAGCACGTAACGATGTGTACTCATTGCAAAAAAAATTACATTTTTTATAACAAGTTCAAAAATATATATGCTGAAATCTATGCTTAAGATGTTTGAAGATCAAGTAATTTCAAGTTAGTAAGGAATTAGCATATAATTAGTGTGTGCATACCATGATATGAAGGTTAGCTGTTGTGTATAAAATTAATTTGAAGTAAATTATCAACTTTATTTATTTTTTAATAATAAATTAATTGTTTTTTTATTTTAAAAATTAATTATTTAATCATTTGACTAGTGTTAACCATACTTAATTTAATATTATTTTTATTTAAAAAATATAATTTTTTCATATTTTTATTTCTTTTCTTTGTTGTTTCTCAAAACAAAAAATCAAAATAAATTAAAAAAATGATTAAGTTATAAAAATTAAAAATATAAGGATTAAATAATTATTTTTTAAATAAAAAATTATAATTAATTTATTTTTTAAAACTAAAGGGTAATTTATAATTTACTTCTCAATTTGCTATGAAGAAGAGGGAAAAAAAAAAAAAAACTTGTGTGTAAAATCTCAATTTAATTATTTTTGTTTTAAATATCTGCCAAGCAGACAAGGAGTCGCCATTTGTGTGGAAGAGGTAATGGAGTGCACGTGAAAATGAGAAGCTGAGTCTGTCCCACTTCAAACAATGACCAGTGGCATATGCACAGCACATGTACTCTTACTCTTGTACTCAAAGCCAGCCATAGCCATCTCAGACCTTAAGCTTGAGATGAAGAAGGAATCAGAAATCGGAAGGTTATGGTCCGTACGAGGTGGACCTACTGATTTAAACTCAATGACCCATGACAGCTGTAACGGTCGTTGCATAGTTGCCATTGGCTTGAATAGACATAGAATGGGCCTTCCCTTCCCTTCCCTTCCCTTAATTTCAATTCTCAACCGCCATTTCAAACTCTCAAGAGTCGCAACTCCCTTGATTTCTTTCTTTTTTCCTTCCCATCAATTTTGCTAAGCAAATATGGTTATGTATTGGTCTAGTGGCATTTTTTTTCATTGAGCTTGTACTATCAATTGAGACGGAGGTTGTGATTGAGATTTGTGATATCAATTTGATCAATAAATTATCGTATTTTAGATAAATATAATATCTTTTTTTAATTTGATCGTTATCATTAGTAAAAAAAAATCTTTTAAATTTTTTATATTTTGAGATGTAAATTGTCACATAGTCTAATAAATTTTTAATTTCTTTCAAAAATAATTTCAAGAATTTTTGAGATCAGGAAGTATTTTTAAATTTTTCTTAGAGATTAAATATTTAAAAATTATAATAAATAATAAATAATGTGGAATGATCCGATTTTATTTTTTTTGGGTCCAAAAAAATTCATATACATTTATCTTTTTAATCTTACTATGGTTCTTGAAATATTTACATGATTGAATGCATAATATCTAACCAAAGCTTAAAATATTTTAACTTAATTTGAAAACCAGGTATGTGCATATTTGGAGAACAACACTAAAATTATATAGGTAATTTCATACAATCTCTTTAAAACTTCTCAAAAATTTAAAATAATTCCGGTTTATTTTTTATTTTTCATAATTTATTGAATTTTTATTATTCAAAAAATAAAAGCAATAATCTCCAAAATTAAAAAAAAAATTGAAATTATTTTTGAACATGTATTGAATTTTTTTAAAAATATATATGTGAAAAATTCCAGCTCAAAATATCAAAAAAAAATGAATTTTTTTAAAAGGATTTTTGGCCTATAAATAGAAAGGGTCATATTTACCGAAAATATAATAGTTCTAGAACAAAATTGACTAAATTACTTTAGCAAGTACTGAAATACATGTGTGTGAGATGCAAGTATGGCTGACCAAGTTGAGGCTAGGATAATGATAGGAAACTCGACCATTATAGTTCAACTGCGCTGAAGTTTGACACTTATATCCACCCACTGCTGGCCTTGTAAACTACTTGACAATAGTCTTCGAGGATCTTGCCTGGAGATTCCTGACGAAGATGTTTGTGGGTAGATTAACATGATCATAATTGATTGTTTATTACTAATTCTGCCAATTTGATGGGAATAATGAAAAAGTTTGGGAACTTGCCTTTCATCCTATGAATATGCTTTTAGGTAAGGTCGTCCATGACTGGGAGGCCTAAATCAGGCAATTACACTCATAATTAATCCTACCGCACTCCAAAGATTTTCTATGTTTAACCATACACTACCGAATAGGAAAAACAATAAGCAGCAACAAGGATGTGAATTAAGACTTCAAGAAAATCAAGTGAGAACTTGAGAGGTTCTACTCATATATTGGAAAATTACTTGTATTTTTAATTTTTAAAATCTTGATTCAATCTAATTTTTTGTTAAAAAAAAAAAAAAGAGAGAGAATTTTATTTCATACCAATTAAGTTGTGAATAGAGAAATCAATTCTAATTATGTTAAGTCGTGGAGATTGATATAGATGAGAGCTCGTAGTACATAGCATTATACAAATTCAATACGGTGATCTTATTAGCGAGGTTAGTGAGTAAGATTAAAGGGAGCGGCGCTCTTTACGGGGGCTCGGAAGTGGAGTTTCCGAAAGGTCTATAAAATATTAGACCGGATGTATAGATCCATTAGGCCTTTTTCATATAACCTTAATTGTTCACACTATAAATAAAGATAACATCACTTGTATTTGTAG